CTCTCTCTCTCTCTCTCTCTCTCTCTCTCTCTCTCTCTCTCTCTCTCTCTCTCTCTCTCTCTCTCTCTCTCTCTCTCTCTCTCTCTCTCTCTCTCTCTCTCTCTCTCTCTCTCTCTCTCTCTCTCTCTCTCTCTCTCTCTCTCTCTCTCTCTCTCTCTCTCTCTCTCACACACACACACACACACACACACACACACCCCCTTGTAATAGTCAGGTAGGTTTGTAGTATTCGACGTAGGTATATATCGTCCAACCAACTCAATTCTTCTTATAGCTACAGTATGTGTAGATCTTTCAAGCCAATTCGGTAGTAGGTAAGTATTGTCATTTGTGTCTATTAGTGTACGTGTTTTCCTCCCTCTTCCTCTTCCTCTTCCTCTTCCTTTTTTCCCAATTCCTTGAGAGTAGAGGATAGATATAGAAGCAGCAGAACTGATTGATCTCATATGTACCCACCTCTTCTTCTTGTTCTTCTCCATCTTGTCGACATGGATACATTGGCGCGTTGTGTATGTCGTGTATTCTCCCACCTCATTCTTTGATTCGCCATGGGGAAGAGAACAGGGACAACGCGCATCAAGAGCTGGGGTTGGGTTGGGTTTGTCTGCGCTTTGCGACGAGAGGAGGATCCATTCCGATTTACCTGTACCTTCGTCTTCAACAACAGCTACCTGCTCTGAATCGGCTCGGCTCTTTGTCCTCCCCGTAAAAATGCCTATCCATTTACGTCGTGACAACACCCACTTATGGGAAGTGTCAGATACTAGGTACTTAAGGATCGTAGCTGGCCAACCAACCAGCTCCGGACCCCGTAGAAGGTAAAGTATGTACCTACCTTACCTAGGTAGAGCTGAGGTATCATGACACCGTATTTCCCCGCGTGACGACCCATGATGATGATGATGATGATGATGATGGAGGAGAGTGGAGCGGGTAGAGTAGAGTAAAGTAGTGAGTGATTCACAACTTCCTCCCACCCCAAAAATCCACCCACTCATCTCATCGACAATTCTTCGTCCTCGCACATGCAGTAACAACAGCATCAACGTCAACAACATCTTGCCGTGATGAAGGCAACAACACATCACGGGTTCGATATGTAGTAAAATCCGTTTCGCATGCGCTCCAATCGGATGATGGACTGGGAGATGTCACTGATGTGTGATTTGCTGCGGAGCGTATGCTGTCGTTTTTGGGGTTGTGGTTGTGGTTGTGGTTGTGCTGGAGGTTGTTGTCGATGTCTTGGGAAAGTGGATCCATACTGTCTTTGCGAAGAGGTGGCTGTGGTGGTGGTGGTGGTGGTGGCTGGGTCTTCCAGTGGGATGCTGATGACCGCCTCGTCGTCACGGTCTCGTGATCCATAGCCAGTCGTTGTAAGAGCTGATGGACCGTGAGCTCGTATGTGGCCATGGTTGAGTCCGTGTCGAGTTGCCGTTAATAACGTTAATAAAGTGCACGTGGGATGAAGATGGCGGGGTAATCGCGAAGAGATGGGACTTTTTGTGGATCTCGTTCGAGGTTACGGATGCCAGTTGAGTGATGAAGATGAATGATGATTGATGATTGAAAAAGGAGACAAGGAGAGAAGAGTGAAAGCTGTTTATATGTCACCTCCTACCTCCTACAGGGAGAGCTGTTGTCACTACTTCTTATGCCATCTAATCTTGATCATGCGGCCTGATCGAATCCTTGTTGCATGTTGCATACCACCACCCACCACATTGCCCACCTTGGTTCGCGCGAAAGGCGATCAGAATCCGACGTCCGCGAATACTCCGAGCAATGCCAGCAATTCAGGTCCAATGAGAGACCAGATAATGCAGGTCAATCTTCACACTCGCAATCGGGTGGCTCCTTGACTTTATGGTGGTGGAGAAGCGGTCTGGGACCGGCGAGGGACTTCGTGGGATGCACTCTCTCGCCTGACTCGTCAATGCGCGGCCTGCCCCATACAGGTACCTGCAACCAGCAAGGTATGGTATGCAACATCGTTACAGCTCCCACAAACTCGTGGGACGTTCAATTGTCCAACTCGTGACGCTCGCTGTAGCTGCAGCCGGTCAGGAAGCGCCAAGTCCGCAGGCGGTGGCGTGATCCACTGCGAGGTGCAATGCTGAAAAAATGATCAATTGATGAGCTTGCCGAAGAATGGGATGCCAACGGAGCTCAGCAGCATCCGTGCATCCTGGTCGTTGGTGGCAGAAGTGTGAACAATAACGTGAATGCCGGGAATCATCTTGGGAGGGTAACTGCAGTGGCGTCAGTATGGGAACATGACGGAGTCACGAAGATGAGAAAGAACAATGCATGTACGTAGGAAGAAGGGCGGTGACTCACGCATCATAATTGACCTCAATCTCGGGGAAGAGCGCAACTTGGTCGGGCTCGAGACCAAAAGCCAAGTTACCGCTGCTGTCTCCGGTGCTTCCCTTCACACCTGGCCAGTCCTTGATCTTGGGCATCACGACATCGACGACTTTGCTGATGAAATGATACATGTCTTCTCCTCGCAGATCACAAGTCACACTCAGAAACTGTCCTTGCCGGATGCCAAAGCCAGCCACCGATGCTTTAATGTCATGCGACGTCGCTCGCACATTGGTGATGGCTTGCAAGACCATGCCCGCGACATGCAAGTATGCGCTGTCTTCAGCAGCTTCTTTCACGAAGGTGTGAACGGTGACGCGCTCCAGCTTGGGCACATTGCGGAATGTGATGGGTTTGCGGAGGAGTTTCAGAGTATCACCACCACGAGGACCTCGGAGCGGTCTGTTTTTGTAGTACGGCGAGTCGCCCGTCCATTCTCGCAGGCGGGCACCCTTTTTGTGAGGCTCGGTGCCCGGGGGGTAATGGGTATATGAGAGGGTCATAAGGTCAGGTTTCAAGGTGTCGTGGTAGGTCTGCTCCAGGCGCGGAAGAGAGAAGGGGCCGGGAACATATTCGCGCGAGGCAGGATCGGAGCCCTTGGGGGGTTGGTGAGGGTGGAGAGGACCGCGAAAGTACTTTGGAGGGCGGAACTGATATCTGCAGCGACTTGTGAGCTATCTGGTCCACTTGTACACATTGTCATGAATGGTAGGCGCACCTGCTCGCTGGCAATTGCGCTCTTCGCCTTCGTGAGCGCTCTAGCGGGCTGTATTCGGAGAGCCTCTTCTCTGCAGCATCTGATGGAGTCGCGTGGAACTCGGTGGCTTCGAGCTCGCTGACCTCCTGACCAGTGGTGGTGGTGGTGGTGGCATCGCTCGACGCGTATCGTTGACATTGCGCCGTCCAGACGCTGTGCAATGGCTTCTCTGCCAGGCGCAGTCGGCGCAGGAATGATGTGGTGACCTCCTGCAAAGCCATTGTTGTGGTCTGCGCTGCCAACCAGCCTCTGGCGGACACTTTCGTCTCTACCAGCTGGAAGTGATACTTTGGCCGCCTCGTACTCGCTGGTGCCGGTGCGAGCCGGAGTAAGGCAGCAACCCGCCCCATGTTCAGGCACACACATGGCTTTCACTTCTCCAGAATCAGCTAGAGCGTAGAGGTACCCTACCACCCACGGCGAGCGAGCGAGACACGCGCTGGCGGTACCTCAGTTCTGGTAGATATAGGTATACCTCCTAGTCTCAGTAACATGTACTTTTAGGTAGACCGCTGCTGTGCTCCCCTCCCCTCCTTCGATCCTCCTTTTTTCTCTTTTCTCTCTCACACATCTTCAGACTTCCGCCCTCTTCGTACAGGGCTGGGAAGCAATAACCTTAATCAATCCCTTACTTAATATTTCACTTGGCTGAACCACTGGGCACTCCCCACTCACCCCATCCTGGTCCAGCCAGAGCCGCCTGGTTCCCCGAATCCCCAACCCCACCAACGCCCTCGACCACGACCACCGCGGACTCAGCTCCCGTCGGGTCACTATTAGTATTACATGTACCTTGGAGGTACCACCTGGCACCTGGCTCCCTCCCTCCCTGCACTCAACACTCAGTCACCACCTAGTGTAGGTATACTGCATCTGGACCCCTGGATACCTCCTACCACTTGGCTTTCTTACCAGACTTACCTTACCTACCTGACTACCACCTTACTGCATATTAACGACACCGCTCGCCAAAAGGTCGTCGATGGAGCAGGCGCCTTCGTCGAGGCCCCGAGCACAGCATGAGCGATTTCAAGCGCTTCCTCTCCACTCGAAAACGGAAAGACACCCGGCGCAACTCGCACAGCCCTACGAAAGTATGTCCTTGAATCACCTATTCTGCTACTCTGCTACTCTGCTTCTCTGCTACCTTATTCTGCCATGCCTCGGCCTCTTCTGAGCCTACTGCATTCCCATTTCTGCTGCATGAATACACATGTCCAGTAGCCATGGCCGCCGCACCTGCACCACACCTGACCATGGGCCTCGATACGGAGGCGCTCCCACTGTTCATGGACCTGGCCGCTACCGCCAGACGCAGCAAGAGACGACGCGACAGCATCAGCGGCTCGTCCACCAAGAGCTTCGGCTCAATGTTGTTCAGTGGTGTCAGGCTTCGTAGGCGGGCCAAACATGTTGCAGTCATTCCTGTTCCGAGTCATTGCTGCAATACGCCTTCATACCACCCCGCTAACCATGTGCTCCTAGATTCGAGATGTCACCGCCTCGTCCTCGAAACGCGCGACCCGTCCCCCTCATTTCGGTGACCTGTGGTCCATATATGACGACCCCAAGGTCAAGCCTGACAAGGAGGAGGAGAGGCGCATCGCGGGCATGCTCGAAAGATTCCGCACCCATGGCATCGATACCATGACCGACGGGAATGTTCGCTATGCTCTCCGGACAACACAACACCGCGGCGACGGGGAAGACGCCTTCCGCCTGCTGATGCTGCTGCAAGAGACCTACGAGGGCATCGTGCGCCCATACGTGCCCTCTACGCAACTGCTGGGAGCCATTAATCGCAACAATGTGACCTGTTATCTGGATGCTCTGCTCTTCGCCATGTTTGCGCGTCTCGATAGCTTCGAAGCCATGCTGTATAACAACTTTGAAGATGCCCCCCGAAGGAGGCTGGCGGGCCTGCTGCGTTTGTGGGTCAACATGCTCCGCACAGGGCGACTCATCACGACAGACCTGACGCGGCACATCCAGGAATCTCTGGCCGACTGTGGCTGGCACGAGGCAGCGTACATGAAGCAGCAAGATCCCTCCGAGGCATTCACCTTCATCACCGGACAGCTAGAGCTGCCCTTATTGACCCTGAAAATGGACTTGTACCATACCGGCAAAGAGGAACCTCAGGACGATCACAAGTTTGTCAATGAACGACTGCTGGAGATAGCAATCCCCGATTGTCCATCTGTAGAGGGCAACGACATTACGCTCGAAGACTGTCTGGAGCACTATTTCAACAATCGGGTCGAAGTCATGAGACACCTCGAAAACCGGCGGCGCAACACGCTCAAGTCAGATGCAGATCCAGGGCAAGAAGAACCCGTCAATTCGGAAAAGGACTCTGGCGTCCATGTAGAGGTTGCCGAGGTTACGTCGAGCATAACAGGGACGCCGCTGGTGCAGACCCCCATCCTGGAAAGTCCCATTGCTTCAACGCACCACAGCAAGGATCCTTTCGAACGAATGCGACCGAGCATGGGACGCAAGCGTGGAAACAGTATCTTCAGCCAGCGCAAGATTGAGCTGATCGGCGTCGACCCGGAAAAGGAGGTGCTCCAGGCTGGCAGTGAGACGGAACGAAAAATGACCTCAAAGACTGAAGTTTTGATGCCTGCCTGGCAGTTCTTCAAGCTTCTGCCGTGGTACACTGACCACATGCCCACTTCGGACGCCCAAGTCGCAGCCCACTTTGCGAGAAAACGTCCAGTGCTCGGAATATGTCTCAAGCGTTATTCGATACAGAATGATGGACAAGCGACGAGGCGAGATACATTCATCGACATTCCTCTCGAGATTGCTGTGCCAAATTTTGTCAGCGATGAGAATATGCAAGAGGATGGGCCTCTGGTCGGGAACTTCCGATTGATTCTGCAATCAGTGGTATGCCATCGTGGGACCTCCGTAAACTCCGGCCACTACGTCTCCCTTTGCCGTGGCACAGCAACAAACGCGAGACCAGAGAGCGACTCTGCCGACCCACGAGATAGCACGTCAGACAGCGAAGAGATCGAGGATCCGTGGATGAGATTTGACGATCTTGCTGCTTCGCGGGTAACCTATGTCAACATCCAGGAAGCGTTGAGACGGGAAACGCCATATCTGCTCTTTTACCAAGTGCAGCCGATAGGAGACGATGGCGACGCTCTTTATGACCTACCTTCGTATGCAGAAGCCATCAGTAGATCTGCATCAGACGTCATGACGCCAGAGGAGAAGCCATACATTAACTCTGCATGCGGCTCAGAGAACCCTCTTGAGCGAATTCCATCACAAGCCCTAGATGATACCGCGCGTGTCACATCGGAAATATTGGACTGGGCTCCAGGGACGCAACGGAATAGTCTCGATGCGAGTGGCATCCTTGATGGACCGAGGGGCCGCTCCAGTTTGCAAGCGGATGAATCGCGAAAAAGCGTTACCATTGACGACGGCAGCCTCACTGGCAGTACTTCAGGTGGTAGCATCCACACTGAACCCTCAGGCTCGGTTCCGACTACTCCTGCTGACGAGCAGGCGCCGGCGGAGCGGACGAGCTTCTTGGCTGTTGCCAGCAAGATCACCAGTTCTCGACGAGCAGGTAGGCTCTCCAAAGATGGCACACCGAAAAGCCGACCGACCAGCACTGGGCCTGGCATCACTTCCATGGGCAATGGCAGTCGCTTCAGCCTCAACCTGAATATGACTAGGTTGACGCAAAAGATGAGCAAATCTGACATGACGGCACCGACCAGTGCAGAGGAGGCACCATTCACGACGAAAGTGACCGAGGTACTCTCTGCAGACAGGCAGTCTGCAGATCTGGATACACCTACCGCCCGGACGAGCGTACAACTCCACCGACCCGACTCTGGGGAGAGTGCCGATGGGGTCAAGCCCGCACATCGTCGTCATCATCATCATTCTCATCACATGCATAGTCATTCAGATGTTTTGACGAAGAAGGAAAAGCAGGCGATCAAGGCTTTGAAGAGGAAAAAAGCCGCGGAAGATCGGGATTGTGTTGTAATGTGAGCATACCTGCATAATGAAACGACAATTGGGACATTTTTGATTAGCGAGGCGTTTTTTGGGATGCTATTGCAGTATTTTACTGCTTCGATTGGGAATACACGCCATGGTTACCTTGGGTCATGGTCTGATGCCGATAGACGATTGTACACAAGAAGAGCGTCTGATGATAATGTCAATGGAGAGGTAAGGTTAGGTACCTTAGGTACCTTACGTGGACAGTAATAGATGTGTTCAGACTGCAACATGTCTCTCTGGTCCACGCTTCACTTCCACCACCAGCGTCCGGAACAGCCACTGATAAATTGCGAGCCTCAGCTCGGTAGGAAGGCCTTGCAGCGATCGTCGGTCGATGTGCGTCGGATCCCGCGCCATTGGTTGGTGAGTTCCCGTGCTATAGTGCTGTGGTTTTATAGTTCTATACGGTAGTTGATGTAGTTCTATACCTGTTCTCGACGCCGAGGGCGCAGAATGGCGAGGTGCCTTGCCTGCTGTGTTTGGGAAGGCGGGAGGCAAGGTACATGTAGGTACATGTACCTAGTCCGGTTCTATGCATGATTAAGCGCATGCTGCGGGTGTAGGTAACTGTAATGTACTGTAGGTAGCTCCACACTCCACGTGCACAGAAAGATGGTATGAAGGATGTGATGCACTAAACTTATTGATACAGAAACGACTGCTTTAATAGCTTACATATCGCATTCTCGTACTCAGACCTTTCTGACGACTGCAGCGCCAGTTTCTACCTCAAGATCCATCGAGCATTGAGCTCACCCTTCTTCTAACGACTGCATCGCCAATTTCAACTCCTCTCAAGACCAATCAAGGAAGCTGCGAGATATCAGTCGCCTGTGGGTTGCCTGGGATACCCACGGAGCTGATGGGGCCGCTTGGGGGGCCATCATAGTTGAACTCCTCATTGGTATCGCCACCGTTCTTGGTCCAGGAGCCGGCTGATGGCATGGACACGTCCGCAGAAGGGTCGATTCCCAAGCTGATCCACGCCAGAACACCATCGGTAATGTCATCTCCAAGAAGCACATAGTGCATGAAAGGATCTGAGCCCAGCGCCTCTGCGTACAAAATGCCATCCTGCTCGTTTGGAAGCAGTTCCTGTTGGTTGGTGTTGTAAGGAGCGGTAGCCTCGACTTGAGCGATGAGGCTTTGGTCGAAGAAGATCTGTCCCACGTGCGAGCTTTGAGCGGTGAAGTTTCCGCTGAGAAGAGTGCTGTTGGTTCGAATGATGCTGGACTCGGTGTTGTGGGTCAAGACATGCATGTGGATAGCACGTCCAACGTAATGGCCGGGGAAGATGGTCTCGAATTGCACCACGCCGTTGATGTCTGTCTGTTGCACGGCGCGACCGAACGTCGCGTTGACGTTGGAGAGATCATTGGGGTTGCCATTGCTTGGGTTGACAACTCCAGAGTAAACACCAGTAGCGTTGCAGTGCCAGATGTCCACGAAGACGGCTGGGACAGGGTCGCAGCTCGAGGTGTCAATAAGCTGAATGTCGAGGAACAGAGGCACGCCAGGCTCGTCTTCGGACATGTCGCTACGAATGATCTCGCCATCGATGTAGTATGGACCTTGGGTTGCCTCTGGCTGGAGGAGGCAGCTCGAGTTGTCGGCGAAAAGAAGCCTCTCGTCAGACCCGAGGGTCACGTCCAGAGGGGACTCATGAGAGATGTTGTAGTCTCTGAACGTTCGGCGCTCGAGAGTCTTCAGACCACGCTTGGCACGAACGTGTTGAGCAAGCTCAGCCCGACGAGCGAGTGCTCGCTCTTGCTGGCCACGACGAGCAAGATCGCTGGCACAGGCTTGCACGGATCTTGGTTTGGCGTTTTGAAGCCACTCGCGACGCTCCAGAGCTTCTTCTGCGACAGAGTGGCCGGGATGAGCGAGAGCGGTTTGGACGGCGAGGAGACCTCCCATCAGCAGTGAAGTGATTGGCGCCATGGCGAAGAGATTTGTGGTGGAGGTGGTAGTGGAAGGGGTGAGTCTGGAGACTTTTTTTTCAATTGTTCGATTGACGGTACTTATATATCTTCCCAAAGGCCCGACGGGAAGAAGTTACGCAAGTTTTCATGCCGAGATAGCGATACATTGCTGAAGCACGCGCTGACCACGCTTTGCGCTGGTGGTCAGCATCATTGTGGATCTGCACTTGCGGTGTTGACACACGCGATAGATGGACCATGCCAATGGGCATTCGGTGCCATATCCTTCTGGACGGTATTTCCCCGGAATTCCGTATGTCCCGAGCAGGAAGGTGCAGTCACCAGATAGGAGCTAGACGCGAAGAGAGTCCAGTCCAGTCCAGGGCGGGTCACCAATGACCATTAGGTTCGGGCGGATTGGCCGTTCAACGGGTGTGATGAAATGACCAACAACAACACAACGGAGAGAAACGTGGAGCTGGGCGGAGACCGATTTTCTTGTGTTTGCTGTCTGCGTTTGTGTGCTTTCGCACGCTCGCTCGGCTACTCTTCATCTTCGGGGTCGCTACGGGCCGGTTTCTTGAAACCTGGGTATAGTACCTATCCCTTAGTAGGTAAATGGTAGAGCGGACGAAAGATCCGAGGGCGGCTTTGCTAACCACATGTAACGTCTGGTTGGTTGCGCGATACCTGTGCCATTGCCTGCTGCTTACAGGAAAGCGGAATTCGGAAGTACCTACCTGATGTACCTGATGTACCTTAAGGTAAGGTAGGTACCTACCATTGCCCTTATTTTCCCCTCTCCTGGCGCTAGAATGTTCTTCTGCTTCTTCTTCTGTATGCGGATTTCCCCGAAGTTTGAGAAGATAGAAGCTTCTTTTTTCTTGGTATGCCGTCACTACCTTATATCAATGATACCTACTATGGATACCGAGTGTACCTACCTACATGTAGTAGGTAATGTCCGTTAGGAGTGCCTACCTCTATGAAAGCTCTTGCTCTATATCAGATCCATAGAAGATTAGATCTACCTACCTGGCCTTTTGCTACCTAAGGTACCTTGTCGATAAGGTAGGCATAAAGGTGCATACATACCTAGTCAGACACTTTGTCTCCCCAACCAAGGTTAGGTAACGTTGTTTTTGCTTGGCTTGGCTTGGGTCCCTTCAGACTATACTACGCCGGAACTACCAAGTTGACCGGGGAGTGGAAACACATGTTCTCCATACCTAGGTAGGTATCAATGGACGCACGAGCGCGACAAGGCGAGCGAGGCAGATACATGTAAATTGTACCTACTAGGTGGTAGGTGGTGTCTTACCTTAGCTGATACCCAGGTTACTAGTGATCTCGGAGTCCGATCCGATCCGGCCATGCGTACCGCGTTTCGGAAACGCGATAGACAGGGGGTTTCTTTCTCGAATTTTGAGGAATTTTGAGGTGAGGTAGGCGGCTGCAACAACCTTCTTGGAAGCGGTTGGCTTCTATACAGCTTGGATGGTTACTGCTGTAGCTGTGCTGTACAAAGCCACAGTTTTCTTTGACATGGGGGACGTCGTAAGAGCCGGGCGGGCTTGATAGGTGTGATGGGAGCCGTGCCAAGATACTTATTCAGCTGTATACCGTGTCCAGCCGTAGTAGGCTATCGATAGGGCTTCAGTAGTGAGAACTTACAAGTGTATGCACCAATCAAGTGCTGTTAGTTACTCAGTGGCTCTCGCCTCTTCTGGTCTCTAGGGTGCAGTATCCGCGGCATAGATTGAAGTTGAAGTGCAAGCAAGACTGCAGAACTTAGCCGGTAGACAATGGACAGCGAAACTAGGAGGTACCTGTACCGCTTTCTGCCGCCCGGAGGACTGACGACACCGGAAAGGATAAGGCCAGCCAATGGTACGCATTCGATGTAAGCAATGCTCGTTAGTGCGCGCGTAGACTGACTGCATTGCCTGTAGTCTGTTAGTTTCACCGAGAAACCATGCCTTGTGGAGCGGGTGGATCGACGCTAGATGTAGTTCTCGCCGCACCATGGAGGAATGCTTGGATTCGGCGCGATCCATACGACTCCGAGCGACTATGGCAATTGGCGGCGAGCCGTCAACATTTAGACACGAGCCATTAGCCGGTATCTCGCGATAGCTCGCGCTGTGTATTGCGTCACAAGGTAAGGCTCGGATTGCGTGTTTTATCCTCCGTTCTCCTCTATCTCTCTCTTGGGATTGCGTAGCGATCCAGAACTATGTATGCCCGGAACAGACGGTATACGTATCTGCAAACTTTGTATGAGTCAGGTAGTGTAGAATCGTGTAAATCCATCTCCTAAAAGCAGTCGGACCCATTCTTTGTCACACTTTACATAGCCCATGTGCTTCGGACAGGACCACCTCGAGGTGGCAATATTCACGAGCGCGGGCTTGACCAACACTTCAATGATTTCTCCACACTGACCTAGATCAGCTAGAACCTGATGCAGGTTCCCGTTGTCGTTGGCAGGTTGGTTCTTTTGCGAAAGTCGAGGGAGCCGGTCCTGCTCTCAATTTCTTGCTCAAGCAAGTTGGTGGTCACAAACATGTTCGTTCAACAACAAGTGAAGATCAGGGAAGTACTCTGCCGATGCGAGCTTCACGGGGGCGCGCAAAGCGCCGTCCTTCCGATCTTCACAAGCTCTTTGGTAGGAAACCCCAGGAGGGAAGCAGAGCCCGATCCATAAAGCGAACGACGATGGTACGGCCAGGCTGCGGACATGACTTGTAAACGAAGTTTGGTGCCTGTATGCAAGGGCATCGTTTCCTTCTTTCAAAGCCAGCTGATGCGCTTGAAATGATCAAATGACGAAGGCGAGGTTCACAGAGCCGGGGAGTAAGTCTCTGGATGCCCAAGCATAACAGTGGGAGGCAGGTTTTGACTCATTGACTTTAATCAGGGGTAGTTTGAATGCGGAAGGTGGGTGTCCAAGAATGGAGTGATAGAGTGGTAGTAAGGTAGTGTAAAGGGTTGAACAGGAGACAGGAGACGGACTTCGTTGTCGTCGGGGATACGGGCATGTGTGCTTTGACTCGCCAAGCCGGGCGGCGTTCCCTGCGGGCGGGATGACGCCGCATGCCGAGAGCCGCAAGGTCTCTCCCTTTTTCTATCCGCTGCGCTCCGAAATGAATCCCAGCAATCATCATCAAGGCATTACAGACTGGATGTATTGTATTTGTACCTACCTCATCCTGTCTGTTCTCGTTACCTCAGCAAGAAGATTTCGACTCCTTAGTCAGGGCCCCTCAGGGGACTGTACACATTCTGAACTCCTGAATCAACAAGAAGGAATAATCAAAATGTGATCGGGCAGCTCGTATGTGCAAGGAAGCGTCGCCCACTGCTCACGTCAGAAAGCGACACTCCATCCATATTCATATTGCGTTGGTGACGCCTACCTATGGTATGCACCCTGCTATCTCAGTCTCCGCTGCTTGCACTGCGAGATCAGGACTTGACTGCGATGTCGTCTTCCTTACCGATGATGCCCAAAGAAGTGAAGGCAATCAAACTTCTTATCATTGGCGGTGGCCAGAGAGGTCTCTCCTGTGCTGTGAGGTTGTCTCCGAACTCCTGAATACCATCCTTGATGCAGTAGTAGGGCCGGATACGTGTCGTGGTCAACATCCTAGTGAGATATATCTATATTGGAAATAGACAGAATACATGGAGCAAGACAGGCTGTTGGTTAGATAATATGGTCCAAGCTCATGCTTTGGTCGTTGCAGCTGAGGATGCGAGACAGGACAAATATGTCCATTACATACAGGTGATGGCAAGAGTGGTGTGAGTGCACACAATATCGGAGTGACGTCGCCCAAGGTTGAGGGGCTAGAGAACAGTATTGTAAATACCGTGTATACCTTCCAGAAGGCAGGAGAGATGAGGATCCAAGGAGCACACTCAACCCTGTACTCGAGATGTTGGGTTCATACCGAGTTTGCAACGCTTCCGCCCCTTCAGGCATCGATTGATGGTATTCAGCCTTGAGGAGACCGCAGGGTTGCAGAAGCTTGATCGAAATAGGTTGATTACTTTGGGAGCAGGTCGGAGGTATCTTGGCAGACCCAATAGGCCTCTACAGTATAATCAAATGTTGGAGGAGATGCATCAGGGCAGAGGGGATTTTGGGAGCGCGAATGACAGGTATCGCGGTGTTGTCGTACCTCCTATAAGTAAGGTAGGGAGTGCATAGATGTATGCTTCCAGCTTCCCGTTCGTGAATCCAGTTTCCTGGAACTAGCGCTTGTGGTGGCGGCGGCGGCGGGAGCGGGTGATGACAAGACCAGGCAGGCCGTCTCGCGGGGACCAAACACGACGAAATGACAAGTCTGACCACATCCTCAATTGAGCACATACCAAGTTGAACGCTCGCTATGGCCTTCGGGAGGTAAACGGCTCGCCCCAATGGGATATCGGAGGTGTGCGCGATATTCAATTTCATGGCCAGCTACCTTCATGCCTGATCATATCTGCTATTCTGCCTACCTAATAAGGTACCCGACCTAACCTAACCTTACCTTACCTGTCCCTGATACCAGGTACCGTCCAGTTTCAACCAGGCAGGGCACGCCGACAACCATGCCAACCAGAAGGCCACATACCAAGACGCGCCATGGGTGCGCGACATGCAAAACACGAAAGGTCCGGTGCGACGAGGAGAAGCCCATCTGTCGGAACTGCACCCGCGGCAATAGAGAGTGCCTCTATCCCAACCAGCTCCTGGCTCTGGCTACTTCTCTGTCCTCGGACTCTCCCGATGGACAGCGAGTCTTTCCCCTCCGCGATATGGAGTTGTTGCACCACTACACATCGACAGTGTACGCGACCATATCCGACCAACGAGAGCATGCCTTCATTTGGCAGATTACCGTGCCGAGTCTCGCATTTCAGTACCCGTTCTTGCTTCATGGCCTGCTGGCTCTGGCGACCCTCCATCGTCGACAGAAGGCCGTCGCAGATTGTAGAGAGCCTCTGATGAACCTCGCACGCTATCACCAGCAGCACGCACTGAAGCTGTACATACCTCTGCTCCAATCCATCAACGACCAGAACTGTCATGCATTATTCGCTTTCTCTGTGATCATTGCCATTATCTGTTTCGGCATGCTCAGCGACGATGCCCACGACGCGCCCCCACTGATCGCTAGAGTAGTGGATGCATTTGATGCCCTGACTGGCGCTGCCGTCGTGGCAGTGGAAGCCTTACCCTGGCTCGAAGCTGGTCCGATGGCCGCCGTGCTGGATAAGCTTGAGCCACCTAGAACAGACCTGGAGGGCATTGATCCTAGTATGCGAGTTGCACTAGAGGGACTCTTGGAGTGTGTGGATCGAGTGTGCGAGGACGGCGGCCACTCCAAGGCCGGATTGGATCGCGAGGCACGGCGCGAGACCTATCGCCGAAGCATATACGCGATAGCCACCATCATATCGCCTGAAGTGTATCGAAATCGGCCTCTGAGTGTTGTGGTAAGTTGGCCTATCATGGCTCAGCCAAGTTATACTGCACTGCTACGACATCGTGATCCTCTGGCAGTCGTGATTCTTGGACACTACGGCGTCGCACTCCATAAGATTGACAAAGTTCTGTGGGCTCTAGAGGGACTCGGTCAGCGTTTGACGGAGAAGGTGGCAAGTGAGGTCGGTGATGAGTGGAATTCGTACCTCACATGGGCTCGGAAACGCGTTGCAGAAGCTGCAACGCCTGCTTCTCACATTACTCCCGGATCAGCATCATCATCATAGCGTAAATGAGGTTCTGAAGCTTTGGAAGTTCGGACATCCTTGGGGACTGTCATAGACTCGCATGCTGCCGCATGAAGCACTCACTGGTGCAGCAGATCAGCACTGGTTCCACGCTGAGGTTTGCTTGCAATACAGTAGCCAAGCTCACGCTATGTTACCATAGTATTGGCATTCTGCAGGCATCAGCGACGCAGTAGCCATGGAGGTTTCCTCGCTCCAACTCTTCTACATTTGGGCGCGACGGTCGAGTCGACAGCGACGACAGGTCATATGAAGACGTGTGGAGGCGAAGTTTCCTCGCATGTCCCGCAGTAGTGATGGAGGAGGGATGTCGCTGCAGCCGCAGTCTTGGTATGATCACTGTGTTGTTGATCTTCACATCGGCTGCTTCAGCAGGATGATCGGTCTCCTTTCTTGGTTCCTTGCCTCCATGCCAAGGGTACCACAGCGTTCCTTGGTTTTCGACGAATGCGTGTCCAGGCATTGCATGATGCGATTGCCAATAGTGGTGGTCTATGTGCAAGTTGCTGGCCTAAAGCCTCTCGCGATTTAGGGTACCCTACAGTTGGAACCAGCGAACAAGATGATCACGCGGCCTCCCTGAAGTTGGGTACTCTCAACTGTACTACGAATAACAAACTCATGCTGACTTCATACCCGCTCGGCGCTCAGTGCCGTATATGCTGATCAAAGTTGTGTCAGACCCTTGCGAGCAAGGATCCTTGGACCACTGATGTCCGAAATAACAACCATTGACAGGGCTATGCCTACAGCTCGATGCCAACATCTCATTTTGAACAGCGCGGAAGGACTGAAGAGAACCTAGACATACCCTAGACAAGTTGACAACAGACCAGAACCTGCTCTTCCATCTATAACAGCCTGCCCGGCAGCAACGCTGCGATTTCACAAGTTTCATCTGCTTTGAATCATTGTCCCAGTGCACAAGTCTCCGAGCCAATGAGCAAAGGATAGAGTCACAGTTCCCGTGCTTTTTCAAACCTGTACAGTTCCTTGACAGCAACGCCTCGCATCCGACATGAACAGTATCCATCGGCAGAGCGAAGACACTATACAAGCAAAATGGTACACACGAGCTGCCTTCTCATCCCGGACGCAGTCGCTGCCAAATACTGCGCCATTGATTGATATTGGATTGATGAAAACACATGGAAAATGTCTCCCATTCGACATCCAATTCCAACCAATTCAAGTGGACAACATGGTATTCCACTTTCCGCTTCCACCAAGTCCAAAGCCGTCGCTACAAGAGGCTTCCCCGGCGGATAGTGCTGTGCATATGCCTGACCTCTTGACCGAAATGTCGAACTCGATAGAAGGCGAAACGAATAAAAAGACCCAAAGGCGAACAAGAAAAACAGCGTCGACTCATACAAAAAGAAAAACTACCCATGTTCGGCCACCGACTCTGGATCTGCAGCCATGCGACGCATCGCTATCGCCAAACAACAAGACTCCGATCACACCAGACATGCGCAGCGTGAATAACGAGCGCCAACAAGCATTAAACCAGCTGGAGCACGCCACTCGGCCAGTGCACCCCAATGACAATGTGCAGTGGAAGCCCGCGGATGACATCAAACGACAACTTGCAGGCACACCAGAGAATCAGAAACCACTGCCTCTCAAAGTCGGCCGTCCACCAGCCGGTCGTCCAGCGCCACAAAAAGCGAACCGAAATGAAGAGATCAACCCCGACTTCCACAAAGCATCGGATGCCCTTCGCCGTCGCGCCGCCAGCATCCGGCGTCGACGACCCGAAGGCGACTCGGACCGGTACTCCAAACATCGCAAAATGCTTTCACGACAACATAGTCTGAACAGCAACAAAGCCCAAATCCTGTTGGGGATCCAACAACAACATCATCATCATCGTCATCCCGAAAAATCCCCCATTGAACAACTCTTCGATCAAGCCGTTTTAGAATTCCAACAACACTCTCCCGAAATCGCGGAAGAGAAAATCTCCCAACAACGCCCTCCTCCTCCTCTTCCTCCTCTTCCTACTCCTCCTCCATCGTGCGGCAAGGACAGCGAGCGGTGGGCAAATCGCAGCCAGAGGAGAGGCGTGTTGGATGAACAGACGTTTTATACGCCGGGAAATGCGTGGTGGCCGACGGCGCAAGTGCACGTCAGTACGAGGAGTCGGGATGGAAATTATCATTATCAGAATCGCAATAGGGAAGTGAAGATTGGTTCGGCGGCGTTGGCGAATCGTTTGGGTTTACCTTTGGGCTCGGGGGCGCATTTGGGGGAAATTGGTGGAAGGGATCGCTGATGAGAGCGGAGGGTGGGGGACAGGTACAGGTACCTAATGACTGTTATGATCAATGATGTTTTGCGGCCATGTTTTTTTTTCTATATATCTCTCTCAAGCTTCAGGGCAACAAACACGGGCCTTTCAAGAGTGCGTGGTATCTACTATGTTCCCAAGTTGTCTCATACTTACTGACTGAAAACTGGACTGCTTCTTACTCATTGTTGACCAGACCTCTGGCATCGAAGACATATCTGTTCGTGTAGCTATCGCAATGTGCTTTCATGGGCACGAAAAGTCTCTCGTGGATGAAAACTTGATGGGAGCGAGCCTGTGGGCATCACGCGCTTACTTTGTATGAGAGGACTTCTTTTTCTTCGCACAGCCTCGATGTTCGGGTTTCTGCTATTAGTGCTGTGCTGCCCTTACGAACAGCTATGCCATGTCAGTAGTATATCCTTCTGTGAATCACATGGTTCTCTTTCTGCCTCATTCAGCCGAATGTTTTGTATACTGATCCCGGACGGGCTGCATTGTCTTTACTCAGACCTATGGTCATTTGCTGATTGAAGATGTGCTTTCCGCTCTGGCAGTTGCGATCCATTCGCATTCCAGCATAGGCTGCTCTTCCTCAGGACCAATGCGTCTCTCCCTCTCCCGCTCTTTCCCTCTGCCTGTACTGATAAATCTCCCACTCCATGAACGCCATTCCCATGCAGCGCTGTAGCGTAGCACTGTACATATCAAGATCTCTCTTCTCTCTCCATCTCCCGCTCTTCTCTCCCCTAGTGATGTCCCTCTCCGTGGCCCTCTCCATGTCCATGTGACGTCTGCATGAACATCTGCTCGTATACCAGGTAGCCGGCGAAAGCTACAGAAGCAATGCCGAGACCGGGAAAGGATCCCTTGAAGCGGTTCCAGCGTGTGAAAGGTCCGGTATATCTCCAGGCTTCACTATAGACGTGTCAGTGAGGATTGTCTGGGTGTACGCCATGTAGACGTGCTGGCGTCGACGTACGCTCGTGCCCATGGGTCATTCTTCGGTTGTCCGGCGGCAGCAGCAAATTTAGCAGGATCGAAGCCGGTAAGGGAGGGTTTGGGAGCCATGCTTGCTTGTTTGTGCGAGCTCGGTCGTGTGGGAGTGGTATGGACGTGTGTATGGCGGGCAATGGCGGTTGTCAGCGGGGATTGAAGTCGCTGTCGCTGTCCAGGACGCTGTCCCGACAAGAGCTGTCGACGGGAGGACCCGCACTGGCAGTCGCGTGCGACGAGCTCACTTCCCAATTGACCAAGTCGAATACGCGGAGCAGATTGAGCTCGACAACCACTTTCACGTTACCGACAGCACAACTAAGACCATCATGCCTCCCGCAGTCGGCACCAGAATGCATATGTCGCAGCCGTCCAACCCATTCGTCAATCTGAACCAACAACACGCGCATTACCAGTCACAATCACAATCGGCACACATCCCCAACTATCAGTCTTTCGGCAACAGTGCACTCAATGGCGGCATATCACCCTTCAATCCGGGCGCTGCATATGGCGGACTGGGTGCATCGGCATTCAGCGCTGCAGCCGGGACGTCCACTTTCAATGGAAGTATTCTAGGAGGACCTGGGCAAGGCCTAGGCTCGGCAGCTGCACAAGCTGGATTTGCAAGAGGCGCGGCGATGCAGGAAGGCAGTCAAGTGGAAGGGATGGGACTACCGAAGACTGGACAGGCGGCACGGATACGTGAAGTCTGGAGGCACAATCTGGACACTGAAATGCACATGCTTCGGCAGCTGGTTCAGAAATATCCTTACGTCGCAATGGACGCTGAATTTCCGGGCATAGTGGCGAGGCCCATTGGCAACTTTGCTGGTAGTAAAGCTGAATACCATTACCAAACTCTTCGGTGCAACGTGGATATCTTGAAGCCCATACAGATTGGCATCACGCTCTACACTGCAGATGGACAACTACCACCGCAGCAGGATCCAGGTCTGTCACAGCAGACTGGCAAGTTCCAGGGGTACAACCATCCGCTTGCAAATCAGAACATTCCTTGTACCTGGGTCTTCAACTTCTCCTTCAATCTGGATGAGGACATGTATGCCGAGTCGTCCATTGCTTTGCTCCAATCAGCAGGCGTCAACTTCGCTCTCCACGCTACGCAGGGCATCGACCATGAAACCTTTGGCGCTCTCCTTACGACTTCGGGGTTATGCTTTAACGAAGATGTGCATTGGCTGTCCTTTCACTCGGGCTACGACTTTGGCTACCTGATCAAGCTGCTGTCCAACGATGCTCTTCCACACGAACAGACCGACTTTTTCGATCTTGTCAAAATCTTCTTCCCCAAGCTTTGGGACATTAAGTTCCTCCTAAGGCATGCACAGAAGCTACGCGCACGTGGCCAACTCTCCGAGCCTGGCCAGCAGGTTGTCGATCATCTAGGCTCCAAGTCGGGACTCAACGACCTTGCCGATGAACTTGGGTGCGTACGGGTAGGAATCGCTCACACAGCAGGTAGCGATGCCTGGCTCACAGGTTCCGTGTTCTGGTCATTGCGCTCCAAAATATTCGGAGGAGAGCTTGCCGAAGACCTCGCAGATCAGATCTATGGTCTGCATGGTGTGCCTGCTCCTGCATCGCAGTCATTTCGAGATGATTTCTACGCTGCACAAGGCACACCTGCACAGCAGACAAATGGCAGCAGTGGCTTGACGGGGCTGGGTGGCAGTGCACCGACTTTCACTCCGAGCGGCAATCCTTCCACGCCCACCACAAGTCATGCGGGGCTCAACTCGCAGCAGACGCCTGGACAACAGCAATACTCCTATACACATGGGCTGGGGAATGCATTCACGGGTATCGGCCGATAGCACGGGCAGCAGCAGACCAGTAGGGCCAAGGAGAAACCTCAGCATGAAATCAACCGAAATGATGAGGCAAGGCATCAGGCACGAATGGAATGCGAACGTCCAGTGGCCTATATTGGAAACATGAAGCCTGAAGCGCGGCCGGCAAAGCCTCGACAACGGCGCAAGAGGGCCTTTATATCGGGACTGTTGGGCACAGAGCCGCGTTTGCCAGTGCAGCGTAGTGCCCGTCGAAGTGCACATTCCAGATCAGTACGCTCTACGAGGATATGAAGGGGGGAGAGTTGCGTTACCAGCGTGGAGTTGGAGGAGTCTTTCATACTGATTGTTCAAAATTTGGGTATATATATCGAACAGTAGACCATAATCAACGATGCGCCAACGTACGTCGGACTGATGAACGGATGCTTTGCTTTCTTGATGATATTTTTTTCGTGTCTCTTCCGGTCTCTCGACTCAGCTTCCCCGATCATGGTTAGATATGTAAGTGGGGATACACGTCACAGGCATTTCGACGATCGTCATGAATGCTACATGTATGGTCAACTCTATGGGTTGTTTGCTACACATATGAATGCAAGATGGACATGGTGCGTGGAGTGGCTTGTTCGTCACGGGCATTCTCATCTTTAAAACAAAAGATTTCCTGTATTTATACGTTCTTTGTACATCTTCAGAAGCTCTTTCTTCCCCATTCTTGAAAATCTTCCCGTATTCTTCCGACCCCTTCTTACAAAAAGGCCACAGCCAAACTCGCCAAAGTGCTCACACCCAAGACCGCCCAACCCGTCTGCTTCACCTTCTCATTCGTAATCATACTCGCCGTATCCCAAGTCAAATGTCTCAATCCATTAAAACTGTGAAACATAAACGGCCACGCCAATGTAAACTTCGTCGCAACCTGCAACAGCACCGGCCACGCCGCGAATGAAGCTGCGAGGACTGCGCTCTCGACGTGCCAGCCGAGAGATGGAGCGACGAGGTAGAGGACTCCGTAGAGGTAGAAGGCTCCTGAGACGGCTACACCGGTGATGCGGTTGAGGCCGGAGAGATACCAGGTGATTTGGGGTTTGTAGATGGCGAGGTGAGGCGCCACGGGGCGGTTGAGTCGTTGTTTGGCGAGGATTTGGTCGTTGGCTTGGGCGGGAGAGACGGGGGCGGCTGCGACGAGTCTATGCATCGGATGGTTTCTTGTTAGTGGGGTAGAGATACGGAATGGGAAGAGAAGAAGGATTGCGATATCTCTATCTCTTTCTCTCACCTCTTCTGGCTGGTGTGAAGGCCCATGGCGACTGTTGCGGGAGTTGCGAAGCGGAGGGCATTGGGCTGTGCGGCCACTGTGGTTTGTGTGAGTGTGAAGCTCCTCCTCCCCCTCATACGCCTGGCAGAGGACTTACATCGCCGCAGCGAGTTTTGTGCGATTCTCTGGGCCAGCATGATGGTGATCTGTGTGTCTGTCGGTCTGTCTGGGGATGTTGCTGTCACTGCGAAAGCGTGCCAGTGAGTGATGTCGGAGCAAGATGGAGTAAGTGGTGTCGAGGTCATCCATGCGGCAACGCGCTGATTGGACGGCCCTCACCCTCGGCCGCCGCTTATTCCCGAACGCACCTTGCATCCGAATTTCTGCTTTGCTTTCTCTCCCTTTCTTCTCTTCTTCTTCTTTTTTTCCATCAAGAAATCTTCCATCATCGTCTGGATCTCACGTTGAAGGCGCGGTGAGCACTCACGGGATGGCGTTATGCCATTCTATCGAGTGCGTACAGATTTCGAGACCAACTGCCCGTAGCGTTAATCGCTTCCCACGAACTTGTACCAGTGTCTTTGGAAGTTTCATCTCAGGGCCACACATAGCACATTGCATAGACCAATGCCACCGTAATCATGTCTCCCAACGGGGGACTTCGGCAGAGAGAGGAGAGGCAATGGCTTGCAAGACCGATTGATGGCGTTGCTTTGTCTCGGATGGTGTTGGGCAGGGAAATTTCGATTTCATTTCACAGCTTCATGTCATGGTATTTGGGCTCTTCTTTTTCAGCCGCGATGCCACGCATGTCCGGTGCGCGCTGTTCTTTACAGCACCAGTCGATGGCTATGATGCTGCAGGGTGTCCGCAATCGACTATTGAGGATATAGGTCGTGTCTGACGACTAGGTGTAACGGTCGGCAACTTGCAGTGCACCTGCAGATGAGGCATGTCAATGTTTCGGGCGCAAGCAACGGCAGCGCAGCACTATGAGCGGATAGTAGAATAGCCATCATGTTCTTCTAGTGGTGAGGGAGGAATACTTGGGAACCAGCACTGCCACTACTGCTTATACTGTTTCATAGGTAGGTACTTACGGTAGGCTGTCTCTAGCTGCGGTCTCATACCACCACTACCAGTACAAACACCACCGCAGCATCTTTGTTGAGCACTATCCAGGTATTGTCAATGGAAAATGTCTGCAACGGTAGCAGGTGGCTGACTGCAATACTGCCGTGAAGATTATTAATTTGATAGCTCTCCGAACGTTGGCATATGCAGCGCGCCCAGCTCTATATCGCAGCCACATTAAGACCCTTCAAACGAGCGATCCCAGGGCCCCCGAACTCTGTCTACAAATCAACTTGATCTCGCACGGCGGCGGTGCAAGCAGATCCATGCCGCACTGCCATCGCGCTACGCTGTTTTCACGACTGGCTTACTGCCAACTGCTAATTCCGTAAACTATAATCGCTCGCGAGCGTGTCATATACTAATAATCCATCGGGGACCTCTGCTACATACCTGGAACATAGCATGAGCTCATCACCAGCGATGCGCTCGTGTCACTCCTTGGCCAACACTCTGCTGCTGGTCCGCACTTCGATTCGGCCAAACCAAGTGTGGCGGATCAGATTTGTGCCCGCGCGCTGATCACGGCCGCGACAAACATTCTTCCATCCCACTTCCAGCTCATGCGAATTCTGATTCCCTACATGCACTCGGGGCCGCAAATGGAGTCCTACTTGGAACTGCAGCGTCGCAAGATCCTCGCGGGCAACAATGGCCGGACTTCTCCACTGGGCCAAAATGCTATCGTTGCTGTTCGGGAGCCCACTCGCTTCAGCGATGTCACCAATGAGGCTTCAACAGTGTCGGCGCTGGAAGAGCAGATTCAGAAACTGGCAGAGAGGCTCGCCGCTGTCGAAACCAAGGCTGAGGCTACAGCAACCTGGGCTCGCGATAGCGAGTCTACCTCGCGACCAACATCACGACAAACCCATCGCCGAAGCGCGTCCAGCATGAGTCTGAGCAGACTCAGCTTTGTCGAGCCGACCATACCAGAACTCGAGGAGGCATCGGCGGATAAACCGGAAACTGCGAGTTTTCCCTTCAACACGAGCAAGCGGCCTGAGTCTCCCCGGGAGGAAGACCTGACGCCAAAACGACTGTGGGCAATGTGGCAGCACTACAGATCCAACGTCGATCCTTTGCTCAAAATCGTGCATATTCCTGCCGTGCAGCACTTGTTTCTGTCGACGGACGAGGAATCGAAGCATGTCAGCGCCGACGCGGAGAGCTTAAAGTTTGCCATAAGCTTTGCCGCTGCTGCTAGCCTGGAGACCCCGCCGGGAGATGCAACATCATGTGCGAACAATCAAGTCCTGCTTCACACCTACGCAACCAAATTGGAGGCATCTCTTGCAAAGGCTCAGTTCATGAAGGAGCCGACAATAGCGGCAGTGCAGGCTCTCACCATCTACTTGATCACAGGACAACGTTTCTTGGGAAGTACGTATGTCTGGTCACTGATGGCAATCCTCGTGCGAGTGGCTACGAAGCTCAAACTCAACCAAGATCCCGAGAACCAGGGTCTGTCTTTCTTGGACTGTGAATATCGACGAAGACTGTGGTGGCACATATGCACACTGGACGCACGCATAGCCGAGCTCAACCACAGCGACCCTCTGATCTACGAGCGAAAGTGCACTTCACGTTTCCCCATCTCGATCCCAGATACCGACCTTGATTCCGTCCAGGATATTGATCCTAAGCGCAGCGCCACCCAGCACAGCCCAGACATGTTCAGCAACCTGTTACGTTTCGAAATTACCTACTACATGCGCACCATCCTCTTCTCCGAGGACTTTATGGAGGAGAATGGCTGGCCGATACTGCCTGTCGATGGCAAGCTGTCAGTGATCGAGTATTTGGAGAAAGTTCTGGAAGATAAGTACTATCGAACTTGTGATTGCAAAACCTCTACATGTCGACTGGCCATTGCTTCGAGCAGAATCACCGTTGCAAGACTCAAGTTGTCTACACTCTTAGGCGAGCAAGGAGTCTCGCAATTGAGCAAAGATGAGATGGACGAGGTTCTTGCAGCATCTGCTATAGTGCTTGAGAATCTGCGCACTCTGCGAGATGACCCCAGTCTGTCCCGATGGACATGGCTCAGTACACCACAAGCTGAATGGGACGCTGCAGCTATGTGCTTATCTGCCTTGCTGCTGGTCCGATCGAAAACAAAGGCCGTGACGCGAGCGTGGACTGCTCTCAACACGTTCTTCGTCGCGTGGAAAGAAAGTTCGTATGACCCAGCACTCTACAAGAAGTGGGTTCGGCTGGAAGGCTTGAAGACGAGAGCCGAAGCATCACAGCGCCAGACCGCGAGCGAGTCTTCGGCGAGCAGTCAGACTAGTAACTACACGGCGTACACTCCTGGTGCTTCGCTGAGTCCTGTCACGACGAGGGCAACTCCGTCTCAGCGATCCGCCTCTCCCAGTACGAAAACTGCTCCGGCGAGTCAAGTCGGGAGTGTGTCGAGCAAGAGCTCGGGATCCGCCCGAAGCGCATTCAGCGATCAAGACTGGCCGTTTCCGAAAGAGGCATTGCAGGAGCATGCCGAATTCGACCTTCAATCATTTGCACTCATGATCTGAATAATACTCAGCTTCTTGGGGCAGACTTCGCCATCTTTCCCATCTTCCTGGCATACAAAAGTCCTCATCTACAGCGAGCAATTCTTCTTTTGACATCACGGAGCGCACCACGATACCCTTTGCCGAGAATGTCTTTATTTTATGCTACTAGCTGTATTTATATTAATACATACACTACTGACTCTATACCAGTAGAAATGTTTACTGTTTAATCACTCAAAAGCGAGACCAATATCCCTACGCTCCCTTAAAGGTTCACTCGTAGCCCCTAGGTAGTTACGCAGAAGCCGCTCCAAACAAAACATTTCAAAATCTTACCTGACTTTCATCTCTGCCAGGAAGAGTCTGTACTCCCATTTCTTGAAAGATCTCCTTCACACTCAGAACGTTTGCAGCAAAAGCACCAGGCGACACTAGCAGCAGTAGCAGCCAGCCTACGATATCTATTCCAATCGCAGGCACTCTCTGCGGCACCTACCAATCACTTATATGCCTCATCTGCACCGAAGGAGTCGACTATCCACGGGCAAACGATTCATCCGTCTCTTACTACTGCAACACACGATACCGCGACGTCAGCGACCGTACCAATTAGCCAGTAGTCGATTATGTGATGGACAGAAAGAACCATCTGTAAAAACGGGGTTATAGCCAAATTCCGCTTGTCTTTCTTTTTTTCTTCGCCAGCTTACTTGACCTCTCATAGTCTGCAAAAAAGAATCTGGCCATTCTCTGTCATCCACCAGTTACTCTCTTCGCGCAGCAGCTGGCTAGAATGAAGACTGCGCGTGTGGAGGAGAAGGAGGAGGAGGGCGAAGTCCCGTAACAGGCTACACTTGATTGCAAGAGGTGGGAGTTCTGCCGTTTCTCTCATGCGGGCGGGAGCTCGAGTAGAAGAGCGGCTCGAACATCAGCATCTGGTGTGTGTGAGAGAGAGAGAGCCTGGAGGCAATCGATTTGACTGAGAAGGTGACATATAGGCATCGTCGCGTATGAGGAGAATCGGCTGCAAGTCGGGCGCGATAGCAGATATCGTCAGCGGACATAATTGGTGTGGTTATCGGCGAGATGTAAGTAGCAGCAGCAGCAGCTGAGGCGCCTCTCGTATGTGTAGGTAACTTATTTCCAGCTCGTTCGTTCCAGATCCAAGTGAAGCAGGACTTTTGGTGGTGACTATTCACTCACTCACTCACACACCAAGCACTTCCCGACCCCGGGCCGAAATTCTCCCACACGCCGTCCTTTTTTCCCACCAAAGTAACAATAATATTCAGGTAACACAGGTGACTACAACAACAACAATAACAACAACAACTTTTTTTTTCTCTTTCGATTCTCCGGGTAGATAAAACTCCCAACCCTCACCTCACCCACCACGCCCACACCTCCACCCACGCACCCAGCATGTCTGGCCCCAGCCTCACCGAGATGGCGAAGAAGACGAAGAAGTCGACATGCGCGAATTGTCGCAAACCCCTCTCCCCTCCTCATCATCCCCCTCTTTCTCTTTCTCTTTCTCCTCCTCCAAGCACCCCCATCTCCTGCCCCCATTGTCGCTCCGGCCTCGACATCAACGGCAACCCCCCCTCCCGCTCCCCCTCCACCTACTGCAGCGCCCCCTGCCGACATGAGCACTACAAAATCCACCACAGTGCATGCCTGAACCAGAACACGCGCAAAGTGCTCTATCGCGCAGGAGAGATCCTGCAAGAGGCATTTCTCCTGTGGAGAGAGATTTCGTGGTCGTGGAATGTCGAGGGGGTGCAGCGGGTGGACGGGAAGCTGGTTTATGACGAGGGGAGCTACTCTGGTGGGCAGGGTAAGAAGGGGCTTGTAAAGGGGCCGTTTTTTGATTTTCCGGCGGATCTGATTCTCTCTCTTCCTGGCTCCTCCGACTCTGAGGAGGGAGAGGAGGCCGAGGAGGGAGAGGAGGCGAGGGAGAGAGAGAGAGATCGAAAGGCTTTACTGAGTCATTGTGGTTGTGTGGAGGCACAGGAGTTTTTTGTGGAGATGGGGAAGAAGCTTTTGGGAGGTGAGTTCATTCAACTGACGTGGACTGTCCCCATGACATATCGAAGAGAGAAGAAGCTGACGGTGGAATTTTTCTTTCTTTCCAGATATCACCACGAAAATTGAGACGGTGTATCTCAACGTGGCCGTCGGCACTTACACTGTCCTCAACCGTGGTGTTAAAGACCACTACAGCCATCACGTTCTCGCCGTGGATGCCGTTGACAAAGGCTCCTACATCATTGACTTATCCGGTGCACAAGTCGGGCTGGATGTCATCGTCCTGCCCCTGGCAGCATACATGGAGAGGATGGGCGCGACGATCCTATACGTCCACGACCACGAGTACACGTTCGCCTGTTTCAAAGACCGGATGGTGAGTGTAGAAGGCGGAAGACAGAACAGCCGTGTAGCTGGGACACATTGGAAAATGTTCGAGGCGATGAATGCACTGATGGCCGAGTTGGAGAGGGAAGGCGACGTGACAGAAATGCTACATCAGCCAGAAGAAAAGTATCAGGAGGCCAAGTCGACATTTCTGGAGAGGTTGCGAAAGGCATGTCAAGATGCTTTTGACGAGCGTGCTGCAATGGGCCATCCGCGCGCCACGGCAGACTCTCTTAACCTCGGATTAAGTGAGGACGATCTGACGATTTTGGGTTATAGGTCCGATCATAAGAACCCTGGCTATTCGGGGATTCGTCTGAGATGGATGCAAGAAGGCGAAGACAGTGAAGCCAACGCGGGTGGACTGGCTGCAGAGCATGCGAGATCTACCCGACTCGGCACAGAGGAGCTTCCTGTACGGTAGGGCTTGGATGAGGATGGGGCACATCACCTGTACCTCTGCGTATGTCTGGTGTTAGCTGTATATCCTGTTGGGCCAACTGTACTGGGTAGGTTGAAGAATGAGTCCTTGAGATGCACAGCACGCAAGATCTGGACTTGACGGCTATGAGGGCTCCGGCGCAGACCACTGCTATCGCTGGATGAAATTGTGCCAGACGATTTATTATAGAGACACTCCACGGTATGGACCAGTCTCGGTTTCCAGTATCCAGAGTATAGCTGCATTACGCGCTTCCCCGAATTGGGCAACTTCCAAAAGTAAGGCACCAGACTCAGCGAGTGAAGTGAAAGCCATGACAGAAGGTCTAATACGCGACATGCAGCATTTCCTCCTCCTCCTCCTCCTCCTCCTCCTCCTCCTCCTCCTCCTCCTCCTTCCAATCACTCATGCCAACCCTTCACTTGCAAGGATCCATCACACCCAAACCCTCCTCGCATCCGCATTTCGAGTTTCGAGACTCTTCTCTTCGCACATCAGAGCGCACTTCAGTACCGGAAAACCCAAAAACAGCAACAGCAACAACAATGACCACCACCCACGCAAAGAACAGCTGCACCAACTGCCGCAAACTCATCACAGAACCCCCAATCCCAATAATCTGTCCCAACTGCAGCGAAGGCCGCGACATCGACGGCACGCCGTCTACAATCCGCTACTGCAGCGCTCTCTGCCTCGAATCCGATACAAAAAATCTCGACCAGCAGCAGCATCACATCGACGACTGCAAAGCGCGAAACATCCGAAAAGAGCTATACCGCGCGGGAGATTTCTTGCAAAAAGTATTTTACATCTGGACGGAGATTGCTTTCCGCTACGACGTCGTGCGAGTCGAACGTGTCGAGGAGAGGATTTACTTGTCGCACAGGAGTGGAAGCGAGGAGGATGAGGAGGAAGATGGGAGGGAAGAAGATGCTACCGGAGGAGGAGGAGAAGGGCCGTTTTACGCGTTTCCGTTTGAGATTTGCAAGGGAGAGGATGAGATGAAGGCGTTGTTGAGTTGGATGGCGTGTAATGATGCGCCACAGATGGTGTTGGAGTTGAGTCGGAAGGTGCTTGGGGGTGAGGATACCTCCCTTTTCCTTTTCCTTCTTCTTTCCCTTCTTTCTCGCTCGAGCATTGGCAGCTAATTTGAGTCGATGCACAAACAGGTATCACATCCAGCATCGAAAGCGTGTTTTTCCTGCTTGACAGCGGAAGCTACACAGTCATCGACGAAGAATACCCATTCGACGGTCCCCACGAAGTCCTGGTCATGGATGCCCACGATGGAAACTCATACGTGTTGGACCTTTCCGGATTCCAGATCGGTTTGGAGAGTCCCGTCATACCACTTCAGGAGTACATGGAGGAATTTGGCACCCAAATTGTGGGAATCTACGAACACGACAGTGCGATCACACAGTTGGAAATCTTGCTCCGTGCCGGCACGGCGGATCCGGGTTACGGTCGCATTTATGCGACACATCACCACATGTACGAGGCGCTGAACAAAGTCGTGAATGCTGGTGAGCGGATCAAGAGGCAGAGTCTCAGTGAGCTTCTGCGGAGTGATCAGCGAAGCTATGTTCGCGGCATGAGGTACCACGAGAACCGAATTCGAACCGCGTTACGACAGCTGTTTGCCATTCGAGAACAGCAGGGACATCCACGCATTTCTGCCGCTGCACATAGGCTCAAGATGGACTCCCTAACCCGTCGGGCTTCTCTGCAATCGAGTACGCTGGAAGGTACAGCGAAGTCCGCAATCCAGCGTCAATGGGACAAGGAGGGTAGAACGATGCCCGAGGAGGTAAAGCAGGCGGTTGAGATGGCGAGTCCTGACCCATGGGATTTCCAACATGTCGCGAAAGCAGTGCCCAAACTCTCACCGCCCCTGCCACGGGATGACAAGCCTCGACGCCGGTCATGGCCTTCGCGGCTGGCACGAATGTGGAAGCGTTGGTAGAGAGAATCAGAGCTGTAGCCTCCTCTTACACGATCCAAGCTCCTGGCAACTGACTGATATACCAGACTTCATCAAAAAACTCCACCTCTCCACCTCTCGACTGCCCCTTCGCCTGCCATTTCCACAAGCCCTGGAAGACCCACCAGTCAAGAAACCAGATTACCCACCACACCAGCAACCCGCACCCAACAATCACAGAAGCACACACCTGCCATTCGATCGCCTGGTGCTGATCATCTTCTCCCATGAGCAGGAACGGAGCATACACTATCAACAGAAAGCCAGCGCGGTAAGCAGTCGCCCTCGAAGCCAGATCGCATTGGACGTCAACGTACTCCCAGAAGGGATGCAGGCGGGTGTCAAGCTGGACATCTGCAGCAAGCTCTTCTAGGAAGCGATGCAGAGTCCACAAGACTGTGCCTAAAAGGACAAGAAGGAGAATCGCAGCGCAAGTGTATGCTGTGGCGATAGTCAAGATGTTCATAATGACCCAAGATGTCGTATACCACTTCAGAGCTTCTCCAGTGAGGTTTGTTTGAGTACTGAGTGAAGTGGTGGTGATGTTCAACGTAGCCTGCCCTGCTGTTCCAATGTAAGATGCGAGAGTATCGTGTAACAGTCTTTGGAAGTGCAGCTGCTTGATAATTATGGGTTCCAGCACGAGCTTCAGACTTTCTATTTGCATTATGCCTATGCTGATCGTCCGGTTTTCGACTGAGAATATGGCATGTCTGATGGCCATCGATCGTCTTGTACATGAGGGTCTGAATTTCGAGAAGCAGATACGGCATCCTTTATACTGCAGCTACCACCCAACAGTCGGGTGGGGAGTGAGACATGTTGGCCATTTTTTCCCTAGCTCATATTCAGCTGATTGTTAGTGTCTCCAATACTGGCAGGAGAAGATTGCTCAAACTACTGCAGGCGAGACATGATATGTGCAAGTATGCGGTCTGTAATCACGCGGCTCTTGCGAAGGTAGTTCCGGGCGCAGAAGGATGGCGACCGGTGGTCTTCACGCTCTTATTTGCGACCCCAGAAACTGTCCGATTTTCAAACGTATGACAGCTGGACTCCCAGTCCAATTTCATTTTGCCACCCCAGCGACACGTCTTGCAAATGCCCCAGACGCTCCCTCCAACGCCTCGCTAATCAGCACAGATCTGCAGCTCCTGCTCATGACTTTGCCTTTATACCCTCATGTGAGACCTCCCGTATCGTCCGCATGCGTAAGTTCTCCTGGCTTCTTCCAATTTCAGCCTTCAGCCTTTGCTGCTTTCTTCGATCGCGCTCGTCCGCTTCTCTCATCTCCTGCCCAGCCAGGTCAAGCTCGCTGAGATCTTCCTTTTTGATCTCTTTCCGTTTCCCATTTGATGTACTTGGCCTGCTACCATCTGCCGCCTGCTGCTGAGCCGCCCAGTCTCTCGTCCGCTGCTCAGCCGTCGTCTCGGGGCCTGTACTGACCTTGCCAGGCTGCTGTTCAGATGGTTTCGTTCCGAGTCCTTCTGTAGTCCTCGTCTTCGCCGGTCTTAAGTCGCCACTTCCTTCCATCTGCGCAGTCGCTGTATCATCCACTGCAGAATCGTCCTCGCCACCTCTGGTATTCTTCTTCCTCGGCCACAAGCTGGGAAGAATGATCTGCTGAAACCGAGGTTCTACACATCGATCGTCGAACCATTGATGTATCCTCCCCTCCACCAGTTGAGCAATCTTGGGGACGTCCTGTAGTCGACTTTTACTCCCTATCAGAGAGTGCACGCTCAAATCCAGTCGATAGTCGTCCAAGAACGTGAACGTCAAGGTCGTGGGACTATGACCAGTAGGATTTAGAGGATGACCATCATTCTTGTCCTCCCCAAGTCCACTTTCTTTCTCCTTCGCACTGTGCTCAAATCCAGCCGGCCCAGAACTACTCGGACTGAAGCTCATACTCAGAGTCCCACTGAATCTCACCACGCTGACTTGCAATGCAACTGGCAAGACCATAACAAACGGCTTGGGATAATTCAACACCAACTTCGTCTCAATCCCCAGCGTAACCACATCACTCAAATCCACATCCATCCTCGCTTGCAACCTTTCCCCTCTTTGGCCAGTCAGCTCCTTGACAGGACTTCCTTCTGCATCGACAGGTATGACCCGACAATTACTGAATATCGGAAACTCATCCCCAAGACTGATTTCCGTGACACGAATATCGTCGACGAAAGACGGTTTACTCGGCCCATTCAACACCTGCGTCAAACTGTCCAGAACAGCCTCATCCTCTTGCGCATCGGCCCTTAATTGGGCTATGGTCTGCGCAATGAGAACATTGAACCAATCCAAGCTCTCGGGTTGATGGCCTCTGACATTGTAATACGTCTTTTCCAGAATCTTCTGTACTGTGAGACCTCCGTCTGTGGTTCGAACACTCTTCAACATGGGTCCTGTGGCCGTACGGGGTCGCAGGAGGGAGGCAGAAGTGGAGAGAGCGCGTGCATGGCGAGAGAAGGATATCGTGCGGTTTCGGCGGGCAGCGGCGCGGGCGTTTGCTCGTTCGTCGGCAGAAGGAGCTTCGCCGAAGATGAAGAATTTGATGAAGACGAACAGGATGAGGGCGAGGGTGAGTTGGCCGAGGAGGAAGCCCCAGGCAAAGGAGCCTGACGAGGGAGGTGGACCATAATATTGGTGGGCTTGCTGCGCTTCTGGATCCCAGTCAGTGGTGGGCGGGAACGGTGTCTCATGAAGTAGGCAGTACGCTGGTAAGCCTGTGACTTGGCCTTGGACATCGTGATCAGCTGCCAGCGCTAGCTCACTGTGAAAGGTGTCGCTGGTATGAGGTGGTACATGTATGCGTTACGCGAATACAAATTGAAGATCGACGCAGACATCGCAGATGACGTCTCATGAGTCTGTCACAGGCCAATCGTCCATGGACAATGCTGCGGACGCAACTCCTTCACTTCCATAAAACGCGGGGAGGGCTACGAGTGGAAACGAAATGGAATACATCAGGTAGTGATGAACAGGTAATAGTCTTATTGCTATTCGTCGACGACATCTACTCGACGTCGTGGTATAGGAGCTGACAACTCCGAGAACGCCGATTTCGCCGAATCGCTCATGCGCCTAACATTTGCAGCGGACATGTACTGTACAGAGTTACAGAGCCATCATCATGTCCGATCTTGCCTCCCATATGCACCTTCCAAAGCAAAAGTGATGTGATCACAGAAACGCCGCCACTCTTTGGCCAAAGTCTCGAGCTCGCTCTGACTGTCGTCCGTCTCGAGGTGGTAGGGCTCGCACATCATCGTGAACGAAGTCAGTCGATCAGTCGCTGTCGTCGCTACCAGCAGTGGCCGTCGACTTGCGCTTCTCCTTCTTCGCGGCCTTCTTGGCCTTGCGGGCAGCCTTTTCTTCGGGAGTCTCGTCCTCGTGCTTGCGCTTCTTCTCCTTCTTCTCCTTCTTGGCCTTCTTCTCGGAGGCCCCTTCGTCTTCGCCGGTAGCAGGGTTGACAGGCTCGGCCATCAGAACATCCTCGGCCGAAGTGAGCTCCTTCACTTTGCCGGTAATGCCTTCCTTCACGGCGGCACCTTCAGCAGCCTGCGCCTCGGCATTCGGCTCGTTCAAGTCCTTGTACTCCAGCTTCCACTGAGCTGGTGTCTGCTCGTTAGTGCGTCCGTACTTGTCGAGCTTACCGCTCTCCTTCATTTTCTTCTTCTCGGTCGCTACAGGACCCATGCCCCATCGGCGTGGGTAGAGATCACGCTCCATGATGCAACGCTTCACTTTGGCAACAACACCGTGATCGCATGAAGACAGTTCAACAGTGCTCATCTGTGCAATGGCAAGTGCAATGGCCTCGCCCTTGGTGGTCATGAGGACGACCTCCTCGTAAACCTCAATACCAGCCTCGTAGCGAAGAAGGCCAGGAATCATGAGCTTCGCACCGTAGCACACCGCATTGACCGCACTGTCCTTGACCACAATGCGCTTGTAGGTGGTGAGAAGCGTCTCGAGCGGCTGGATGACTGTGCGCAGATACGACTCGTCACGCTGGTTGTCGTAGAGGTATTGAGCATCCAAGCAATCGTGGAGAGTGACCATGTTCCCATCATCCTCCTTCATCGCTCCGGATCGAACACGACGCAGCTCTTGCATGTGACCACCCACACCAAGGAGAAGACCCAGATGTACGCAAAGGGTTCGAATGTAGGTTCCTGCCTCGCAGGAAACCCAGAAGACAGCCAGCTGGCGATCATTGTCGAACTCAATCAGCTTACTCTCGTGAATGGTTCGGATACGAAGCTGTCTCTTCACGGCAGAGATGAGTGGGGGGCGCTGGAAGAGTGCACCTGTGAGCGTCTCCAGCGCGCGTGCCAACTGTGCTCGTCCACCAGGGAGCTTGTCGTGGAGCCGAAGGACTGCAACGTATTCCTTTCCGGCACCTTGCTGACTCTTCACCAATCTCGTGGCACGGTCAATGCAGACGATCAAGCAGCCTGTGACCTTTGGATCGAGGGTACCGGAGTGACCGGTGCGGTCGACACGAAGGATGCGTTTGAGCCACGCGACAACCTCGTGTGAGGACGGGTTCGAAGGCTTGTCGAGGTTGATGACGCCCGAGGAGACATATGATTTCAAGTCGCGCTTGAGAGGTGTGCAGCCAGCAGGAATAGGTGTGAAGTGACCAGTTCGAATGAGCACTATGTCACATCAGTTCCTGACTCTCCAAATCGTTTTTTACCTGTTACCACCGCCGCGGCCAAATTTCCACTCTGCCAATTTCGCACACCCTCGTCGCATTGTTGTTGTTGCTGCTGCTGCTGCTGCTGCTGCCGTTGCGCTCACGAAGGGATTGGAGGTAGCACTTACATTGATCCCAGTTCTTCAATAGCAGAGGCCAGTGTGAGGTGTCGACGTTGGATCCCACAGCCTCTGGCTTGATGATCATGCTGTCCTCCTCCTCCTCGCCCTTCTTCACTTTCACCAGCGACATCGTTGCGAGAAGCTCTGCTGCTGGCGCCTCAATTGTTCTTGGGAATGTCCGGCTTATCAGTTCTTCCTAACGTAAAGCTGTAGCAATGCGATAGGTTCTGCTGAGTATAGCCGTTTTGGTACAAATGTCGGATTTGCTGGAGTTTTGCGAATTATTTGCGGAGAGCTTTGAAAATATCAAAAGCTTGCGGCACGCTCCCGAGCTTTCGAATGGGGCATAGTGCGCCAAGCCGGGATCTCCCGCTCCGTCAATACCTTACCCACCTGAGACGCTCGCACTACTCGAAGCAGGCCAATCACAGCCTTTGCCTCTTCGACTTCAAAGTTCACCCGCAACAACAACAACAACAGACCGACCGATATACATGTACACAAACCTTCTGATATCACAACCATGGATAAAGGCATCGCTCCGATACCCGCCTTCTACGCGTGCTACCTGCTGCGGTCCATTGCTCGCCACGCATCGCTCTACATTGGAAGCACGCCGAATCCTCCCCGCCGCCTGCGACAGCACAACGGTGAGTCCAAGGGCGGCGCGGCGAGGACTTCGAAAGACTCGTTGCGGCCGTGGGAGATGACATGCCTGGTGACTGGCTTCCCGAGCAAGATTGCCGCCTTGCAATTCGAGTAAGTGTGCTCGTGTTGCGACATGCTGTTTGTCAGATGCTGGGGTACATTATTCACTTTCTCCAGACCACATGATCGTTGTCGTCGACTGGTGTGCTGATGTCGCTTAGATGGGCATGGCAGAATCCACAGACGACTCGCCATATCACGGCAGACTCACGGATCACGCAGGCCAACATGACTTCACGTATATCACCCAAAACAGGCAAGATCCGAACGCGATCGAAACGTCCTCGTCTGTCGTTGACGGAACGCCTGCGAAACTTGCACCTACTCCTTCGAGCGAGAAGTTTTCGGCAGTGGCCGCTCCAGCTCACTTTCTATTGCGAAGACGTGCATCGAGTGTGGATGAAACTCGCGGAGCAGATCACAGAGAGATTACCGTCTGGCTTCATTGTCACTATGGACGAAGCTTCTCGTGCTACTAAGCCTCGCAAACAGCCCGCCGAGGATGTCGTCCCTGCTGACAGCATAGGCATTCAGGCACTGGACGTGGGCTACACGAGTCTGAAGCAGCATTTGCGGAAGAGTCAAGAACTGTTCGGCGCCGACGCTCCCACATTGCAATGCTGTGTCTGTCAATCAGAGGTTCCGTCAAGCGGCGCTTCGACATTAGTGTGCTCAAACGATGACTGCTCGGCGGTTTCGCATCTGCAGTGTCTAGCAACCAAATTCCAGTCCGAGACTGAGCTCAGCAATGATCTTGTCGTGCGCTCGACGGGACGCTGTCCTACTTGTTCTTCTGAGCTGCAGTGGGTGAACTTGGCCAAAGAGCTGAGCCTACGAATGCGTGGTGAAAGAGAAATCAAAGAAATATTCAAAACGAAGCGAGTCAGGAAAGGCACTGTCACTGAAGCCGTGCAAGATCATGATGCAGATTCATCTGGCGAGGAGGGTGCCCTGCCAGACATTATTCCAGAGGATTATGACTGGCCTCAGATCGATGACAGCAGTGAAGAAGAGGTCGCACCCGTGCGGCGGCTGACCAAGGGAGTCCCTGCACCAAAACGCACGCCGCGGAAACCCTCGAAGCAGATTCGAACGACTTGCTCCGAGCCAGTGATTGAAGATAGCGAGTGGGACGAAGCAGAGATATTGACCTGAACGAGTCCCAACAGCAGACAGAAAAATGACAGATTCACTTCTCTCAAGGGATGACAACGGGCACATTCACGAGAAAAAAGTCATCTTTCAAGCTTCGTATGGTCATTCATTCATTATATACATACCATATATTCATCCAAAACGTCCAAACGCTTCAGGTACCTAAACTCAACTACCTTATGTACCCGAGGAATACAAATTCAATAAAGAACTCCCACCACAAAACTGCTTCACATCGCCTCCACACGTCATCAACTTGGCAATATCACACGAGATTTTTTTCGCGCCGGAAGCGGTATTGATGACGGAACCGCAATAACATCTGTTTCGGGGGGAAGAAGAGTGTATGTTAGTATTCGTACCCAATGGAAGAAAAACAAAACAATAGGAGGTGGTGGTTAGGCAAAAGAAGAGAAAAAAAAAAAAAAAAAAAAAAAAAAAAAAAAAAAAACAAAAACTCACTCAGTCCCATACTCCACCCCAGCAAACCCCCACCCCCTCTCCTCACACTTCCGCACACACACTTCCGCCGTCATCGTCGTACTCGTAAAGCTATAATTCGCCAATGCTCTCCCACCACTCAACCCCGGGTCGGTCAAACATTCCTGCTGCACAAATTTCCCAATCGGGGATTTCACGCTCGGCGCAATGTATGCGGTATTATTGTACAGAGAAAGGGCATTGGGGCCACCGCAGATTTCGTCGCCGACGCCCGTGCAGCGTTTGTTGCAGGTGGCGTTGGTGATGCTGGTGGTGGGCGTGGTGAGGAAGTTGGTGCCGGAGAGGGTGTTGCCGCAGTAGCATTCGGAGCCGTATCTGTATACAGGGAGGGGTTTGTTAGCACATGACCGACACTGGGGGAGAAAAGGGGGTGGGAGTGTTGGTGTGTCTCGTACTCGGTGCCCCAGTATTGCCAGCCTCTACCACCTTGGGCTGTTGCGCAGAAGTTCTGGCAGATTGAAGAGCTCATGTTGAGCTGGGATAGGGAAGCTCCGGTGAGCGTGCGGCCGGTGTTGTTGTAGTTGTCAGTGGCGCAACCGACATAGTTGGGTTTAGTAACGACTGGAAGGTCTTGCGGTACGTTTCCGGCACTGTTCTTGTTGCTGCCATTTGCGACGAACGATGGGTCGGTATTGTTGTAAATGGAGATGAAGCTGAGGCCGCCGCAGATTTGTTGAGGACCGCCATTCGTCATGGTGCCTAAAAAGTGATAGGTCACAGGTCAGCAGATCTCCAAGCTTGTTCTCTTCGGACAATGAACTCGAGCCAAATGAGACATCCAGAATAGAGGTTTCCTTCGAAATGGTGCTCGACTCACCAGCACAATTGAACGTGCATCCAGACCCCATTACAGCAGTAGATTTGATCGCATTATCACAGAAGCACTACAGGAGGGGTCAGCAAGTCCACTCACCACTTTCCGCAGTAGTACATCGGGAAACTTACTTCCTGACCATATTCGACACCACTGAGGCGATATCCACGGCTCTTACAGTAGCTATTGCAGTAATCCACCGTCATGGCACTGGAGTTTGAGACCGAAACAGCATTGAGAGTGCGGACAGATCCGCCAGTATCGTTGAAGCAGCCAACATACTTCACAAAACTGTCGGTGGTGCCCCATGTGGCTCCCGGTGAGGCGGTAGCCATTGCAACCGCGGTCGAGTCTTTCGTGCTCGTCACAGAAGGCTTGGGGACACTGTCGGGACAAGACATGGACGCAGCTGGTGCAGCTTCCGGGCCGGGGGTGATCGTGATGCATCCTGGGAGCTTGGAAATCATACCTTTCACATCTTCGCCAATCTGTCGTGGCCTCTCTGGACAATTGTATGAGTACCCGCTCGTCTGAAACGACTGCAGAATAGGACACTCTTCGATAGTCCCGTAGTTCGGCACGCTCAAGCAGTCTGTGACAGCTTTGGCGAGCACATCTGTGTCCCATCCATTCTGAAAGTCTCCGTGGAAGCCATATCCAGTAGGATCCCCTTGCGAGAACACAAATTGTCCTTTTGGATCCTTTGGAACGTTTGCCACGCTGTAGAGAGTCTCCAAGAAAAGGTGAGGAATTTGAATTGGATGCGTGGGAGGGCATATGCCGTTGTCGATCTGGCTTTGGTACGCAACGTGGCTGTTGTCAGCCTTGTACAAGTCGACGCCATTCCAACAGCTCTGGTAGTGGATTTGAGCGCGCATGCCGTAGGGACAGTCGGTGTCAAACATGTAGGGCCGCTCTGGCGGCTGATTATCTTTTAGGCATGCGAACGACACTCTATCAGCGATAGGTCGTCCGGGGAACGTCGCATTGCCCCAGGTATATGTCTTATTGTCGTAGCTTCGTGCTGACTTGTCTCCCGAAAGAATGTTGAGACCCTTCGGAAAAGGCACAGTTTGGTTGGCATTGGGTCCTCTCCCAAGATAATAGGCTACGCCTCCTGTGTGCGGGACTTCGAGGAAGGACCCATTAGGATAACTATAGTAGAGGGTCGGGGTCCAGTATGCTGACTTGTCGGCAGTAATCTCGCACGATGTGCATTCCGAATTGAGCAAGCTGTCGTATGTTGCATTGATGCCGAAGTCTACGGACCAATTAGCAGAGCGAAAATGTAAACAGATATCACATGGTACTCACTGGATCCTCCAATGATCGAATGTGTGTGAGCAGCGATGGCCCCCGGATTCACGAGGGTATCGATCCGGCCTCTCTGTATCATAGCACAGTTCATGCGCCAAAATGCATCTGCACTGCCCAGCAACGTCAGCGCAAGCGCCGCACGTAGTACTTGAGTCTTCTGCATGTTGGTGAAACTGTCAGACTGTCTTCAAGGCCGGGAAGATGCAGTTGAAAGGCGATCAAAGTCTTTGAAGTCAGTGATCGTGTTCTTTGGAGGGCCGACCACTGTGCATTATAATGTCCTGAAGAACTCAACGTTCATATATCTTGCAGGGGCTAGTTGGCCAACTTCACTTGGTGGATACATCGATGACTAGCGTGCTGAACGAAAAGAGGTCCCATTGGCACTGGATTAGGCATAGTATGATTGATTGATAGTGCACTTTCTTTGTTTGTGAGCTCCAACCTATAGTAAGATGTCCGCTCATTGTAGCCACGATCTAGTGTTTCGACAGATGTGGTCGATCGATTATTGTTGGCGCATCCTCAGCGCCATCATCGCCGACGTCGGCGATCCAGGTCCGCCTATGAGCTATCAGCATTCGCAACTTCATGTGGAAAAAATGCCCAGTATGGGTCAGCTATCGTCCATTTGCGTTCGACTAGAATGCTATACGGGGAATTTTCTTTGTGGGTGTCGCTCATATTGCCCTTTGGGCCGAACCAGCATGGTCAGGGCTGTAGGATGAGACACTTAATACGCGCGCGTGTACAGCGCCATTACTTCCAATTTGGCCGCCCAAACAATGATACGGCTGAAAGTTGTGGTTGTATTTGCGGGAGGAAGAGAAATGTGACGCCTCTTGATGCTAGCGAACAAAGGGCAGCTTGGTGCCTGATGGGATTCCTGATACGATCTGCATAGCGCCTCAAGAAAGAGCCATATGAAGCCATGTGTTCCCAGTACCATGTGCCATGTGGCGAAGCTGCAAGCCTCCGACGAACTTGACCAAGTTGACGTGAAGTCAGCTTAGCCTTTCCCACGTACGCCCTTCAGCATTGCCCATGGCGTGTTGCACGTGGCTAAGGTTTGAGACATTTTGATAGTTCGAATGAGCTTCATGCGGTTGTTGCTCCGATGGGCAACATTCGACCCATACTTTTGAGCGCGATGGGGCTTTGTTCGAAGAATGGAATGGTTGCCCTCTTCAAGCCAGTGATCCTGATCGCGCCCAGATGGATCCTGTTATGCCAGGGGTGCATAGGCGGAATAGAGGCACTGCAACGGCTTTGGCTATGCAGTCGCGAGGAGCGCCGCAGAGGTCATCATTATTGGATGTGGATGGCGGCAGATGCCGTGCAGCAGCATGTGAGAGGGAGGTCCCTAACTCCTGTTCGGCCACAGGAGGCGCATTGAGGTGCTGGCGGCTCTTTTGCAGAGTCCAGACTGGTCAGCGCGTTGCCCGCTGGGGACGTGAGGGTGATGGCGATGAATGCTGGGTCAGCTGGGTGAAGAAGTGAAGAAGTGAAGAAGATGAAGTTGTTATTTCGCGTGTGTAAGGGCAGGAAGATGGCTCGCCTTGGCAAAGACGCAGCTCGCAGGTCCACCTCGGCGGCAATCATGACGAGTACCTGGATGTACTTGTACTGGCACTAGGATGTCGGAGGGACTGGCAAACGGGAGGGTGAAAGGCAGTTCCACGCGTTAGTAGTACCTCCTACAGGTATGTAGTGAGTGGTTCTCGTAGTCTGGAAGGCGCAAACAAACACACTCTGCAAACGAGAGTGACACAGGCCTCTGGAGTACAGTACAGTACCTCGTTCCAGCCTTCCAGCTGGCATTGTTGTTCTGGTGATCCTCTCTTCTGCAGTCTGCACGACTCGCGATCTCGTCAGCCCGACCCTTGACAGAAACAGAGCCGCGCTGGCAGCATGACTGAGCATCACGAATCCCCACCGTCGCCAGCACCACCACCACAACCAGCAGCACTAGCACATGATGAGGGCTATGCCACTGCCTCTGCCTCTACCTCTGCCCTACGTTCCACTGCTGCAACAGCTCGCCTCCGCATCGCACAGACGCCCTCCAGCACTCATGGCCTGTCGCCGCCTCCACGACGTCGATCGTCCTTGATCTCCTTCTCCAGCATCGACGATGCTACGCGCACCTTTACCGACGATTACATCAACCCGCGGACTCGCCATCGACGAGAGGGTAGCAGCGGCGAGCACGAAATGACTAGCTGGCACTCTTCGCCGCTGGCCTTTGCCATTCTGCCGGCCTTGGGTGGACTGCTGTTCAAAGATGGCAGTGCATTCGTGACAGACGTGCTGCTGCTCGGCCTGGCAGCCATCTTCATGAATTGGAGCATCCGCCTGCCTTGGGACTGGTACTACTCCGCCCAGGCGCTGCGCCGTGATGTCGAGCCAGAGTATGACGACTCGGGGGATGACACTGCTGTGGAAACCACTTCATCTGCTGGGGGCTCGCCCAAGCCATCTTCGGAAGAAAGACACGTCGATAAGACAGACACCAACAGGGAGCATATCAGCAAGCGTGAGAGGGCTGCCGCTAGCCTCCGTAACCAGGAGTTGCTCGCTCTGCTGGCAACCTTTGTGCTCCCAGTTCTGGCTGCATATCTGCTGCACGTTATTCGCGCGCAGCTTTCTGGTCCGAGCAATGGCCTGGTGTCTGACTACAACCTCTCGATCTTTCTGTTAGCAGCAGAGATACGGCCTGTACGGCAAGTGGTGCGCATGGTCGCCAAGCGCACACTGTATCTTCAAAGGACAGTCACTGGTATGGATGATCCGTTCGCATCTGCCGTGGACGAAAGGAGCACCATCAGTCGGCTTGCAGACCGTATCGCTGATCTCGAAGAGAAGCTGTCTGCGCACGCTGTGGTCCCTCCTCCAGTGAATATGGCGCAGAAAGCCGACGTAAGCGACCTTTCTAGTGAGATACGCCGGCGCTACGAGCCCCGACTGGAAGGCCTAGAGCGTGCTGTCAGGAGGTATGAGAAGCGCACTGTGACCCTCGCCATGTCTACTGAACAAAAGCTATTGTCTCTCGAGACTCGTTTGCAAGAAGCCCTTAGTTTGGCCGCCGTAGCTGCGCAACACTCACAAAACCCTGGCATGGTCTCGACCGGCCTTGCAACTCTCGGTAACATAATGGCTCTTCCGTGGAAGGTGGCATACAGTGTCTGTATGTGGCCCCTTCTGGCGACCGAGCAGCTTTACAACAAGACGAAGATAGTCTTGCTGGGACCAGCGCCACCACGTTCTCCCAAGCGACGAAGCAACAGGCAAGACATACGCGGGAGAGAAGACAGTCGAACGCGGGACAAGCAACCGCTGAAAAAAATTGTACGATAAGAAGCCGGACTGTATGATCATCAGGCGCAGTGGACGCACATCTCACCAGAAGAAACATGGCCTCAATGGCAGAACAATAATGATACCCATCCAACAGAAGAACTTGAGGTTACCTTACGAAGAAAAGACATTTTTTTCGCATAATGCTACATTCCATGTCGGCCATTTGGCTGGGGTCTCGAAGCTTCCCGTCCTTCCCTTTGCAACCTCAATTCGATACCTCGTGCTCAGTCTGATCGTATCTGTGTCACCATTTGTGATGGCACCATCTAGAGCACTTGGTACGCTGGGAATTCGGCCACAGCATCGTGTCCCCGCATCATGTCTTGAAGTCTCGAAACGGAGGTCCCTTGACCTTGTGATTAGAATCGAATTTGACGCCTTCTTCTTGGAGCAGCTTATGCTTCTCGTTGGCAAACTTGCCACTTTCGCCCCAGCCTCCGCTCTTGAAGCCGCCCAACGTGCCATCTGCGGCAAGAATACGGTGACAAGGTACCTAGGCGCGCATGTTGTCAGCTTGGATCATCATCCTCCTCCTCATCTGCACTGCTGAAAAGTGCAACTTCATAACATTTACACACACCTCAGGGGCAAAGGGATTGTTCTTAATAGCACTACCAACGGCTCGAGCGCAGGTCTTCTTCGAGGATACTGTACTCAAGTGATCCGACATGGCCCCATAAGTGGAGTACCTGCTCCTCGGAATTTGCATTAACATTTTTAGGATTTGCTTCTTGAAGGCGGTCATATTCGAGTCCTCGATTCGTTGCACTTGTACAGAAGACATTATTATATCTGCTTCGTTCTTTTCAGTACCTGTGGTGGTCTCTCTTGTTCCGCCGGGCTCAACATGCTCGCCATCCTCTGCATTAGCAGTCTTTGCTAAGTTCGAGCTGGGCGATGATGATGATGATGATGATGATGATGGCAGCTGCAGGAAATATGATGAGACCGTCTCGTACTTTTTCCGGTTCTTTTTTTGTGGAGGAGGAGGACTAGATGTATTTGCAGACTGGACCTCGTTCGTAGTAGTAGTAGCAGTAGTAGTAGTAGCAGTAGCAGTAGTACCATTATCTTGACCCTTTCTTCGTTTCTTGCCGCGTTTCCCGCGTAATTGCAAACTCCGCTCATCCAGCTCTACAAGATTGGCAGTGCCTGCAGCAATTCTTTCTGCGAGAGCGATAGCGGCGCGGAGTTGTGTTTCGGACATGTGTTTGTATGCGGGTGATGGCAAGACTTTTGTCCATGGCTTGTCGATCCCTATACTGTTGTCCAGAACGATGCGTGCAAAGCAATGGTCGAACATAACAGGCCATCGGGTTTGAGCTTCGTCGCGCGCTTTTGCTAGAGTTGGGAGGTATTCTTTGTATAGATAATTCCATTGCTCTTGGAGTTTCTCCTTGGTGGCCATCGGATTTTTAGCGGGATGGATGTAGGGTTGTCGCAGAGAGGGACAAAGAGAGACAGCGCGACCCGAGTCCGAGCGCGCGAGTTGATCAATGATGATATGATCCATGACCCATGTAACCGCGCTAGAACGCGAAGCACGGACGCCCGTTTCCGACAACATCGCGCGCTTTTCTCTCTTACACGTACACATCCTCATAAATCTTCAATATCGTCGGTGTCAGTATTCGACGTGCCTTTGAGCTCTCATCGTTGTCTCCGACATTTACATGTATTCCACTGTAAGCTATCGAGAGATGCGGCCCGCCTGAGTGAAGACCGTCGTTATAAAGCGCAAATTGAACACACGGAATAAATAGGTAGGCAGTTCAATGGCAAGCAGAGGAGCCGCCCACGATGATTAAACTGGGAAGAGGCCTCTTTCTCGCACACGCAAGAAATTCAAGATCATAAGACCTGTGCGATCGTCTCTGGACGGGGATACCTTAGATGAAGACTTATTTACCATCATGCCATACCTACGTTCCATACTGCTATAGCGGTGTCTTCACGATGAGAGTGGTACATGTAAGCTCGGTCTACAGAAGCAGCGCCCGCTTTACCCAAACGCGCGGAAAAAGTCAATGCGGTGGAGGAGTTTCTAGAAGGTGTGTTGCTCGGCAACCTCACATTCGCACACAGTGGTGGAGTCATCAGAATTCCGCTTTCCTCTTTCCTCTTCTCCCTCCACAACACTGCCAGAAAACTGCCAGAAACAAGCTAACTTCCGCAACAGTCGGTCAAATCAATCACACGCTTCACCACCATGGCACCAATCACCTGGACTGACGCTGCTCGCACCCAGCTGCTCTTGATCATGATTCACTCGGGCACACCACCAAGATGGGAGAAGGTGGCTCAGCTTCTCAACAATGGCTGCACCGGCGAAGCTGCTCGGTACGTACATAGCTGAATTCCGTCGATACACCAGCTAACAGAGAGTACAGCCAGCAGTTCAAGCTCCTGAGGGCCAAGGCCCAAAAGGAATTCGGCGACCTCTCTACTGACGATGACGGAGGCAGCCAGCCAAAGGCCACTCCCGCCAAAGGACGTGGCAAGAAGACTGGAGCGGAGCCTGCGGCAAAGTCGTCGCGCAAGCACAAGGTCAGCGAAGAGGCTGAAGAGGACGAGGAGGCTCATTCCCCTCTCAAGAAGCTGAAGGTGAAGAAGACCAAGCTCAGCGAGGACGAAGACGACGATAACCTCTCGCTGATTGCGAACAGCTCTGCTACATCTCTGAAGTAGATAAGCACGATGAGGAGACGGAATGCGATGTGGACTGCAGTCCAGTTATTGCACTTTTGTTGTTGTGCGTGGGCCTGAGGCCCGGAGAGAGTGAGTTGCCCCGAACACCGGGAAGGAAAACAAACACCAGCGGGTTCCACGATCTTCACTGTAGATCCTTGGCGAACCAATTGCATTGAAACTCCGTGTCTTCGCATCCCACCCTCATCCTTTCTCCATCTTTGAACAACGTTGACACCCCCCGACACCCTGAAGTCTCACCAAATCTCTCTTCACCACCACCACCCACGAACAACATTCCAAAAGATCACTGTCACCGTCAGTATGGTAAGTGAGCCGACAGCAATAACCACATCGCGCAAAAGCATCCGCTGACCATTGCCGCGAAAAACAAAAAATTTAGCCTGTGACTTGGGACGACGCAAAAGAGAGGCAGCTGCTGCTCCTCGTCCTGCACTTTACTCAGCCGCCATCTCCACCATGGGCTGAGGTCGCCGAAGGAATGGGCGAAGGCTGCTCCGAGGAGGCCTGCAAGTGAGTACCTAGTCACCCATTGATTGCCAAAATAAAAAAACCAAAAACACATCCGTCCAATCTGACACGACACACATAGGCAGAAGCTCAAGAAACTCAAAGTGGCGGCCAAACAGCAATTCGGCGAGCCTTCCGCTGTCGGCAACAGCACTCCCAAGCCCAAGACTCCAGCCAAGCGCGGTGGTAGGAAGCCTGCTGGTGGAACTCCCCTCAAGTCTACTGGAAAGCGCAAGGCGAAGAAGAGTTTCAGTGAGGAGGAAGAAGAGGAAGAGGAAGAGGAAGAGGGTTCCTCTAGTAAGGAGACTCCTCAAGCGAAGAAGTTGAAGCTCGAGGCTGAGGACGGTGCCGACAGCGAGGACTAGGTGCACCGCTACGTCTTTCTCCTTCGTCGGGCGCGAATGCTGCAGAATATGTATTGTGGAGGTGGCTACTGAATTCGCATTATACCCAATTGCACTGCTAGGGTATAACTATCTGAGCTTTACACTTGGGACGGAGACGAGTGTGAAGAGTTGCGATGTTCAGGACGTTGCATTTCCCAGATGCTCGATCGTAGAGGAGGAGATCCACGTTCGATAGACTGAAATACCTAATCACGGAAGCCCAAATTCACTGTTTACGTTCAGCTACCTTCCTTCTACTCCTCTCTCTCTAGCCATCATTCCAAGTCTTTCTTCTCTTTCCACAACGCAAACAAACACCACTTCACTACCAACGCCGCAGAAACGCGCATAACATCGCCCATCATGCCTATCGGACAAGCGGTCGGTAACAAAATCACCTGGACTGATAGCGCCGACAAGAAGCTCTTGATGGCCATGCTCGAGGTGGCTTCTCCCTCCGTGCCAAACATGGTCGAGGTAGCCAACGTCTTTGGCGAAGGAGCAACACCTAAGGCCCTCAGGTAAGTCACTCCTCTTCTGGGGACTCTCTCGCCCTTTACTTTGCTTCTCCTCTCGTCTTCCCTTCCGCCCGCTTCCATCGACTTCTCTCCCCGGAGACACACACGCGCGCGCGGGCGCGATTTCAAATCTCCACCGCACGAGAATTTCAAAGCACACCACAACCTACCTGCCTACACACCTACCCAAAAGGTCACACAAGCCACCATGCCTTCGGGACTCTCAGAAGGAAACAAAATCGTCTGGGATGACGCCGCCGACAGACAATTCCTCATGGCCATCATCAAAGCCGCAGCTCCCACTCTGCCAAAATTCGCAGATGTCGCCGCCATCATCGGCAATGGCGTTACCGCATCGGCTCTCTCGTCGGTTCTATTGTACAGGCCTGCTGTTATAAGAATCATAAGCTAATGCCAGGTTTTTCCTTTTCTTCTAGTAACCGCTGGGCTAAGTTGAAGAAGCAAATCGAAGGAACCGGAGAAGGACGAAGCTCGGCAGCTCCATCTACGCCTTCGAAGCCAAAATCGACTCCGTCGAAGGCGAAGGGTACGCCGAGGTCTGCGAGGAAGCGGAAGGCGAAGGATATGAGTGAGAATGGAGATGACGAAGAGGAGATGGAGGAGAAGGCGGGCGAGGATGAGAAGGCGCCTTCTGAGAAGAAGGTCAAGATCAAGGAGCAGCCTCTGGATGAGGACGAGGACGAGAAGGAGGAATGGTTGGTCTAGAGAGGCGGCCTTTCACCTGGCGTTGGTAGGCGATGGATCATCCTCCCGTGACAGCGCTTCACTTGACAGCTTCGTTTTGACTTGAGATTGGGAGATATTGCAGCTTGCTTGAATGAATGCCCGAGCTAGCATAGTGCAAGGCGCAGACAGCTGTTGCCTTAGCAAACCTCACAACAACAATGATTCGTTTCCTCACAAACTCACCGACTTGTATCTGACTCACCTGTTTTACTGCGCCTTTCTTCGACTTGAAAACTTGTGACCCGCAAAGTTCCACATCCCCAGACATCACCACACTCCAACCTACCTCCTGGTCATCACACTTCACACCAGGAAAACCAACAACTAGGCACATCTCATCACCACAGCCATCCATCATCCATCATGCCAGTCACCTGGGATGACGCGACCGAGCGCCAGTTCCTACTCGCATTCATCCACGTCGCCAATCCAGACACTCCCAGCTGGGCCAAAGTTGCAGAAGTCCTCAACGCAGGCGGAGGATCCGAGTTCAATGGCAACGCGCTTCGGTAAGCCCCCAGTCACCACCGCTCGCCAGGAGCAGCAACTTGATCTCCACTACAGTTAGTACTGACTGACCCTTTTTCTCTCAGTCAGAAATATGCCAAATTGAAAAAAGCCGCTGAGGTGCAATTTGGAGTTGCATCTGATGATGGAGAGGGAGATGGTGCTGAAGTCCTTCTCAAGACGCCTTCGCGCCCGCGGGGTAAGAAGGCGGGAAGTGAGATGTCGGTGAAGAAGAGTTCTGGTAAACGCAAGAAGACTACCAAGAAGTTGGACGATGAGGGAGGTTCGAAGGGTGAGGGAGAGGAGGAGGAGGATGAGGATGAAGAGGATGAATTGGCGAGCCCGAGTAAGAAGGTCAAGCGCGAACCGGGTATTCAGAGCGAGGATGAAGATGCGCTGTTTTGAGGGCCTTGGGTTGCTGCTGCTATGGGCCTATGGCTATGGCGGGCAATTGCGAGTTACTAAGAACCTACCAAGACAGGGCGCTCCAGACGTCTTGAGGATAAGGTAGCGTGTATCACGACGGTATATGCGCTTCTAGGGCTCAGTTGGGAGTCAGCGTTGGTACAGATTGCGGTGGCAGGAAAAAGTTCTAGGTACCTACATGCTCACTTTTGATGACATGCATTATAACAACCTCCTGGCGCCTGCCAACATTCCAGCCTGGACGGTCCTTGCGTCGGACGACGTGCATTTTCCTTCCTTTCTGGGCCTCTCTCATCTCTGTTAATTCCAGTGCTTGTCACAACTACCTGTAAGGCTGTAACCCATCACAAAGTGTTGGACAGGACTCTTTCATCTGACCACACCCGTAGATTCCCCGGTCCCAGGATGGAGGATACAGCTACCTTAGTCAAAGCGTGAGTTTGTTGCCCTCGTTGCGGACCGCAGACTTATCAGCGACCGGCAGATTCTGCAAGCCGAAAGACTGAGAATGAGCAACACAGATCTACAGTACCGTCCCAAATCGAAGATTTTTTCCTACCATGCACCCGGTCAAGATACATGTATCTGAGAAGTAGGGCTCTTGTGTCAGAGTGTGGTAACATACCTGGTACCTATGCATCCAGAGGCATTGCAGTAGACCGACAGTACCTCCGTAGACCAACCTGAACTCTGCGACAGTGACGAGACAGTGCCTGGAGGTAGGAGGTAGTAGATCATCAGGAGCATTGGGGAGCTGCTCCAGGAAGCTTCTTCTGGTGCCCCTCCTCCTTGAATCGCGTGGTTGATCGCCTTTGTTCGTACCTCCTACGCCGCTTTATACTTCTACTACATGTAGCTGTCGCCCGCCGGAATGGTATCTCAACCATTCTCAAGGGGACATGTCAATGGATGTCAATGCCCGCAAGAAACCCCATTGTAGACCCCAAATGTAAAACACACGCTGTTCTAGCCCCCAGGCCGGAGACGTGCACATCACAACACGGAGAGTGAATGGTACGCTCAGTTGACACAAGAAAAACACAAGCTTCACTCGAGGGGGTCTAGCAGGGTCAATTCTATTGGCCCCCCTCGTTTTTCGCTCGGGATTAGATAATGGGATAATTGGGTGTGAAACAATGCAAAGCTGCGGCGCTGCCCTTTGATCGAGCATGCGACGTCGCGACGTCTCGACATCTCGCTCGCTCCCCTCTGTGCCGCACACACTTCGAATCGTTGCTTTCTCTCTCTCTCCCTCTCTACACCGCCCACGCCCACATTCACGCTCTCTCCGTCTCTGCCACTGCTGCTTCTCTCTCTCGCCTCCCACTGCCATTGGCAATCATTATTGCTACACGGTGCCCAGCCCGCTACCAACGATCGCCGTCATTGCTCCCTCAGCCAAGTCTGAAGCTGCACGCGCCCGTTTGGCTGGTCCGTCAGCGGCGACAGAGTTTCGCAGGCGGTCCCGCACTACCGTACCACTGTCTTCACCCTTGACTAGGTCCTTCGGCGTCACTTCACCAGAATACTGCGCGACCGTGACTGCGAGCGCGCCTGACGCCGACGACGAGCCCTTGCCCCCCCCCACGAGTGCACAAACAGAGCGAGGAAGACAGTACCTAGTATCTGGGCCACTGCACCACGGCAGCGCATCCCACCCATTGCGCCCTGAGAGCCTGGTAGCCGAAGCACAGCACACAAGGCGCACCGCGGGCCCCAACTGCTCGAGGCGACCGTTATGGCTGACCATCAGACAAATACGTGAGTGTCTCTCCCTGGCACCAGCTACGCATGTGATGCTGCGACTCTGTTATATGGCCTGCAGCAATGCGCGCTGTGAGCACTACAAACGGCGCCACAGTAACTCGTCGTGCGAGCGGTAGCGGCTCGAAGAAGACGACCTGGCCCTTTCGCGACGAGCACGACCTGACTGACCTGCTATGGTAGACTGTACAGGCCTGACCAGTTCATGAACCCGGGTCCTGCGCCGGCACCGCCTGCAGGCAGGGCAAAAGTGACCCTCACGCCCAACGTCTATAATACGCCGGGCAACCCAAACCTCAAAAACATATACAATGGCCCGGACGCCTCAGCCAATACTTCACAAGCCTCGCTTCATCGCACGGGCACGAGCAGTGGCGAGATGACTGTAATCAAAGACGGCTGGGCCAAGGTGAAAGAGGAAGGCGGTGGTTTCATGAAGTCCTTCTGGAACGAGCGTTTCCTGGTGCTCCGCGAGAAGCAGCTCGACTTTCTGAAGAACAATACTCACAATAAGACCACGAACGTCATCTACCTGAAAGACGTGTCACACATCACACGATCTGACAGCTATCCGTACGCGTTGGAGATCACGCGAGATGGGAACAAGGTGTGGATTCTCAAGTTTGAGGCTGACACGGAAGTCTACAACTGGATGGACAGCATATATGATCGATGCCCTCAGATGGGTGGTGTGTCGCATCCCACCGGCTTTTCGCATAGAGTGCACGTCGGTTTCGACCCCGTCACTGGGGGTTTCGTTGGGCTGCCAGTCGAATGGGAAAGACTGCTGAAGGGCAGTGCCTTGACCAAAGATGACATGGCCAAAAATCCACAGGCTGTTATGGAAGTTCTGCAATTCTATACCGACAAGCTGCAAGTCCGGGCAGACGATCCAAAGTCATACCCATCGCTCACGCCCACACCCAGCTCAGAGAACAATGCCAACAAACAACTGGGCTATAATGGAGGGAATGGCGTCACACCGCCAAGGCCGCAGCCGCCGGGAGTCAATCGCCAAGATAGCAATTATAGCGGGAACGGCCAGACGCGAGCTCCTGGTAGCTACGGCTCGGGATCTTCGAGAGAGCAGTCTACAGATCGTCGAAACGACGATGACCGCGCCAGGCGACAACAGGAAGAGCAGAAGGAGCACCAACGAAGGCTTGATGAGGAACAAGAGCGCAAGCGAAGACAGGAGCAAGAAGATCGTGAGTACAATGAGTCTCTGCCGAAGACGAAAACCCCCCTTGCCAAACAAGAGGTGGGAGGAGGCGGCTACAGCGACTCTTCATCACGAGACGTTAGTCCAGCGAATGGGCATGGTAAGTACAACGCCAGCAGACCTGCCCCGCCAGCACCGTCTCAAAGCAAGAATGGTCAAGCCGGCAGCTCGCTACCCATACGCAATCTGCAAGCCCAAAGGGCTGCACCATCGCCGCCGCAGAATGGTGCTTCCACGCCAGCAAAGAAGCCTGGCGCGACGGGTACTCAATCTCCATATGCTGTTAAACAGCCTGGTACAGGTGCCAACGGACAGGCACGGAAGGACGAGCAGCCACTTACTGCTGGAGCCGGTAATCATCAGAAGCAGGCATCAACGTCCGGGCAGGTCAAACCACTGAATGTCGCGACCAAGCAGCCTTCGGGCAAGCCAGATCCGGTAAAGGTTGCGGAAGCAGCACTTACGAAGAAAGATCCCGAGCCCAAGAAGGAAGTGCGAATGAGCGCCATGTCCGATGCTCAGGTTATGGACCGCCTCCGATCTGTGGTCACATTGAGCAATCCTCTTGAGAGCTATAACAAGCAGAAGAAGATTGGTCAAGGTGCTTCCGGATCGGTGTACGTGGCTCGTGTGCGCGAGAGCGCTCCTAGCTCCACAGCCCAAAACTTGATCAAGATGTACGGGCCCAAAGCACAAGTGGCGATCAAGCAGATGGATCTCCGATCGCAACCAAGGAAGGAGCTGATCGTGAACGAGATCATCGTGATGAAGGAAAGCCGACATGACAACATTGTCAACTTTCTAGACGCTTTCCTGCAAGAGGAGACCTACGAGCTATGGGTGGTCATGGAATTCATGGAAGGTGGTGCACTGACGGATGTGATTGACAACAACGCGTCCATCTCTGAAGACCAAATTGCCACGATCTGTTACGAGGTGAGTAATGCCAAGTGTTCCATCATTTGCATGAGCCAAGCACTGACAGTCAACAGACATGCAAAGGTCTCATCCACTTGCACGCGCAGAACATTATACACCGAGACATCAAGTCAGACAACGTTCTTCTGTCCTCACGCGGCGCCGTCAAGATTACGGATTTTGGCTTCTGCGCCAAGCTAACGGAACAGCGATCGAAGCGTGCTACCATGGTCGGCACGCCATATTGGATGGCTCCCGAGGTCGTCAAGCAAAAGGAGTATGGCTCCAAAGTCGATATCTGGTCGCTTGGCATCATGGCGATTGAGATGATTGAGTCGGAGCCGCCGTACTTGAACGAAGAGCCGCTGAAAGCGCTGTATCTCATTGCGACAAACGGCACGCCGAGACTGAAAAAGCCCGAGAAGCTGAGCAAAGAATTGAAGGCATTCCTGAGTGTCTGTCTGTGCGTAGACGTCAAGTCTCGAGCAACAGCGGAAGAACTTGGACGACATGAGTTTCTGCAGCATGGATGCTCGTTGGCGAGTCTGAGTGAACTCTTGCGTTTCAAGAAGGGAGGCGGACACTAAGAACACCAAGTTGACGACGGAAGACACTGTCTTGCTATCACTGCCTGGTGTCTAGTATTGAAACCACACGCAAAGACGACGGCAAGCGCAAGAGCAAAATGATCATGCCAGAGCCGCCATGCGGGTGCATCAGTCGCAGCTTGGAGGTGGCTTGTTACCTGGGTTGAGCCGCGCAGATGATGAGGGGCCACGCCAGGCCACAGAAGAATGTAAAGCATGTTCTCGCAGAGACCTGAGATTTTACATTCGCGGCTGGGTAATGCAATGAAATGAACAGGGAGAGTAAAGCTCGCTGTTGGCGTTTGATGGATATGAAGTATCAGAATAATGGGCTAACGATTATCAACAACTGCAAGGCAGTCACGTACGTAGCAATGCGTTCGTCTCACATAGACAGAATGAAAATCTACGGCAGTCACGATTTGCAGGTGAAGCCACAAACGTGAAGTGTTGTTGGTTGCACTTTCCTTTTCTAAGCCAAAAGTTTTGCGCACTCCACTCACAATAACAACAGCAACAACAGCAACAACAACAACAACAAAACATCGCACAACATTAATCAAACCTCACCACAGTCTTCGCAAAGGCCACCACCGCCGACACCAACATCAAACAATACTTTCGCCCGCGCCCTCCAAGAAGCAAACTCAATCACAAACTTCTTCCTCCTCGCACCACCACCACTACCTCCTCCTCAACCACCTCCGCCTCCACCAGTCGCCGCCGCCGCCGCCATGCAGTGGACCCACGACCCCCTCACCAAGACCTCCTGCGCCCTCCTTCTCGGCTATCTCGCCCTCCGCACCATCCTCTACTTCTCCAACCCCATTGTCGAATCCGTTCTTCTTCATCACTTTCCTGTCGTGGCGAGGGATTGGTGTATGGTCGCAAAGAAAGAAGAAGAAGAAAAAGAAGGAGGGGGAAGAGGAAAATCTTCGTCTCGCCTTTATCGCACGCAGAATGTTGATTCGATCGGCTTCTGCTTCGCGGGGATTTTTCTGTTGCGGTGGCCTGGGTGGTATTTCTTGCAAATGCATTTGTGGGAATGTGTACGTGTTGGGGTGGCGGGGTTTTTGGTGTGGCAGAGTGTGGTTGTGGGGGCGTTGATGGTGGGGTCGGCCGTGGTTTGGGTGATGGGACATGGGTGGAAGGAGAAGGAGAAGGAGAAGAAGGCAGTCAGGGGGTCGGAGGAGGATTGGTACTACCTTTCTTCTTTTGGGGGTGGTGATGCTGCTGAAAAGGGTGTGAGGTTTGATGATGGGGATGAGATGACACCGACATCTTCTTCTGCTTCTTTCCGATTCAAGAAAGGAGACATGCCTCGCAAACACCCTTCATCCGTAGGAATGGGCCGATTTCTCAAAGATATGAATTTGGAGGGTTTCAACGACACCTTCATCGCGAGGGAACGGGAAGGCAACAGAGAAATGACAGTGGTGTACCATTCCATTTGCTCACGAGAACAACACTGGGAATCCAGTTTCGAGGAATTGAGACTGCAGGACTACAAGAAAATGGGAAAATTTGTGGCTTTTGCTCCTCCTGCTACCAACACTACCAATACTACTATCTCGCCGCAACAACAACCACGACGAAGTGCTTTCGATGGAGGAGGAGGAGGAGAAAGAGGAAGATGGGCAGGTGTAAAACAGGCTTTGCCGTCGTGGTTATCGAGTCGGACGTTTCGCGAATCTGCCTTTGATTGTTCCATTAGCAGCTATGGCAGCAATGATGAGTTGTCGTCGATTGGAAGGATTGATGCCTCTTTGTTGGCTGCGAGATTGGCGAGTAGTCCCGTTCCTTTTCACACCCAGCCAGAAGACATGGGCACGGAATCGGGAGTGGTGAGACGACGCTTTACCTGATTGGCACTCATTCGGGGGGTGAATGAACGATGTCTAGGTACTAGAAGAAATGTGATGAGTAGCCAAAGACAGCAGAGCAAATACGATGCGAATTTGTTTGTGGGAGAGTGGGAACAAGATCGGCCGGTTCAAGATTTGCATACAGTCTTTGGCGTCTACACCCAATTGAACTAATGCTCATGCGTCCCACGAGGAACGTTCCTTTCCTCAGCTAAGCTCCTTTTGTGATAATTATGGTATTATCGTGTTTTGCGACTGAGATAGTCAAAGGTTTGCCGAGCCCTCCGCCATGTTGATGTACATCCAGCGTCACTTCGCGCGCTCCGACCAGCGAGCCCGCGCTGTCAGCTAATAGCTCGTTACACAATGCAACAGCAGGACCAAGAATAGACTCGTGCTGACCGAAACCCTCGTTTGTACTCGTCGGGGATGTTGCCATGCTGATCGATGCCCATTGCGATTGTATTGGGCTGTCAATGAGGCTGTAGCAGCTCGATGAAGCAGTCAATGACGGCAAAATCTCCAAGACGTCGTCTGCGGTTCTCGATGTGGTCGAATAGAAGCTGGATGTGGAGCTGAATCTGTTTGGGGATCGTGACCGCGAAGAATTGGGGACATTGAGCCTCGATGGAGATTGCGATCGCGAGTGATGTTCAGCAATCGGGGATAGCAGGTTGCTGCTAGATTGCTGTCCAATTATCATGGGATTTTCAGGTCTTGATGCTCGACAGGAGGGACGTGTGAATGGCCACAGCGGTAATGGAGGCCGCTGTTCGAAGCTGAATTGCGGAAGCAGTGGGCGGTGAGGTTCCCGACGTTCCGGTACTTCCGCCCGCTGTCCCGCATCTTGTGTTCGCAGGATATCGTTAAGCTGCTGATGAACTTGTTGCAAGTCGACCGTGATCTGCAGTGTCTCGCTGAGTAGTGCTTCGGCGGTCTCACGGTCCACGCCCTGGCTTAGAGGCCGCAGTATAGAAGTACGCTTTGATCGTACAGTGTCTGGTCGCGATACGGGTATGACCGCGACCGCTGTTGTTGCGTACGGAATGCTTCGAATGCTTCGACGCAAGCTGCGCTTCTGTAGTCGAGAATGCTGAGCGCCCATCTCTGTGAAAGAAGCCCCGAGCGCCAGAGAGCTCACGAGCTTACTGTGCAACACGAGTGTCTGTTGCGGTCTCTTCATTCTTCTTGTACTTGGAGTTCGGAGAGGCTGCGCAGCTATCAATAGCTCGTACTGGGATGTCCCTGCAAACTATCCTGCGGCTCACAACTCAAGACGTGGCTCTCAGTGCTAGGAGTGGTCATATCATCATGCTGGTGAGTAAGATGGTGACTTTTGACAACTGTCATGCCCGCTTTCGTGATTCCGAAGGCCGGCCTGCAGACATGCGAATCGCCATCCTCGTTGTCCCACGGGCTTGTCCGTGTGAAGTATTGGACGTTGAAATAATGCACCCCGCAGTGCTGGGACCGTAAGCTACCGGTCCAAAGATTTGCGTGAGACATTGCGCATATTCTCATGCACAGCCCCAGAGCCACTCTGGAAGCTCGCTTCAATCCTGATCGTGGGTCTTTTACCACTCTCGATCAGTCACTTTTCACGGTTCGTGTCTGTTGACCAGTTCGTACTCGGACTGCGCTCTTCGTGACCAGAAAGGCAGTCGTTGCCGTATCGACTTTGTCTTCCATCGAGGAACATCGGCGGGCGTGAGGAGGTAGCGGTTGTAATACCACCAACCAAGAAAGATCAAGCCGAAGCCGAGGACGAAGCCTATCATGGTCACAAGAACCCAATTACGGGCCATCTGCACAACATATTAGCAACGAGTAACGTGGCATAGCTGACATCAAGGTCTCGAGAGCTTACCCAGAAGATCAATTGTACATCATAGCCGTGCCAGCTGTTGCCCAAATGGTGTGTAAAGAAACTCCAGGGCTGGTTCTGGTATTCTTGGGGGAATATGATCCTCACGCGGCCACCATCCGGTCCATCTCCCACATTGAAACCCTCGTCGCTGTAGTGTCTCCAGATGATGCTCACGAACAAGGGCCCGGTGCTTGCCATGACAGAGATGTAGGGCAAAATCCAGCTATGATCATAGTGCGGCAACTCTTCGATTACACGCTGGAAGAATGGGTGTCCTGGCACCGCACCCATGGCGTCATTGCTGACACCTGTAGGAATGGTTTTCCTGACAAAAGCAGGGTACTTCAACAGAGGCTCCAGGGGCCTGTTGCAGCCGTCGTCCAGATCAATGTAGATGCCTCCGTAGTGATCAAGCACAAAGTACCGAATGGCATCTGCGCGCTGAATGGGATAATGGTAGCCTCGAAAGGTGTCGAGGAATTCGGGGTACTCCTTCGCGATGAAGGCGTCAGACATGGCGTCTGTCCACAGCATGTACTTCCACTCGGGCTCCCTGTGGAGATCCAAACAGCTCTGTTGCGCCTCTTGCCATACTTGCGGTATGCTGGAGTTGATGTAGGTCTGATGGATAATTTTCGGTATGATGGGCGTCGCACCAATCTCGTGTTCCGCGCCTATAGGCGGCAGTTCTGCGCGGGTGATGGCATCTTCGATTCCGTTGATGACGAGCAGCTCCAGGAGCGTCCAGACCTCGTGCACCAGGAAAGCCAGCACAGCCAAGATCAGGACGACGAAGATCAGCACCGGTCGGCGCATGGCCACGAATCCGCACAGCTGGCTATGGTCTCTGCGTGGCCAGTTCGGCGGGCGGGCGGGCGGACGGCTGGAGGGAGGGAATAGGGTGGTGATGCAGTGTAGGACGATGTTCTTCGGAGATGTCGTGTTGATTCGAGGTGTCGAGCGTCGATTGTGGGGAGGGACAGGGACAGGGACAGACTCCGCGGGCGATGTCGATGGCGATGGCGACGGCGACGGCGGTGGCGGTGGCGGAGGGCGACGACTTGCCGTTTGCACTTGGGTTGGTTGACAGGACAGGAGTATATATCGATCGCAGGAAGGAACGGAGAAGGGAGTGGAAGGGAAGGGACGTCTTGTCAGCAGAAGGAAGGAAGGGAAGGACGCCAAGGAGATTGTGAAGGACGTGAGGCGTAAGGCTCGACGGTAGGCGGGATGTGTACCCAGCAGCTGGTCGTCGGGTCGGGAAGAACTAGGACGAGAAGAGAGCTAGCGCCGAAAATAGGCCACTCCATCGGCATCTCGCTGTTCCCTTTTTCCTTCTTCTTCCACCCACTCCCGCTTCCGCACCACGCACAACATCCCCGTCGTCAACCTCACAATCACATCAACCTCTCACATCTCTCACATCAACCTCTCATCACATCACATCCCTTCTCTGCCACCCCAGCCCAGCCGAGCCCAGCCCAGCTCAGCATACTCTCACCATCATTGGGGAGATAATCCCCAGCACCGCCACCACCATCATCGTCATCATCACACCCTCTGTCATACTACATGTACTCCTTCTCCTGCCGGATCCGAACAGATTGTACCTCACTAAAGTCTCACGCGTCAATACGAACTGCTAATAGATGAAAATACAGTTCCAGCTCACAATACATCTATAGATCAAAGGTCTCTGCACCTCAGCAATAACAAGCCGAGAAACAATGACCTCCCTGCCCCACACAGGAAGGCGGCACCCTTAGTAGCCTGCATCAAGTGCAGGTCTTCTCCCTTGGGTGCCTCCGACGAAGAGAATGAAGAGAAAAGCCAAATGGGGCCCGACTTAACTCTCGCCATATCATGTCTCCAATGGTCCAGCCGATTTTACCAAACACCCAGCCACGGGCATTAGGGATCAGCTGGACTTTGGAGACCAACAGCATCTCTTCTACACAAACGTACTCGCGCCGGCAGCACTAAGGCTGCGCAAAACTCCGCCAGTCGAACCCCCCCCCCCCTTTCCCCAGCCCCTTACCTGTACCTATCCGAGCATCAGACAGTCGTCGCAGTACCACCTCTTGGTGGTAGGCGCGGTCTTTAGTCCAACGCACCGGAAGTGGAACCATTCCCGCACACAGCGGGCACCATCGCATGCCACCATGCGACCAGTTCCGGGCCCATTGCAGTAACAATAAACGCGGTCCTTCACCTCCTCATCCTGGTCCTCCTCCTTGACCTCCTCCTTCACCTCCTCCTTGACCTCCTCCTCGTCGCTTCCGGCCTCTTCGACTGCTCTGAGCAGCTCGGCAGCTGCTTCGGCCTCCTGGCTCTCCCTACCTTCCTGCTCCGACGCTTGGTTCTGCTCGGTGTTGTTCATCTTTCCAAAAGTCTCTTGTTAAGTAGTATGTTGTTGTGGTTTGTATGCTTGTCTGGAGAAGAAAGTCTAGAGAGGGAGCAACATATCGACTTATAAGCTTCTGTCTTCATTGTGATGAGAGACGGCTGACAAGAGCATTGTTGTATATTGGCTTTGTTGTTGAGTATATAAAGAATTGCAAGGCCGACAAAGAATGTAAGTTGTCGACTTGTCTTGCAACAAAGGCGAGTTGGAAGCACAAGGGAATTGATGAGTATAGACAATGCGCCTGGCATTCAATGAAATCTGGCATAGTTGGTCAGTCAATAATGAAAATTGCGCATTCAGCTCCAAGAACAAAGCATTACCATGTAAAATCATTCTCGCCATGCAAAGTCCGTAGTATTCCCCCCTTTTTGCGGGGGTCTCAGGAGTAACCCCTATCCTATCCTCCCCCAAACCCCTCGTCACATTCTGCTGCAGCAAAAAATCTCTCTTCTTGTTCCTCCCACCATTCATCCAAAGTCATTCTCGGCCTCATCTGCAATCCTCGTGTCCTAAAAAGTTTGTTTCTTCGCGTCGGGATCGGTGCAAGTGGCGGGTAGAAGATGGTTTGTTCGCCTGGGCCTGTAAAGAGGCTTTTTTCTTCTTCTTCTTTTCCTTCTTCTTTTTGGCTGTTATTATGGTAGTGGTGGTTGTGGTTGTGGTGATTGGCTTTGAGGTTCATGATTGATTGATTGATTGATTGATTGATGAGGCTGTCTTGTCTTGTCGGTAGTAGGTAAAGTGAGGTGAGGTAGGTATATATAATGTAAGAGGATGAGGGGATGAGAGGATGATGATGATGAGAGAGATCAAAAAAAGAGAGAGAGAGGGAGATGGATTTAAAAAGGAGCGTTATGTTCCAACTTCCCCTGAGACAATTCTCACTGTTGCTGTTATCGGAAAGAGACATTATCAGACTTTTCCCGAGACAGACCTTTTCAAAAATAGGAGGTACATTACATGTATGTAGTAGTGGTACCTGTATCTCATACCTTGATGACATGATGATGATGATGATGATGATGATAATGAGACAAGTAAAGCACGCAAGGCAAAACTTGACTTGCTCGAAAAAGAAGAAGAAGAAGAGGAGAGAGGTCTTTTTTTTCGTCATTCAAACCACATAGCTAATCATACAAAAAAAAGGAAGAATTCGGATCTCTCGATCTCTTTCTACCGCGCTGGATCCAAGTAGTAGTAGTAGTAGTCAGGAAAGTAGTAGGATTATCCAATTTTTCCGTCGCGTGTCTGTCTCTCTCTCGCTCTCTCTGTCTCAATCTTCACACTTGGGAGAAGAACAGTGTGATTATCCGAGAAGACCATCATCATCCTCATCATCCTCATCATCACCATCATCATCAGAATCATCAACCGAGGCTATCTTGGCCATTTTGCGAAATCCCTGTCCAACGTCCTCGCCCAGGGCAATTTCCTTTCCATCATTCAAGAGATCTTCATTGCTCGCTTTGCGCTTCAAGTTCTTCTTGACGGAACTGGATGGTGGAGTCTTCAAGCCTCCCGATTCAGCAGCGAGCGTAGGAGGATCTTCTGGCTGCGCCTCCTTGTCTTCCTTCTCGTCCTCTGGAACTGCTTCTGCGGCTTTCTTCGCCTTGTTCGTCGTCTTCTTCTGGGAAACTTTCTTCGAAACTGTGGCTGCTGGGGTTGGGGTAGCGAGGGCGAGAGTGCTGCTACCATTATCATTTGCAAGTGCCTTGCGAATGATGTGGGCGATTCGGTGACTGAGGGCTTTGGCGGTGCAATCTAAAAGGGAATGATGATGATGAATGTGTCAGTCACTAAAGGTAGTCTTTTCGTCATTTATTCTCTCTTACCTGAGCCCATACGGGCTGCAATTTCTGCCTTTTGCGCCTCTGTGGGCTTCACCTCGCACACCTGGATGATGAGACCGCAAAGCTGAAGGAAATATTAGCATGCGTTTGTTTCGGAATGTGGTCCATGTCCTTCTTACCTTGGCCTCGGCCTCCGGGGTCCAAATCATGGGCATGTTGTCGATTTGAGTGTTCGGGGCTGCTCTGATGTTGAAGAAACTGTTGAAGGGGTGTCGCGTGGGAGGTGTTTCCAGTGGAAATGTTGGTGAAAGAAAGATGGAAAGAAAGTGAAAGGAAAAGATAAAATAGCAGTAGTATAGTAATTTACAAACCTGATTCACTTCACCGGACTTGAGTGAAGTGAGAAGAATCGCTCGAGAAAGTTGGTATTAGCTATGGTATCAAAGGTCTCGGCAGGAAATTTTTTAAAGTTCTGGAAGCATTGGAGAAAGTGAAAAGTTTAGGCTTACCTAGATGTGAATTAGCAAAAACCGCTCGAGAAGTTGATATCACCTATGGTACCGAAGGTCTCGGCAGGAAATGTCGGAAAGGTATAGAAGCATTGGAGAAAGTGAGAAGTTTGGGCTTGCCCAGATATGAATTAGCAAGAATCGCTCGAGAAGTTGATATCACCTATGGCATCGAAGGTCTCGGCAGGAAATATCTGGAAGGTCTGGAAGCATTGGAGATAGTGAGAAGTTTAGGCTTGCCTGAAGGTCAATTAGCAAGAATCGCTCCAGAACCTGGAAGTCTGTATTATCCATAGCATCGAAGCTCCTGGCGAAAATTATCTAAAACTTCTGGGAGCATTAGAGAAAGTGAGAAGTTTGGGCTTGCTTAAGGCAATTCAGCAAGATACACTCCAATGGTCTATGTTGCCTATGGCATCGAAGCTCTCGGCAAGAGATTTCTAAAACTTCTAAAAGCATTAGAGAGTCTTAAGATAGAAAGTGTCAGATGCAGTCGAAAACCTCACTTTCATTGAAGCGCGCACTTCCTCACTTCACTTTACTAGACTTTCCTTTGGTTGAGTGAGAATTTCATGCTTACTTGCAGGCAAATTAGCGAGAATCGCTCCAGAAGTCTATATCGTCTATAGCGTCGAAGCTCTGGACAGGAAAGATCGAAAAGTTCCGTAAGCATTAGAGAGTCCCAATGTAGAAAGTGTCAGGTGTGGTCAAAAACTTCACTTTCGTTCCCATTAGCCGCGACACAGGGTGGTCTTCGGGTTCCTGATGTGCTGGTGAAGGTAGGGCGCGAAGCGTGTCTCGCGCTGTGTCTATTGCATGCTGCTGATGGGGTGATACTAGTGCGTTCAAAAGCAATGCGAGGTGATAAAGGGAAGGTCAGAGTTCATGCTGGTCAAGCTGGTGTGTAGTTTATGCTGATGTAATGTGTGCGCTTCTGTCGCAAAGTGTCAACTGGGGCAGTGTGGTGCGGCGAATCGTGGTTGTACGTGTCAAGTATGTATGTGCGACAAAGGAAAGGTTCGTATGTGTGTGTGTGTGTGTGTGTTGCGGTGGTCGTGCGGTCTGGTGTGTTCGTATGCTGTCGGTGTGGTGGATGCGTGGTGCTTTGCGCGCTCGGTGCCACCCCAGCCTCCGGCTTCTAGCAGGCGCATTCGGGAACACCGAACATGTTAGGAAGTCCCTAAAGTGGAAAGTATTGAAATACTGATGCTAAGAGCTTTCAGTGAAGTAGAATAAAACTTTATTCCGATAAGTGAGTTGCAGTGGCAGTTCAGTGTACCTCACCTTACCTTAGGTACATGTACGTATCATGTAGACCTGGTCTTATATCACACAAAAGTTCACCGAAAGTGATGTCCGGCATATCCATTCTGGTTTGCAAGACGAAGCTCAATGGTATGCGCGATGCACACCACTCGGTTCGACTTGGCCTCCTTTATCATCAGTGTCCACCTGCCCAACGACTCTGCGCAGTATCCAGCGCTTGCAGCGAGTCTTCACTTCACTGACAGATCATACCCAGAGGCCGAGCTCTTGACCCTCGAACGCCAGTTCCAAAGGCTTTACTGCACCAAACTCTTCGCCCATCGGCTGCGCGCCATCTGCATCGCTAGCATGCCTGACAGATCACAGTCTTTTCGTTCGTGTTGTGAGGGCGCGCCAGGGTCGAAGCGTATGTGGTATGCATTGGCAGTTGGCGGTGCTCGCGGCGATGAGGGCTCGGAGAGTGGCAATGCGAGGCGGAGGGTGATCTGTATGTTTCTTGCTGGGTTGCCTACACGTGGTGAGTTGCAACGACGAGGAGCGCGATCAGCTCTGCAGTAGTTCTACAGCAAGCAGTCGTCGTGAGGAAAGTGGTGGCGCGTGGGTACAGGTAGATGTAGGAGGTATGTGGATGTACAGGTGGATGGTGCACTGAGAATCAGATGGCGTAGTGATGATTACAAGGCGTCCACATAGGCGGGCTGGCATCAGCCGTGGCGCGGCAAAAGGAAGAAAGCGTCACGATTCGGGTCCGTATATACATACATACATACATAGGTGCGTGCGCACATTATTTTCAGCCTGCTTAACGACTCGCAAGTTCTCATATGAGTCCTCTGAAGAGATACGGTATAGAATCCCCCCTCACTCCGCCAAATCTTGTCTCTGGCCTTCCTCTCTCATACACGCCAATGCCACATACCAATATTGCCATCCTGCCATGCCGCACCTCGCAGTCTTGGCAGAGGAGAGGGCCAAACGGGGCCGATTCTCCGACGCAGCTGAGCTCTGCACGACCATCGACCACGCACCAATTCAATCAATTCAAGAGTATACCATATCTTCCATAATTACCTCGTTTACCGCTGCCAAACGGCCCTATATTACTACCTCATTTCTCGGTCCCCATTCCAGCCAGAGACGCTGCTCGCATGTTCGCGTGCGCTACGGCGCTGCTGAGCTAGGCAGGCTGGCGTCGAGGTAGCAGGAGAGGGAGGTATAGCAGCCGCCTGGCTGTCTATTGTCTAACTGGTATTGTCTATTTTCTCCCTCCCCCAAAGGGAACAAAACACCGCAAGGTCTCGGCATCTGCCATCGCCATGTCTGAAGCTCTGCTCCTGCAAAACACTGTCAACAAGCCGGGAACTTCATGTCTTGGCTGTCGGAGGCGCAAACTCAAGTGCAGTCGAGAGCCGGAAGGTTGCTTCAATTGCACCAAGAGCGACCTGCCCTGCGTCTATCCCCAGCCGGATGTAGGTGTCAAGCGAAAACGAGGGCCGTACAAGAAGGACAAGCCGCCACGCCAACGACATCTTGAAGATCTCGTCAAGTACCTGGAGCCAAAGGCCGGCTCATCGGAATCGCCTACACACGAAGTCTCGGCGAGCCCTGGTCAGGCCCTGTCTTCTGCTCACCCCGGAGCAATACCGCATCCTGCTGCGAACGGGCGGCCACCATCACAGCCTGCAGACCAACAGAGTCTCGTCACAGATGCCTTGGTGGCTCTCACACGCTCTGCCGCCAAGGACGAGGATCTGCGTAAGGATGATGGAGGCCTCGGTATGCAGCATCATCAGACTGCCGCCCCTGGGCCGTACTACTCCAGCAGCAACCCTCATCCCACCCCTCGGCGCATCTTTGAGTACTGGCAGTTATTTGTGACGCGCGTGGACCCCATGGTCAAGATCATTCACTGTCCAACATATTACAAGAAGGTTCTGAATGTCATCGATGACCCTGTCAATGTGCCCTCTCAAACCAGTGCAATGATGTTCAGCATCTACTATGCTGCCCTGAGTACATGTTCGGCACAAGAGACAAGAGAGAGATTTGGAGAAGCCCAGGAGGTACTTATTGCTCGATATGGCAAATGTATCAAGGACGCAGTGCGTGCCAACTACGACGCTCCTCAGCTCGAGGGCCTGCAAGCTTTGGTGCTGTACATTGTAAGTCTCTGCATCCGCTCGCCCTTGAACATCATCTCCTAATCGTGCCAGGTGTGTATACGTCGATCGGACAAAGTAAGCGACATTGGGGACTTGTTTCACGAGGCCGTCAGGTGCGCACAGTTCATCAAGCTCGAACAAGACCCAGAAGGGAGGTATCCGCCCTTTGACGTCGAGTACAGACGGCGGCTGTGGTTTCACCTGTGCGGACTGGAGTCGCGCACAGCGGAAGAGGGCGTCTCGAGAAAGTACTCCATTCTGAAGGGGCAGACGGTGGAGATGCCAAGGAATCTGAACGACTGTGATCTGAATCCCCGAATGACTGTGCCACCACGTTCCCGAGACGGTATTACCGACTCGACGTTTCCAATACTCAGGTACATTCGCATTTCTACCAAAAGTCACCCATCGAATATACGTATTACGTCCGCTGACTGACTCATCTTTCCTACTCCAGATTCGAGATTCACGTGCTGGTATTCGGCATATGGAATATTAGGAAGAATTCGCCTGCAGACGTACCTGGCGTTACTGAGAGCCAGAGGTCATTCTATAATCTCTCCAAGGAGAGGCTTGATCGATTGTACATGATGTACATGGATGACTCTCGTCCGTACGACTGGCTTTGTATGAACTTTGTCGAAGGCATGCTCACCAAAGCACGGCTCATCATCAACTTCCACACCGGGACAGTACCAACCAACACGATGCCCCTGGCAGATAGAATGGCGTTGCTCGAATCGTCAGTCGATATTATCAAGCGCACACATGCACTAGCCGTGGATGAGCGCATCAGTGATTGGGTGTGGTACTTTAGAGGCTATGTGCAATGGCACTCTCTCGCAATCGTTGTTGCTGAGCTGGGCTGGAGTCGAGACGAGAAGTTTGTGACTATGGCTTGGAATGTGCTGGACGACATTTTGGGAGAATGGGACAGCTTGTACCAAACAAAGAAAGATGATCCCGCGTGGACTCATGTCAACGAATCCATCCAGCGAGCGCGGAAACTACGGAAACGCAACCGATTGAGTGCCACTTCTGAAGGCCATAACCATCATAAGAAGCCTAGACATACCGCGCCTCCCACCAATCACGTACACGCACCTGGTCCATCTGGTGGTGGCTTGGCGCAATCGATTGCCCATCTACGACAACCTCTCCAGCACAGACCGGCACCGAGCAGTACAATGCCACAACAATACATTCAGAATGCTGCTTCTTCCTACTACGACGGACACCCACAACCCTACACCGACGAACGATCACAGCCATACAACAACACAACATCACTCAAAAACGAGGGCCAGACATCCGAATCCCAAGTCCCCGGCGGACCATTCGGCCCCGGAGACGAAGTGAGCCCAATGAGCAGCGAAGGCAACTTTGACGACGACCCTTTCCCAAATGTCAATTGGAACGCGTACAATAGTGTCTTCACCAATGATGTCTGGGACACGTGGAATCACATGCCAGACATGCAACAATGCACACTGCAAAACGATACGACTTCTTCTGCCCATACTTGGTGGCCCCCTCAGCAGAATATGATCATGCAGAACTATGGTCAGTATTCAGGCTGATTGTAAGTCACTAAGTGTCTCTAAAGAAGAACAAAGAAGCAAGAGAAGGAGGAGGAGGAGAAGGAGGATGAGGATAAAAATATCCCACGTCGTGGCTTTTTGCGATCATACCTGAGGTATATATATCCCGAAATAAAAACTATTCATACCGTACCTAGCCTTTCTTTTCGAAACGACGAACGACGAGTCGACGACGTATTTTTATTCTTCTTCTTATCAAAAAAAGAAAAGCTATTGGGTATGTAATTACCATTGTTGTCTTCCTTCACACGGCCAGATATTTTCTTTTCTTTTTTTTTTTTTTCTTTTCTTTTTTTTCTTTTCCTTAAAACTTACTCGACATTGAAAAAGATTTGGTAGATACTTACGGTAGATTAAGACAACTGACAATATTAAATACATATCTAAGGGGTATCTGAACTGGAAAAAAACAACAAGAGAAGAAGGGAAACCAACAACCCCCCTATCCGTACCCCAAAAGATGAAAAAAAAATTATATTGAAACCACTCAGGCAGGTTAGGGAGGTTCACTCCCTTTCCCTTTCCCTTTCCTGAAAAGAAAGAAAATCATAAGGCATATTATATTACTCGTTCGTCATCTTCTTCTTCTTCCTCTTTCTTTCCTTCTTCCTTTCTTTCTTACATGGCACACTTTCCAACAAATAGTCAACCAACCAACCAAGAAAACGAAATTCATCCTTCTCCAAACATGCCTACCCTCCTCAAGACCTCAAAAACCCATCCGCATCATACAAACTTTTCGGCGTAGCAGCCATGACGACAACATCTGGTTTCCTCTCCCCTCCGACGACACGTCCTCCTGCCGCCGGCGTGCTGAGAAGTCTCGGGTCCCGCCGTGTCAATAACTTGTTGTTGTTGTTGTTGTTGTTTTGGTCGTCCTCATCTTCATTTTCATGATGATGATCATCATCATAATCCGGATAGAATGAAGATCGTGCGAGAGAGTCGCGAGCGGGAGGACGAGTAGTAGTAGTACTACTACTACTGACGATGTAATGTGGAGTGAAAGATTTTTCACTACTTCCTGCGGTTGTGGGTCGGGAGTCATTGGCTCGCTGTTGTTGTTGTTGTTGATGATGATCTTCCTGTTGCCAATATTTCTCGCCGTCGTCCCAGACACTTGAGTGTCTTTGCTGGGTCATGATAGGACGTTGTGGCTTTTGCTGCTGTTGCTTTTGCTGCTGCTTCTGACACTGCTGATTTTCTTGGTCTTGATTCTCTTTGTCACTACCCCTTCGCCTCGCCTGAAGCGGGGGAGACGAATTCAATGCTTGAGAGTATCTGTATTTGTCGTCGAAGCCAGCCAAAGCACCTTGAATATCGATGGACAGCGACTCGAAATCAATCTCATCCATCGCATTGCCGGGTTGGTGTTCGGCTCCTGCGTTGGTGGAATCAAAGTCGAAATCGAAGAGACTGTTGGAGCTTTCTTCGCGATGGATTGCTTGTCCTTCTCCTGCCTCGGGAGAGGTCGGGATCCAAGGGAGTAGAGGTGAAGCTTCCCGGCCCAAGCGCGTGTAGTTCCTGCTCGCTCGCGAGCGATGGACCTTGACTTCGCTATTCATGCGACGCAGCTCGGTCACATTGCGTAAAACACTTTTCGCAGGGGGTGCTCGAGGGCCGAGAGGTGAAGTGAGTCTTTCGCGTGGAGCCTTGGCTGAGGAATCGATGTGGAGCGACTGTGGTAAAGGTGGTGGGGAAGACGATTCTTGAACTATCGTTGACAAAGATGGAGGGCGAGCGAGTGTGGGACGCGGCATAGTATCACAATTTCCCTCGTCATCGTCCATCGTGATGTGCTCGTACGAGGTATCGGGTTCCCAGCGTGGAAGAGGACAGTAGTCATCGTCGTCGTCAGCTGGCTGGGGTGGAAGAAGTATGGGCACGTTACTGCCTGGAAAGTTGACACTCTGCGATGCCATCATCGCGCTGGCATTCTCAGAGGTCAACTTCACTGTCGCGCGCTTGGAAATCTTCTCCGGAATAGCAGGCCGCTCGGTAGCACCCGGTAGATCGAAAGGTCTACTCGCAATAGTCTTTGGAGAGCAAGGAGGACTGTCGACATGCTCTGCAGCAGGACTTGTAGGAGAAACTTGATCAACCATCAAGTCTAGGCCGCCCATTACAAAAGGCAAGAAGAAGCTCGACCTGCGCAGTTGCTCATCTTCCTGCTCCCCTTGCGTTTTAAATGGCGGACTGGCTGGATCGTACTCCTCGCCACCAGTGACTCGAGGAGAAACATGTGGCAATTCGATGATATGTGGCCAGGCTGGATCGTACTCATCACTCTTTGAAATTGGCATGGGCGGACTTGACGGGATGGCTACATCTGCCACTGGAGTGGGCTCTTCTGACGACATGTCCAGCGCAAAGGGAGAAGAGCTCTGACTGCTGGTGCGGTAATCGGTGGGTGATATGTTCTCCAATGGCGAAAGCGTGTCGATTGGAGAAATGCCGACGAATTCAGCTCTCGGAGCAGTGTCGCACTGGATAGGCGACACCGAAGCGCGAGACTTGCCAGCTGGAGATGGGAATTTGGGTATATGGAAAGACCCTCCGCTCATTCTTGAAGGACTGCGTTCCATCGTGAGCGATTCGCTGTTCATGCTGTCATTGGATGCTTGCCGAGTCGATGGCAGAGGTCGTTCTGGATGCTCTTGCTGATATACAGTCCATGTAGACAGGGTTGGAGAGCTCGGTGTCAACGACGCGCGCAGTGTTTGCACACGTAAGTTTCTCGCGTCCAAAGCGTGAGCCTTAGGCGCTCTACTGCCGCACGCAAGCAAGAAAGATTGACGCTCCTCAGTGGGAGTAATTAGTGGTTCGGTACGAGGACGCTGCATTTCGTCGCTCTCACGCTCCTCGAGCACACCTTGGAGCAGAGTTGCAGGGCTTACTGATCTGCTGCGTCTTTGCGACGCTGGGGGTCCAAGGACCTGTGGTGTCAGAGTGCTGATGCGGACACAATTCTGTCTTCTATGACCCTTGCGGGCATTTGGTGAACCCTTTAGTGCACTTGGCTTGTGTGATCCCATGGTTGGCTCGCTGCCGGAGTCCCAATGGAAGGGGTTGCCATTGCTGCTGCTGCACGAGATAAGTGTTGAGTCAGAGGGCGAGCGCGCTGGTGTGGAGTGCTTGCTGGTGGCAGCATTGCCAGAGACCTCGTGTAGCACACTTGCCCGGCGGCGTTCAGATGGCGAGCCGTAGACTGAGACCGATGATACAGAAATGACTCTTTTAGCACGTTTGGTAGGCGTGCTATGCATAGTAGTGCTTGCGCTTCCGAATATTGCGTTGGAGGATGAATCTCGTCTTGCGGGTGTCGTGATCTTGGTGATACCTCCAGGGCCCAGCAGAGAATTCGAGGAAGAGACACGGCTCAGGCTGACGGCCTCTGCAGAACAGATCTGAGGAATTGACAGTCTATTTTCGTTGATTTTCAGCGAGCCGGAATTCGAGGACCATTCATTGCGCACATGCTGCGTGAGAGCACTTTCAGTACTCGGTCGCACGAGCCTAGTCCGTACTGAAGTGCGAGACTTCTGAACACGCATGTTGGCAGTCGGCCGTAGGCCCGAAATGCGAGGGTTCTGGCACTGTCGATTGGCGATGGTCCTGAGCTCTGCGTCGTCGTTGTCCTCGAGGGACTCCTCGACCCTGGGCGACTGCAGTGGCTGTTCGGCATCACGCCGCTCCGATATGGGGCTAGCGATCAACACAGAGCTGCTGGCAGAGTCGCTGGAGGAGTAGGACATTCTGGACACACTCACCGCCTGGCGCAGGCGATCCTCTTTACTGAGGTTGTCATCAGGCGACGTAACCGGCAAAGGCGGCACAGGTCCAGAAGGCGGCCGGGAGCCTGGTGCTCCAAGGCTTACTGATCGTACGTGCAGATCAGGTCTGCGACGGTTGCTCGTGTTCGGCGGGCGTGGTAGACTGTCACCAAAGACAGCTCCATCATCAGTCAGAACGCCCATTGATACAGAGCGTGCAACGAGCGTGGGCTTCTTTGCGTCGCCATTGTCGATGCCAGAGCCATGCGGGCCAGATGATCGTATCGCGAAGGAAGGCGCCACATTGGACCTGGGGCTTTCCGGAGCTGGCGCAGGCGCAGAAATATGCGCCGAGTTCGTTCCTCTTGCTGTAGGAGATGTGGTGTTCATTTGTTCGAAAATAGGCAAGGACGACTCGCGCGGCATAGAAGTGCTACGGGGGCTCTCTGCGATCACAGAGAGATGCTTCCTTGTCCAAGGTTTGAGTGCCATTACACTCTTGTGCTTGATGCGCTTAGGCAGCGAGACTGATAACCTCTTGCGCTTGCCACACGTGTTGGTCAAGGACTGCACTGTCTCGTTTGAGCCAAGCTGACCCCAGCCGCCCTGGGTGAATCTGCTACATGACGCTGCGCTGGCAGGCCGTGCAATCTGGCGCATATCTTCTCGAAGAGATGCAGGCATTGAAGCCCCGTGCTCCAATTCGGCCATCTTCCGCTTGTGCGCATTGCGCTTGCGTACGAAGAAGAGACCAAGTATGATAAATCCGACGATGAGGAAAGATCCAATACCCACACCAACACCAACAATGGTGGTCGAGGTCAATCCTGGAGTAGTAGCAGCCCCTACTTCCGCTTGGCGAGGGACGATGGACACATAGTCTTCGAGATGATATCGCGCCATGGTCACGTAATCGTCCATACTGTCTCGGGGGTCCCAGAATCCGAATTCGCGGTCCAGTTGTCTCTCGTGAGGCCGTTACGTCGTTTGAATCCCGCTGTTCGTGCTCATTATCAGCCCTGTCGTCGATCGTCGCTTGCGCGAAAGTCGAAGTTGCGCAAGGCGCCCGGCGAAATTAGGGTACTGGTGTACTGTTGTGATTTGGTCTGGTCTGGCATGCGGGCCGTTGCTACGACAGGTATGTTGGAATGTGAGTAAAATGGGCGTCTCACGTGGCAAATCCCCAATATTCAGCTGCGGAGAGTGTAAGATTAGAAAGAAACTGATTGAACGTTGTAACTGTAGAAGAAATGAGTGTTGCGGTTAAGAAGTCTTAGGAGGTAGCAGGATGGGTAAGAAACAAAGCCTGACAAGACCGGGCAGCGACGACTACGACCGTTTCAACGAAGGACGTTAGGTCGTCCTCGTCTTATCTCTACCGTGCCTGTGTGCTCTCATCAATGCTCTCGGGTCACAAGTGACTGGCAGTGGTTCGTGACGCCAAAAACGATAAGAGCCGATGGTAAAGCTGGACGAAGAGATGAGACTTGCCAACGTCTTACCAATTGAGGTGGACCCATCCTCACGAGTACATAAAGAGCAATGAGCCCAGGCTACTTGCAGGAGAAATTGTGGTCGAAACCATGGTCTTCTCTCTTGAGGACTGTGGTTTCAGGAGACGGAGCCAAGTTCGCTGGATACCGGAAGCTCAAGTGAAGCCGGCCAGCCAATCAGTAAGAACATGGATGGAGATGCCATCTCGGATTACATCTCCAGCCTACTACCTTTGCGTCTCGCCTGCCAGGACGAATGAGTATATATGGGCATTGTGCGCGCTTTCAAATGTGGTGAATGATATAGTTCATGCGTGCGACCGGCTTCTGCGATGGTACAGCGTGCCAATCTTCCTGGCTCCGACGGCGAGCGTTCTCGTCGGCATTTTGGCCAAAGGTCTCTTTCTTCTACGCAGCTTCGAGTGCGAGGCGGCAGCTGAGCCTGGATCATTTGATGCGATAGCGGGAGTAGAGGTGTATGCATGTTATTGTCTTTGTTCCAATATTCACCAATTCGCTGTCGAGCACGAGACCGAAGCGGCTCACGGTGACTTGGCCCGCTCTTTGGGATATCACGTCGTGTGTGTGTCGCTTGTGTGCCAGTGAGAGAGGCGGTCGAGGGCGTGGGCTATTGGAGGATAGGCTGTAGAAGGAGGAGTTGTTGAGTGGCACCGCATTGTCGGATATAGGTACCTTACCTTCAAGGAATACCGGTATGATGCTGACCGAATTGTTGTTGGGAATGGCCATCGAGGAGGAGATTAACGAGCTTCGGATCAGCGGTTCTAGAAGGCCGTAGTGTAACAGGCTAAATCACGTCTTTTCTTGTGCAATTGCGGGGACAAATTTGAAGAAGTGCGCCAAGACCCCGAATTGCCATGTTTAGAACGGCCATTGCCACTTTTCATTGAGAAATTGCTTTGAATTCACTTTGGGCTCACTTGGGCTCGCTGCTCGCACCACTGTCTCCGATGTGCCTGCTGTGTTAGGAGGTGAGAAGATCAGGCCGCAGCAGGAGTGAGCTACCTTCTACTTCTTCTTCTTCTTCTTCTTCCTCCGCCTTCTCTTTCCTTCTGCTTCCATCTCCTCCACCAGCTGCGTCTCCTTCTTCCTCCTCTTCCTCCTCCTCTTCCTGAACCTCCTCCTTCTCTCCCTCGCTCACCCACTGCCTCATTCGTACAACGACGTTGCTGCAGTCCCTGCCTGACTTCTGACACGTTTCCGGTCGGCGCTGCGGATTCCTAACGCCTTCCCGGTTTCCGTTCGAACGACAGGACACGACATAACTTACATTGGGCAAGAAACCTTCCGGGTCCTCCGGCATACGTCACCAGTACATGGAGTGACAGGAAAGAAGGATACACGCGACGGAACGCCGTGTACGGCCAATTCCAATTGTATTCCATATCACATCATTTCTATTTGACTACCCTGCGACAGCCTGGTGAAAACACGGTATCCAAGCACGCGCAACCACGAACAGCTGCCTACGGTCCCCTGACGCAGTCAGAACAGAGACTTCGACTCCGACTTCATCATGGTGTTTCCCGTCGACTCCATTCCAGCCGTCTATCACGAGGAGCGTGAGGCGGCAGACTCGGCCAAGCGACATGCGCACATCCAACAGCAGAAGGCCAAGGTGCACGCTGCACAGGTTGCTGCTGCACTGAAGGCACCAGCGGCAGAGCAGGCCAAGCCGTCGGCGGATACCCCGCCGCAGCGACCACAGTTGACTCGCCCTGTCTCCTCCACCGTTTTCGGCAATATCTATCAGGGTTTTGCTCGCTCGTCGCAGAGCACGCCACAACCACGCAGCATTGCTAGCGGCAGTTCCACTCCCGTCACCACGCCTCCAGCCAAGGTCGTCACCCAGGCGGAGCTCGAGCGCGACATGGCGCGAGCTCAGAAGTTGGCGGATCGGAGGCAGGGCGCCGACATCGTCGGGCCGGGATGGTGGTGAAAACCAGCTAGAGATCGCTGCGAGCGACTGAGGTCTATGATATTACGGTGTTATGAGTTACGACCAAAAACACTTTCTGCGCTGAGCATGGCGTTAGTGAGAGAGCGAAAACGCAAGCGGAGTCTTGAGATGGAGCGAGGATTATATTATCGTTACCTTATCGGATATTAAGCTAGGGGAGGGCAAAATGGGAGGGTTAGCGTCGGCGCAACAAGTCTGTATACTACCTGTATGGGGGTAAGAAATCATGCAACAATGCATTAATCACAATGGAATGTTAACGTCCTCCACATTCCACATCCATGTGCACGGGTCGTTCCCAACAGGTAAGCTCCGATCGAAATCGTCCGCTTTGTGGTCGCGCAGCTGCTTCGGGATAGAGGCCCAATGGGCTCGGTGTGTATGGCCGCGTCGTGCGGGCCTGCACAATCGCTCACGCAGCATGTCGAACTTCTATGTCGCTGGGCTGAGTGTCCCAGAGGATGCTCCAATAGAAGAATCGGCCAACACTCGTGGGCCCTTGGGTGCACCTGAGATGCCCAATTATGGTCTGCCATCGCACAAGGAGCCTCGCCACTTACCGGGCCACCATCGAGACGCTACAGCCTTGACGTTGAGCGACAACTACAAGTCCAAAGAGCCCGTCGGGATCGGCGTTGAGCCACTGAATATCATCATTCTGGGGACGTCGTTCGCGGGCCTGTCGTGCGCACATCACTTCTTGGACCACACCATTGACCGTCTTTGCACCACAACACAAGCGAGCTATCGCTTGATCGTGATTGGGCCCTCGACGCATCTGTATTGGAACATTGCTGCACCTCGGGCACTGGTGCCTTCAGGACTGGTCCAGCATGAAGACCCTTTCATCGCCGTGGAGCCTGGCTTCCATCGCCATCGCGGCCACCAGTTCACCATCATCCAAGGCTCGTGTATTGCGATGGACCCTACCGAACGCTCCATCAAAGTTGACTGCTACAACTTTGAAGCCATGAAGCGCTGCGCTTTCATCCAGCCCAAAAGATGCAGCCAGATGCCCATCAAGAACCTCGCAGACCTCACGAAAGTCCAAACACTAAACTACCACGCCCTGATCATCTGTACGGGGACTTCCACCCATTCCGATCTCCTCTCTCTTCATGGCCCTCACCTCGACACCGCCGAAGCGCTCCATCGCTTCCACGGCCAACTCGAACGAGCAACGTCCATCGTCATCAGCGGCGGGAACTGCAGTGCAGTCGAGGTCGCAGGCACATTGGCAACCTATCTCAACTACAAACGCCACCTTCCCTTCCGAACCAAGCGCAAACCTCCCAAACAAATCACTCTCATCTCCGGCGGCTCCGTCCTCCTTCCCGACCTCGCACCACCTCTCCAAAAGAAAGCCGAAAAACAACTTCTCGACTTGGGCATCTCCATCCTTCACAACCACATCCGCGTCATCAAAACCGAAACCCTCTTCCAGCATCACGACGACCCAATAAAAGACAACCCCCCTTCTTCTCCTTCTCCTCCTTCAACCACAACAACAACAACCAACCTCCTCCTCTCCAACGGCACCAACATTCTCGCCGACGTCTACATCCCCTGCACCGGCGTCGTCCCCAACACGCAATTCGCACCCTCGCACCTCCACGATCCTCGCGGCTACCTTCTCACGCATAACAAAAGTTTGCGCGTCGAACGAGCGGGCCCCCGTACCTTTGCTGTGGGAGATGTGGCGAGTTATTCGCAGAATTATTTGGGTGATGTTTATCCTGCTGTAGGTGTTGTGATGCATAATTTGGAAATGGATCTTTTGAGATTTGAATTTTTGGCTTTGGCTTCTGGTGGTGGTGGTGGTGGTGGTGGTGGTGGTGGTAAAATCAACTCGAAAGGGAGGATGAGGAAGAGGAGTTCTATGACACTTTTTGGCGGTTCCGCTATGACAGCCAATGATGAGAATGAGAAGGAGGAGGATGATGAGGATAATGATTATACTGAACAAGTAGAACACTTACAAGATCAAGAATATGTGCAAAGGATCAAAGAGGATTGTATCGTGTGTCCCGTGACGAGATTTGGAGGTGTGGGGAGTTGGATGGGGACGAGATTGCCGAGTTGGGTGGTGTATTTGTTCAAAGGGAGAAGATATCGAATGGGAGAAAAGGGGGTGGCGAAGGTGGTGGTGCAGGGAAAGGGGCCGTATACGTATGGAAGTTGGAAAGCTGCGTAGGTAGCTAACTAGGTAATAAGGTACCTAAGGTATGTGTTTGACGGGGTTTTGGAACATTTGATGAGTATGAGGTAGTCGTCTCTTTCATAAGTCATGTTTATGTACGAGTCTGTCTCTATTTGCCGAATCGCTCAACTGCCAATCTGGACTTTTCTATTCCTCCTCCTCCTCCTCCTCCTCATTCTACGCGCTACTCCTCATTGGGGGCGCTGTGCGACGAGCGTGCCTACATTCTGTCTCTTGTTCGAGACTCGAGTAATAGTGACCGCGTCGCTGGCCCTCCGAGGAGATCTCAGTATAGAAGACATGGTATACACATCCTCTTTCAGACAGTACCTCCTGCCACCATCACAAGACGCCCAGGATGGCTGTGTCCTTTCTTGTTGGGGATGCTAGATCGCCCAGCTGTACATTGAAACAGCCGCTACTCATTTGGCGTGAACTCATTGCACGCAACCAACAAGAGTCAGTGATGGTTGCCTCATGACAGGGAACAAACTCGTACAATGTACGAGGTCCCTGAACGGATCGTGGAAAAGGCGCGAGCGCACGCCAATCCAGGTTGATGTGCTCCTCTTTCACCTAGGTGATCAACAATACCTGTGAGGTAATCTGATCAAGGAGGTCCAGTTGGCTCGGTGGTGCGTGAGGATGGTAGGACATCCGGCATTTGCGCTTGATCCTGGGTTTTCCGTCGTTATCATAGCCAGAATGGACTAGGCTGTTGCCCTATTGGTATATTCTTGGGATCGACTCATTCATGGAGTGATCCATGGCTGATCATCACCATGCTTTGTAGACAGAGGACTCTCGAATAGCACACCCATCCAAGCTGGTGCTGCCTTCGAGTGAAGCAAGGTCGTTCAGCTTGTCGTGAACAACACCGACGGGAACATTGTTTTCGTATATACAATCGCCAAGATGTCGAACTTCTCCCAGCACGTAGCGATAGGTTCGAATATGTAGAGCGCGTGACTTGAGAGCCTGACTGGGGACCTGACGCCAAGAAGCCAGATCGTTGTTGCTCATCCACTCCGGAGTTTCTGCGCCGCTGTTGAGCAATAGGGTGATCTTCCGTGTCGCGTTCACAGACATCCAGTCCGATGACCAGGTCGTGCGCCAAGTGCCTGTTTGCGCAAGCAACCAATCCAAGGGGTCATATTCTCGAATCCGCCCAGTGGCAGCATTCGTTCTACGCAGACAGAGCTTCGAGCCTTGCAGGATGGATGAGCTTAAGATGGCTTCCTGAAACGATCGGCTGACACGTTGTAGGGCGAACAGTGATGTGACTCCGCATGCATAGGCTTCAGTATTGGCTACCTCGAGCAGAATAAGTTGAAGCAGTTCAGGGATATTGAGGACTCGGAACACGGCCGAGAGCTGGGCATCGTCGTTGGTCATGATGATGATGATGATGATGATGATTGTACCTTCTTATGAATGTTGCTTTGGGAGCTTGGTAGTGCTTCAGTATGGCGGAAAGAGGATGTTGATGTTGATGCTGATGATGAGGATGAGGATGGTCTTGAATGGCCATTTCGGAGCAGGACAGGAGAGCCTGATGTGTTATATGTGTCTGTGTGTGTTGTCGACGGACTTCCGGACATACCATGTTGTCTTACCAGAGGCTTGTATACCGTCTTGGATGCAGCCGGAAGATTGCTGGAGGTTTAGGGGGAACACATCGAATTCCGACACCCGGTGGCAGATGGTGGCGAGGCGTCGACGACGGACGACCTGGGCACCAAGTCAGCTGTACGGAGGTACGACATTTGCGAAGGACTCGCTCTCGCTGGCGCCAAGGACACCCCCGACTAGTGCCTTGTTGCCTTGCCTGGGTTCGGGAAGCTGATGTCGTTTTCTCCGAAGCTCGAACTGGAGTAACAGTTATTAGTGTGTTACTGGACTGCGGTTACTGCGCCTCGAGGCCCAGCCCTTGGAACCCCACAGCCAAGTCGAGGAGGAGATACGATATACCTTTCCTTCTTTGAGACTCACCTACAGGCTACAGTAGACCTTGTAGACCCTGTGCAATGTAGTGCCAGACGGTGCAGTGTGCGGTCACAATATGACTTGCAGTAGGCTCTGGATTAATATTCGGCATCACAATATCAGTGTCAATCACTACACCTACTAATCATCCCTCCCATTCCCGAGCTTCTCTTCCCCAGGCTGAGGCTGGTATACAACTAAGGTACCTTATACATGACTACATGATCATCCATACTGCATACAGCCGTCTACATGGATGCAGACCCCGTCATCAAGAATCTTATTCTCGATTATAATAGATATATTATTCATATATCCATACAAGGACGATGCTCGCAGAACTGCTCCTGTCCATGATGTAATCCATCACAGCACCGCCAAGAATAGCGCACTCAGTTCGCTTTCCTACGCGAGACCGGGGATACATAGCCTTCTTCTCGGCATGACGGAGTTGAGATGCTGGGTTTCATGTTCAATGTCGGCCTATCGGCCCGGCCCCATGCATCCATCCATGATTCCATCTCCAACATCAGCTAATAACTCGTCAAGCCCGAAAATCCTCATGGAATGTCGGTCCTGCACTTTGCAACCACATGCAGCTTCATCTCGAGAGAGAGAGAGAGTGTGTGTGTGTGTGCGCGTGCGCGTGTGCGTGTGCGTGCTTCATCACGGCGCCGAGTTGCCAATGGGCGGCAAGTGCATGCATACCATGAACCGTCCGGAAAATCCAATTTTGAGAGAGAGAGAAAGTTGTATCGCCACGCACGCAGCGACGGCGAGTAGGTATTGTACCTACCTTAGGTACCTACCTTAGGTATACAAAGACCCCTCAACACTGCAAGCTCAAGGAGACCCTTAATCTGAGCACAGTTTACCAGACAACCCAACAACAGTGGAACCACAAGGCCGAACTCCCCCCGCCTCGGAACCCGTTCAACCCCAAGATTCTCAACAACGACTTATCACAACATCCTCGCGGTCGGGCTTGTAGCCATCATCTTCAGCAGCACAATGATACACTCCTAGCGCCAAAGAAAGATGCCACCTGCTCGTGAGAGGGTGTCATTTCCCCGTAGCAGAGCTGACAACCATAATACAGCAGAACAAGCAGGCAACTCTTTCTTTCTCAAAATAGGTACTTTCTGCAGTAAGCAAGCGGTTTGCAAGACTTCTGTTGAGAGACAAGTAAACCTCCGGCTGCGCTGTATTTTGATATTATCCCCCGACACGTCGAGCAGTGGTGGCCACGGAAAATATAGCAATGGCAGACAGATGAACTGCACATCGCGTTTGAAACGACGACGATAGCTGATTGAAGCCACACAATACCTCCTAGATGGAAAAAAACAACACCAACAACAACGGGACGAAAACCGAAAAGAGAAAAAGATCGCTGGAGACGGTAGATGAAACAATGCCTGTACCTCCTACCTATGCCAATCAACCAACCGATCCCGCTTTCCTAAGAAAGAAAACAGGGGCTGCTGTTACCGTTCTTACACTGACTGCAGTGCATACCTACCGTACCTTACACACATGTATAACCAACAAGCAGTCAGCAGCCGGCCGATGAAGAAAATAATGACAAAGGGGACAAAAAGAAAAAAAAAGGAAGAGGAATGGAAAAAGAAGAAGAAGAAGACGAAGAGAGAGAAAGAAAGAAAGAAAAGGAAAAGAAAAGAAAAGAAAAGGCAATCTCGGGTGCAGGAGGATGAGCAAACTTGTCCATTTTCCTTTTCCCTGGCGAGAGTTGCTCAAATACCTGGTACAGTATCCTTTGATCTGCACCACGAGCAGTTGCACAGTTGGGAAATCTGGTTCGATTGGTTCCAACCTGAACCAACGGTTTTGGGTGCTGCTGGTACCTTGCCTACAGGTAGGTACATAAGGTATTCTCCCATTCATGACAAAGCGTCACCCGCATCTAGATGGCTTACATACCTTATACGCTCTCTGCTGGAAATGGAAATCGCATAGAATACAGGTATGTAATCGAGCACACAAATAAGAGAGAGCTGGAGTCACTGGGAAGCACATTTCAAGGGCTAATTTAACCCATCCACGTCGTGCGGACAGGCGAATGGCCCCAATTTTCAGTCCAACATGTCCAAAGATTGGGAGCAACGGGGAATCACTTGTTAATGGCCTTGAAATCAAAGCCACTGCATATCGCTCCAGGCTGTGCCCAGTGGCGCTGTACTACTACCTTGAAGAGGCCTATCGAAAGCCTCTCCAGTGCCCTCGCGCTACAATCACCATCTGAGTAGCAAGTCAATCAGAAAGCAACATTTTTTCCGTCGTAATCAGCCGAATTCTCCGTTCAGCCAAATTTTGTGAAAAGAAGACATTGGGTCCTCTGGTTCCCATGCGCCATGATGCATTGCTCGATCCCTTCAGTGGAAGAGAGGACCTTCCACCTCTCCCTCCTTTTCCAGCACCCACAAGAAACATCTACCTTGTGAAGAGGAGACCAGCAGCATCATTCAGAGCAAATTTCGCTAGGTGTCGTTTCTGGCATGAAGAGTTGATGAAGTGTATCGTTTCCCAAGTAGATCCAGCCCAGCATGGAGCTCGCGCCGTGAACTCCAGGCTCGTTCAACGCCGTCCTTCTGTGACCTGATTTGTGACCATGCGTTCGCTGCGTAACTTCATGACTAAAAGCTCAAGCTTTTGTTCGGAGTAAGAGGGAAAATGGTGATGGCTCTCTCAGTCCAGACGAGCCATCATCTGATCCTTGCTCATCGGTGTCAGGTTGTCAATATCAAGACCCTTGCCGGCCAGGACTGATTTCATGTGGGCTGGTACAAGCTGTGCGTTGAGGTGAGGTGCGATCGACAACTCTGTGATCACGCGTTAGTCCACTCTCAGTGTGAGATACGGCCATGGCATTTGTGACATACCATGATGAGAGAAATCGAACAAGTTGGGAAGGTCTTTGCTCGCTCCGCCCGAGTGTCGCGAATCCGGGAGTCGCGTACTAGGATCCCTGAGCTCGTCGAAGAAGGGGTGCACCATGGCGTCCACTGCCGACAGGCGCTGCGTCGGCGTGTACTCCAACAACCGCGAGATCAAGTCAATTGCATTAGGGTCAGCCTTCCTAAAGACCTGATGATGCGATACGTTAGTACCAGGCTTCACTGACCCCATATGCCAACATACCTTGCTGAATGGGTGCGGCTTGATCTGCGGAAACTTATGCTCCATGTAGTTTGGATTCATAGTCCTAATTTGATCCCTGGTTGGAGTGCCAAGAACCTTGATAATCTCGACTAGTTGATCGATGCCCGACTCGCCAGGGAAGAGAGGCTGTCCGAGCATCAGCTCCGCCATGACGCAGCCAGTGGACCAAACATCTGCAACCAGTCAGCGGTAGAGCACAATATACGAGGAAGTTGACTCGACTCACCGATCTTGGTGGTATAGTTAGTAGCACCAAAGATGAGTTCCGGCGCACGATAGTACCGCGAGCAAATGTATGAAACATTGGGCTCATTTTCCACAAGGATCTTGGCACTGCCAAAGTCGCAGAGCTTCAGAATACCTGAAGCCGGGTCCAGAAGCAGATTCTGCGGCTTGATGTCGCGGTGGCAGATGCCTTGCGAATGGATGTACGCGAGGGAGCGGAACAGCTGGTATATGTAGAGTTTGACCTCGAGAATGGGCATGGTGCTCTTCAGCTTGTTGAAGTGACGCGAAGCGCGATACACAGTTTCTGGAACGAATTCGAGGACCAGATTGAGATAGACTTCGTCTTTCTGCGCGGCGATCAGAGATGTTTGTACGTTCATTCGGGCGTCGGTATCGCGAACCCTATCACCGTTGGAGTAGTAAAACGCCTTGAGCTCGACAATGTTTGGATGGCGGACGATTCGCATGATCTGAAGCTCTCTGTTCTGTCGGAAGCGTCAATTCTGTGAACCTCCCACGTCGGCTCTCATGTCGAGTCAGACAACACGGCGTACCTTGAATCGCTTGTCTTGCAGGACACGCTTGATGGCTGCATCCTCACCCGAAGGAGAGAGTTTGGTCTGAAAGACGACACCAAAACTTCCATTGCCGACGATCTTGCATTGAGTGTACTGCATCTCTTTGGTTTCGCCGGTCAGGCCATCCTGCACCTTCTCGCGAATCACTTCGGAACCTGATTTGTGGTCAGCATGAGCCTGTATCAGTGACAATTGTGCCCGCCGCTATTCGACGAGAAGAGGAAGAAGAAGAAGAAGAAGAGCGTAGAAGTGTGTAGCCGGACCACGTACCTCCCATTCTGAGACCTTGAAAAGCCGAAGGTCGGTTCTGCGACATTTGACGGTCGAGGTGTCGTTACGCGCGCAGCGGCGTAGTACTATCGCGAGTACAGCGGACTGCTATTCAGGTATTGGCGGAGAGAGCACAGCGGTGACGCGAGTGAGATCCGTGGTGGCGGTAATGAGATGCCCAGCGAGATCTGGTCGGCGGTGGAAATACGGAGCGCGCGAGATGTTGCGGAGGTGGGTGTAGAGCGGCGTGCAAGGTGCGAGAGGCAGGTATAATGACGAGTGATCAGGTGCCACACGGGCTGGTGGTATTGGCCGATACGGAAGGAGCAGGGCGTTCGGAAGGGTGACTCCGAATCTGACGAGCAGATCAATGGGTTGGTGGTCAGTCGGCGAGGCGAGGTGAAGTGAAGTGAGGTCAAGCCTGTGAGGTGAGCCGCGCGAGTCGCGTGAGGGCTGGTCGACGGGCAGGTGGTGATGGTGGGAGCGGTGGTGGTAGTGGCGGCGGTGGTGGTGGTTGGAGGAGGAAGAGGTGGTGGTGGTGGTGGTTGAGGTCTCGTGGTGCGCACAGGTAAAAGGTTCTCGCAGAAGGACCTGGAGGCAGCGCAAACCAGTGATGTAGTAGTGGTAGTGGTGGTGGTGGTGGACTAGAGAGCGAGCCCGAAGAACCCCTCACACGGCGATCGAGGGAGGATAAGGTAGGGTGAGGTCAGGTATTAAGAGTGCCCAAGCGTGAAGAGAGGTGAAACACGCTGGCGCTGCTGCTGCGGCTGTTGCTGCTGAGGGCGTGCGTGCGTGACTCTGAGGGCAGGCGTGACAGACAGGCAGGTGCAGGTGCAGGTGGTGGACGTGGACGTGGGCGTGGATGTGGATGTGGACGTGGACGTGGTCAAGGAGTTTAGTAGGAGAGGTCAGGTCAGGTAGTAGGAGGTACCTCGTAGGAGGTAGTAGGTAGTGGTAGGTGGTGGTAGGAGAGTGTGATCCAGGCAGACAGAAGGCTGTCCACAGACACAGACGAGGGCAGAGTCGGTACAGTAAGTACCTTGGGTAGGAGGTAAGGTAGGAGGTAGCTGTGGTAGGAGGTAGTGGCGGGCGACGTCTGGGCGGGACTGGGCTGGCTGGGTGTGTTAAAGGTGCGCGCTTCACGAAGACGGGAGCAAAGGCAGCGGACGGCGGGCAGGGAAAGAGCAGCAGACACGGTGCAGCAACAGCGCCAACGCCAGCGACAGCGCTCAGACTCTTTTGTAAATAACATGTGGGCCTGCCTCTTTCTGCCCTTCCTCGTGACGCTGCGATGTCATCCTCACAGCGGCCTCCATCTGTCGCCGCCAAGTGCCTCCCGGACGGCCTCCCAGACGGCGTCGATTGTCATCGTCATCCTCCTGAATCTGATCACCGTGTTTGATGAACGTATGTACCTTGATTATCATCATCGTCATCATCATCATCATCATCATCGACGGTACAGCCTACAGGTACCTGACTTCTTACATTTTATCTACCCAACATTACCTATATGTTAATGTACGTGACCTGGGCTCCGTGATTACAGTACAGTGTCGTTGCGCACGTCCACGTTCACTACCTCTCCTCTGTACCTGATGTAGAGGCGAATGGATGGATGGATGGATGTACAAGTGCCGCCAACAGGACAAGCCCGCCCCGTGAGAACTCCCGCCGAACTTCACACACCAGCAAGCAGGCCATGCTCCCACTCCACCCGTTGAGGAGGTCCCGTCGCTTTATTATTCACTATTTCCTCACTAACCACGTGCTCCTTCTGCACCTGCACGGTCCAGCGGTCAAAAAGGGCATAGTCCTCGCCGGGCCCGCTTTCCCGGAGGTCAGCTGCTCGACGACGGGCGACTTTCATATTTCAGACTGCTCACGTGCCAGCCCAGCCCAGCCCAGCCCGCACTCTCTGCGCTTGCTTCAGCCTTCCAGCTTATTTGGAGTTGGGACGGGTCAGGTTGGAATTTCTGATACCTGATTCACCATTGCACCGCTTCCCGCCCTCCAATACCATCGGATGCTTCCTTTTGCTTCACCGTACCGTCACCCTTCCCTCCCTCCGTGCTTGACTCCTACATTATCATTCATTCTGCATTCATACATGTACCTGTAGGTAGGTAGCACTGCTCCGTCCTCGAGGATGACTCCGTAGAGCTGGAGACGTTGTTGATCCCTGCAGCCAGCCAGATAGGCTCTCGCCAGCCTGCATCTGCTCTTCACGTCTTTCCATCCGCCGAAAAGTGGCACGCACGACCTGCAGCAGCTTTCTCACTGCCCTGCTCACGTCCGGGCAGTCCTGCATGACGGCCATTTGCACCGCCAAGTCTGCTGCAAACCAATCAGAAAATCGCGATGAAATAGTACAAGATACTTTCTTCCTGCCCAGGGGCAAGCTTCCCAAGCTTCCGAAGGGACGTCCACGCCATTGGCGCCTGACTGCCTGTGTTTTGCGTGGTGAACTGTGCATCCCGGACTATGTCCACAGGTCTGGGAGACGAGCTAGCTGTGGCTTTCCCAAGCCTGTGAACAACACCACCTGCAACGCTGTTTGTCGCTGCTTTCAATGGGATTGCAGGCAACCGCTCCAAATAGGAGGTACGCATGGCGAATACCGGCGAACGAGCATGTTCACTCGCTTCGTGATGAGGGGAAGGTCTGCGAGTCTCTCATGACACTACCTAGGAGCCCCGCCAGACTTAGGTAGTCACTTTCAGGGAGGGACAGCGAGAATGTGCAGACTGCTGATGATTCCATGCCACGTATCGTGAGAACTGCATCTCAGTTGCTCAACGGCTGCTAACGTTGCTTATAGGTACAGATACCAATCGTTCATCATGCCTTGCAAACTTGCTAGTCGACCACGCTGTGGTACATGTATTCAGACATGGCAGGTGATGACCGGGATAGCGCGGTTGTGGTGAAGTGAGGTCCGCCTACCTCGATATAACAATTTGTTATTACCTATGAACCGCAATTTTGCTGTGGAGTCCCTGGAGAGGTCAGCTGTTCCATCTTGCACCTACACACATTACCTGGTACATACTATTCATGTTGTGAAGACTCCCGCCGTAGGCTTATTACTAACTCTACGCCACGAAATGCCTTCTAGATCGCCCTCCCGAGGCCCAAATAGTACTGCGGTACAAGACCCTCGATATTGAGCAAGCCACAAGAGAGTCCAGAACCCGGGGGGGTGTTTACAAGTGGCGAGCTTCGTGGCAATACTGTACAAGAGGTACGGAACGGTACGTGTACCGAGTGCGCCTAAAAGCATTTCCGCATTCCAATTTCGGGGTCACGGCCAACGCCAGTAGTGTGACAGCATCATAAGGAAGGTACCTCCTCACCAACACGAAGCTCCTGATTAATTCTTACCTTACCTGACCATAGCTCCTTCCTGCTCCCCCCTCTCTTCAGTACTAGCTAAGGTAACCACACAAGTCGAGTCACGCGACATTGCATGTGACCGATTTCAAGATGAGGATCCGCGAGACATCTCTGATACATGACACTCGTATCGCGACCAGCTCTCCCCATATCACTACCTCCTAGTGCCTGAACGTCTTTTTATTATTATGATTGCTACAGATGCTCTCGGAGAAGTCGAGCGAGACCAAGACACACACACACACATACAAGTCCCGTCCATTATGCTTACATTTACAGTTACAGTTACCATCTAGTTTACCAATACTCGGGGTATCGCCGGCCCTCGGAACCAGAAAAATATACAGTATATGTCCCGACCCTGCCGTCAGACTTTACTAGAAGGTACTTCACTTCAATCCATCAAACTAACAAAGAAAGAAAGAAAGAAAGAAAGAAAGAAAGAAAGAAAACAACAGCAGCAGCAAATCGTTGCACCTTTGCAACTCCCCGTCTTCTCCAGCAGGCGAGAAACGCCCTAGCTTGCCCACGATCGTGTGCTGGTGCGAAGGCAACCAATGTTACACTACATGTATGTATTTTTGCGAAAAACAAAAGTCTCAGCAATACCTTACCTACCTCCTCCCTCTCCCTCTCTCTCTCTCTGCGTTGGGACCATCTAATACATATTCCTCAAACCTCCGGGCATTCCAGTCCAGTCCAGTCCAATAGCCTGCTACTGCGGACAAGCGAAGGCGGAGATGACCATCATAATGACTATCTTCATCATCATACATTACCACTACAACTTAAGCTCGCAAAACAGAACAGAACAGAACAGAACCTCAATTGAAACACACACACACCCCCACGACTCTTTTCCTCTCTGCTCCGAGCTACCGCGGACACTGTGTCACTTCCTAGATACATAGGTAACATGCATGTACTGGACGTCTTATAGTGATGTACCTCCTACTACACATAAGAATAGAACTTAGATACCTACCACCGGGCAACACACACGCACGTTACCTGACCTTGTGATTTATTTAGCTCGAGATGGGTGAGAGTTAGCATAAGGTATGTAGCTTCAGCTTAGCCCAGAAACGTATTAGGGGGCTAGGTAGGTAGGCACACCAAGTTTTGTTTCGTTTCAATGTTTTGTTTGTTTTTTGGGCAAGTGAGTACCTACCTACGGTAAGTCGTATATACCTACCTACCTACCTACATATAGTCAAGGCTACCTTAGGTACACAAAGAGAGAAAAAGAAGCGTTGGATTTAGTACAACCCTAAAGGCGGGCGGTTTGGAAAACACCTATGCAAAAAGATGCACCAAATCATGACGATGGGGATTTCAAATGTGTTTTCTACAAGTGCAATGGTATTGGTACATAATTCTTTGGGTATCAACGGAGATTACCTAGGTACCTTATGATATATACAATTAAAGAGGTTCGTACATGCCTCGCTAGAACGATCAAAACAAAGCAGTCATCGTGGGTATATACTATATACATCTATCACTCGACCCAGGTACCATGTGCGGAGGGGCTTTTCGCCCTCGCAGGCCCTATCCCGCTCTCCCCGCCGGCGAATCTGGTGCTTCCTGCTATGTAGCCAGATGATTTCTTCTGCTTCCTTCTTCGCTTTCCAGGACTACTGGTATGAGCAACGTGGTCGCTCGTCTGCCTCGTATATTCTGGCGAATCCCCTGGACTTCGATCCTCGTCCTCCCACTCGTCGTGGTCATTTCTGCTTGGTGAGGAAGGAGTTTCGACGTTGATCTCCACCTCAGCCTCTTCCTGCTCCTCACACGGGCCAGGTCCTCCATTATCCCTATGATATTGAGTATCAGCTGGTGCGGTATTCGACCGCCACAGCTTACGCCTGAATAAGCTAACTGGACTGAGACTGCCAGGCGAGTTAGGTGGAGATTCCCAGCCCGAGAGAGCTGTGGTGGACTTGTTGAGTAATTGCTGCATGAGTGGCATTTCAAGACCGCCATTGCTAGATCTGCCAAAAAGGACGAGCACCAAACACATGAGCAACAAAGTGGACTGCACGATGCCTACGCGCTTTTGCCAGACGAGTTCATCAGCCACCATTGTCAATCGTGAGCTCAACGCGAGCATCTCACGCTGATATGTTTCACGCTGGCCTTCGAGCTCAATCACGGTGCTTTGCCACAGCTGGTCGTACGCTTGACGAAACCCTTGTAGCTCGACCATCACAGTCTCGTTGAGCTGAGTGAGAAACCTGCTGGTCGTGGAGACTTGTCGTTTTTCGACCTTGCTAAACGCCTCGCGAAGAATGCGGGATTGTTCCTCAATGTATTGTAAACTCAGTGTGCTGTTGCTTTCGAGCTGCTGCAGTCGTTTATGGACCGATTTGAAGAAGGATTCCTGTGTTGAGGGCTGCGGAGGAGGTGGCGAGCTTGAGGATGAGGCGGCAGTGCGGGTCGAGTTGGTCATACCCGATGCTGTCTGATTAGCGTTGATTGAAGTGTTGACGGAAGCAGCTGCGATTATGGTAGAGGAGCTGCTACTATTAATTCCTGTTACAGATTGCGGTGTCTCTTCATGATGGGTCGAACTCGCTGCTGGTTGAACACTCGATTCACCCACTACTTCAGTGGACGTGCTTTCCATTGTGGTCGAAATAGAGCTGACGGCGGAGCTAGAATTGGACACGATACTTGTTGATGCACTCGTGTCAGTAACTGGACCCTGTGTAACCGCCGATGCCGCGCGAGAAGCCGCAGCACTTGAGCTTGCTGCGACGTCTGAGGTTGCTGGTAGATCGCAGGTCATGTTCGCGTTCGCGGGCTCGTACAGACCCACTTGCATTGGTGAACTGTCATTGCTATAATCCACAGTCTTAGGGCTTTCCGCTGCAGCAGCCCTGCTGGGCTCAATAGTTTCTGTAGGCGACATAGGATCAGAAGTCGGCACTTCCTCTATGGTGTTCGCGTCTGCACTGGCGGCCTCTCGCTCGACTTCCACCACAGGTGGCACGGCTTGCTCAGTCGCTTTCGATGTCTCATCTGTGAGTTCTGCGGGCTCTTGGTAGATAGGGGGAGTAGCCAAAGCTTCTGCTTCGAGCGCCACGTCATCAATTTCTCCGCTCGCAAGCTCTTCCTGGTGCCTGTAGTCCTCCATCATCGTGATTCCGTGCACTCGGAGCAAGCTGACTGGACAGTAGTACTCTGAGCCATAGTGCGTCAAGAACTCAATGCGCAGATATCTCGCCCAGATTTGTGGATTCTCCACCAAGAATGCCTGTATCTCACGCGTGTTACGTGCTTCGAAAGTGCCAAGATCCCTCCACTTCTCCATCTTGACAGGGTAGCGATCAGAGACAGACAATTTGAAGTGCCTGAAGCCCGAACTGAAGAACTCGTAGTTGGCTAGCACCACCGTATCAATCTGGATGTCATTGCACAACTCCACAATAAAAAACTTGTTCTCAGCCGAGCACTTGTTCAGCATATAGCTGTCCTTGCTCTCGATCAATACTGAAGTCACAGACTTTGCTTCCTTATTAGACTTCAAAACCGTTGCAGCACAATCAAAAGATGCATAGTTGGTTCGCTCTTTACAGGTCTTGCCAGCATCCTTGGAGCGTAGCGAAGTCGGGTTGTCTGACGGGGCGGTCTCTGTCGCGGAATTGGTCCTGTCAGGCATCCGAGGCTGCGATGCAGCGCCGAAACCTGCAAAGTCAATGTCGATCTCCTGGTCGTCACCAAGAGTATCAAGAACATTGTTGACTGGACGTGGCCGCGGAGGACCATTGTTCTGAGATCGACCCACGTCTTCAGGGTTCTGGCCACTCTTTGCCAAATTCTGTCTCTTCCAGTCTTCAAAAGACAAGAAGTTGGCATTATCCAATGCCGAGTCGACCTCTTCTTCGATGGATGGGGCTGGAGCAGCTGGACTATCGGTTACTGGTGATGCTGCAGGAATGCTCGAGCTTTGAGTAGAAACCTGCTCACGGGCTGATCCGCCGTGCTCTGCGATGGCGATGGTGCTTCCATTTGCAACAGTGTAGGTCACAATGACCACCTGAGGCTGTTGGTCTGAGGTAATGGTAGTCGCGAAGGCCCCAGTATTGTCTGTCACATCTGGCAAAGCGCTCTGCGTAGCACTGGAGGACGCACGGTCGGTTCTCAGGCACTGTTGCGCCAGTGTGTGGGTGATGAAGTTCACCGTCCGGCTAGGACATGTTCCCGTACTGTTCAACGACAAGAGGCCTACGCTGGTCCATACCGGCGCGCTGCTTGTGACAGAGGGTGTCTGTGTCGTCCTCGATGTCGAGTATGTATCATCATGGGGAATGGATTGAGCGCTGCCGGAAACCGCAGAGAGCCACAAGAAGACGACAGCATTGCGCAGCATACTAAGCATGATGTCTCCACATTGTTGTCTTTGCGCTCCAGTCCATAGATGTCGCAGATGCGAGAGGGACGACCGGCCGCTGGTGGTGGTATGGCCCTGGTCGCGTGAGCAGTCTTGAGAACACTTTGCAAAGTCACACGTTGAAAGGAACCAGGTCAAAATGGCTGTGGCGCGCAAGCCAATGCTCGCGTGGCGTGCGAATGTGGTGAGCCACGGGAATCTGATGGTGTACCACAGCAAGTCGTGTATGGCGCAGATGTATGATGGACATGTGGCGGATGGGCACAATTTCTACGTTCGTCCTGTTTACAGTCATTCAGGTAAAAGTACATAACACGAAGGTAGGGGGTGTTGGTGTCGGATGCGATGTTTGGAAGTCTCCGCGATTCAAGGTTGCCCTTGCGGCAAAAACATGCGCCAAGGCCCTCGAGCGGACCTCAGTCCGCTGAACGACTGGGAGACTCGAGACGCATTAATTACCTTTTGTAGCGACGACGGACATGTGAACATCCAGCGTGCAGCGCATTATCATCATCATCATGGCTGTGGTCTTCTCCGCTCGAGCTCGCATGCTCTGGGGCCACGCGCCTCGCGTCAGGTCGGCGGCAGCATTCAGGCGCACTCTCGCTACTGTGGCCGACCTTCCAGCACAGTACGCCCTCCCAAATGATATTCGACGCCGCTGAACACGGCTCTGACCATGACACAGGGAGTCTGTACCTGTTGATGTAGTCGTGATAGGAGGTGGCCATGCGGGATGCGAGGCCTCAGCAGCTGCTGCCCGAACAGGCGCCCGGACGACTCTCGTTACGCCGTCGTATGACAACCTGGGCGTATGCAGTTGCAATCCCTCTTTTGGTGGGATTGGGAAAGGGACCATGTTGCGCGAGATTGATGCCTTGGATGGCTTGGTTGGACGCATCACAGACCAGGCCGGCGTGCAGTTCAAAGTGCTTAATAGAAAGAAGGGACCAGCAGTATGGGGGCCTCGAGCACAGATTGATCGTGCACTATACAGGAAGCATATGAGAGCAGAGATGACACAATACCCTGGACTGACGGTCAAGGAGGGTAAAGTGGCAGACATCATCGTGGACCGATCACCCGAGGCGGCAGCAGAAGGCAGGCATGGAAAGATAACCGGTGTGCGACTGGAGTCTGGCGAGGTCATCACTACGAAGAATGTGGTGATCACAACGGGGACATTCTTGGGCGGCGAGATACACATTGGACTAGAAGTCTACCCCTCTGGTCGCATGGGCGAAGCGGCGACATTTGGGTTATCAAAATCGTTGAAAGATGCAGGCTTTCAGATGGGGAGACTGAAGACGGGAACACCTCCGAGACTTGATAAAAGATCTATCGACTTCTCCAAGCTGGAAGTTCAGCCAGGTGATCAGTCGCCAATGCCATTCTCTTACCTCAATGAACGTGTAGCAGTGGACGAGCAACTCGACTGTTGGAGCACATACACAAATCCACAATCGCACGACATCATCAGACAGAACCTCGACAAGAGTATCCATATTCGCGAGAGCGTCAAGGGTCCGCGATATTGTCCGTCGCTGGAAAGCAAAGTGTTGCGCTTTACGACTAAGACCCGACATCTAATCTGGTTGGAGCCCGAAGGATTCGACAACGATGTGATTTATCCAAATGGAGTGAGCATGACGGTTCCCGCTGAAGCACAAGAAGCCATGCTCAAGACTGTGGTCGGACTGGAGAATGTCAAAATGCTTCAGCCTGGCTATGGAGTCGAGTACGATTACGTTGATCCTCGCAGTCTGCGAAGTACTCTCGAGACCAAAGCCATTGGGGGGCTCTTCCTTGCGGGTCAGATCAACGGTACCACAGGATATGAAGAAGCTGCCGGTCAGGGCATTGTGGCTGGCATCAATGCAGGGAACGCTGCTGTGGGTCGCCTCCCTTTCACCATGTCACGTGCAGACGGCTACATCGGTATCATGATCGATGACCTTGTGACCAAAGGTGTGAGCGAACCATACCGGATGTTCACCAGTAGAAGCGAGTACCGAATGTCAGCTCGAGCTGATAACGCAGACCTGCGTCTAACAGCCAAGGGCCATGAAGCGGGCGTTGTTGGGCAAAGGCGATGGTCTTCCTTCAAAGATGAGCGAAGTCAAATGGACGAATTGCGTTCTTTGCTCCAGGAGAAAAAGTTCAGCGCGCAAACGTGGATACAGAACGGCTTTCCTGTGCGTATCGATACAACCAGACGATCCGCGTTCGACCTCCTCCGACACGGAACTATCACGATTGAAACACTTATCTCTCTAATCCCCGAGATTTCTCAGTATCCAGCACGAATACGTGATCGAGTCAACATCGAGGGCATGTACGCACCCTACATCTTGCAACAAGAGAACCAAGCTGCTGCCTTCGCCAAAGATGAAAGCCTCTTGTTACCCCCGAATTTAGACTATCACGCAATTCACGGCTTGAGCTGGGAGGAGAAGAATATTCTGACAGAAACCAGGCCTGAGAGTATTGGTCAGGCCAGAAGGGTCGAGAATGTCACACCTGCTGGTGCACTGAGCCTTCTCGCTCACGTGCGGGGTACATGGAAACGAGAACAGAAAGCGAGAATGTTCAAGGAAGTCACTGAAAGTCAGCCACCTGGTCGAGAGGTTGAGACATTGGCATGAGTAATGCCACGACCATGGACAGGTCTTGCATACCTGTAGCTTTGGATGAAAAAGTGTATATTAAATGAACGCTTCACGATGTACAACAGAACAGGCTACACACCAGCTGAACCTATGAATCTCCGAACCAAGCACACAACTTGTTGTCTCATATTCTCCTTCCCCCTGACGTTCTCATGTCTCCTTACCATGGAATTACTATGGTAGGGTAGGTACCTACCTTACCTACCTACATGTACCTTACCACATCCCCTCCGCTTTACGAGGACAGGATCCACAATAATTTTGTTCGGGGCCCATCTTACCTACCTTACACATCACCTGACCGTACAGTCATGCACGTCAACTCGGTGACATAAACTAGCTTACCACTTAGTAGGGAATTGCAACTATTCGCCTAGGAAATGTATTTCCCTTTCCCCTTGCCTCGCCTTCGGGGAAAAAAAAAGAGCACGCTACGCATGGCATGATCTTCTCAACCTAGTGGACGCCTGATGAAGATGATGATGGTTGCATAGGTACCTACAGAAAGGTAAAGGGGAGACTTTTACTTTTATGTTGCGGACTTCCTGCCGAAGTGTGGAGGCGCCGGTCGGTGTGTTTTTTGTGATAACCACAGTGATGAGAGGGGAGAGGAGAGAGAGAGAGAAGGTCGGTCTGCTCGGTTGAATTTCGCGTGTGGAAAGTACCTTACTGGCCCTCATCGGATATTTTTGGGGATTTTGGTCAAGGCCTGAGAGGTGGGGTGGTTGCAGTAGGGGGAGGAGGGACAGATAAGCCTTGAATTCGACTCGAACACTAGTATCTCCATGCAATGAAGAGCACAGTCTCCCATCCTTGCATTCGCATTCTATCTGAAGCAGCCAGCCCTCTTCTGGGCTCATGTTTCGACAGGTCAGAAAGTACTACGCCCTCGTATCCGTTTCCCGAAGTGACACCAGACGCCGTAAGCCAGGGATCGGAATGCATCACCTACACTTAGTCATTGCTAGAGCAGCCTCGACAGCCACAGCTAACACATTCGATTTCCTGATCCTCCTTCAACTGAGCGCGTGGCACTCTGCAGATACAAGTGCTGTTGAAATTGGTCTCCTTCGTCTGGATACATCGCAGACAGCACAATTTCTCGTAGCCCTGCTTCTTCCACTTCGCGATCAGGTTGGCATCGGCGTAGCCGTTCTTCAGCAGCCAATCGTAAAGCTGCTTCGATATGGCTTCCTTCTCGTAATAGAGGTCATAGATATACCTCGAGCCTGGGGGAAAAGGCTAATTCAGTATGTGAAGATGGACGAGCCACAGCGAGCGTGAGGTCAAATTGGGACAATGACTCACCTGTGTGACCCACGAGCGGACGCGAACGAAGCCAATGGGATGAGTAGTAGTTGAACGACCTGCAGTGCATGCCGGGCTAGGATGGAGGGGAACACTACGTACGCTGATGGGTGATTTGAAAGACCGGCCAGAGCATCTCGTGCTTCTTCTTGCCTTCGTGGCTGGCGTTCTCGGCGTCTTTCATCTTGTTCTGAAACTCGAGCAACGTGTCTTCAATGTCCTCGAAGCCATCAGGCGGTGGCTTGCGGTTCTTAGCGGTCCGTATGGCAGGCATCGTGGCGATATGTGTGCTTGAAGTTTCTGCTGCCACGAATAGCGTGCGCTCAGAAGACGCGGCAATGCCGAAAACGGATAGTGATGATATGATCCGCGAGGTACTCTCCTATGAGCTTGGTCTCGTTGTTTGTGAGGGAGTTATCGCGCGTGAATATGGAAGTCGAGCAGAGGTGATGGCACAAGGTGCTAGACTGAGTAAGCTGGAGGTAGACTCCGGGCATCGAACTGGCTCGAGCTAGTGGCGGCTGGGCCCGTGCAGAGCGCGCTTTGACTAAATACGCAAACACGCGCACTCGAGCTTTACAACCTGACCAACGCCCTAAACTCATCATCAACATCATCCGCCATGGCTGACACGGACACACGGCGTGACTATCGCGACGAGCGCGGTGGCAGAGACAGGGGATACGGAGGTGGTGGTGGCAGAGGATACAACCCAAAGCGCAAGCGCAGAGGTGAGAATCTCCTGAGCTTCTCAATGATGACTGCGCAGATCGCAATGCTGAACGCGTAGCTGACTGTGATCCGCAGACGATGATGATTACGATTCGGGCTTCCGTAACCAGCGTCCGCGCCATCAGGAGCCACCGCCTGGCACCAGAATCAGAAAAGGGCTACTTGAGATTGGAGAGGATTTGCTACGGCTCCCACACGAGTGCGCTGCAAATGTCGCGAAGCTCGCCGCCGAGAACTACGACGATGAATACGTCAAGGACACGTTCCGTATTGCTTCGCTGAAGCTGGTCCAGGAGCAGCCATTCAAGATCCCTTTCATTGCTGCAGTGGTTCTCTACGCAAACCGAGAGAAGGCAGAGATGGCCGAGGACGTCATCCAACATGCTGCGCAAGAGTTACAGGCAGCCATGGACGCCGGCCGGTTGAGGGATGTGAAGCTGCTGCTACGCTTCCTCGCTTGTCTCGGGCCTCTCTTTGAACAAGATGGAATCGTGTCGATACTGGATGAGCTCTTCGATAAGGCGGCCGACCTACAGACGGCATCGACAGAAGATGCAGTCGGCATTGAGCTGTGCAAGATAATCTTGCTCACCATCCCATATCTGCTTGCAGCTTCTGCGGATGCTTCGCTGCCCCAGAAAGTTGCCGAGCTGCTTGAAAAGACAGAGATCATTGCTTCTACAGCGCATACTCTAGAGGCGCTTGTGGATCCATACCCACAACAAGAAGGGCAGGAGAAGGCCATGGTATGTCCGAGCGTGGTGTCCTTGCTGCAGACGCAGCTGAGCGAAGAAGCCAACAACGGCTGGAAGCTGCTCTGCATTCCCAGAGTCTACGATTCCAGCTACAAGCCTGCAGTTGCCAAGGTCGACAATGGCGAAGAGGACAATGAAACAAACGGAGATGGGGATGAGCAATCCAAAGAAGCCGTCATGCACAGCTTCCCGTCAGTGACAGTGCCAGTGGCTATCAGCGCCGGATCTAAGATACTATTACCCGAGGTGTTTTTCTCGCTATTCGCCAACCAGGAGATCGAGTCAGTGCCCAGTACTACTAACATCGCATCCTCGCTCTTGCGCGACGCAATCGTCGATACCGTGAACATTCTCGACTTCAACCGCAACGCTGTGGCCAAGTTTCTCAACGAGATCGACTGCTATTGGGCTAAGGACACATTCGTTAAACGCTCGACCACGTTCGATAAGCTGCGAGACCTGCCAGAAGGCAGACCAACCTGGAAGCCCGAGGATGTCATGATTGACGCTATCTTTTCACAGATCTTCCAGCTGCCCACCCCGGAACACCGGCTTGTATACTACCACTCCCTGATCACAGAGTCCTGCAAGATCTCGCCCGGGGCGATCGCTCCTACTCTAGGACGTGCGATCCGCTTCCTCTTCCGCAATATTGATTTGATGGACATGGAATTGTCTTACCGTTTCATGGACTGGTTTGCTCACCATCTTAGCAATTTTGAGTTCCGCTGGAAGTGGACTGAATGGTAAGTTCATCACAAAGTCAATTGCGTGTTTCAGAAGCCGGGCTCGAAGTCAACTGACATCAAACAACTAGGGTACCGGATGTGGAGCTTCCTAATCTTGATCCCAAGAAGGCATTCATCAACGGCGTTCTGGACAAGGAGATCCGCCTATCATTTGCAAAACGTATCCGTGCCACTCTTCCGGAGCCTTATCACAAACTCATCCCCATCAGCAAGGAGAAGGACATACCAGACTTCAAATATGCCGAGGATCGGACTCCGTTTGCCAAGGAAGGACGGGAAGTGTTAGCGTTGCTGAAGAAGAAAGCCTCAGAGGAAGAAGTTCAGAAAGTCCTCGATTCAGTTCACGAGCAGGCGGCTGCCATGGGCTTCACAGATCCCCTGGTCGCTTCGACTGACATTTACATGACGTCTATCCTCAGTGTTGGATCCAAGTCGTTGTCGCACGTGCTATCCACCATTGATCGGTGCAAAGACCGTCTGCTGAATATCGCTCAAGGATCCGAGGCCGCGAGACGACAGGTCGTCGGTTCCGTAGTCGACTTCTGGTCGGATCATCCAGGTACTGCTGTCAATATCGTCGACAAGCTATTGAACTACACCATCATCACTCCGATGAGCGTGATCTCTTGGGCGCTCGTGGATCGCATGGATCGCGGCCGGGCACTCGCGAGCAGTCAAATCTATGAAATGGTGAGTATTACCATGTTCAAGGTGACGAATCGTGTGAGGCAGGTTCTCCGAGACAGGAACAATTTGAAGTTAGACTTCGCCAGTCGGAAGCAGATCGATGAGGCGCTCCCGAACGAGCGACAAGCCATGCGAGACTTGTTTGCTGCTATCGAGGATGCGGTTGTGGCTGTGTCCGAGGGGGCTCAGGATGAGATGATTGAACGTTACGATGGCGACAGCGCTGAGCAGCAGCTCATTCAGCTTTGGGGCAGCCGCTGGGCTCGAGTATGGAGAAGGAAGGCCGCCGTAGAGGAAGCCATCGTTGGTGAGGCAGTGATTGGTCCACTCGAGGAGCCAGTGGCGGCAGAGCAGCAGCCAGAGCAGCTGGAGGACTTTGATCAAGTGTCATAGGAGTACTCTGGTTTTATCCTATTCGATCAGCAGGAGTACTCTGATTTTGTCCTATTCGATCAGCAGGAGTACTCTGATATTGTCCTATTCGATCAGCAGTCAGACGAGTACAGTACATGAGTTCTTTCTTATGCGAGCATGGCAAGCACTGCCTCGTGACTGGCAAATGGGCTTGAGATCGGTGGAGGTATACCTAGGTAACCAAGCAACATACATCATGTGCCACACTACCTCCTCCTTACTGTTCTTTTATATCGTGCAAATACTCTCTCCTCTTCTTGAGATATCATCACCGTCTGGCCGAGAGCGCGCGGAAAAGAGAAAAAGTCCCCCATTACATACGGTAGGTAGGTACATATGTTCATCTAGGTACCTTACCTTTCACGTATACAGCAACAGATAAATAAATATCCAAGTAACTACATTAATATACCTACTCTTTTGGGTCCTTCTTTCTTATATTCCATAGTCGTAAGGAGGAATTAGTTGTTCAAATTTCGGTGTGCTTGATAGGAAATTTTGAGACAGAGGGAGAGAGAGAGTGTGTGTGTGTGTGTGTGTTACTCCTCGCATGCAGTCTTTCCAGGTTCTTTTTGGTAAGGCGGTATTGTTCCAAGTTTCCCACTATTAATCTGTATGCTACCTACCTGGTACCTACCTTACCTGGCAGAATATCATTCTTGGGTCGTGAGTTGTTGGTCTCTCTTTTCATGTCTCATGACATACCTGGTAGGCAGTGATATGTCTTGTTGGAGAATGCGATTATAGGCTTATGCCATGAGATTCAAAGATAGGTACATTACCTGAGGTATGTATGTAGGTATGTAGGTATGTACCTATCTAAGGGAGCTACTAGCTGCTGAACTTTCCTCGGACGTCTCGCTGACACGTGTAGCCCCCATCGGACATTCCGTCCAGTTCTGATACGAGGAATCCCCAATGGGGAACTGCGTTGCTTGTTCTTGTTCTTGTTGTTGTTGATGATGACCCAATGCAGTGGGAAAACCAGGACACTGCAACGCCAAAGTGCGACCTAGAGAAAAAAGAAAGTTGCATGTATACGGAATAACCCACTCTACCACCACGACACATACCACTTTGTATGCACCAGCCTTGGTTTAGTGCTCACCTCATTGGTCTCACTACTACCTACCCCCCCTGGGGCCATGGTCATCAAGGAGCCAGCAGCAGCAGGAGTCAGTCACTGGTGCGAGGATGCATGAAGAGTTGCCACATCGAGGTACCAGTCCGCTGCGAATGAAGCAGCGTCGCAGCTTGGTCCGGAAGGAGGGCAGGCCAAGTTGTCGCCCCTGAAAGCGCGTGATAGCTGTTTGTGTACCTGTTGGCTGGGTTGGCTTCCAGGTTACCCCGAGCATTGAATTTCTGTCATGCTCGAGGATGGAAATGGCACGCATGTACATTATCGTCTCTCTCCCCGGAAAGGTCAATGCACGAGACGAAGAAGCGCTCAATATAGGCCTTGCATGATGAAAGACACATTGCACAAGTGCCAGGAGTACCTCGCACCGTGCTGGATGATTGTTGTTGTCCGTACAAATGGGAAGTGCTCGGCTGGGACTCCCCATAAAAGTCGCATGCGCGGGTTTGTCGGTGAATGGGCATCGATTGCCAGGCCGGTTCTCCGGAAGCCTGGTAGTCTTGTAGATGTAGATGGATGATTGCTACGGATTGTTATCGCTGTCTCTCCGCCGGGTCAGCTGTGGTATATTGAAATGCCGCTGTTGCGCCTCCTGCGCATGTACAGCCAGGCCCAGTAGTAGAAGTCAGTTGAATTCCAGCACAGAAGCTCGGTCCGACGAGCTGCTGACAGTGCTGAGCACATATGCTACACAGGTAGACAGTCATCAAGTCTGACAAGAACACCACCACCTCTCCAGGACCCAGGTCGGCCACTCGCCGGTGATTTAAATATCCTTGACGAAAATCATCGCAGCCGACATGAGACCACGATGACTACCCAGCCAAGGTTATGAGCCTGTGCAATTCAAGCACTGCTACTGCGAGATATGCTCGAGATCGCTCAACCTTCACGTAGGCAGAGTCGTCAGTTGCGGACTTCACTTCGTCAAGCCTCCTTGGAGAGCTTTGTGGTATACATTGCGAATGGCGCAGCAGTCCATAGTCAGCAGCAAATGGGTAGGTACCTACCTCATCACCTGAGGTGTGCTGCTCTGCGCCCTGCGAGAGGACTGCGTGCCAAGGTGACGTCGACGACTTGATTGTGAGCGATCCGGCCAATGATGCGCTGCGTAGCAGATTTGTTACCGCCGAGAGCAACTCCTGCTAGGTAACAACTCCTGCCCACGCCGGCGTGGCAAGTCGAAGCGCGCGCCAGGAGGGTCTCCTGAGCGATAGTGTCATAAAATGATCAAGGGAGCTTTTTTTTTCGGTGGGTGTGCATACGCTGATTATGGTGCCCGGTCCGCTTGCATCATACCGTGATATGATGGCGCTGTTATTAGGGGTGTGCAATTGTATGTCCAGATGGAGCGCCAGAGTCCTGATCAGTGATGACTACTACAGTACCTATTCACCCACAAGGAGCAGGGGGGAGGGGAGCATTTTCCAGCTGGGCCACCCGACTGGTAGCAGAACTCCAGCCTCCAGCTCACACCCACGCCTTCCAGGGACGCCCTGCCAGCCTTGCTAGCATGGTCTCGGGGTGTCGAGCCTGGCGCTTTAGCGGCTGTACGAGTCGTGCCTGTGTGGCCCATGCTGCTGAGTTGGTAAATTGGAACTGCCGCGGCGGAAAGACCCTTCACCACTGAAGGGGGGGGGGGGGGCGGTTCTGCAGACAGCTGCTAGGTGGTCTCTTTGGGAATACTCGATGGGGTAGTGCGGGAAGGGGGAGGGGCGAGGGGGGAAGGGCTTGGACTCGAAGCCCATGGCGTTCGTGGTGAAAGTGCCTGCGCCAGCGCGAAGGATGATTATTATTGATCGCGACAGGGTCTTCGTGTTGTGACAGTTGTCTTGTCGTGGGAAACTCTGCCCCCACAAACCATCCACAAGGGAGTGTGACCAGCACAACGCATCCCATTATTCCATGCCGGCGATCCCAACCTCGCTTGTGGCACACCTCACGTGTTCAATAATGACATAGTCTAGGAGGTACTACACTCTAGACTTCCGGCGGTGGGGCGAGGCCGAGAGGGAACACGTGTATGCATGTACAGTAGGTATCGCAGCAATACGAGCGGTGCTGTTGGTGGTCACTTCAACGTGAAAAAAGGAACAGACAGGCGCCCAGATGATGTCCTGCACACTGCTCGTCTTGGTAAATGCGATTAGGATGCCATTATCATTATTGAGTTCTACAAGCAGAGAGCAACAAGCATTCGGTCCTCGAGCCTATAAGCCATGTGTTCCTCAACTCTAATCACTCTGGTTGTAAAGTCTGTTCCGTTGCGCTTGGTGGAAAAAGACTTTGTCGACGCCAAACGTTCTTAAGGCCCCCTTCGGCGTTTCGACCGTTAGGTAGTGTCTCGAAAGGGGATCCTAATCAGATTTTTCCGTGAAAGCGTCACTACGATCTAAGTTCAAGCACACAAGATACAACCACTCGCTGGAAAGGTTCTTTCATACTGTGACATTGACAACCCAAAGATTTCTCTTGAAACACTCGTGACGTCTTGACCGTGTTGCCCAGAAGTTCTCAGCACGATATACTACGTCCTTAAGTGACAGAACCCACATGAGCCCTTCCCGTCGATCGTCGTCGGGTGCCCGGCATGCTCTTGTCTTGACACATCGGTTCATCACCTAACAGACTTCCTGTGAGACCAATGCCTACCAGATGCACCCGGTCACTCGTAGAGGCGACACCGCCATCACATACGTTATATCGCAAAACGCTCTTACGCACAGATTAATGGAGTCACAGAGGCTATAGTGCATGAGCTATTGCATGCAGAATTCCCTCAGGGACGTCAAGACGGGCCGGCGTCAGATCGAGTCTGCGCGTCGGCGCATGTGACCGGCAACTATCAACCGTGTCCGCTGATATGATATCGTAGGCCGTTATTGCGCGGGAGGCGAGAGGCGTCGGTGCCACTCAAAAACCATCGCGAGCATGAGCACGCCACTCGAAAATGAGCACATCGTACTTGGTGTTGCTGTGTTATGAAAGCTGTGCATGCTCCAATGTAAACGCGCGACGCTGCAAGAGTGCAAGTTTGCAGTGTTCGTGGACTGGTGACAACGTCTTAAAGTCAAATCTCGTTGGATTTAGGATTCTGTCATGAAGGTCCAGCTGTGTCGTTCGCACGTAAAGCAACTGTTGATGTTTCGGATGGTTGTGCTTTGAAGTCTGTTCGGATGTGAACGAACCTACACAATAAGGTCAAGCTCAAAGTAGCACAATCCGTGTCCATGTCGTGATCGACCAACCATTGCAATTATTCTGGTTTTGATATACCAAGCCAGCCTGGTGATGGACCAGACATCCCGTAAGGTATCTAGCTGATGTCGGAAGATATTGCCGTGTCATCACCACCTGTCTGGGCAGTGGGTACAAGAAAGCAGTGTGACAGATCTCGATTGCGCTGTAGGCACTACTGGGAGGTGCTGTAGGCGTCGTTACCCTGTGGTAGAGTGGTTGGAGCCCCGTGCACGCAGCTAAAACGTATGCCCGCCGCGAGCGACAGGCCGACGCAAGCGTGAGCAAATATTCCATGGGCGACATTGCAAAAATTTGTGCCTCTCCTTTCCTTGCTTGTCAGTACATGTGCAATAATCAGTGATGCGAATGAAGACAGCAGCCGTTCCCACACGCAGACGCCGGATATAGCAGCGCGTCAGGGCAGGCGTGTGTGAGGCGTGAGATGGCTACGGTATCCTGGTAGTAAGTATTTGGGACCTTGAATTGATCGGCGGCATCTGCCGCGATTTGTCTCGATCGTGCTGGTTCGTATAGTGCAGGGGCGCTGCGCGGTAGTGCTGTGGAGCGTGCGCATGATGCTGACGACCAGCAAATGTCGTTGCAGGAGGAGCCACATTCTTCATTGCTGTTATGTTGTATACATGCACACCGATGAGGGTGCTTGGCCTGATGAGCTTGTTGATGCAGTGAGGGACGAGACCGCGGTCGGCAGCTGCATTTGAGTTTGCGTCGGCCCAAGACGCGCTTGCTGTAAGCCAATTCTGGAGAGAGTGTAAAGCCAATCTGTGACAGCGCGGCAGTCGACTGGGGATGAGCTCAGACCGACCTGGTAGCTGGTGTGGAGCCTGCATGGATAATGACATGGGGGACGTCGTGCGGCCGCTTGCAGCGCAGCGCTCATCATATCGCAGACGACCACGAGTCATGCTATCCCTTTGTCGGCCATCGCGAATTCCTACCGGTCGAGAAGTTGGGGGAAGGGGAAGGGAAATGCTCTTGCCTGCAGCGGCTACTCTCGCATCTGCGGCTAGGAAAACGACGCCGCTGCTCCTGTGAATGGCTCTCTCGAGGTCGGTGGGCGTTGCTGTCTGCGCTTGGCGCCGTACGCCAACATTGCTGTGACCCCGAGGCGTCCGGGCGGACATTGGCTATCCAGTCGCACACTGGCGGTAAGTGAGATGATTATGATAACGATGATGATAATGATAATGATGATGATAATGGTGATGATAATGGTGATGATAATGGTGATGATGATGATGGTGATGATGATGGCGACGATGGATGGTGCAGCAGCTCTCGGCCAGCGAGGCCGGCTTGTGAGAGGATTTGAGATTGTGCTGACGGTTCGGCCATGTCGGATCGGGCTAGTTGGGAACGTCGATATTCGACACGGGTCCTTGGGTGATCGACTGCCCGCACATTCGGGGGGGTTCGGTCGTAAGCGTGCATGCGGTATCAAACTCTGCTCGCTCGCTCGCTGCTGCTCTTTACCAGCGCCGCACGCGGAGCGTACCCCCTAGCTGTGGTGTGGTGGTGGCGGTGATGGTGGTGGTGGTGGAATGACGGCTCTCAGCCGATCAGTCGCACGCCGAGCAGCACAGCAGCAGCACTCACTCACTCACTCACTACCTGACTGGGGCCCCGGGCGCAGTCCTGCTCTGCATGCGCAGATGAGATGCTGCCGCTGCTACCTCCTACTACTGCTGCTGCTGCTGATAGCCTGCTCCGGCCTGCACTTCGCGCACGATTGGTCGTCGTTCGCCGAGCTGCAGCCGGCGTGCTGGGATGAGAGTGTGGTTTCGACCGTTTCGTAGCCGGGTCGTGCCTTCCGGATCTGCAGGGAGTGTAGCAATAATATGACCACTGACCGGACCAGCAGCTGGCAGCAGCAGCAGCAGCGCGACAAGAGGTGCGATTCGGACTGCGTTGGACTGGAGGTATGGAACTGCCTACGTGTGAGAACACGGGATGCGTTGCAGTGCCCGTTCCATAAGCCAGGTTGCTGTACGCATCCCTGCTGTATGGCGCCGTGCTTACTGGCGGCCGGCGCTGCTGGTGCGTCTCGCTGTGTGTCGTCCTATCACGTCCTGCCGCTTCACCACTGCTCTGCGTCGGCAGAGCGCAACCTCGTACCACGTTACTAAGGTAGTTCTGTTCTGTCCCATACCTACTGGCTGCAACGAGGCTTGCGGCGACGGCCATCAACGCGCGCTAGCCCGGCGCATGCAACTGCAGGTGGGCTCTGCTGCTGCTGCTCTGTCAGATGGCTGCGTCCCGTTCTCCAGCTTCTGCACCGCTCTGTGACTCTGTGAGCTGCCACCACTGCCTGCTATTGGTTCCGCACTGCCGCGGCACTTGTCGGCGAGGGCGCTGCTCCCTATGACTCTACATAGTGCAACCAGGACCCAGCACCGCTGCGATGTGCTGCTGGCTGCTGGCTGCTGCCGATGGGATGGCGGGCGCCGTGTACAGAGGCCAGTGGCCAGTGGCCAGTAGCAGACGGGCACCCGGCCCACGGGCAGACTGGCAGACGGGCAGACGGGCAGACTGGCAGCCTGTTGAAAGCAACAAGCAGGCCCTGGAGCCAGCGGTTCCCAGTGGAGAAGTGTAGCAGCCCAACTCAGCGCAGAACCAGGACCAGCACGCCGTCGCGAGACGTGCCTTGCCTGTCTGGCTGCAGCGACCAGGCATCTCAACCCGACCGCTGCATACATTGAACTCTATCGTATAAGTGTGAACTCTGTTGCTCTTATGCTTAACTGTGGGGAAGCCTCTGTGTCCTGCTGGCTGCGGTCCGCTTGTGGATAAGTCTCATCTCGTTGTATCGGTCGTCAAAAGGATGAGACTTTCACTTCTCGTTCGCTGTGCTGTGCCCATTCTCATCGTTGTCCCAGGTTGTTGATCTTCAATCGCCACTACTATCTGTCTGTCTCAGCATCCTCGCTCGCCCGCTCTCTGCTTTCCACCACCCCGCTGCCCTCGTCCCGCTCCACGGCGGCGCACGACGAGCTGCCTCAGTTGGCGCTGCTGCCGCCGCCGCCGCTGCTGCTGCTGATTCCTGCGCTGCCGCCGCCATTTTGGAGTCTGACATACGCCCGACCGCCCGCACCTACGCACGCACGCACGCACGCACACACACACGCCCGTCCACCCGCCAGCCCGCTTGCAACGCCGTCGCAGTCTCTGCCTGGCCTGGCTGGCAAGACGGCTCGACTCCGACACGACTTGTGCGCTGCTCTGAGCTTAACTACTACTAAGACCCGACTGCCACCAGCTTACCCCGTCCACTAATTGCACTCACTCCCAACCGTCGTGTCCCGGGAATTTTAATATTAAATTCGTGCTGTTCGAACCTTCGTCCTACAGCACTCCTCTGATCTTCAGTGCGCCATCAACCTTGCGTCTGGTTAACCTTCGGCATCTGCTCAGGTACAAAACATCTCCAAACCTACCTACCTACCATCTTCCTCACCAGGCTGATCACACTCCAGGCGGATTTTGCCTTCTGTTGCGCTGCGCTAGCAACTGCGACTGTCCGTCATCTACTACTCTTTCCTCCTCGACGATCACCGACTGCGTCCCGACTGCAGGCGCCAACAGCAACTAGCTCGACGACTGTACGTTGCACACCGCACCGCACCGCACCGCACCGCCCACCGCACACCGCACTCCTCATCCTCATGACTGACACCGCTCGTGATCTTGCCTTCTCCAGCTAACGTATTTACCAGATCTGTTGCGGCCATCCTCACTCTTGCACTCACATTGTGACTGCAGTATCCGCGAGCACGAGTATTCTTCTTTGCACGTCTGACCAAGACCCCCACTTGAAATTGGCATCGCGTGTGTCACCAATCAACTCCGACGCGTCGCGCAGCGGATCTCGCTGTGCTTCCAAGTCTCGACGAGGGCGGCTGCGGCACCCCCAGTCCAAGTGACCAGTACAATTTTGCAAACTCGCAGCGACAAACAAGCGTCCGACTCGCCATGAGCACCGGCGGAGCGGGACCATTGGTCCCTACCTTCCACGGCTTTGTGCACAATAGTATGGATGGTCTCGTCCTATTCGAGGCCTGTCTTTCTGGAAAGCTGCATCACGTCCCACGACGACCACATGACCGTGAAAGAAGCTCCCTCATCAAGAGCGGCAGCATCTTCATCTACGAGGAAAATGCCAGCGGTATCAAGAGGTGGACTGACGGCGTCGCGTGGAGCCCCAGTCGCATCCTCGGTAACTTTCTGATCTATCGCGAGCTCGAGAAGCCTTTCCCTCCTGGCGAGAAGAAACGTGCCATGAAGCGGAAGAGGACGAGCATGCCGGGTGAACCATACCCTCGACGGGACTCTGATGGGACTGAAGAACAGCAGCAGCTCAACACCCCGCTGACGCCCCCTACGCCTCCAAATGTGGGCGGTGAGGTGAAGCCGGAAATCGCATCAACCGACCAGGATAAAGAACTGGAGCGCAGTCTAATTGGGAGCTTAGTTGATAGCTACGGCTTCAGACCGGATGGACTGGTGAAGAAGACGATGAGCATTTCTGTGAATGGAATCTCTCATCACATGGTTTCCTACTACAAAGTGGACGATGTCAAGAACCAGCAGCTCCCTCGACCGCTGTCCGATCCACGTCTGCAGAACATTTCCGTGCGGCCCGAGCTGTACCTGAAGCAGAACTTCCGTGCGCCTGTCGAGGAGACCGAGCACTATGCAATTGACGGTCACATGAATGCGCACCCTCAGATGATGTACTCGTCGGTCAATGGGTACGGTGTTTCAGCAGGGCAGTATTTCGGTAGTCGCCAGTACCCTGGAATGTATGGTATGGGCACATCGACCGGTGCTGGGATGTTTGGCGGTGTGACTGGGACTTCGTGGGCCCCTCAGCAAGCATCGGCTCCGCCAATGCCATATGGTAATCAGTACGGAAGCCAAACATATGGCAGCTACTACAAAGGTCCCGAACAGACCCCAGGATCTGGCGTGAAGACGGAAAGTCAGCAGAGCACTACGCAAGGCATGCCATACGGAAACCAATACGCCCAATCCTACTCTGGCATGCAGAGGAACGGATCTCAATCTGCGCCAAGCGGCATCATGCAATCATCGTACCAGGCCCCTGGACAGCCAGCTTCCTCCGCCTACGGCAGCATGCCTCAGAGCAATGGGCGGTCTCCCTACGCTAACAGCCCTTCCACAAATGGACCGCCTCCACAGATGTACGGAAATCCGGCCTCTCAACCTTACGCAGTACGCTCACCCACGCAAAGCTATGGCGTCCAAAGCGCGCCTCAGAGTGCCATCAGCCAGTCTCCCCACCCGTCTGCTAAAAGCCCTCAATCTACTCATCCGGGCACGCCAGCCACCTCCATCGGAACAGATCCCAACAGCCAGATGCACAACCCATATCGCACCGCATCGTACCCTGCACCGCAGTCCACGCATTCAGGGAATGATATCAATGGACTGGGGATCAGTAGCACATCCAGCTATCCGCCGCCATCGCACAACGGGTCTGGGTACAGCTACGGGTCGTCGGCATCAAATGCACAAGTCGTGGGCCCCTATCCGTCGTAGACGGGCGGCGTTTCGGAAGACTGCCGCATATGGCAGCGCTACAAAAGAAGCTGTACCTGTGAATGTTTTTTAATCATGCGATGGGATCCTTGCGTTAGGAATCTTCTGTGTTCACTGTCGTGAATGTGCACGACTCGGGTGAATCAATGCTCTGCGAGGAGCATGCGTTTGCTTACACTGGCCTACGTGAGGGCGACCATCGTCCTGGAGTGAAAGACCGCATTTTGAAAGGCCGCTCACCCAAGTGGAGAATTCGGCCGCAAAAGCGATGAGAGATGAGACGTGTTCGGCGATCTGGATGTACATGGTCGATCGTCAATTGTAATTGTATTACTTATGGCTGCAGTTGGGGGGCCGGGTCTTGGGATTTGGGATTACGCTGGCAAGCCGGACTGCAGCGTTATGCTTTACTGCGGGCGGGTACGATAACCACGACCACGCTATTGCTATCAATGAATGCCTTGAGAGGCAGCTTTGGAGGAGGTTAATACCAGCTCAAAGAGCATGAAAATAATAGAAAGTCGACTTTGGCTTTCGATATACTTGATTCCGCTAGTGATTTGCCTTTTTCATCACTTTTGAACCCGCTATACCTATAGAGACGATCACAGCAAACCACGAGCCGATACCAGCTGTGATTAACGACTATGTGACAGGCCGTTTGGGAACTCAACTGTGACGTTTACAGGATGCTTTCGCTTAACTGCATAGGTGTCTGGAATGGTGGAACCCCAGGTGTCTATCAACGGGAGTCAAAAAAATACTCCAGTGATATACCCTGCTCTGCTCGTAGATCTGCCAAGGAAGTGTACGATCTGCGACAAACGTCGATAGGAATGAATATGCCGCGGAAGAGTCGGAGAAGGTCACTTAAATCAGGAAGATATGATCTCATTGTACGACGGACGACCAGCGACAACTACTTCTGTCCATAGGTACCTGTAGGTAGGAGGTAATAACAAGGTGCGCATAGAAGTAATTGGAATTGGCACGGCCGGTAGGTACAGTCGGGACTGCCACAATAAACTCGAGCTCGTGTCGATCGCCTCGTGACTAAGGTAGTACCTCCTAGCGACTAGGAGGTAGGAGGTAGGTCAGGTAAGGTACCTACAGTACCTTAGCACGGATACTGCGGGAATCGTTCCGCTATCAGGATCCCGGCCCGGTGAGGAGGTAAAATGATGTTGTCTTTTCCACGTGATGGCATCAAGACTTCGTCCTCCAGGACCGCCACGCACCTCAGGACATGGATTAGTCTATGATGGCAAAGCTGCTTCCTCGGAGACTCCATGTACTGGGCCTCCCACAGCATGTGAGAAGCTCTGCTGTCGCCCCGGCCTTTGCTACCTGCGCTCCCGGACCCTCATCTTTCCTATGGCCTCATCAGGGGCGCTCTCTCGGGTTCGTGAGCAGCGCGGCAGGAAGAACAGGAAGCAGCCCATCATCATCGCCTTTCCGCGCCAGGTATGTATTCAAACAGGCCGCCATTGGTCTCGTTCATCTAGTCTCCCTGGACTGAAAGCGCGACATAGCACCTCCGTCTCCGTCAAATGGCCACGTCCATATTCGCAGTCCTCGAAAGCCACGCAACCGCTTGACCGCCAAGAAGGCGTCGATCAGTCCAGTAGCGTAAGTTGTGCCCCTCGTTTGCATCCATAGTAGTCATGATGGTCGCATGACCCGGCCAGCGTCCTGGTCTCAGCACACGTATTCGAGATCAGCTTATTTGTCATGTTGGGTGGGAATTTCCAGCATCCGCGCTCTTCTCGACATCCGCAGTCCTGCCTGCTGTGGGACTAAGAACATAGGCATATCATGGCATTCAACTCGAGGCTGCAGCACCGCCTGCTCGCGCTTCGACGCCCGCATACAGCCGAGCTCAGGGACGTGGCGAAGTGCATGCTGGAACTTGTTCAACAAACGCGCTCTGGCTGCGTCAGGGGAAGGAATCGTGCGTACGGACCGAACTGCAATAGCCAGTTTTGGCCTGCCCACTCGAACGCTGAATGCCTCGAGTGTGCTCACCGCTGGTCTGCAATTGCTTCACGCCTGCGCTCAATGCAGCCGCAAACTACGTGCGAATTGCCGCTAATGCTCGACGACACATGCATGTGAATCCAATTGAGAACGGGCATTGGACTAATGCTACCAATTTGCAGAAGCCAGCGCAGCCTGCTGCTGCTACTCCCAAGCAGCCTATCACGAAAAGCTTCGAAGCTGCGAGAGAACGCACGCAAGCTGTGAGAGCCAAGGTCCGTTCCTCGCTGACGGGACTCACGCCACATGAAAATATCTACAACCTCCCGAACTTCCTCACGCTCACCAGACTGGTCGCTGCACCAGCCACAGCGTACTTGGTGCTGCACGACCAACACACGCTCGCGTTGGGTCTCTTCGCGTATGCTGGCATTACAGACCTGATCGACGGGTGGATGGCTCGAAAATGGAAGCTCCAGACCGTCGCAGGCAGCGTGATGGATCCTATGGCTGACAAGGCTCTGATGATCATTGTGACAGTCACGCTCGCGGTCAAAGGCGCCATACCACGTAAGGCAGCCGCGATGGCCCCACTTTGACGATTTCTAGCTTCGGCGGCAAATAACTGACTTTTGGCGGCACAGTCTACCTGGCGACATTAGTCCTTGGCAGAGATGCATCTCTTGCATTGGCAGCGCTGTATTATCGTTATGCATCTCTGCCTGCACCCAAGACCTTTCTTCGATATTGGGACTTTTCGCTGCCTTCTGCCGAGGTGCATCCCACGACCGTTTCGAAGTACAACACCTTTCTGCAGCTGATTCTCATTGGATCCACACTAGCACTTCCCGTTATCACCGCTGGTGGCCAGGGGACAGATCTTCTCCAGAGTTTCGGACTTAGCACCGGCCAGCTGCACAATGCCTTGACCTACTTTCAGTGGCTTGTGGCTGCAACCACAGCCTGGAGCGGCCTCAGCTACGCATACCTGAAAAACGCCGTCACGATTCTTGGTCCCAACGAGACACTGAAGGCGAAACAAGGCGCCCGTGGACGTGCTATCATCGGTTTGACATTTGGTAGCTGTGTTCTCGCTGCAGTCTGGTTAGCTACCACAGTAGACGCCCCAGTACAGCCAGAGTCGCCACGGCGCGAGAACTCCATTCCAGACGCTTAGGCAATAAAAACGACAGTTTGCAAAGAGATGTATCAGCTGTGTAGCGAACCAATACGGTCGAGCGACAAATTGTAACCTAACGCCCATTTTGAGGGCAAGTTTCGAAGATGCTTTATAGAAGACAGGTACCAGCTTCGCTTCGCCAGTTTCCGACGTCACGTTGCAGAGGGTCCTCTTCCCTGCATGTGTAGTACTTGACTTAAGGTTCCATTGATGGTGCCAGCACTGTGTAGGTAGGTAGGACCAGATGGTGCTGGCCCGTCTTCATCGCAACACATACCTCCTTACTCAATCTGGTTGTGGTATAGAAACCAAGAGAAGTCTCGGAAGAAACACAGCACTACCTCTCACCAGAGTTATGGAAAAACGAACTCGCATTGGGCTTGAAACACGAACCAAGCACAGGAATCGCACAGCACAGCACAGCATAGCCTAGCACAGCATATAATGCAATGTAGGTCGACGCATACCGACATCACTATATCCGATGCACAGGGAAGGCATCTATAGGCCACTAGAGTCTAGATGGCGTATTCTTTCTGGTCCGTTTCCCAACATCGTCCATCTACACGAACAAGTTAGATGTCAGGAAATTGGAATGTTTTCTTTGTTTTTTTCGCGCCAGGAGTCCCCAAAAACCAGAAAAAAAGATTGATGACGGTTTGACACATGATCCCATCCCATCCTGTTCCATCTCCCCTGGGATGTGAATCTGCATTATTATTTCTGGTCTAGTCTGGTCTGCTCAGCAGATCACATACTCAGCATACTGTACATCGATAATCCCTGCTCTTTCTCTGCTGTCAGCCTGTCTCTCGGAGGTATCCCTCTCTGTCTTATGCATGGCCAGTGTGCATGGGCCCTGCATACGCATGCGCCATGCGCAAGAGAGAAGAGAAAAGAGACAAGGAACATGGAACCTGGCAGATTCCGTCCCATTCCCACATGGCCACGGCGGGCGGCCATTCATTTTTCTTTTTATGATTATTTATTTTTGACTTGGGGAAGCCTTGGATTTTTTTATTTTACATGCCTTACCTTACTATACTGTACTGTACCTACCTATGTGAGGTCGCCGTCGTTCTCCGAGAAGCAAGGGAGGTCAGATCAGGTCATTTTTCTTTGTCTCGGGACAAGGCCAAATTCGAAGGGCGAAATCTTGTTGTTGGTTCATGGTACTGCAGGGACTTCCGGCTGCCACGTTGCGCGCACATTCATACTCTGTCTTCTCTCTCTCTCTCTCTCTTCGGATGAACAGGAGTCAGTACCTGGTAGTATCTGTCAAATCACACATACTGTTGACAGCACGAATCACAGCACTCTCATCACGGCAGGAAGATCCTGTTTCTTCTGCAAAAGCTCGGTAGTCGACTATAACAGGTACAGTACCTACATCGTCTAGGGGGCCACATCTCACCATCCCGGTACTCTTTGTAGTATGTACCTTACAGTATGTATCATCAGACAGGACCGGGTAACAAGCCTGCTGTTTTTCTGCTTCTGGCATGTCCACGTCGCAGCTGCCAGCCAGCGCGGCTATGTCGCTTAACTGTCAATTCAAGAATAAAACTGACAGCTGATGCTTCTTCAAATCTCACTACACTAGTAAGGTAGCTTCTAGGAGGGGAGATTTTCCCGAGCGGCAATCATGAGGAGTGGATAGTAATGTCTGATGACATTTTATCATTATCATTCTTCGTCATCATCATCATGAGTATCAGTTCTAATAGCAGTAATGATAAGGATGATAATGTAGTACCTACCTTAGTATAGAAGTTGTTGTTGTTGTTGGTATACGCGAATACGGGACATGTGATTTTTTAAAAAAAAGAAAAGAAAGAAAGAAAGAAAGAAAGAAAGAAAGAAAAGAAAGAAAGAAAAGAACAGGCAGGATTTGGAAAGAAATTCGAACAGGTGATCTACCATGTACCTCACCTACATATATGTATATGTACTCAAGGTATCCTAACGCTGGGTACATGAAGCAGCTATTGATTGCGTCCAACTCGTAACATTGAACACCCTACCTTTTGCCGACCTTAGCTACCTACCTATATTATACCTAACAAGGACAATAGACAATGCAGTCTACGTACGTGGACAAGTCCGAGAAACTTGTATAGCGCTCTTTACACTATCGCTGGGGGCTCTCTCTCTCTCTCTCTTGGTAATAACCTCGCTACCTACGAAAAGTGTCACTTTTCTTTTGTCAGCGATAGATGGTACCTAGTGGCGGTTGAAGATAAGATGTATGCTTCATTTGTTTAATAAGAGGTGAGGTCAAGTTGACTTTGACTCGGGCAAAGTCTGTGTTTTGCCACACTCTATGTCTCTTGAGGGAGAGAGACAAGTATGTACTTACCTTACTTGGGAAGAGAGTTGAGTTAGGCTACTGCCTCCGGTAAAGTCTGTCTTATTTGTGTGTGAGACTTATATATATGTATGTACAGTATATAGAGGATTGTACCTACAGTGAGAAAGTCTATTAAGCTGTATTGTACAGTACATATCCTTTAGTAGTAAGCGATGTGTAGGTATATATGCCGTTTTCATTGTTACTTGATCGGTCTACTGCCCTTCTGAGATGGAAGCCTCTCATATACGCGCGTGATCCAAACGGAATTGGGTGATTGTTCTGCTATACTTGTCTTTCGCCTGAAAAATGATGCTGTTTCCGCCTGCGATAGCTGAGGTAGCCAAGGTAGCACAGGAGAGTGTAAGGTATATAGATGTCTATAGCCCAATGAAGACTGTTTGTTAGGAATCGCTAGAGGAGGATATTACTGTATTTTCTGCCTTTCAATGATGCGGTACAACTATTATCATAACAGCTAGGTATCTCTCGGTGAGGTAGGTGTGAGAGCGCAGTCGGAGATCTGGATGCAGAGGATAAGTAGGTATACTACCTTATCTTTCTCTTGTAGCAAAGAATTCGTCTATCTTTTACCATTAGTAACGATGAATAACAATGGAGGTGTGATCCTTTGTTGAAAAATTATCCTGAGACAAGAAGAGCTCGGCCAGCCTTCATTGGATGCGATCAACTTGTTGTATATGGCTGTGCTCGTTTGCGCGCCTTGCCTAGCTAGAGCCGAGTTGTGAAGATCGGTGCTATTGGGCGGGAGGAACTGCTCAGTGATTGACTATGGAGACTTTTAATGACGGAACCAAGGACACCATCAATCACCTCCAGCCGCTCGTCTTTCAAGTTCCCTTACTTTGTAGGTACCTTGTAGGAAGTTCCAAGACAGCGTCAGGTCATTCTGAAAGGTGGTAGTCCCACGTTTTGAGATAGCAAAGCTTTCTGGATATTGTGGTCCAAAGTGTGGTAATGAACTCGATGTGATTTCCAAATATTTTTCGCGCAGCACTCTGAGGTCCAGTGTGGTTGGCATGTACAAGGCACGGAGAAGATTGCTGCTGTCTTTTTCTTTTGGCATCCCTTTTCTGCGGAGAGCAAGCTGTCTTTACTGTATGCATTTTCCCGCGGACATACACTTGTGATACGTGGATGAAGGTCCGTCCTTCTTTATCCTGAGGTCGTTTTGGCAGAAGTCTCATGCTAGGTAATTCGGAAAGAAAATTTGCGCTGAAAACATCTGACAAGTTTGTCAGGACATCCACAAATGCCCAGTGCATGTAGGTGCTTGATTGACGCAGCCTCTTTTCAGCGCTTTCGTTGTTGTACAAGTCCATTTAGAGGCAGAGGTAGACAACGTAGCGTGCGGTTGGGGGATTCTGAAGCAATTGTTTCCCTTTTTACCTACCAACGCCACGCTAAAGATGATCAGCACAACGTAGTCGTGCTCACGCGAAAAGGACATTGTTGTCCAGGTCATCCACTTCCCTCGGTCCTTCGCCAGTCCGCAGACCAAGGTCTCTCTTCTTGACCTTCCGCTCCAATTCGCCCTCTGCTCTCCTGTTGTAACGCCCGGCCTTCTGTCGCCTGAGATCCGAACGAATCTGGTTGGGGCTCACAAACTCCTTATTCTCGTATATCACCGGGCCCCCGAAACTTCCTTCGAGTATTACGATTGGCGTGAGCACAAATCTGGGCCCAATTTCCACAAGACTGATGTGAGTCTCTCCCTTGCCTGTAGCCTTGCTAACAATCTGTGTCTCGCCGCCTGCCACGGCGCTTTCTTCAGCGGCCTTGCTCTTTCCTTGCTCAGTTTCTGAAATTTGGTAGCAGCGAATCCAGACCTTTCCATCTGCTATCGTGAATCCCATGACGTGGTCCACGAACGGCTTCACCTTTCTCGAAGTTTGCGGGACGCCAAAGGTGTGGCTCAACAACTCCTTGACCAGTTTCCAGTGCGCAGAGCCGTCGAAATGCTTGTCAAAGCTCAACACCGGCCTGCTACCCTTTAAGCAGTTTCCGGTAAAGTTCAACTCCTCCATGGTGTGGATGTTTTGGCAATGGAACTTCACAGTCGGACCATTAGGCGGCTTCGAGAGCCAGATGTAGAGATCCTTGGCCTTTCGGGCCTCGAAGAAGAGGATATTGTTGCAATTGTACAAATCGGCGAGCTCGTTCAGTTGGTGGAGGTTGGATTTCGTGTCGAGTTTTGCGTCTTTGCGGGAGTGAGGAAGAAGCGCGTAGAGGTCGTTCAGCAGGTGGCGGTGGCTGTCGCATTGGTTAGCATAGACGAACGCGATGCTACTGTATGTCGCATACCGATATGTTACGCCTCTGGATGTGAGAATGAGAACCCTCTGGCGGTTCTTTGGCTTCGCCTCGCCATTTTCAGTTGCGCTAGCGATGCCGTTCGACTTGGCCTTTGCCATAGACTTGTATACTGCCGCCATCGTGAGTGCGCGACAGGTGTACTGGGTGGAATCGAGTTGAAGATGCCGTGCAACACTTTTTTTGCGAACAGTCTATCTGCCAAGAAGCGTCCAAGCTCCTTCCATTTTGGGCGTGTCACAAAGTATGGTTCCGCAATACATACATGTGGCACCTATCCACCACCCCAGACGGCTCGTGATGGAGACGACAAGGAGGAGCGCGTTGTAGGCCTCTGAGGAGCCGTGTCGTGAAAGTGATATATACAGAATCTACTAGCGATCGTGACGTCGGGAGGAGTGAAGTGTACCCGATGGCAGCGTGCTCGACAAAGCGCGTGAGAGAGAGAGAGTGTGTGTGACTGAGTAAGCGAGGCGAGACCCGTGGACGGTTCTGCTTGGTACACTCGAGGCCATTCGGACTTGCAGCGGACAGCTTTGCAGCCTCCGGCGAATGGACGATTCAGCCCGATGCAACGAGCAGGACAAGACGGTTGGGGCCAAAACAAAAGATTGGCTGTCAATCACGAAATTTGCCATCGCCAGCTCCTTTCTATGCTCACCGTCGACGCGTGTCGTGTTTTTATGCAGTCGCGTCTCGGCACATGCGCAGTAGTAGAGTGTGTTTGAGGTAGGCAGGCGATAGTAGGTGGTAGGTAGTAGGTAGTCGTAAGAAAGACGAACGTCTGAGTTTGTCCACGAGCCGACCAACTCCAGGTTCAATCATGTCCAGTCTCTCCGTATCTCCCCATCCTGCCATCATCATCCGCACAACCTCGTCGTCGCCGCATCGTTGACCATCACCACCACCACCGCCACCACCATCCCCCATCGCCCTCATCACCACCAACATCACGCGGTTGCTTGGCGTGAACGCCGGACATCGTTCGCAGCAGCTAGACCAAGGGGTTACGCTGCCGTCTTGACTCGTCCAACCACCATCGAGCACAGCGCCGCGCATCAGGAAGCGCACGACTGCCACTGCGCCGTCCGCGACATCATCGCCATCATCATCGAGCTCCAAACACTGCATCGTTCCCATTGGCGCCGAACATTGATAGTGGTCGATGGCGAGACGATAGACTAGAGGGATCAGACCTGCCCACCGCCGGCCAGAGAGCCTGCGTCAGCAACAACATGGAAGGAGCGCTTCCACACGCAGCGCAAGCAAGCTACAGTTCGTCAGATCGACAGCAACGACACCGATCCAGCTCATACACCGCGGGTCCGCCGCCTTCACCAGGTCACTATCGATCTGTGCCTGCGTCGCCAACTGCGAGTAGACTGCCTCCACCTGATCGACCTCCCTCGAGCTACTACGACCCGACAAGAGAAGAAAGAGCAAGCAACAGGGAAGCTAGCACGGCAAGTACACCTTTCCAAGCTCGTTCGCCTGTACAAGTGAGTCTTCCACTCATCAATATGGCAAATGGGATATGGCAGAGAAAGAGCGCGTGAGACAGAGAGAGTAAGCCCAATACTAACATGTTATACCTCCTACCAGACTACACGATTTGAACAGCTGCCACCACTCATGCAAGCGAGTGGCCATGACGGAGGCCCACGATCCAATATGAGCCGCCATCCCAGCCAGTCCTCGCCGACGATAGCTCCGCCTGCTCATCCAGCGCAGCATAGCGGCGCTCGATCTCCAGCCTACGACCCTGTTCGAGGCAATGGTCATCATTCCCACACCACGAGCACCGAGTCTGCTGTTCCTGCACCCGATCGCGCAAACAACCCAATGAACATGGCCAACCTGCTCTCCAATCCAGCACCGGATCCGGAGCCTGCTCCTCCCCTTGCACCTCCCAAATCACGCAAACCCTCTGAGCACTCTGCCCCATCCAAATCCTCGAGTCGCAAAGCAAGTCGGACGTCGACTGCGTCACAACAAGGTCCCCGTAGCAAGGATGCTGACACGGATCCTTCACATGCGATGGCAGCTACACAGAAAACCGGTACTACGAGCAATGGGCTTCCTCTGCGTGCTAGCAACACTGGATCTCCGCTCGCTAGCTTACCTCCGCTGACGGGACCTCCGAGTTTGACAATTCGCGACACCGAGCTTGCATATAAAGAGATCGAAGAACGAGATCTGTCTGACATCGAGAGCGATGATGTGCCTGGGTTGGAGACCTCGAAGCGCGAATGGCAGCAGCGCACTCACAAGAGAGCCCTGGAGAAGGAGTTCGAAGAGGCAAATAAGCGGAAGCGACGGAGACTGAAGTTCATGACTGAGTTCCACGATCACTTCAGCTATGCAGCCGAATCAGACCGTACAGTTTTTATTGACCAGTATGAGGCCGAGGTCGCTGAAGAAGTGAAATTACGCGAAATCGAAGAAGACAAGGAGCGCAAGAAGGATCAGCAGCGCAAGCGTCGCAGAGAGAAGGCTATTGCTGATGAACAGCAGAAGAAAGATGAAGCGGAGCTGGCTCTGGCAACAGTGCAAGATCCGGAAGAGCGGGCCAAGATCGAAAAGGAAATCCAACGCTACGAAAAGAAGATCCGTGATACCCAGAACAGACTGCAAGGCATCACCCCTTCGCGGGACTCTTTCATGCGTAATGAGTCCCCTCACAACACAGCGGCTTTGGGTCGACGGGAACGCGAGGTCAACCTGGAAGGCGGATTGATGACTTCATTCTATACCACTGGACAGAGCCTTCCGACAGACGAGGGGACACCGGACCCTGCGGCTTCTAAGGGCGGTCGAGCGCGAGCTGGGCGAGGTGGCGGAGGTGGAAGAGCCAGGAAGTCAAAAGAACAAAAGCTTGCCGAGAAAGAGAATGCCCGCATGGCTCAGGCTTTCATCGACCAAGGCCAGGATCTGCCGCTTATTGCTCCCAAGGAAGAAGAGCGGTTGGCAGCTTACGCTGAACGTATGGCGGAGCGCAAAGCTGCCATGCGAGAAGATTCCGAGCCCCTGAGCGAGGCCGCGCCAGCAGCCATGTTTGACGTACAACCTACCGTGGGTTTGGCAGGAATGGCAAGATTCGACAGCAAAGGGTATATCCAGATCTATGAGCAGATTACTAAGAACGACATTGCCAAGAATATACCGAAAATTGTGCGGATCAAGAACAACAGCCTCGATACGAAACAGTCCAACGCGCGCAAGACAGCCCAATTGGCTGCCAAGGAAGCTCGAAGATGGCAGCTGAAAACGAACAAAAGCCAGAAGGATGTCGCTGCTCGAGCCAAGCGCGCAATGAGGGAAATGCTCGGGTTCTGGAAGCGCAACGAGCGCGACGAACGTGAAGGCAGAAAGGTCGCGGAGCGACAAGAGCTCGATAAGGCTAAGAAGCAGGAAGCGGACCGTGAGGCCAACAGGCAGAAGCGCAAGCTCAACTTCCTGATTTCTCAGACGGAGCTCTACTCACATTTCATTCGGAAGAAAGTCAAGACGGATGATTACGAAGACGACGGGGAAGGCGTGACAGCGAGCGACAAGAAAGTCAAGGACGATTCCCATGCCAAGAACATCGTCGACCTTCCGGACTCGAACGCCAATGTGGGTGAGAAGGTGACAAATTTCGATGATCTGGATTTTGATAATGAAGATGAGACCGCTCTGCAGCAAGCAGCCATGGCCAATGCCCACAGTGCGCTCAAGGAGGCACAGGACAAAGCACGAGCATTCAACCAGCCTGAGCCTGCTGATGGAGAAGACGGTCAAGATCTTGGGGAAGCGCAAGCCAACTTTGACGAGGGCGAGATGAACTTCCAAAACCCGACCTCCCTCCAGACCATGGACGTCGCCCAACCCAATATGCTCACCTGTCAGCTCAAAGAGTATCAGCTCAAAGGTCTCAACTGGCTGGTCAACTTGTATGAACAAGGCATCAATGGTATTCTAGCTGACGAAATGGGTCTTGGGAAAACTGTGCAATCCATATCGGTGATGGCATATTTGGCGGAGATGCACGACATCTGGGGCCCATTCCTTGTCATTGCGCCCGCAAGTACGCTGCACAATTGGCAACAAGAAATTGCCAAATTCGTCCCGACGTTGAAAGTGCTGCCATATTGGGGCTCTGCCAAGGACCGAAAGGTGCTGCGAAAGTTCTGGGATCGCAAGCACATTACCTACAGCCGCGACAGCGCGTTCCATGTTCTGGTCACTTCTTACCAACTGGTCGTGCAAGACACTGCGTACTTCCAGAAAGTCAAGTGGCAGTACATGATCTTGGATGAGGCGCAAGCCATCAAATCCTCGCAGTCTTCGCGATGGAAGTCTCTGCTCAATTTTCACTGTCGGAACCGTCTTCTGCTCACCGGTACTCCCATCCAGAACAACATGCAGGAACTGTGGGCTCTGCTTCACTTCATTATGCCTTCCCTCTTTGACAACCACGACGAATTCTCGGAATGGTTCTCCAAAGATATCGAGAGTCACGCTCACTCGAACTCCAAGCTGAACGAGGATCAGCTCAAGCGACTGCACATGATTCTCAAGCCTTTCATGCTGCGACGCATCAAGAAACATGTCCAAAAGGAGCTTGGTGACAAGATCGAGGAAGACGTCTATTGTGATCTGACGTACCGACAACGCGCCTATTATTCGAACCTCAGAAACAAAATCAGTCTAATGGATCTCATCGAGAAGGCCGCCGGTGGGGATGACCAGGACACTGCAACGCTCATGAACTTGGTCATGCAGTTCCGAAAAGTCTGCAATCATCCGGACCTGTTTGAGCGAGCGGACACAGTCAGTCCGTTGGCCATGTCTTCATATGCTGAGACGGCGTCTTTCATGCGCGAAGGTCACAGCATTAACGTGGCGTACAGCGTGCGGAACATGATTCAGTACTGGCTTCCCAGCTTTCTGGTCGACGGACCAGGCAGGCTCAATGTCGCTAGTCCTCGGAATCCACAAGCAGGGTGGAGGAATAAGTGGCTGTCAAACGAGCTCAGTATCTGGAACGAGCAGCACATTTGCAAGAACCAGAGCGGACAGGCAGGCTTCTCCTGGTTGCGTTTCGTGGACCAGTCTGCAAGCGACATCGCTCTGACCGCCCGACGTTCACTCATAGATCGCATAGTGGAGCTCGCCGCAGACCGCGGCCGCGCATGCAAGCTGCCAGTTCGATACGATTATGTCGGCACAAGTCAGGACGATAAGGGCTGGACTCCTCTACACGACATGTTCGATATCGTGCACTCACATGCTCGTCAGCCCATGACCAAGGCAGCGGGCGACGGACACCTGAGCAAGCTTTTTAACATTTCTCAATTTGCTACAGAAGAGAAGGGATACAGAGTCATCGAGCCTGGCTACCTGCCCAAAGCTAACGTGCCGCCCATTGAGCTAGTGTGTCCCTCTCAGGGGGCGATGGTGGAGCAAGAAACATCACTTTTCAACGTGCCTATGCGACGCGCACTATACCCGATCAACGAGGAAACCGAACGAGCTTTGCTGCAATCGAACTTGCCCCCATCAAAATTCCCTGTTACCAATCTGCTCCCTCGGCCCGAGAACGAGAAGCAGCGATACACCAAGATCCAGGTGCCGTCTATGCGACGCTTCGTCACAGACTCTGGAAAGCTCGCCAAGCTTGATCAATTACTTCGCCAGCTGAAGGCTGGCGGCCATCGTGTGCTTCTCTACTTCCAGATGACACGCATGATCGACCTGATGGAGGAGTACTTGACCTACCGTAATTACAAGTACTGCCGACTCGATGGGTCGACCAAGCTCGAGGACCGCCGTGATACGGTTGCCGCCTTCCAGTCCGACCCAAGCATCTTCATCTTCCTGCTTTCGACGCGAGCGGGTGGCCTTGGTATCAATCTTGTTGCTGCCGATACTGTCATCTTCTACGACTCGGATTGGAACCCCACCATTGACTCGCAGGCCATGGACCGTGCTCATCGTCTCGGCCAGACAAGACAGGTCACGGTATATCGACTCATCACGAGAAATACGATCGAGGAACGTATCAGGAAGCGTGCTTTGCAGAAGGAAGAGGTGCAGCGCGTCGTCATTACCGGTCAATCTGGCACTGGCGTGGACTTTACCAACCGTCCCAAAGAGACAAGTCGGAGTAAGGAGATGGCCTTGTGGCTTGCTGATGATGATGAAGCTGAGCAGATTGAGCGTCGTGAAGCCGAGATGGCTGACGAGGAGGCAAAGGCGGGCGGGAAGAGGAAGCGAAAGAACGCGAAGAAAAGTGGCAAGGACTTGTCCATGGACGATATGTACCATGAAGGTGCGTTGATCAAGACGACAATGCCGACTTTTGATACTGTTACTGACTATCTCACAGGTGAAGGCCAATTTGACGACGGTCCTAGCCATGAGCCCTCGGGCGCCGCGACGCCTCTCGCTGGTGACGAGCCGCCCACGAAGAAAAGGAAAGGGACGAGTAAGAAGGCCAAGACAGTGAAGCAGAGACTTGCTGTGGTCGACGGAGAAGTATAAGACGAGATGATCTCGCGTAATAGACGCGGCGCTGGTCGATGATATTTTATTGTATTTGTACGGGGGAACGAATGGGGCTTCTCAAGGCTGTTTGGGCCCCATGTACCAGCGCTGGCCTCGACAGCACAGAATTGCGAAAGACGCTCAGTCACGCATGAGCGGTGATATCAGCACTGTATCATGACACGTTACGTACGCTTCATGCGAGCTGATATCAATAGAGTATATAAATTTGCTTGCCCTCATTCGATCCTGTGCTCGCTATTCTGTTTCGAACCGTTCGATTCTGATCGAACCGTGACTCGGATATGTTTGTTGTTGCCAGAACAGATTGTTGTGGATCAAGAAGGTACACCGCCTCTTCTGAAGCACCATGTCTCACGCAAGGACAGCATAAAAAGTCGAGATTTTTGAGACTGTGTTGTTGGCTGTATGCGCTACTACCTTACCTATGTTATAATAGTGTATACACCCGATGCCTTACCTATCAGGTACTATGCAGTGCAGTAAGAGCCATCCCTTGCTGTCGTGCAGTGTCAGAGCCACACCAGGGGGAAACTTCTTCAGAAGCCGGGCTTGGCTTGCTGCCGCTTCTTCGCCTTCTTTGTCGTTTTCCTCTTTGTCATTTTCTTCACGATTGGCATCTCATCCGGCGGAGCTTCCAAGTTCGACGCTTGAGCAACAGCACCATTCTCTGCGATCTTCGTAACAGAGCACGATGCAGGCGGAGAGCTGAGTGCGGATTCGAGTACTGCGCTGAGCGACTCCTCGACCGCGTTATAGGTGGTCGAAGGCGTTATAGTAGGCAGGTTTCCAGCAGCTTGCTGGTCCCCCGGAGACTTGGTTGCCCTCTTACGCCGCCTGGATCTTTTATTGCGATTCTTTTCATCATTGGTGGCCGTGGGCTCCACAGTGATCGGCTTCTCTTCGCTGCTAACTGTGACACGAGCAGATATAGACGGCTTCGACGTCGTGATGACAGACTCGCCGGCTCCCTCCTAGGGAAGTTCGTTGGGTCTCACCATGCCGTCTTCGGCGACTACGCTGGGTTCGAAGGCAAGTCTCTCCCCTTGGCTTATCTTGTTGCCATCCTGCTTCGGATGTGGCACAGGACTGGTTGTGCTGGGTTTTATGAGGGCAAGTCGTCGAGCTTTCTTCCGAGCTTTTCGCTCCCCTCGGCTTATCGTCTTGCCATCTCCATCCTGCCCCGCATGTGGTATAGGTGTGGTTGCAGAAGGATCTCGACCTCCAACGGGCGGGCCCTCTCCCATGCTGCGGCGAGGATCGTTAGCGATGGCCACTTCAGGGAGTGTCCACGAGCGGCGAGATGAAGTGATCGTACTCAACTGCCATGCCAGACCCGGTCACAGGGAGATGCTCGATCGGGCGGAGAGGAGTGCAGTGCGGAGATTGGGAACGAGACGCATGAAATGGCGAGAATCTCGCGTTTTCGCCTGCACCGGATTCCTGGGGCAGTCACGCCCTCACGGATCGCGCGTCCGGAGGCCGCACCGGAGGCAGGTCACACACACACCCACACATAGCCAGCGAGGGAAGGTGCAATCATTAATGCGAAACACGCACAGTCGCACACATCCTTTTTCGCACCCTCAGGCTAACATACGATGACATCTGCCGGAGTCGCCCTCGATAATACCTCCTACATGTATTTGCAGTGCATACTCCTCGTATCATCACCAGATCTCCGCAAGTCGTTTGGGCATTGGAAGCACTGGTTAATTTGATTCGACGTCAGCGCACCGTCGGGACGAGGCGTGGATCACCGATCGACGCGTTAAAGACGTGATCAACTTCCTTGGACCTTGCGTGAGCCTCCAGCGGGCGCTTCAGCAATTCACGAATCAGCAGCCTCAGCGTGACACCCGTCCGCCATCTTCCTTGCTCCACACGCGTTTCACTCGGAATTCCAGAGCACACGAAAGAGCACACTGCACACCTCGTGCCCCGCTGCCTGGCCTGGCCTGGCTCTGGCCTGGTACGGAGGTACAGCTTGGTACTGCGGACGGAGCCTCGAGTCTCATTCACCTATCTATCTTATCACACACACACACACCAGCTTCGCGTCCTCGCCTGCGTCGCTTGCTTGCCAGTCGTCAGACGTCTCCTGCGCGCGCAACTTCACTGGCGCCCGTCACAAGCGAGCGACTCCGCCATTTCCGCGACTTGCGCGCCCGCGCGCCCATCCCCCCCAAAGAAGTGAGTTCGTTGGTGGTCCGGCTTGCCGTTCTACTGCCGGCGCGAACGGACGCGCCTGCTGCCAATCCTTGCTCTTGGCTCCCAAATGCAAGGACTTCCACCTCAGCCCGACCGCTCGTCTCGTCTTCCCAGTTTCTTGCCATCGCAGCACTAATGAGTCGCCCAGAGAAATTTCCCGCACCTCCTCGACACCACTGGAACGACACCGCCGTAGCATCGTCACAGGCGTTTCCACCTCCACGAGCGCATTACAGCGGCACCGTTGAGAGCACCACGGAAGCAGATTCAGCATCACGCAATCTGCTACAACGACATACGCTCGCGCCCGACGCGTCAATCTACCGGCATCTGCAATCTAGCTGCCTGGAACACCACTCAGTCGCCATCTGATGGCTGCGACGCGTCAAAAAGCAGCTCCTGCCCTGGAGATCTGGCAAGACTTGGATAATAGACACGACGCACAACCACAAGCCCACATGTCCGACGATGTAGAGACTGCGCTGCTCAACGCACTCGGTCCCCTCAACGACGCTTCCAACAAGTCCAACGTCCAGCTCAGCTCGTCAACCAACCCCAGTCGCCCCGGCTCCTCGCCTTCCAAAAAAGCCAGTTCTCCTTTACGGCCCAGTAAGTTCTTCACTCCATCACGAGGTGACCCGTGCAACGTCCGCATCCCTGCGCGTGGCAAGACTTCTGCCTTCACCGGCTCGCTTGTGGAGCCTCTGGGAAACTAGTTGCCATTTGCTGACGCCTAGTCCTTCGCCATAGGAAGCGCTCACCGACTCACCAACTTCAAGCTGTCCCCTCCACGGCACTCTAGCTTTCCAACAGATTCTCCGACCAAGGACAGTGACTTCTATGCCATGTATCACCAAGTCGCGCCCAAAATGGAACGCAGTCTGTTTCCCCAATATGCCCCTGCATATGACAAGGAGAACGAGTTCGAAGGCGCTTCATTCGGTAACATGACCATCCCTCCATACCAAGACATCGACTATGGCTATAAAGGACCACTTAAACGCGCATACATGGATTCAATGTCGAACGCTTCCGCTGGCAAGAAGCAAAAGCTCTACGACGAGCCCGTAGACCTACCGCCGCCAGAGGATCTGCCAACAGTGGCCGACGATGGCCAAAAGCCTTCACACAGCTATGCTGAACTCATTGGTATGGCCATTCTACGATCAAAAAATCGCCGCCTTACATTGGCGCAAATCTACAAATGGATCTCGGACCACTTTGCCTTCTACCGAAGCTCCGAAGGCGGCTGGCAGAACAGCATACGCCATAATCTCAGCTTGAACAAGAACTTTGTGAAGCAGGAACGTCCTAAGGACGATCCAGGCAAAGGCAATTATTGGGCGATTAAGCCCGGCGAAGAGCGCCCATTTCTACTCGGCAAGAAGCAGCCGATGAGGAAAATGGCCGAGGGCTCTTCATATGCCTTGTCAATGCCTCTGACATCGGATCCAGTGAACTGCAGACCTGGCAGCACGCCTACCATTGGCAATTTTAGTGTAGGGCCAACATCGTCGAGGAAAATCGAACCGAAGGACATCGACTCTGCGAAGTTTCCAGACGAAGCGGACTTCAGCTCTGACGGCACGATCCCAGCCTCGGACCCTGCTCTGCAAGAAGACGAGCAAGATGAGGCTGCTGCCGCGATGCCGCCCCCGCCTGTTCACATGCGCTCATCACCCCCGCCGCCAGCAGAACTCGGCTCATCGCCTCCTGCATTTGACTCGCGTCGCAACGGCACGCCTCCGGTCGAACGTCGTCACCAGCCATCGAGTAGATCTGGTAGCCGGCGGCGCAGAGCCGGTGGACTAGGTGACAGTGGCTACTGGTCGTCGATTGAATCATCTGCTGCTCGAGGAGCTGCCCAGCAGCTTGCCTCCGAGACAGATGTGCGCAGTCTACGCATCAAGAAGGGTCGCGCTGAGGCCGAAATCGCACGCATTCGAAGCTCGTCTTTTGACAGTCCGAGCAAGGAACAGCATCGGTACCACGGATTGCCAGGACATTTCAACTCGTCGCCTTCACGTCAAGAAGACAACCCACTTACACCAGCCGTCATCTTCAAACGACCGACACGGGCTATCCCGGCTGCGTCGCCGAACACGAACCTGCAGGACCATCGCAATCGTGTTCGTGCCTTGCTAGGCTCGCCGGCCAAGAACAGCTTCAGCCCCATGCCAGAGGCTCACACGTGGTCGCCCGCGTTCACGCTCAACGAAGAGGGCCCCGTGGGGCTCACTCCGTTCATTTCGCCATACAAAGCGAGCAACACGCCATGGCGACCTGCCGCGGACAGTCCCAGCAAGTCCTACAGTTCGAACAATGCTGCTTTCGATATATTCATTGATCAACCCCATGAGGATATCGCCGCTCGGGGTTCACCAGAAAAGCGCGTCAACCAGCGACCTTCGCTCATGCGAGCCGCTACAAGTGCTGGTATCCTAGCCGACATCACGGGCACCTCTAAGGGCAACAATCCGCTCATGTTGCCGCCAGCGAGCAACAGCTCCTGTACGCTGTCTCCATTCTTTACGAAGTCTGGTTCTTCGAAGTCCAGTGCCAATTTTAGCCTTGGTTCGCCTCTCAAAACGTCGACTACAGGAGAAGATATGAGGTGGTTCGATTCCGGTAACGGCACCGAGAATGTCCCTGCACAGAATATGAGCAACACAGACGTAGCCGATCTGTTTGGTCTCGGTCCGCACAGCGACGGGAGCGAAGAAGGTATTGACCTCTTCCAGGACTTTGGCAAGATTGGCCAGTCCACCTACACCGGTGCTCCCGATAGATCGACTGGAAGTCCCGTCAGGAGGTCCACTATGGCACCTCCTGCTCGCCCAGGATTTGGACGCAGCTCAACGAGCAGGTGGTAGAAGCGCCTCCGATGGGCACCATATCCCGGCTGGCGAGGAACGATACGAACGATTGATGGCCTGACGAATTGACGACAGCGCTTTTGCAGAACTTCAATTCATACTGGCGTCGTGCTCACTCAACATGCAGCGACGGCACCACCGATAATTTGGAAGCACAGCAGTCCGTCTTGCACACACAGACAGGAAGCCTGTCCATGTCTTGATGGCTTGGCTGTTGAAAGAGAAAGGAGTTTTGTGCTTTTTTTGGGCGACGATTGTCTACGATACCAACGGGTTATGCAAGGAATCAAGTGCTGATGGTCCGTGTGCTTGTTGCGTTTGATGGATATGATAATACCGAGAGTGTCTTTACGCTGTTATGCTTAATGCTTGAACGCCGATGCGATGCTTTCATCAGTGCTATAGTCGATGCAATACTTGAATGCAATGACAGTTACAGACCATGCACTTTGATGTTTTCACGCTTTTCTCCCGAGTAATCCTCCTTCACCAAAGTCACGACTGAGTATTCCACATTATCTATAATTTCTATATATATGTATATATACATCATACCTTACCCACCCATCCTTCTCCCCGCCCGCCCGCCTTTCCGCCCGCCTTTCCGCGCGTCTACCTTCCCGTCCGCCCAACATACCCGAACACCATCAGATACTGAGGACTGGTACCTACCTTACCAATCCTATCCTACCAATACCCCAACCACCTCAAAGCCTGAGCATGATCATCCACGACATTCACAAATCCCATGATAAAATCTTCCATTCGTTCTTCCAATAATGATGATAATGATGGCGGTGGTGGTGGTGATGGTAGTGATGGTGCCACTCGAGCAGTAGCAATAGCAGTATTAATATCCCCAGTGTAACGAGGAGAATGAGAATGAGAATGAGAACGTTCGGAGCTGAGTTCTCGCGCGAGATTATGCGTTAGAGTACGACAGAAATCTGCTGTACCGTGGAGTTTCCAGAATTGGGCCGGGTGGTGGAGAGGGCCTGGGGCTGACACTTTTGGCCTTGTTGTGCTTGTTGTGCTTGTTGTTGTTTTTGGCGAAAAGAAGAATTGGAAGAAAAAGGGAGGAGGAATGACGGCTTGGATGCGGAGGGTGTAGGTGGGTGCTATGTGAACTGCTGTTGGGGGTTCGATGATGGTGTTGTTGTTGCTCTTCTTGTTCTGGAGGGAGATTTCCGCGAGGCGTTGATGATGATGATGATGTTGTTGATAATAGCCAGAAATCTTCTCATCATCATCTTCCGCTCGCATTCGTCGATAGATGCTAGAATTTCGAGATGATCCGGATGGATTCAACTCCAAACTAACATCCACATAACAATTCCATCTGATCTGAAAATTCTTCACAAGTCTCGCATAAGCTTCTCCAATATCATCCAACCAGTGAACAAGACACATTGGTCTAACACCAGGCAAGACATCGAAATGGACGTGGACGCTGCTGTAGTAGACGGGAGCAGTTTCTTGCTGGAGCTCATAGCAAGTTCTCATGATTGCGGGAAGGTGCTCTTGATGATGAAGTGGCTTTTGTGGTTCGGGGGTGGAGTTGCATGGGCTGATGTATACCCATTCGTCCACGAATAGGTAGGACCAGATGATCAGGCGCACCTCGGTCGGTAGGTTGAGGAGGGAGGCGGATGATGCCATTGGTATTGGACCCTGTGTGAAGCCGGGGAGAACAGTGCAGGTGGCCCGCCTGTGGATGGGATGGGATGGGATGGGATGGGATGGAATGGTATGGGATGGTATACGGGCTGAAACTGGTTTGGGTGTTCGAGATATGGCGGGAAGGAGACAGCTTTGTATGCACTCACGATCTGTCTATCAATCTATCCCCTGGAGAGACAATAGCCTCAACTCTCTCTCTCGGGCCAGCAGCAATACTGTGCTGTTCCTACATGTATGGAGAGTGCTGCATACCAAGTGCCCCGAACTACCACGTTGGGCAAGAATGCCGTCCACGGCGATGGTTCTCGTCTGTCCTAGAGAGCATCGCGTGTTACATGTAAGTGGTAGTATGTGCAACTGTGAGACCGGGGCCAAGTGAAGCACGAGCGATATCCCAATGCATCTTCCTTCCACTTCAGTCTCCATCATGCCACTGCCACGCTTCACGGGCATGAGCCGATGTGCCGGCGGGTGTTTTTGCTGGGTCGAGAGAACGCCAGGTGAAGTCAGCATTGGCGGGTTGTGGAGCAGATACTATGGGAATCGCATGGCTTCCCGTTGAGACTCATCGAAGAAGTTCTGCAGCACCCGCCAGGAACCATGTGGTCGGTAACGAGGCATCAAACGTGCGGTCAGAGTCCCTGAGCTGACGTGCACTTCTATAATCGATCCTGCTGTCAGCTGTCATATTTATTCTTGTTCATGCTGTTGCATAAGCTAGTGCATCGGGAGACTCGGGCCGCCGAAATGTTTCAGCCTTGTCAACGGTCTAGAACAAAAACGTCCATTGAACTGTCCACTCCATCTTCCCTCCTCACCAGCTGCTGGCTCATGCAATGCACACAGCATTCGTGCGATGCCCGCACGCGACAAACTCCGCCTTCTTCATGTCCCGAGCCGAAGGAAAGGAGTGACCCTCTCCAGCATGGCGTTGCGCGGCCTGCAGAATCTTCCACAGAGCTCGTAAGTGTGCAGGTACTGTTCGATTACAGTGGCAGAGTCGGTCAGCCGGAGAGATTGTCTGGACGATCAAATCTGTTCGGATCTCGAGGCCGCAGATCCCCGGCGGAAGCATGCAAGAGAGCGGGTACAACGGGACCATTGATATGCAGGTTCGCATAAAGATCAGCCTCCCTCTAGGAGGTAGGAGGACGTGATGCTGAAGACGGCCTAATGCTTCTTCGAGTAAGTTGATGTCCAACCGAGGATGTGATGCCACGTCGTTTGCACTCACCGTTCGGCATGACAAGAAGATCCTGCCGACATTGCAACCTGCAGGCGGGCAGACGACGTGGCGTGGCGTGGCATGGCGTGGCGTGTACGACCGGAGTGAAATCGGCACGCAGCGACATCTGCGTCATGCAGGTACAAACGACGAGTCGACGACGGAGCATCGAACTTGCCCCGACAACCTCCCCGCTTCGAAGCGTCCTTGACAGAATCTCATGATCGACGAGTGGAAAAAAAGGTGGATGCGAGCCGCGTCGTGAGCGGGGCTGAAGTGATAGCTCTCTGTCATTCAACCTGCTCTGCTAGACTTCAGCGACTGTCGATGCCATCTACGCTGCATAATGCATCCAATGGCGATGCATTACGAATCGCAATTCCAATGTACACAGCACACATCTCATGGCCTGCTCAACCACCCTTCCTGACCTCCTCAACATGGCTGGTCGCACCGCCAATGCCCAAGTCTTGACTCTCGCCCATCCCACTCATCCCCACATCCTCGCTGGACACCGCCTCCGGATGAGCCGCGGATGCACCACGAGCTGGGATCAAGCTAGGCATACCCTCTTTCTCCTCCATCTCCCGCCCGCCCGTGCTGTCAAAGTCGTCGACTGCTGCCGAACTGGGCGCCTCAGGCTCATCCAGACGAATATCGACCGGAGGCGGATCAGATTGCCGCGGATCGTTGGCGTCGATATCGATGATGTTCCCCCCTCGATATTGATTCTCCGAATCCAGCCAGTCCGACATGGGCATGCTCGCATGACTATCGATGATATTCACGTCGTCTCCATGTGCAAAGTCCTGGCCGTCCAGCTGCGGTTTCATGCTCGAATTGCTGTCGTTGTCGTCATCGCATTCGCGCGTCTCCACAGAGGAGCGCACCATGTCCGATATAGAGTTGTGGTCCTAGCAGTATAATTAGCATATGTGCACAACTTGGCCTTGCCACGCATGCGGAATGAATGAAGGAGATCATGGGCTGTTCATGCCTCCACTGAGGAAATGGATTACTCACTTGATAGGGAGGCGGCGCATTACGTTTGCTTGCCTCAATGTCAACATACAACTGTTCGTTGTCCCTCTGGATGAAGTCCTGGAGCGGCGCAGGAAGTTCACTGGGCTCGAGATCGTCAACAGCATCGTCGCTGGCATAGACCAGCAGTGCGGAGTTATGTTCCAGCTCGACCGCGCGGATCACATCAAAGTCATCTGCTTTGGAGCGAGTGACCTTGGCAGTCTGACCAGTCACTTCGTAGTCAATGCGCCACCACTGAAAGCCAGTCGGCGTGGTGTTCTCCTCGTCGTACACAGAAGCGGGCGCATCTTGCATTTCCTCGTTGTGCTCAGTCGCTTGCCCTTGCCCTTCTTCTGCCGTCTTGGGCCGAAGCACATACGTGATGTGAGGTTTGGTCGCCACCCCTCGCAGCGTGTATCGATATTGAGCTTCTTGTCCCTCCAGTGCTGGAATCGTGGACTTGCTCAGCTCGCTGATGGCTTTTTGAGCCTTGGCCTTCTCCTCGGCGAGTATTTCCAGCTTCTCGTCAATGCTGGCCATGACGGTCCGCAATTGATCGGCGATGTTCTGGTAGTGACCGGGCTGGTCGATCGATACCGATGCATTGTTGGTCTTGTCAGCCTGGTCCACATCCCGTCGGTTCTGCCCCGAGAAATGAGCATGGGTGTGCTTGAGCAACTGTCGTGAGTCGAGCTGTTGCCCATCTCTCGTCCAGTACATCAGCTTCTTCTCCACATCGGTGATTTTCTTAATTCGTCGCTTGGACTGAATGAGCTGTTCTCGAAGCGCTCTTGTGGCGGGCACGTTCTCTTCAATGTACTTGTCCATAACGAGAGTCGCCGGAACGGTGATGTTAAGGTGCGATGCTGACCTGTCTTCTTGATCGAGCCGCATGACCAGAATATTCGCAGGTCGCTCAAGACAAAATTGCCTCGGCTCATCTTCATCAGCGTCTGTGTTCCAAACCATTTTGTCTAGACATTCAGTGAGATCGGGCTTGGAGTCTTCAGCAACACTGTCCGCGCAACTGCTCTTGAGAGTCAACACGGTGGTGCTGTCCTTGTCAGAATCAAGTCCCCCGATCAAAGCAGCGCGTGTATTGAACAGTCCGGCAATTTGATCAGCTTGGTCTCCCCCTCGAGCGCCAACGATGGCAGTGTAGCTGTTCAAAAAGCTTTCCATCTTCGGTGTGGAAGTTCGATCCTTAATGGCCTTGGTTTCCAGCAGGCCTCCTACACTTGCATAGACTCTTGCGCTGCAGTCTAAGAATGCCGTCAATCGTTGTAGCTCAGCCACAAACTCGTCGGAACTATCTGTATCTTGATCTGCAGCAATTTCACCGTCTGTATGTACTATTCTTGGCTTAGAAACGGCTGCCCCTTTCCACCAGTTCGCATCGTGTCCATAGTCCGCTATAGGCGAAGCAGCGAGCAGGAAAGCCTCCCTCGCCATTGGTATGCTGTGGCAGATGGTAATCAGGTTTGGCGTGTAGTCGCCATCCAGAGTGTGCTTTAGGAATCGAGGTGCATGGTCTCCCTGAAGCTGCACTCTCTCCTCGATGGGCACGTCGGGAATGACCTCGCTGGCATTATGAAGAACCATGCCCCACCGCTGCTCCGTATGCTCCTCTTTCGTCGCGGGACCAATTCTCCGAAGTTCCATGCCATTCTGGCCAATCGTCCCTGTCTCCTGCTGCTGCTCCCAGCCCCCATACGGCACATCTGTTTCCTGTGAAAGTGCCAGCGCTCGCGCCAGATCAGCCTCGGCCTCGTCGTTGCTAGTAGGTGCAGACTCCTTGAGGCTGGCTGCAGGCGAGTTGCCTCGTGTAGGTGCAGTCGAATTCGCGCCAAGTGGATGGAGGTTCGCATTGCCATCGCGGTCGGTATTATAGACGCTTGGGTCCCAAGTGATGCCGCTTTCGAGCTTGGCTATGTCGTCGCCATCAAATATGGCATTGACAGCTTGTTGAACGTCACATGACTTGACCTAGTGATGGGATGCCCTGTTAGCATCAACGTCTCAGCAGAAGTCCTGTGTGTGTGTGTGTGTGTAGTGCAGGCCTACGGAGCAGAGAAGAGAAGAGAAGAGAAGAGCCTCCGTCAAAGAAATGGAGACACTACTTACCCGGAGAAACCTTTTCGCAGTCACCTCATCGATACCAAACGCCACCACCTGTTGGATTTGCTCTTCACTAGGCTCGACAGTCATGGTGGCAGCTTTCTGGCTTGACATTGCTCGCTCCGCAAGAGTACAGGGCTGCCCAAGGAAGGGAACCTCTCAGCGAATCGGGCGTGCTTTCGGAGAGCTCCAAGTTGAGACGGCAGGGTGGTCGGACAGCCCTTATGCCATACAAAGGTGCCTGTGCTTCTCGCGTTTCTGGAGATGGTCGCTGTGTGTTTCGGAGGGTACCTGAGTATGTGTAAAGTACCTCTACCTGATGTATGTACGTGTATGTAGCTTTCACGAGCGTGCTTGCTCGTTTGCGCGGCGGCTGTCTCCGCGCCTGTTACGTCAGTGGCGATGCTGTTTCGGGCGCGTATATGTCCAATGGGCGACGACAAGGTCTGTTGTTATGTTTGTGATAGAAAGATCAATGTCTTGAGCACTTGTGGTGAGTGTATGCTTGTGCGCATATTTATTTTTCATGTGTTGTCATGTTTGTTCGCCAGTGCCCGCCTCGGAAGTCACGCGAGCTTCGGTTGCCTACCTTAGGTAGGTGGTAGATTTCTATCCAATACATGGTACCTACCTGAAGGTACCTTACTTCAAGCACCAGACCGGCAACTACATGTACCTACCAGTAAGGTAGTTGAGAAGACCGTACAAATATTCGTGGAAGCGCCATGTATCCAAGAACATCGCAATCCAAGTAGTAGACACTGAAACTTTGGGAATTGGAGAAATGTCCATGATCGTGTACTACCTAGATACCATTGTGCTGGGAGCAACAGCCATCGCCGTGGCAGGAACTCGTCTCTATTACTTTGGAGGCGAGCGATGAGCGAGATCATGTCTCGCCACTGATGCCTAAAACAAATCTGTCACCGGCCTCGCGCTTTATGCGATGCAATAGCTGCGCCGGAACTCCTCGCTGAAGTCAATGCCTAAGATGCTGCTATAACCATAAATCCGCTCCAAGTCGTGGCGCACCGAGTATCTGCATGTCCTCAATGCAGCGCAATAGCCAGTCGAGGGGCTGGAGAAGCGTTTCGTGAACCGAGCCGCAGTCAAGCAGATCATTCCTCATCTTCCTCCTCATCCGTACCCTCATTCTCGTCAAACATCTCCTCGTCGTCATCACTATCGTCGTCGAAGTCGTCCTCTACCTCGCTGTCGCTCCAGCTCATGTCTTTTTCCACTTCCTCCTTCTTAAACGCAGTCTCGTGTGTAGGCATCTGGAAGCCTTCGGGAATGTCTTGCTTGCTGTTCTCTCTGTCCGCAGCCACACGCCTCTTGTAGCCCTCCGGGTCTTGCCTCAATTGCACACCAGCGTCTACGTTAGCGGGTGAGCTGCACTCCGCGTCGTCCAGTAATGACAGAACTGAGATCAATACACTCTCCACACGCTGTACTGGCGACCAGCGCTCACCCGCATCCTCCCCGCTCATGAGGTCCTCGCCGGGAGAGTGCAGGATGGAGATGCAGAGACGACCATCGACATAGACGTTTGGGTGCCAGAGTGGGCGTGTGAAGGCGAAAGTCGGCGGCTCGTATGGGTAGTTCTTGGAGAATGTCATCCGCGCTTTATAGTAGCCACCATAGTAGATCGAGTCGGGGTTGAGGACGATGAGCGCTACCGACCACTCAAAGATGTTGTCGTTGATGAGCGAGATCTCGGTCCAAGTCTCCTTGCTCAGACTCTTGAATTCGGTCATAAGAGCCCGTTCTGCCGCCATGGTGGGTGATGGTGAGGTGCGGTGCTGTGTAGCGAGCAGACGTGGTGTCTGAGGAGAGAAGATTGGGAGCAAGGAAAGCGAGGCTCGAGGATGTTTATGGCGGAGATAATGCCAGCAAGGTTGTTTGAGTGCCCTGGAGGCTGGAGGTTGGATGACCGGCTGCAGTGAGAGGTTAGACGATCATGGGCCGGATGCGGTGTTGCCTGAGTGAATGGAAGCCTAGAACGCGTAGTGTGTCTCACAAGTCTCTCAGTGACCGTACTATATTGCAAAGACTCAGAAGTTCGGTGAAGAGTCGACGAGACTCTCGACGCACCTGACCATCAACAGTGAAGCAAGTGGTCAGGCCAGGTCACGGTCTTGATGAGGGGCGGCGGTGACGGCGACGTAACGGCGACGGAACGGACCCCGTGGCTTGACAGATCAGGGCAGTGCCAGCTCCGACCTTTCTCCGAGGACCGCCCTAGGAGGTATTGCAAGGTGGAAGCTCAACTAGGTATTGCATGTGACAACCGCAACCCGACAGGCCGTCGCATCAGTAAGAAAGTGAAGCGAGAAAGAGATTCATACCGGCAGCAGTGAATGTGAATAAGGGAGGGGAGGCGAGGCGCGGCGAGGCGATGTGTGAGAGCTGAGGCTCAGGACAACACCAGCGCCATGGACATCTTCCAGAGCGTGCAAGGCTATATCAATAAGATGGTGTCGCAAGGAGATACGACCAATGGAGGCGCCGCGAAGATGAAGATACTGCTGCTGGACAAGGACACCGTACGTGGTGGAGCGCCATACTGTTGGCTGGACTTTGTGCTCACACATGCCAGGTTCCCATTGTCTCGTCAGCAACATCTCAATCTGCGCTTCTAAACCATTCCGTATACCTCACCCAACGCCTCGACGACCAGAACCGCGAGAAGATGCGGCATTTGCGGTGCTTATGCTTCCTGCGGCCATCGCCAGACAGTATACAGTTCCTGATTGACGAGTGTCGGGAGCCCAAGTATGGAGAGTACCACATCTGTAAGGCCTCACATGCGCCGCACCAGTAGCCAGAACGACTTCTGACTGACACAGATTTCAGCAACGTCATCAAAAAGTCCTCTCTTGAACGTCTCGCTGAGGCTGATGACCATGAAGTCGTCAAGTCCATTGTCGAGTACTTCGCCGACTTTCTGGTAGTCAACCCAGACTTGTGCTCACTGCCTCTCTCCACGCGCTTGTGGTCGTCCTCCCCAGACCTGTGGAATCAAGACAGTTTGACACGGACTGTAGAGGGCGTCATTGCCATGCTCCTTTCGCTGAAGAAGAAACCATTGATCAGATTTGAGAAGAACAGCCTGCTGTGCAAGAAGTTGGCAACAGAAGTTCGATATGCCATGACACAAGAGGAACAGCTATTCGACTTCCGAAAGCCAGATACGCCTCCGATCTTGCTCTTGGTAGACAGAAGAGATGACCCAGTCACGCCACTTTTGACCCAATGGACCTATCAAGCTATGGTGCACGAGCTGCTGGGCATTGAAAATGGCAGAGTCAACCTCAGCGATGTGCCGGAAGTCAGGCCTGAGTTCAAAGTAGGTTTACTTAGGGAGTGTAGTCGATGCTGAGCTAACATGTTGCAGGAAATTGTGCTCTCACAAGACCAAGACCCTTTCTTCGCCAAGAACATGTACCTCAACTTTGGAGATCTGGGCCAGAACGCTAAAGACTATGTTGAGCAATTTGCCTCCAAGCAGGCCTCAGGACAGAAGCTCGACAGCATCGAAGACATGAAACGATTCGTCGAAGAATATCCCGAGTTCCGTCGGCTCTCTGGCAACGTCACGAAACACGTGACCCTTGTCGGAGAGCTCTCGCGCCGTGTAGGAACTGACAGTCTCCTCGACGTCTCTGAGCTCGAACAAAGTCTCGCTTGCAACGACAACCACTCTCAAGATGTCAAGAGATTACAGCAGATCATTCAAGATCCTCGAATTCCCCCCAACAACAAGGTGCGCCTGGTTGCAATCTACGCGCTCCGGTACTCAGGCCATAGCAACAACAATACGCCAGCGCTTATGGATCTGCTCGCTGTAGCCGGCAATATATCTCGACATCGCATCAATCTGATACCCAAGCTTCTTACATATTCCACCAGTTTGCAGTCTATGCCTAACACAGGTGGCATACCAGACCTGTTCCAATCGAGCAATCTCTTTTCTGAAGCTCGATCTCGCTTCCAACGTGGATTGAAAGGCGTAGAGAACGTTTATACCCAGCACTCGCCTCGACTGGAGAACACGCTGCAGGATCTGACCAAAGGTCGACTCAACATGAATACGTACCCATTCGTGGAAGGCGGAGGACAAACGCGAGACAAACCACAGGACATCATTATCTTCATGGTGGGAGGTGCCACGTACGAGGAGGCAAAGATGGTTGCGCAGGTCAACGCGAGTAGTCCTGGGATTAGAGTTGTGCTTGGCGGGACCGGTATACACAACAGCAGTACGTTTCTGGATGAGGTTGAGGAGGCTGTGGATGCTTGGCCTGAAGCAAAACCTGATACTGCTGCTGGGAGACTGAGAAGAGAAGTTGGAAGAGCCTAATCAGGTCGTCTCAAGCCAAAGTTACGCTGTAGCAAGATAAGCACGGCATGGGATCTGCCCATAGGTGTACTACGTACGCCTTACGCATGGGCAGTGCATTGCGCGTGAATGTCATGGACGATGAGATCAGAACATGTAGCTCATATCACATGGACAGAGCCACCCAGTAATGAATTTTCAAATGCGATCGATCAACCCCAGTCTAAAATTCTTCTTTATGATTTATCTATCCCGTATACCATACATCATACTACCTAGTACCTATTATTACACTCCCAATCTACCCGATCTCCCGATACCTATGATTACACTCCTGACCCACCGATCTCCCTGTACCTTTGCCAATCACACTCCCATGTCAACATTCCAAGCCAATGTTCAACCCTCTTCCCCTCTTCCTCCTCATCTGTATACCGTTCCACCTCGTTGACGAGGGTACACTCCTCCTCGTCCTCCATATCCCTGTTGTGGATGACCGACAATCGACGGGCGCGGATTCTGGAAAGCACCTGTTCCTGGAACCATTGGCGATGGGGGAGACATGGTGACCGCGCAAGTCAATGTCCGTCTCTGCGAGCCGTCTCCGTACACCTTCATGGTATGGGTGAATTCGAATTCGGTGGGTCTCGGCATTTCTTTTGGTGTAGGCGTGGATTTGGGATGCTGGGAGATTGGTAGAGTTTGATGTGAGGAGGATGATGGTTATGATGATGAAGGATGGAGTAAGACGGATGTCGCAATCGTGGCGTGTGTGTTGACGTGTGATGTGTTTTGGTAGAGCTGGGTCTCGGAAAGAGAGATCTTGTTGTTGTTGTTCCTGCTGGGTGCTGGGATGGAATGAGGAGGATGATGTGTCTGGACAGAAGAGGAGGAATATCGGCGGAGATGTGGTTTATATATGCGCTGCGATCGGGCACTGTGATAGTTATTCCAGACTAGACTGCTCTGGACATGCATGCTGCGTGTCGTGTCATAGTCTTGCTTTCGTGACAGAGGCTGAGACTGTCGCTGGGATCCGAGAGATGTCTGAGATCGACGCCAGATGGCAGTATTGAGCTAGACTGTCCTACCTCCTCGCTGCAAGAAACGTGCCTCAACCTGAGCACTCATTGCAGATGGCACATACGATCATGGTATATATCCCAATGATCTCTCGCACCACGGATAACCTTCCTCATACTATACAGCACTCTGCTTTACAGCTCTCGTGTACCAGAGACCCCCAAGCACACAGCCTGACAAATCTCGACAGAACCAGAACCTACATCGCACACGGTCGTCGACTCCTCCAAACCTACGTAGCCTATGCCTCAAGCGGTACCAGCCATGCCATCACAGAGTCGCCAGCGCTCGATCATGAGTACAATCATTGAAAACAACAGCAGGGGCGTCCGGACTCGCCATGGCCGGCCGATCGTTCACGTACCCTTGGCCGCTACTACACCCAAGCCGAAGCAACGACGAGTCGATACGCCTTTGACAGATTACTCCGAGGATTATACTGGGTAAAGATAGGCAGCATGGTATCTTGCATTACTGTGCTCGAAATCCAGTGTCTGCAAACTTTGGGAAAAGAAGCGCATCCATGGCGGAAGGAGAGACTCAAGCGCGCGCAATCTCGGCGGATTGATGCAGCATGTCTGCACTGCGCAGACTAATCAGTCAGCCGCACTTCTGTCGTCATAGTCCATACAACGGTTGCAGGCGCAGGGTCTTGTGGTGATTGTACGTCAGATCATTGAATGAGCTTTTCTCATACGGTAAATCTGAAGCGTGGGACGAGTTTTGATATGGGGATTTCCGATTGCAGGCCCATGAATGAATGCTCCTTATCTCCGTAGTAGCCGAAATCATCTTCAGTCGTACAGGTTGTGTTCTCAATACCAAGGTAAGTGTCTCAACCCGAGTCGGAGTCGGAGCTGCCGTAGTCGACCAGTGAAAGACCAACACCGAGTTGGACGTGCTTTTCAGGGATATCGTGGGCGTTGAATGTCTTATCGAGGAGTACGTCCCTTTCGGCAGCTGGGGCGGCTGCCTCAGTCTTGTCCCCGTCAACATTCTCCAGTACAGGGAATGGTGGCGTCACAGCAGGCTTTTTCAAGACGCCTTTCTTGATGCCCAGCGTACCTCCGAAGTCCTTTTTCGACTTGGTGGTACGCTGGAAAGTGGGAAGCGCTGGTGGAGGCATAGCGGCTCGATCCACGTCTGCACTTCTCCAGCTTGCAGCAGAAGACGACTGCTCACTGGCAGCCTCCTCGCCCAATCTCCTCACCCGTTCACCAGTACTGCTCTGGAACGCCATCTTCGCCTGCTCTTCTAGTTCCCGTTCTATCCTCTCAGCCTCTTCGTCCACTTTCGGCGCCACGACAGTACTGATACCATCCTTATCCACCCTTTCTCGTGTAGCGTTTCGATGCCGCACATCATCCAAGGCATCCGCAATAGCCATTTCCGTCTTCGCGTCCAAAGTCTTCTTCTCCAGCTCCTTCATAGCATCCCTGTTCTCCTCCTCAGCAGCTATCCGATCCAGTGTTTCCTCCTCCGTCTCCTCGGCCAGTTTTGCTTCTCTCCAAACTTCAAAGTTCCTCTTGGCGCCCTTTTCGCAGGTGTAATCCATGTTCTTTGGATCGGTCTTGAAGGTGATTTCTGCAGAGCATCGTGTACATCTGATGTAGAACCGGAATATCGTGATAGCGTAGTACTTCTCTTCGGTGGTCTCTTTGCGAGCATTGAATTTGCGGCCTTTGTAGATGAATTCGCCACAGGATGTACATTTCATGCTGAAAGGAGCCATTAAGCGGACTGTCTGGACTTTAGGGCCAGTCTGCTTAGGACCACGCTTTCGCTCGAGTTTGGACGGATCGAAGTCCGGTGGGTAGTACTTGGTGAGTACCTTTCGTTCCGACATGTTGAAAGCAGACGAAGTATTCTCACTGTGGCTGGCGGTGACCTTACTCTGCTCAAGCGACCAGTTGGTGGTGGTGGTGGTGGTAGTGTTGAACAGAGGAAGAAGTCAAGAGGGTCACTTCGATGCCCGGCAGCCGGCAGTCTTGCCAAGCAGCAGGGGTCGGCGATGGGTCCGGTGGTGGTTGCCCCACTGAGACGAGACGCGCTAACATGTGATTGTGAGTGTTTACATTTGGTAGCCGCGTCCAATTCCATTTCTTCCTCTTTCCTTCTCTCCAGGTAAGTTGGCTCCGTCGTATGATAGCCGCATCCTCCGACGCGGTTCTGACATGAAGCAGGCAGGCAGGTCTCGGTCTTCAACCCTCATGCCCAAGACACTTCCCAGCAGGCGACGGTGACATTGACGACTTAACCTGACATGGAGACTTTCCTACGAAAATGGCGACAAGACGCCTTGGACCGCCATCAGTACGACTCTGCCATCTTTGTTGGTGACAAACTGCTGGCCCTGACGAGTATGCGACGACGACCAACCCTCCCTCTTCTGTATATATTGTTACTAACCTTGCGGCCTGTGGTACAGACTCCGACCAAGACGCATATGCCCTCGCCCAGACGCACTTCTCCGCCGGGAATTACAAGCGCGCCTTAGCATTCATCTCCCGATCCGACGTCCTCCAGCGATTACCGGCATCGCGATATCTCGCCGCTCACTGCTACGTACGACAGAATAGACACGAAGATGCATTGGCGTTGCTCGGGGAAAAGAATCCAGTGCACTTGGTCACGACAGCAGACGCCCAGCGACGGAAACTACAGCATATTAGTAACGGCCTGAGTTCAAAGCAGCATGGAAAGTCAAAGCTGCCGAGTCGGACAGAACGAGTGGACAGAAGCGTAGAGCGAGAACTGGAAGAAGGGAGCAGCCTACGATACGAAGCAGGCATGTGTTATTTGCGAGGGCTATGCTACGCGAAGCAGAATGCCTTTGATCGCGCAAAGCAGTGCTACAAGGACGCGGTGGGAATAGACGTGCAATGCTTCGAGGCTTTCGATCAGCTGGTGAAGAACTCGCTCATGAGCCCGAATGATGAATGGGACTTCCTGGACAGCCTCAATTTTGATAGTATTCAGTCCGAGTCTGGAGACACTGTCTCAGCAGAAGCCGCCGATTTTACACGAAACCTCTACTCGACTCGACTTTCAAAGTACGCGCGACCAGACGAGTTCGATGCCGCTATCGATACATTGTCGACGCATTACAAACTGGCGCAAAACGCGGACATCTTGCTGGCGAAGGCCGAAAAACTTTTTACATCGTCGCGCTTCCAAGCTGCAGTCGATCTGACAAACCAGATTCTCGAGGCGGATCCTTACAATTTTGCCTGTGTTCCTCTACATCTGTCACTCCTGGCACAACTCAACCACACACATGCGCTCTTCGCCCTCTCGCATAACCTCGCAGATACACATCCTAGCGAGCCTTGCACATGGTTAGCCGTGGGTACCTACTACCTGGCCACGAATCGAATACCAGAAGCCCGGTCATACTTTTCCAAAGCCAGTCTCATGGACCCCCATTTCGGTGCAGCCTGGATTGGTTTCGCGCACACCTTCGCAGCAGAAGGCGAGAGTGATCAAGCAATCGCAGCATACAGCACTGCTGCGCGGCTTTTCCAGGGCACGCATCTTCCGCAGCTCTTCCTGGGAATGCAAGAGATTGCATTGGGAAATTTGGGGATAGCCAGAGAGTATTTGACAGCTGCATACAATCTATGCGACAAGGATCCCTTGTTGATCAATGAAATCGGCGTGATCAGCTATATGGAAGGTTCTTATGATAGTGCAATCAACCAATTCCTCCTCGCCCTACAGATCTCACTGGACAACGAGGCCCCACAGGAGCAGTACGTCAGCACTCGACTGAACCTTGCGCATGCATTGCGAAAGGCTTGCAGGTTTCCAGAAGCTCTCGAGCAGTTCGAAGAAGTCATCCGGCTGGGCATGAGAGATGCTGCAGCATTCTCGAGCAAAGCCTTATGCTTGCTAGAAATGGACGATGCTTTCAAGGCCACAGTTGCCCTACACGAAGCCCTCGCGATATCGCCTCAAGATCCTATCGCTACAGATCTGCTCCAGAAAACATTGACAGGGCTTTCTGATCAAGGCGTTCTCGGAGGCGTGGATGAAGGATCCTGGGACCGGGGGATCGCCAGTAGAGTCGAGCACGCGCGCAAAAGCCGGACTCGAGCATTGAGAAGGAGAAGAGCAGCGCCACGAGCGGCGGATGACAGTATGGAACTCGATGGGACCAGCGGTCCGTCGAACTCTTAGCGCGAGCAGACGAACATTGGTCGTCATGTCAGTGCAAGCATCGCTCGGTGGGCGGTTCTCGACTATGTCACTGGTGACCGGGAGAATCGAGGCAGAGTTCATTGGCGAACGACCAGCGATATGGCGCCGAGACGGAACACGGAGGATAGGACCAACCAGCAGTGATTGCCTGCGAGCTTGAACATGACGCCTTCGAGCTTGGATACTCGAAGGAAGAGAATGAGGTGTATGTGGCCATGGCGTTTCTTGATACCTATAGCTACATTACTCCAAACAGGCACAAGCGTCTTTGGTCAAGGTAGCAAGTTCCATAGAGCTGGCAGTTCAGCTATGCCACGGCACCTTTCAGTCTAACTCGGATAGGAAGGAAGTTCAGCGATCTGCTGCCAAAATAGCTTGAGCTAGGAGGTAGCTCTACGCGTTGCGACAACATGGTCCCAACGTGTGTCGTCTTACCGGATGTTGAGTCGGCATCAAAGACAAGACTGAAGACAACGTTGTAGGAAGGATGTGACGGGATGGTCGATGTCTTCACATGTTCCACGAGCCATCGGCAGCAGCCACCGCCCACCGCGCTCCAACCGGAAGTCTGGGTCGCATGACGCGTTTCCGCGTTGTGATGACAGCTATATGACAGCCATCAATGCCTCCTTCCTGCTCTGTCACTTGAATTGGAACTTGAATACAACTCTCTACCTACCTACCACATCACTTCTGCAACAACAACTGCAAACCTCACCAGAAACCATCTCCCGCAAACAACTACCTAACACACACGCCAAAGGCCATCACCATGTCTCTCACACGCTTCACAAGACTGTCCACTCGCATCTCGTCCAGGCAATTCTCCGTCTACACCACCAGTCAGTTGCAATCTTGCCATCAATACTGTGAAGCTTGCTGATCAACTTGTTTTACAGAATTGGCCGACAAGTCCAAACTCGACGCCAAGAACCCCAACAGCATCGGCCGAGAGTTCGAATCCGACGGCAAGATCGGCGGCAAAGCCCAAGCAGTCGGGGGAGCTTTTGCAGCAGATGGTAAAGTCGGAAAGGAATTCACCAAAGACGGGGCCATTGGCGGTAAAGCACAAGAGATGGCAGAGTCAAAGAGTGTATTCGACAAGGATGGAGCTATTGGCAAGGAGTTCCAGGCTGATGGGAAGATTGGAGGCGCTGCAGAGAGTGTGGGCGGAGTGTTCAGTAAAGATGGCGCCGTGGGAAAACAGGTGAGTGAGAAAGCGAAGAATACGGCTTCAGCGGTGGGGACTGTTATCACCGGATAAGAGAAGCTAACGGGAGAAAATTCGTGTCAGTTTACGGACAAGGGAGCTGTCGGAGGAACTGTGCAGAAGAAGATGGGATCGAAGTGAAATGACTTGATCTAGCTCAGTGATGGCCATGCTCGTGGTACACTGCAATTCGAGGCGCTGGTGAGAGTTCTGCTTGAAGTCTGTAATGGATGTCACCTTACTCTCAGTTCTACCTACTAAAGATCATATTATTGAGAGCCTCACATCAAAGAGGAGAGGTTAGGGCTGTTGCTTGCCCCCATTCATATGCGGTGATTTATCGAATTGTGGCCCGTGGGCAAAGAGCTGGTCGCGCAGATGTATAATGACAAGATCAGACGTGTGATATGCGCAAAAGCAAGCAGGCGTATGTCAACAATCAAGCCGACCCGAAGTCATCATGAAGCAGGAATAGATGTTGCTGCCATATCGCGCTCTGTTGTGGGACTCATTTAGAACTGAACCCATCGCGGCTCCTGGGTCCGACTTCGGGTCATCTCGACTCCGATCAAAATACTCACTCCCTCCACCCCATCCCCCCCCCCCTCTCTCTCTCTCGCAGGTCTCCAGCAAGCAAGTAAATACCTAGATACAGTCATCTCAGCTGTAGTTCTATCCATGTTGACAAATTCTGGCCACTGGGAGCTTATCGTAAATCGCTGACCATATCTAGCTCTTGTGTTCTTTCGCAGGCATAGGCGTATGTCATATCACAGTGAAGAAGAAGAAGATGGGTTCCTTGGGGGGAAAAAGGTAGGGCTGCGTCTTCTCCAACTCGTTAGACTCCCTAGGGATCAGAGTCTGTTAGGGCAACAAATCAGGCATGATGCTAATAAAACTCATGGCTCCCACAAGAAAATCTTTTCTCAAGCCGTTCCACCTTGTCGAGGTTACAATAAAGTGGTAGTGTTCTGCGGAGAAGCCTGTTGTTGATGATGTATGTTACAGGGTAAGTAAGGATCAGGCGCTCGACACGAGGATCGGAGTTTGGTCCGGATAAATATCCAAGGTTTGCTGTTGCTGTTGCTGTCCTTGACTGGAAGCTTCGCTTACTGCACCATTATGCTCTCCAACGTCCACTTACAGACACCAAGCAGTACTCTCGGAGGTTTGCTAGCAATGCTTCAGGAATCAGTATCGTCTTGTGCCCTCACTTCGCCCCTATCAGGTATCTCTGTTCGAGTTCTATTCCCTCACAGTAAAACGATCTACCTCCAATCACTCAGACCGTAGCAAACAATATGCCCGACAGCGCCGAGGTCAATTGTAACGGCAAGACATATATGTTCCTTGGTAGAGGTGCGCGAAGAAGACTTTCTGATGCAATCCGATGCGTCGTGATGACCTGTTTGCCCTGCTCAACATCAACTCTGTGCTTCTCGAGCTGTATCTAAGCTGCCCGTCAGATTCAATCGTAGGTGCTCAACTGGCTCGCAACGACTCGTGATTGTGAGTATCTCCAGGATCTAAGGCGGTAGTGAAGACGCCCAATTCGACCAAACTGGATCCATGGAGTAGCTCATCACTGTCCGCTCACAAGGATTCACCTTCAGCCAGAGTAGGCAATACGATATTATCTAGTATAACAAGTCTATTCCGAAACCAATTGAGAGAAGTGAAGTTGAAATATCAAAAGAATGAAGCAATGAAGTCTAACGAAGAATTGATTGCCAAGATTACTATTCACTTCCTCCGACCATTCCGCAATAGGAAGGAGGTCCATGATGCTCTCCGGGAGGTTCCGTTATGCCAATCGGACCCCGACCTAAGCCGACTGGATCCCGGGTATACGTTCATCTTCCCGCCTCTCCTCCGACGCGTTGTGTCTCTTTCAGCAAAATCGCCGTCGCGAAGCTGATAACCCTCTTCTTACTCGGCCTATCGCTGTTGGAATTGGAGGCACGAGGCACAGCCGACTGATGATATACTTCCGTCTGTGGCCTCACTCAGACCCTCTCTCTCCTTCTCCCTCTCCCTCTCCTTCTCCCTCTCCTCTCCTCCGTCCCTCTGAAAGCTCAGAGCCATATTTCATACTTGGAGAACGAGATATATGACTAAATCACCAATATACCTTACATATATATAACGACCAAGATGCAGTATTCCCTCCTCGCGCTCGCAGCAGCAGTCGTCACCAAAGCTGCCCTCTACGATACTTCTACAGCGAATCACTCATGTGTCCTCGAGCCCGCATACCGCTCCTGCTCAGCCAAAGCCAATCCCAGCAGCGTTGATACGTGCTGTGTCGAGACATTTGGCGGTCTTCTTCTCGCTACGCAGTTTTGGAATGTATGGGCAGACAAGCCACTACCGAAGAATAGCTGGACTTTGCACGGTATGGTAGATTTTGTTTTTTGCTCTTTCACTCACTCACTCACGCAATATACGGAATGAAATGTATACTAATCCGAGAGATTTTTTGGCAGGTCTATGGCCGGACTTTTGGTGAATCTTCCTCTTCTGACAAACCCCTCAGCTTGATGATCATTCAGCTTGATAATCATACACTAACTCCGACACTGTTTGTATGTAAACCAGCAATGGATCCTACACACAATACTGCGACCTGTACGTCCCTCTCCCCTCCCAATCTCTCCCCTCCAAAAAGGCCATAACCCAAAAAGAGGCCATAACCCAAACAAACCACCCTAACACAAAACACCCCTCCTCCTTCCAGATCACGCCAATACGACCCCATCCCCTCCCCCAACACCACCACCGGTCTCCCCAACGGCACCTCCGTCCCCGCCTACACGGGCCCACCCATCTCAACATTTGTAACCGCCCTGCAAAAATTCTCCTTACTAGACTACATGTCAACTTTCTGGCCCAGCCAATCCGGCCCCAGCAATGATCTCTGGGCCCACGAATTTTCCAAACACGCAACGTGTTTTAGTACCTTTGACACTCCCTGCTACGGACCTGATGATAACAAAGGAATTCATTCCGACGTAGTAGATTTCTTCGAAACTACAATTTACTATTACAAAAAATTCCCCACGTGGGAATTTCTCGCTCGGAATGCCATTTATCCTTCAAATACGACAGGATATAGTAAAGAAGAAATTGAAAATGCGCTGGCCGAGGAAACGGGTGCGATTCCTTATGTTGGGTGTTCTGGGCCGAGATATAATGAGACGGAGCAAGGCAGGAAAGAAAATGCGACGGATGCGGGGAGGACGGTGTTGAGTGAGGTGTGGTATTATATGCATGTGGAGGGGAGACCGCAGGATGGGAGGTTTGTGTCGGTAGATCAGACGGGGAAGAGTGCGTGTACGAATGTGACGGGCGCCGTGTGGTATTATGAGCAGATGGAGGAGGAGGGGGGACGGGAGGAGTTGTGAAGGAGGAGGAGGAGGAGAAGGCTCACAGGACATGGGTGGGAGATGGAAAAAAAGGTATGTATATAATTGTGTATATATACACATTGTACAGGAATTAGCGCAAAATGGAATGTTGTTCTTGCTTTTTTCTTTGTCAGTGACCCTCCCGGGCAGGGCACACATCGAGCGATCTTCCACGACGAAAGACACAAAGATGGTGACGAAGAAATTTCAAGACTGGAGGCTCGATATTAAAACTGGTCCTGCAACTGCAACACCAAGACACACACACCAGACGCCATATCTTCTGCCGCAAGAGCTCCACCACCTCCTCTTGAGAAGAAACCATCTCTTCAGCATTATGTTGTTCAAAACAACTTCTTGATGGCACGAATGCTCTTGACCCTCTTCAACCACCCGCTCGTGCCCTTCGCCACCACCGCCTCCTTATTGGCCGAGTCGATATTGAGCCTGGCTTCATCATCTGCCACGGGCCGAGAGGGCTCATTGGGATTGGTTTCGGGAACGGGAATTCCATCGACGCGATCGATGAGGGTCGGGGCTTTCCTAGTGGGACGTGGAGGAGGCGGCTTGAAGAGCGGGCGACCGCAGCTGTAAACTTGGGTCTCGAAGTGGGAGTTTTGAGACTCCATGTGGTATGACTGGGTCTCCGAGTGGTATTTGGATCGAGAGGAGTCGTCAGGAATCGGCTCTGTAGCGGCAGGAGGTTGCTGTTCCAGAAAGGCTTCGCAAAGTGATGTCGAGTGAGCGGCCTCCTCGCTGGCACGGCCTGCGTCAGGTGCTGCGGCCAACATGGTCTTCATGTCGACAGTGCTGTCGGCACGCTCTACGCCACTCGTCTCCTCTGCATGGACTGGGCCCGGTGACAGCGTAGCAGACGGTGCGAAGTCGAAGTCAAAGGCGGGTATTTGCATCGTGGATGCTGGTGAAGAAGCCGATGACTTGTGCGCCGACTTCTCTGCAGCCTCAGAGATCGGAGCAAGCTTCCTCGATTTGCCATGAGGAGTCTTCATTGTCGTCTTGTCGAAGGGAGCGACGGGATCCACTGGTGCTGGAGAAATGGGGCCATGCTGGAGTCGTTCCTTCAACACACCCAGAGGCAGGTTGTCATTCTCGAATCGCTCCCCGGTCAACTCTTTGCGAGGCGTGGCAACGATCGTATACACTTGGTTCCTGTCGGCCGGGGCCGCTGAATCACCGCTGGCCTTGTCGATGGGGCGGCTGTTGGGTGCATTGGGCGTTCCCACTAGTCGCTGGCATCAGTCGCCAGGCCGGATCTCTGCACCCACGCCAGACTTACACGCTGTTGTGCTCTGCTCTTTGACTGCCGACGCCGTTTCTCCATCATGTTCCGGGCGCTTGGTCTTGGGAATGGTCCTCTGGGGTCGTACGGGAACGTTGAAGCCCGCCATGATCCCTTGTTGCGTTCAGGATGTGATCGTGGAAGAGGACGAAGAATGTGAAATGAAGACAACAGGCAGCAGGAAGATACTGCAGTTTCACAGTCTGGCCACGCATGAATTTCCAATGCCACTGTACGTGCTAGCTTGGCAGACCGTCGCTGGTGAGGTGGCGGCACAGTCCGGGACCTGAGAAGAAATCTCCCTTTGGTACATCACAAACCTTCGGTTCTCGACCACTATCTCTCGCGGCCCAGTGCACCAAGGAAAAAAAAACTCCTGTCAGCACTCCATCTCGCAGCTTGAAAAGTCTCCAGCCGCAACCGTCCTCCATCACGATTAGCGCATGGTCAGGAGTGAGCCCCTATATATATGGACATGCAACCACTGGATCAGCACGCTTTCTCTGCACCAGGGCACTTTTTTCAATATCTCTTGGAGATCATCTCCGGTCACATCGGTTGGTAGACAATGCATTACCACGGATGATCTCCAGTGAGCCGGTTCATCCGAGACAGCAACGTGGTCCGCAGATAGGCATCGTGCCTGCCGCTGGCTACACTCTTCAAACGAAGTCTTTTTTGCCAAACCTCTCAAATGCACAAGTAATTTGCACCACCACTGCCCGCACTTCCAAAGTCACAGACGTTCCCGACTCCATTTCTCAACCATCATCGCATCTACCCACTCGAGGAGAAATGTCACAACATATCATGGCATCTGGCCTCACAACTGTCCTGGCCAAAGCCACAACCACGATCCAACCCCGAAACACCCACGAGGAAACGACCTGCAACGCTCTCTGCAAAGCCCAACTCTTCGGCCTAATAGCTCTCATGTCAGTCTACCTGGTCTCATCCTTCGTCATCCCCGCCATCTCCTTCATCCACACACACGCCCGAATCCTCGGCCTCACCTCTGCGGAAATGGTGCGTGGGAGATCTTGCGCGCGAGCTGTGCCTCTCATCTTCCTCTACCTGCTCAGCGGTCCGGGCTTGTACATTGCGTTTTTCCTGGTGTTTGGCTTGACTCCCCTGGCGGGCTTGAATGATCCTCGACCGGAGAACTATGCGCTGGCGATGTCGATGGCGATCGTCTTGGTGCTGGCTGCGCATGTGGTGTACTCTGGCGCGTGCTGGATCGTGTATGCAATTTCGAGGACGGTCGGGGCAAGAAAGGTGGGAAATCGGGGGACTGGAGAGGGGAATTCGAAGGATTTGGAGTTGCAGGACTGTGGAGGTAATATGTAATATGTACCTAATTATGAGAAGCGGGATGTGTGCTTGAATTTAGATGTGTTCAAGCTAGGAATCAATCGATAATTGTTATCCGAGGAAGGAACACGGGGGGCTTAATGAATAACAGAAAAAGGACCTGATATGGCAGGCAGGTCCATGTCCATGCAGCCGACTTTGGTTCTGTCTGAAATTACAAGATGGGAAAAAAAAGAGAGTCTTGGAAAGAAATGTACCGTACCTACCTGTAGTTGTCCAACTTCGCACAAGATTTATACTACCCGTAGATACCACGCCATCATTTCTCTCCCAGTCAGTACTCATACTCATCCCAAAAAACTCATTCTCCCTCTCGAAGAACAACCCGCTTCCACAAACCCCAATCGCCTCCATTCCTCATCACCACCACCACCATCATCATCATCATCATCGCCAGAATATTCACCATCATCATCATCACCAGAATCTTCACCAACAGTAGCAAACCCTCCTCTCTCAACCCTCCCTCTACCCCTCGAACTTTTCAATCCGGCAGCCAGAGACTGCGTCGCAGCAGTATCGCTTCTTGGAATTTGTGCTTCCAGAGCAAGAAGAGCAAGATCAGGAACAGGAGCAGAGGATAACTCATCAGGGCTGTTGAAATCCTGCACAGGCGAGAAGAAGAGGAGGAGGGGAGGTGAATTGGAAGTATGTTTTGAGGATTGATGTTGTTGTTCTTGTTCGTCGGGAGATTTGATCATCTGATGCTGGATTTCGGAGATGTCAGGTTTATCATTGCTGTTATTACTGAGAATATTACTGCTGGAACTTTTTTTACTGTTACTATTATTGCTGGTGAGATTCTGTTGCTGTTGCTGTTGCTGACATGTGGAAGTTGTTGTTGTTGCTGCTGCAGTTGCTGTCTCAAGACAAATCGGCTTTCCATCTGGTGTGTCGAGAATATACAATTTACCATCTTCATCTTCACATTTGGTGTAAGCCACATAAGGAGGTGAGCTGCGACCATTGGACGTGTGGGTGTCTTCCTTCCATTGCGTCGCTTCTGCTTGAGGATGTGTAGGTAATGTACTGGGCTGTGCTGCTGCTGCTGCGGCTGCTACGACAGTGCTCACAGGTTTCGGAATTGTATGAATTACAGTTGAATCATCTGGTGTTGGCACAGTTACCGCACAATGTGTCTCCTCCAAGGGGCTGCTGTGCTCGCCGTCTGGCTGAAAAGCGCATTCGCAGTCCCCATGAAAGCCTTGTATGCTGGAAGGTGAGCCTTGAAGAGGAGACTCTGGCATATTTGGACGTACATACACACTCACCTCCGGTCTTGGCCTCTCACGAGGCCGAGCGTTCGCAAGCTGGAGTTGCAGTGCAGTCAGTTGTGCTTGTACTTGCTCCACAGAAGGACCACGGTCGTTTGACGCGATTTGCGAAGACTTGGTAGGCCCTTGTGCAGTCTCGACTACAGGCACTTCAGCAGCAGACCCAACTTCATCGACTCGATTCGCCCCAAAGCCTGTACCGCCTGGTGCGCGGAGAAGCTCAGTCGGAACAGAAGATGATGTCCTTGCCGGAGAAGCCGAGCCAGCGAGTCTGTCTGCTGGCGCCTCGTCGGCGAATCTCACGTGTATGTCCTTTGGACCTTGTAATCCTCTTGGGACTTCGACATGTATCGAATATGTATCCAGACGCTTCCGAACAGGGAGAGGGAGCAATTCGTGCTGTGACGCAGAGTCATCTGGATCGAGTGAAATGCCTGGCCAAGAGATGTGTGATGGAGGTGGTGTCGCAGCTTCTAAACCCTCTGCGACAGATTCACTGGCATGACACTCATGGACCGCGGATGTGGGCTGGCTATGCAGTGCTTCAGCTCTGTCATCGGATGCTGTCGAATGTGGTTGCGGAGGAGCACGATTGATCTCCCAATTCCGTATCCCAATCTCTCGTTCCACAATCTCGCGGCTCTTTCTGAGAGCGCGATTCGCAGCTCTCTCGCGCTTTGCACTGACATGCTCCATCTCTACGGCTCGTGCAACGACTCTCTCACCAAGGACAACGTCAAGGAATCGGAGGACATCAAAGTTCAACTCGTGAATCTCGCGAGCGCAGAATGGATGCACCAGTCGGAGTGCTTTGATACCGGTGTAGCCCAGAGTCGAAGCATCTACATACTGGCGGGACTGGAAAGGGTCCTCGGTGCTGTGCCCAATCTGAAGAGTTGTGCAAGAGTTTGGTGTTTGACGCAGTGTCTTGTCGGATCCGGAATGGAGCCGAGAAAAAGCTTCGTTGTCTGCAATGCAGGAAGGACTCCAGAGTCGAGAGCCTTGCAAAGGATGCGGCGCATGTTCCACGTTGAACGGCGTAGGACGGAGATCATAAGGAGTAGTAGCGCCAGCTGGGGTTGTCGCGCCGCTCTCGAGAGGTGGTATGTCGAGGTGCGTGGGTCGTCGTATATCACTCGACACATCTGTAGGATGGTTGTTATACTTCAATGACTGACCCATAACCGTGCCTGGACTAGGTAGAGGGGCTTCGATTGCCTGGGTGACATTGTACTCGAAGGCGATATGCTCAACACCCGAAATGTCTTGTGCGTCTCTACCAGGCTCGTCAGATCCAGTGGGCTGTGCCTCTGCTGCTTTGCCTCGTGATTTCTCACTCAGAGCTCTACCTTCTGGTACTTTTATAGAAGCATTGATGGGCGGCGCAGAAGAGTCTACAGCTTTGAGACGACTTGGCGCAGTTTGGAGTAGCATCCGAGTGTATTGCTCGAAGAATCTCAAGTCCTCTGCTAGTGCTACCTCGTGACCATTGGCGAAGCCGCACACTTCCAGATCGTGTGCCTTGTTCTCCAGGAATGCGGCCAGCTGGCTCATGCTGTCTACGGCTCGCGATGTGTTCAAGCTTGTATTCTGTCCTGGTCTGGTCAAGAAACCTGGACTCCGCTCAATCACGAGGCTAAACGCATAGCCATATAACCTGTTGGACAAATTTTTCGCCGTTGCCAAGATGGGCAAGTCAAGCATGATGATGCCAGTACAATATCCTTTGTACACGAATGCTGACAGATCGACGAGGCATTCTGCAACGGCTGAAGCGCTTGATTCATGGAGAGAGTCTGCTTGGCAATGGTTCAGGCCGGTGGCTTGGGTTGGATTGAGAGACATGGCTGTGGGTCAGTGGGAAGAAAGCCGTGTCTGAGTAGGTAGGTACCAGGTAGGTAGGTGGCTGTGTGAGTCGAAGAGCGCCTGTGTGGGTCAACATCTTTCGACAAATATAGGTTTTCATGGATGGAAGACACATTGGTGAATGTTGCGACAGAACATATTGCATGTAGTGTTATAACCAGCTGCCGCGTTATACCAGGTGGATACATACACTGCTCTGACATTCTTGTCATCGGTCCACATAACATAGCGCGATGAGGTTGGAGCTAGCAGAATCCATAGTGAATATTTGCACTGGGGCTTGACAGTGTACTCTCATCGTGTGAGTTGTAAGAGATGGCAACTTACCTCCATACTGTAATGCTCAGCACGCGAACATAGGATTCGATCTCATAGCTCGACTTGCCTTCTCCTCCAGTATTCATACGCTTTTGGGAGTCGGAAATGGTCGACAGAACGAATTGTGCGCAGAAGAAGGCAGCTGGCGCCCCAGCCCAAGCCCATCATCCGCTTGCGCGCGCGCCGCATGTCTGGCCAGCCCTACAGAGGGTGTATCCCAAGTAGTCGATACGAGTGACCATAGCCCACCTACTGTACTGTAAATACACCTCTTCCCCTTGTTCCTCGGATTATTTCCCCGGGTAATGTCTTTGCTGGTTCGCTCAGCCATTCCATGCATGCCTAATTCCACCAGGTACATGCATGGCAGCACCAATTTGGAGAGGAGTCTGTAGGACGTGCTGGCGATTCGTACTCGCGCGTGATTTACGCCATTGGAGAAGGAGTTTAACACACCCGGTACGGCGAAGAGACGCAAGTGGTGTTGTTCTAGATGGGTGTGAAATGAGTGATGGGCTGGAGGGCGGCACAGCAGGGAAGAGGCCGACGACTACCTGTAGAATAAGATCAACATACTGTATCTCTTACCGTACCCGTACCATAAGGTGTCTATATACATGTATCATGATGTATGGTGTATGTATAGCGCTTATACTGGTAGTGGTAGATACGAAAGGAGGACGGGGTGAAGTGAAACATTGATGGGCCGGCCCTAGCTCCTAGTTCTTCAGCTACTCAACACCTCATACGTTACTGTATGGTAATTAAAGACAACCTTCTTATTACCTTCTAGCTCAACGAGGGACTGTGTCTCGTGTTTTGCCTGTAGTTGTAGGAGGTAGTGTGAGGCTAAAACCAACAACAAAACTCTTCCCTGCCTGTTCGGTTGCTGTGACACCAACAAGGAAAAGGCAACGAGCAACAACAACATCTCTCTACTCCCTCTCCACACTCCTGTCCCGTCCCCTCCGAGAGACCACCTGACTGTACTGTACTTCACTTCACTTCACCTGGCCACCACGTGATGCTCGTTGGCTTCGAGAATCGAGAATTGAGACTCGAGGGCCTGAGGCTGAGGCGGAAGATGATACGCCGACTGTCAGCAGCGCCGAGGACTTCCGCCAACATGCTTTCCCCTCCCCTCCCCTCCCCTCTCCTCCCCCTTCTCCCTTCTCCTTCCCCTTCCGCCCTCCCTGACAGCGCCCAGCCACTCCTCAGGCACCGGCAGCGGAAAGGTCGGCAACGTCACCAAGAAGCGCTCCGTAGCATCTCGAGACGCACGCTCGTGGAAAAGAGTCTGGGCTCATCACGCGATGTCGCGTGCTGGGGAGTCTGGGAATATGCTTCCAATATGCCCGGATGAAACGTTCGTTCATACTGTTCTCACAATCATACACTTCCAACAGCCTGATTAAAGTGGCATCTGGCGGCAGCGTACCACGCGGTCGACTAGGTCGGAGAGCAAGGGTGTACCTTTTCTGGGAGCTTCCTACTAGGGACCCTACCAATCTAGACTGGGCAGGACTTTTACCATCTCCTTCGCCGCTTATTGTTGCATGGACCAGTCTGCCCTAGGTTCACGGAACTCGTCTATGGATCGTGGCACCTTGCATCGGCGAGGTGCTGGATGTAGTAGTGGTCTGGACTGTGGCATCTCTCCAGGGTTATCGCTATTAGTCTTTGAGCCCTCGTCCAGGCATCCCGATCGATCCTCAGTAATGATGTCGTTTCAGACCGATACGATACGAACGTGCTCTGCCCGTAAAACGTGGGTCCAGCATGGGAGTGGTGACATGCGGAAGGCCGGAGGGACAAATTGCACGATCAAAGTACCGAATACGTGAGCTGACCGACAAATATAGCCTGCAAGCGCTCGACTTGGCCACCCTGCTGCTAGGAATATACGCGCTGTACTGAGCATATAAAGAACCACTACCACTCTCCCCTATCTCAAGGACACCAACCATCGACCATCATCTCGAAGACACTCCAGCTATCAAGACATCAGTCGATAATCAAGACTTCCTGGAAACTACAACACACTCATTTCGCATCACTTCACCCACAACAACAACAACAACAACAACAACAACAACAACAACTTCTCTCAAGATGCGTTTCACTTCAGTAACTGCCCTGGCGGCCTGCCTCTCCGTCGCCGCAGCAATTCCAGTGGCCGACCCCGAAGCCCAGAACGCTGGCAACGGCAACGTCCACACCAACAAATGCGGCATGACCCGTTTCAACGCCCAGTATGGCTTTGGAAAACCTCCAACCCTTCAGGATTGCATCACTATGATCACGAAGATCAGCTCAAGCCCACACCTTGTCGATCAACGAAAGCAAGTCGGACAATATGGGGACTGCGCCTTCATCGTTTCACCAACGAAGAAAGGTACACATGCAAAAATTGGAATGGATGATATCAAGGATATCACCAGGGACGTAACTAATGACTGGGCCAACAACAAGGACGGGCCGACGTCATACGAGGGTACCATCCAGATTGGCTCCGGCGGCAAGATGTCTTGCGATTCCGACAACAATACGCAGGTGGAAATCTACTGGTCAATTGGACTTTGGGCCCCCAAGACCCCAAGGAAAAGCAAGCCAAGCAATTAATTGGCTTCTTGGGGAGAGGGAGAAATGAACCTCGATGCTCCAGCCTAATTTGGTCCGTGGCATTCTGGTCAAGGACGGAGAGAGTGAGAGACATATACGCGGATATCTCGATGACCATCGGAGAGGTTTTCTTTTTTGTTTGTTTTGTGGTTTTTTGGTTTTTAAACACCCCCCAACGTACATAGCTACTCTCTTGTCGCATAGAAGGAAAGGAAGAACTTGAGCTGTATAGAGAACAATTATACAATTAGCCTCTGAATAAGGCAGATTTTTGCTTCGATTCGATTCGACTCTTTTTTCTCTTTTTCTTGTCTTTTCTGCTCTCCTCTCCTTTTCCCTACAGCTACCACTCATCACAGCAGGAGGTATAACAAAAAGAAACAGAAAAATGAAAGAGACGAATACAACACAACACATTTCTTCACACTTCTTCACACTTCTTCTTCTTCACGTACCTTACCTTACCTAGTTCCGTTAGTTCGTTCCTTAGTTCCTTAGCTCGTCAGCTAATTACAATACCTAGTATGTACTACCCACCCCTTCCATCCAGGTTCCTTCTCTTCTCTTCTTTTCTCTTCTTCCTTTTCTTCCCGACCGCGGACTTCATCTCCTTACAAGGGTACTTTTACCGTCGTCGCAATTTTCTTTTTCTTTTTCTTTTTCTTTTTCTTTTTCTTCACGGACTACTATATCCGTTCACCCGGGGAAATTTTCTTTTTTCTTTACGGAAGGGTAATGAATAATGGAGATGAAGATGTAAGAAAAAAAGGAAAAAGGGAATAGGAATTCATCTTGAATGATTCAATTCAGTTCGATTCAGTTCAATTCCATTCAACCCAATTCAGTCTTTAGAACTTCACTTCACTCCAATCCACTTCCATTCAGCCTACATACATACAGTCATACCGTCATCCACTACCGACCCTAGCGACCCTAGCGGCGACCCTAGGTTCTTCCCCCCTAGTCCCTGTAGTCGTTCCCTCCACCACCCTAGTCGCATCCCCTGTAGGGTTTTGTAACAATAAGGTCCTGCAATAATAAATAGCTACACCTATGTATGCGACCCGACCTAGGAGGGTAAGAAGATTAGGTTTGATTACAGTACGTACCTTTTTTTCGCTCTTGGCAGTATACGATGTAGGCGGAGCTAGAAGATTGGGTTTCGTTTTCGTTTGTTCAACTACTGTATGTACCTGCTAGGTATAGTACTGTACGCGCCGATTCGTTCTTGTTCGTTCTTCTACGCTCTTCTTCGTTTCTTCTTCGTTTCTTATTCATCTATACCAAAACCAGTAGTCAACTCGTAGTAGTAGTTCGGAATTTGAATGTATCCCCCCTCCAAAAAAAAATCCCCCAAAAAATCCCCTAAAAAATTCCCTTCCCTTTTCCTACTGCAAGGTACTATGTTAGGTACCTAGCAAAGTTTTCCTACACGCAGTTTCCGCGGAAACATAGATGTCTGCAGAATGTCTGCAGACAAACAGACAGACAGGGAACAGGGAGCAAGGAATAGGCCATGTCTTTCTGTCTCCTAGCGTTTCTTAAAGTTTGATGTACTTTTCGCTTGTAGAGAGTATATATAATCCGCGGACCTCGGATATCGCGATTCGCTGACCTCTCTGACCTCTCTCTTGTTGATGTTTGATGTTTGATGTAATCTGGTAGAATACGGTAATCGCATCTCTTCTTTTTTACTTTGGTGTTCGTGTTCGTGTTTTTTTGTTTTTGTTTGAGCACATTATTGCGAGGACCTTTCATTGTGCTGTTTTTTCTTTTCCCCCTTCTTACATGCTTGTAGAAAGGAAAATGGTTCTGTTTGTATGAAGTAGAGAGGTACGTCGTCGAGAAAAGAAACAACAACAAAGTCGGAGTTGCTTGGCTTGGCTTGGCGACCAAGACTTCACTTCCTTGTCGGCTTGTTGTTCTAGCCTCTGCACGAGTCCACGTGGTTTGCTTACTTTTCCACGTTGGCGTTTCATCAACAAAGTTTAGATTCTGTTGCAACTTGCGCTGAAGGAGTGTAGGAGGTACTGCATAAAAGGTACCTCCTAACTTACCTCCTAACTTACATGTAACTGTACTAGAAAGTCTAGAATCTTTTTACAGTCCCGGGGAGGTACAACGTGACATTTTGGTAGTATTGCATTTACTACTTTCGTCATAAGCATAAGTAAGCCCTTCTTCTTCTCCTTCTTCTTCTTCTTCTTCTTCTTCTTTCGTGTTGATATCTTGTGTCGTTGACTGGGCAACTAACTATCAAGCAACACAACACAATACCATCATACTCGCTTTGCTAGCTACTATACAGTAGCAAGGGTATTCTTACAAGTACGAACAGGTCTGGCAAATATTATATACATCCTATACAGAGCGATAGAAGGTAGGTAGTACAAACGTATCCCAAAAACGAGTTTCTATTCCTAGTTAGTCATTTCTCGGTGCAAACTACTCGAGGGATTTTTCGGTTTTACACTAGCTCGTAACCTCAAGAGAGCCTATCGTTGGAAAGGAAAGAGGTGACTGTAAGGTCTCCGGCAGCAGCGGGAGGAACCCCGAACCATGGTATAAAGATTAAAAACGAGTCGTGATCATCATTTGGTACATACAATACAGTCTTTCGAACCTAAATAAGTGACAATCGTGCAAATCAATCGTATTTCTCATCAGTCAGTCAGTCGTGAGTCGTGATGTCTCAATCCCAAATCACGATACATCGAACTTCGATACTCTCTCTTGCTGGTCCTTCGTCCTGCTCCGTCGTGAAAGCAGAATGTGGCGTACATCGTGCCGTGCCATCGGTGAGAGAGTCGAAGCATTTGACTAACAAACATTCTTCGGGTTGCATGTTGGAGGCATAGTACCACTTGTGAGCGGGATTGTAGGCCAATTCCTTGATAAAGAAAAAAGAAAAAAAAAGAGGTTGTCAGTTGTAGGACAGATACACGCATGTGATAATGGAAGGAGTAATTGCCATACCCATCGCTCAATTTCTCCCGTGCTGTTTTTCGGGTTACTTCCTCCGTACACGGGATGTTGACCCCGAGTAGGCAGGACACTCATCACGCCGACGAGGTCCGATTGCTCGTCGAGAGAGCGAAAATCACACACGGCAAGAGGCTCGCGAGTGACTGGACGGAGAGGTCTCCATCTGCAAAAGAGTTTCTCTCTCGTCAACCATCTCTTGGTGAACCCAAACAAACAGCCATACATGTATGACCGGGCACAAATGGAAAAGCTCAGCTCACTTACATATTGATGACACCCCATCTCTTCTTCATAATTTCCTCGGCCATCTCGTCGCCGTGGTGATGCCGTATAGTCTGCTCTGCGCCCTCATAGGACTGATCCACATGAGCATTCATCACAGGATGCATGAGTGGAACTGGTGCGAGGTCGCCTGCTTGCTCTCGGACTGCTTCAGCAGCCTTCTTCGCGTCTTGCCATGTGCGATTGCGGACGATGTGGTTGCTCGGCATCACCCGGGAAGCACCCACGACGTCCTTGAGGAGAGCTTCGCAGTCCTTGTAGTAGATGTCTCGGATATGTTCTTCGTCCCATGATGAGCAGGAGGTGGGACGATGGACCAACTGGAAGCCATTCTTGTCGGCAGTGAAGACTTCGGAGCAGGAGCGAATATCTGTGATTTCTACTGGTTTGGAAATGAAGTCCCGGAGCTTGTCGCTAGTAGTGCCAATGTATATGACCTTGGTATCTGGATAGTGATGGTTGATGTAGGCCGACACTGCCTTCTCTTGAGCTTCCTTATGAGGCATGTTGATGGAGAATCGTCTACAGCTGTGCTGTTTGTGGATAGTTTCTTCATTCCCTCCTTCTCGTGGCTGTCAGCCTGTCGCTGGAGGAGGGTATAAGTACTCGAGCTAATGAGCAGACGTGTGCGGGGTAGCATAGTATAGTGCTCTATAGGTACATTAGTACAGTAAGGTAGGTAGTTCTACAGGGGCGAGTGTATATGATATTGTGATCTCCGAGACCGAGGCGGAGACCGAGGAACCGGAGTCCGTCTCTTGATCAGGATCTTATAACAAGATGAGGTTCTGAGTGAGGTATAAATGTGTATAGACAGTACCTCAGAAAGCAGCAGTCAAACTGTACAATATGTGAATGGGCAGTGGTACGAGGAACTTGGGAAGTATGTTTCGAATGGCAGGGATTCGTTGGATAGGGCTGCCCCTAAACAAGACGTGATGTTCACCGTCTTTTTCACTACTGCATGAGGGCATTCGAACCTCTACAGTATCCGTAATGCTTCCTGTCGTAGTGTTGTTGTTGTTGTTGTCCCAAATTTTGCAGCTTCTGAGAACACGAATGTTGATATCGCAAAGAGGAGGAGTAGTGCTTGAGGCTGTTCAAAAATCGGAACGAGCTCGTTACCCACTCCGATTGGCTCAATCTCTCCCAGCCTGAACAGCCTTGTCCCACACAAAGACTCCGGGCGGCAGGAGCGGGCCGGTCAGCCGCATTCGAAAATTGTAAGTCAATAGTCGTGACACCGTGCCACATATCATGATCAAGGCAAAACTTCACTTCACTTCACGCCGTCCACTCACAATTGAATCTACACGCTTCTACCGATATCTCGAACATTGGACGCAATCAGCCTCTTCTCTTCCTTCGTCACACACCACCACCACCACCACCACCACCACCATCGTCTGAGACTCACCCAAGAAACGCCGCATCTCTTCACGCCATCCTCCGTCAAAGCCAAAAGAAAAGATGCCCATCTCCAAGAAAGACCGCATCCATCGCGAGCAGAAAAAGGCCGACGCAGCTGGAACCCGTGCCAAAGTCAACCCCAACGGAACTCCCGTGAAAGCAGCCAAGCCCAAATCCATCTGTGCATTTTGTCGCAAGGAGCTCGTAAGTTTCTTTTTCTTTTCTTCTTTTTTCCCTTTACGCTCCTCGTGGCTTTGATTGATTTCTCGAGCGGAGAATAAAAGCAAAGCGTATATATATGTTGTCTTAAGAAATCTGACTTCGGCCCTCTTTCTCTGCATATAGGACAACACCAACTTGAAAATCCTCGAGCAACATGCCGATACCCATAACGATCAGTGGCCCAAGGAGAAGTGCTGGCCAAATGAGTTCAAGTGAAGCGATATAGATCTGCGGCTTTGAGATTCAGATGACCGAGTGGCTTTCGAGAGAAAAAGAAAAAGAAATCGAGAAATCGACAGGCGAAGAGGCAGGCGGCGGGTTGCATTTTTCAGAGTTTCTCGGTTTTTTTCAGGCAGCTTTTGGCATGGGAATCAAATTACATGGCGGCAGCTGCGGAGGATAGAGGAGTTTTTTTTCTCTCTTTTGATACAATCGAGACGGGATCCGAGAAGAGGAAAAAAGAAGAAACTGAATGCCATCGGAGAGAGAGAGAGTGTGTGTGGTGGTAAGCGGTTTCCAGCTTACTAGGTAGGTATAGAGCAAAAGACAGCAAAAAGAAAATGATACCCGAAAAAAATTCAAATGAGGTTGAAGATGATGATGAATGACCCACACCCTAAGAGTACACAGCACATGAAAAAGAAAAGAAAAAGAAAAAGAAACACTACTTCCTCCTCTCCCCCCTTCAAACAAAAAACAGTTCCGCCCTCGGCCTCTCCCTCCCCCACGGTCGACTCTCAACATAAACATCATCCACAGCATTATACCTTCTTCCCCGCCTCCTCCCCTCCTCCTCCCACACCCCCAAAGCCCGCTCAAAATCCTCCTCAAACCCCTCCACACCCCTGATATCGATCGTATCGCTCAACATCTCCCGTCCTCGTCCTCGTCCTCCTCCCCTCCTACTCCCACCCAACAATTCCTCATGCAAATCATCCCACCACAACAAAACCGCCAACAACGCAAATCGCAACGCACTCCCCGCACCCGAAATTTCCAAACACGTCTCGAAAGTTTTCGCATCGAGAGGTTCTTCTTCTTCTAGAATACGAAAGAAAGCTTTGAGAATTTCATTTTGCAAAAGTGGAAGATTCCAATCTTTGGCGAAATTCCAGGCGTGGGTGAGGGAGATTTGATGTTGATGATGTTGATGATGATGGGGAGTCTGATTCGGTGATACGACATTGACATCGACGGCGGCGGCGGCATCCGGCACGCGTGAGTGAAAGAGCCAGTAGATGAAAATGGACAGGACAGTGGGGTTGGGGGAGTGGGCACTCAAATCCAAGGTGGGGAAAAGGGAGGCTGGTCCAATGCTGCGATGATGATAATCATGATGATGATGATGATGAGGTGGTTGAATGGCGGTGGCGAGGAGGAGTGGAGATTTTTGCATGAGGAGAGCTTGGGAGATGAACAAGGGTCGCTCGCCGGGGTGCGTGGAGCAGTAGACTTGTACGAGGTCGGGAGCGATGCGGAGGCGCTGGACGAGTTGGCTTGCAGTTTCGTGGTCTGGAAGCTGCGCAATCGGCTGGCTGGTCTCGATGGTGGCTGATGAGTCGGTTTCGGCTTGCTGAGGTCTTGTGGTTGGAACGCGAGGATGGATCGGTGGAGAGCGAGCAGGAAAGTCACGACTGAGGCGCGCTGAACGCGCTGCAAATGTGTTATCCATGGCTGATCACTTTGGGATTTGATGGTAATATTCGTGGCAAAGCAAAAGGCGCACAAAGATGTATAAGAACAGAATATGTTGTTTGCCAGCCCGCATTGTCATTGTGCATAGTGTTTCGCGCAAAGGGTTAATGAGTGATCTGATCATATTCTTTCACGCACACCTTGCTTCACTACTGCCAGCAACTTTTCGCACAGGGATCGCATACAAAAAACAGACCCGCAATGGGACGCTTCTTGCGCTCCTGATTGTTCATCCCAGAACGCACCTCCCGTGCAGCATGCAAGTCGGCCTCGATCCCTTTGACCTCTTCTATATTGATGTATGGCTGCAGTCTGGGGTGCGGCGTAGGTTCGTAGTCGTTCATGCCTCGTGTGCTTTGATCTTCCCACCACAGCATATACTGCACCAATGCCCAGCGCATCCGTGTTGCTGACTCGGACACTAGAAGACAGATCTGCAGCGTTTCTGCTGTCAGATCCTTGGCCGGATTGTCGAGAGCATCAAAAAGTTTTACCATGAGAGCGTTCTGGAAAGCCGGCAAGTCGACGGAGTCTGCAAAGACCCACGTGCGCACGAGAAGTGTTTGATAGTCATCTTCGTCATCTTGGCTGGGAATGCTATGGTATTTGCCGAATTCGTGCAATCCGGGCACTCGGGTGTGGAATGCCCAGAAAACGAACAAGGCAAGGATGTCTTCTTGAGTGTGAAGCACTAGTCGATCTGTTCCCTCGAACTCCATCTGCCTCATGATTCGCTCAAACCAGAACGAACCACGGAATACAAGCCGAAGAAGCCCTTCTTGCACGAAGATTGGTTCCACGAGGTCTTCTGAGGTATAGATCCGAATGAGGTCACCCTGCACATGTTGCAGCCGCTCCAGTAGCTGTAGTACATTCTCCGCCGGTGGTCGTGGTGGGCTTCTTGCTCGTGATCTGTGCGTGCTTGCCTTATCGATGGACGCCATGGATGGAGTCGAACGGCTTGCAAAGAAGCGCATGTTGATCGCCTTTCTGTGCGTCGTTATGGATGTTTTTTGCCGAAACACAGACGAGGCCTTGACGTCGCCTTTTCAGCTCGACCCTTTTGGCCACGCGAACAGCTCACGCACTGGCGTGTCACGTATAGATTTTTATGCACGAGACTCGTCACTGCTACACAGAACGTGACCGTTTCGAGTATGATGAGCCTTCGAGCAGGAGACCAAAGCGCAACCGACGCCTCGATGCTCGGCACGCGACAACGATCATTGTTTAGCCAAGCTCACTCCTGCCGAAAGCACGATCCATTGCATCCCCCAAATCATCAACTTGCTTGTCCGATTTAGACACCGTGTCTTCCTGGGATGGCTCGTCCATCAGGTTCACATTACTGGCTGCAGTGGAATCGGTCCGTGGTTTCTCTGGCTGCAAGATATACTGCTCTGTGTCCAAGTAGCCCGGTGCCTTCTTTCTCTTCTCGGCCAGCTCTCTGTCTCTTATCTTTTGCTCCCAATCCCGAATCTCCTTCTCGGCATCCTTGCGCTGCTTCTCAATCTGCTCCAGTAGTGACTTGTTCTGAGCAATGATGGTCTTGGGGTGCGCCGCAAAGCCAGAAGGCGATGTCACATACGCTGGTAGATCTGGGTTAGATGCGACTGCGGGTGCGCTGAGTGCCGAAGGTGGTAGAGTGCTCGGTAACGAAGCATAGTTGTGTGGGAGTGTCGGAGCTTTCGGCAGGTCGATGAATGGGTTCACGCTTAGCGCCGTCTGTTGGAGGAGCGGATGTGCGTCTGTACTCGTCAGTATTGATAGTGATACCTGTATCATTTGATACACTCACTGTCGCCCTGCATCTTGCTGGTTCTGCAGTCTGTGAAGTGGTGTCGCAGTCGCAGTATGGACGTCCATAACTTGGGGTCAGCTCCCGGCTCGGCAGTCGATGTGGAGTGGAGAACAAGCTGCGCCACACTTCTGCCTGAGGACGTTCTCCATCAATCGTCGGTCGTTGATCTAGGACGTTCCAGACAGCATGGAGCAGTGCTCTCAAATCACTACAACCAGAATAAGAAGAATAATCAAGACAACAATGAGCGCCGATATGCAGCAGCCAGACCATCGATCTGTCCCTCCAGTCAGCATCTGTCCTTGTATCCGGTAGCATTGACCCAACTCACCCTCATTCTGCTCAATCACATAACGGATCTTCTTCATGCCCGTCCCCAGCTTGCCTGCCACTCGGTCCGTGATGTTTTCTGTATCGTCGAGCAGCTCGGCTTGCTCCTCCAGCTCTCTTCCCATCGTATCAGCCTGCATCCTTAGATTGCCGACAGTTTGGAACACGCCATCGAGCGCTTCGTCTTGTTCGTGCAGCATCTCCATCTGTCGTTGTTCCTCCCAAGCGCCAAAGTCATCGTCCTCGTCTGCGCCGTTGACATCTTGGCCAAAGGAGTCCGGATGTGCCAGCTGATCGGCAGCATGGACAGTCTGGTTGAGCTGCTTATGCATTTCCTCTACTTCTTTCCCGACCTCTTCAACCAGTTTTCGACGTCGTTGGACTTCGGGTACATCGAGGCCATATTTGTATGGATCACCTTCCACTGCTCGGACGGAGTCTACCAGATCTTGCAGGTCTGTGGAGAGATCCATGAGAGTCCCTTCGAGCTCATCGCGTGCTTCAACCAGTTCGGGTGCGGATGGTGAGGAAGCCGTGGATCGTATGCGCAAGTAGGATTGGTGCAGAGGTCGAGTCTGTTGTAGCAGAGACAGGATGTCCGCCTGAGCTTCTTCAAAGGGATCGTTGGACATGGTGGGTGGCGCTCTCGGATGATTTGTCTATCGTATAGTTCTGTCTATCTCATGAGATGCTGCACCGGCGATATGATGCTGTTGGTCGAGTTCAATGTTTGGTGGTGTGCAACAATGTCCATGTGCTGGGAGGTGGAAAGACAGCCACCAGGAGAGATTGTGGCTGGTGCTTTCCACTAGATCTATTCTACCTTACCCAATTTTCCACCTCAAACTCATGCTCGACCAATATCCTCCTCTGCATGTTGACGCCTGCTCCAGGCATTCCTGTGAGTCAATGTAGGCTGCATATCTCAACCAGAACACAGCATCCACTCGCTCCTCTCACGATCATGGCTGGTAGAATCGGGCCTGAGAAGCCTCTTCCACATACCGATGAATTCGCCAGCACAGAAGATTATGTGGACTCTCTCTTGGACTTCGTGGGATCAGATGAGACCCTCAGGACACTATGCGGCGGTGTACATATTCTAGACTTCTTCACCAGTGAGCCATCATTGTATGAGCGGATATTGCCTCAGGAATGGCGAGATTTCTTCGCCCAGCAGGATCCCATGCGGATAGTGGATCTACTGCTCAGAGATGACTTGTCTACGTCTGCCGAAAACCGCGAAAAGGAGAGCGTACACTGGCCTCCTCCAAGTCTCTTGGCCTATATACGAAGAGTCAGGAAGCACTTGCTGCTTCGAGAACCAGGTGGGTCGCAGTGCTCGCGTAACAGGCAGGTGAAGAAAGTCCAAAAGCTGGCACGGAATGTGGCTGTGGGCATGAATGTCAAGAAAGTTCATGAGGTTGGCCTCTTTTCTTCATACCTCGACCATCTTGCCTGGTCTATCAGTGACCTTACTGACGAGCCTATATCACATCTTGTGGATTTTGGATCTGGACAAAACTATCTGGGTCGTGCTTTGGCCAGTGAGCCGTATAACAGGAACATCGTGGCCATTGAGAGCAAACAAGCCAATGCTGAAAGAGCAAAGGAGTTTGACATTATGGCAAAACTGGCAGTCAAGCAAAAACTCATGCGGGATAAGAAGGCGTTTAGGAATGGCTTTGATCCCGTGTCTGCCGTTCCCACTCCTGTCGTACCCGCAGACTTACCTACTCCTCCACCTGAACATAACTCCGGTCTTATTACACGTGCTCCCGAAGTCGAGCTAGCAGCATCGGGAAAGGGCAAAATTCAGTACGTTGACCACCGCATCAAGGACGGCGATCTCAAGGACGTAATTGAGCGCATACCAGAAACGTCTACTCCCAAGAATGTCATGGTCATGTCTCTCCACTCCTGTGGAAATCTTGTTCACCATGGTCTTCGCTCCCTCATACTCAACTCTGAAGTCCGCTGCGTAGCAATGGTGGGCTGCTGCTACAACCTTGTCACAGAACGTCTGGGTCCTGCCACCTACAAATTGCCTGAGCTCCGCCCAACTACACATGACCATCCGCGTCTGGAAAAGACAGGAGAAGCCAACGATCCACATGGTTTTCCTATGTCTTCCCGCTTCTGCGATTATCAAGACAGTACTGTCAGCTCTCCCACAAATAATGACAGAGGTGTACGACTGAACATCACCTCCCGAATGATGGCCGTCCAGGCTCCCTCCAATTGGGGACCGGCCGACAGCGACAACTTTTTCACACGACACTTCTACCGCGCTCTCCTGCAACGTATTCTGCTCGACTACGGTGTCGTTGGGCCTCCAAGTCCACAATGTGTGGGAGGCTCCTCACCTGCCGGCCACAGTAGTGGAGGTACACCTATCGTCATCGGTAGTCTTCGCAAGAGCTGCTACGAGAACTTCACTACATATGTTCGAGGCGCACTAGAGAAGTTGGAAGCAAGCTCTGAAAGTGGTGCGCTCTTTCGAGAGAAACTGGGTGGCATCACGGACGAGGCTATAGGGAGGTATGCGGAAGAGTGGAAGGAAGGAAAGAAGAATCTCAGTGTGATTTGGAGCTTGATGGCCTTTTCTGCTGGTGTCATTGAAGCCGCGATTGTGGTCGATCGATGGCTTTGGTTGAAGGAGCAGGAAGAAGTCATTGAGGAGGCCTGGGTCGAGCCTGTTTTTGAGTACAAATTCAGCCCACGGAATCTGGTGATTGTTGGTGTGAGGAAGAGTAAGAAGTGAATCATTTCTTGCTGCGATGAGATACGATCAAGACTGCGTATAGGTCTATGGCAACAGCAAGCCCTGGTCTTTCAGGATAGCCTCGCCGACGTCCCGGCATAATTGCCAAATGCGACGTCCAAGGCTAACGTGTTGTGGTCCGCGCTCTGGCTGTTGTCCTACTCGCCTACCCTGACCATACTGCCGAGCAAAAGTAGAGTGCTCATACTCGCCGATCTCACTGCCAGAATCACTGCTATGCGATGCTGTACGGCCGGAGCCTGGCACCACCGCCGGCACTGGCTCTTCGCGATGTCTCTGATCTGTCCGTCGCAACGTGCTGCTACTAGACCGTCTGCGTTGGGGATTTGCTCTCCTCTCTGAGCTGGCACGATCATGGCGTCGCCTGTAGCTCCGAAGAGATGTTTCTGAATCATCGCTACTGGAGTGCGGCAAGCTGTCGTATCCGGAATCGTATGCGACGAAAATGTCACGTCTCCGACGTCGGGCGCGTAGTGCAATCCTGCGGCGCCTTGAGTCTCGCAAGCCGATAGCATTGCGTTCTTGACCGCGTCTGCTGCTCTCGATTCCAATGGCCATTGCGTATTCCTCGTTGGCACTCGGCTCTGGCGCAGCAGCTTCTCTCTCGCGTCTCATCCGGCGCTCGGTATGGTGTGGTTGAGAGCTGCAACCTCCTCGCAGACCAGGTCTTCGAGCTGGCGCCCTGTCACTTTCACGTTGGTGATGATGCATGTCCATCTCTGCCTGTTGCTGTCGCGCTCCTGCCAGATCCAATCCCCTCCATCCTCGATCATGACGATTCAGAGGCCTGAAGCCAGTATGTGGAGCTCGATGGGCTCTTCGGACATGCCAATGATCTCGAGGGGGTATATTGTCTGGCCACTCATCTTCACGTACATGATGGTGTTGGACCGGGAGCGGCTGACCATGATCAACCGCCCCTCTGCGTCGTCGCTCACCATCTCGGTTCTGCTCAAGTCCCCTCGTATGATGTCGAACATGTTCTCGCAGTTCCTCATGTTGGCGCCTTCGTTGGAAAGCTCTCCTTTCCTGCACATCAAGCATACGTGGCACAGCCCATTGTGCAAAGTCTTCATTTTCTTCGTCAGGAGACTCGGAAGATTCTTCGTCTCCATCCTCGTGGCCAGCAAAAGCGATCTCTTCGGTATACATGGCTTGTTCATCGCCAGGCCGACCATATCTCGGACAACCACCTCGCTGTCGATCCCAATGAGATCCACCTTCCATAGCTGACATTCCACAGAGATAGCAGAACTGTATTCCGCAAGTGCACGTAATATGGTTGCATCCATCCGCCAACTGAACTCTCTGTCGGCAATTCGGACAATCCTGATAATCTCTCCCACGATGCAAACCCTGGAAAGCTGCATCAACCTGTCTTTTCGCAGCATCATCCTCTTCAGGTGGAACACATAAATGATGCCGAATGCGTCTCTCCTCCTCTCCCTCACCACCAGGACGATAAACATCAACACCATGCTCCAAAACAAACTCAAACCGTCTCAAGCATCGCAAACACGTACACAATCCACATCTCCCACACCACTCACACTTTGACTCATCATCCTCATCAACCCCCCATCTCCTTCCTAAAAAAGCCCCACACTCCAACCCCCTCCTCCTCCCCCCGGGAGAAGGAACCTGCTGCTGTCGACAATACACCCTCTCCGCCACAGGACACCTTCTCTCCCGCACCCTCTCATCCAGTCTCATCAGTAGATCCGCATCCAGCACATCTCGAAATTCGCCGTGATGGAGAAGTAATGCACCCCAGCGAGGCGGCCAGGCGGTTTCGTCGATGAGAGCGAGCTCGAATAGTCTTGTGATGCAAGGTTTGCAGATGAGATTGTGCGAGATGGAGTGTGGCGGGCTGAGGAGCTCAGAGGTACATACTGAGCAGGTCCAGGGTGGGTGGGAGCTGCTGGAGGGGATTGGTGGTGGGGGTGGGGGAGGTTGGTTGTTGGTGGTGGTGGTGATATTCATGGATGGGTATCACAATGCAGAGGGTAGGAGACTTTCAGTTCAGGTCAGATCAGAGTGAGAGATTGAGAGGACGATCGGTAGATAGAGCTTCTTCTTCTTCTTCTTTCGTTCTTTCTTCGGTTGTGTAGTGTAAAAAGCAACCCGAAATTCTTTCACGGAAGAAAAGTCATGGCGAGTCAGTTATATGTATTGGGAGAAGAGAGGTATGGAAGAGAGACTGGGAAGGGCAATCTTGTACTATGCTACGCTATGTATTGCAAAGGTATTGTGAAGAGAGGTTGTGGCGACAATTTGCACATACTCAAATCTCAGTACAGATATACCATGATGCGAGGTCGACTGCATCCATCTGTACCAGGAGGACTTCCACGAAAGGCAAAATATCTGATTCCCGATCGATTGCGAGGTGCAGGAATCGTGGTTGTCACTGAGACACATTTGGCCGATTCATGTTTGATGCTCAGGTCTCTGTTTGACTTACTCCCAGATGTCTCACGGTGGAGGTCATATTAGCATGGTCGACGATGAACGAACGAGTGGAGAGTAGGTTCATCGAGAGAGTGTAAGCAGAGTAAGATGCTAGCACGGGAAACGAGTAGTTTTCTCCCTCGTATGCGGAGCCAGCCATGTGGGCAGTTTTCATCATTCATGTTACCCCAACGCCTTGCCTTGCCTCGCCATGCCGTACCGTGCTATGCTACTTGACAGTTCGATCGCTAATATAAGTTCAGGTAGTGAGGGTCGGTCCTCATGGAAAGTGTGCAAAGTGGAAAATGGGCCGTGCCACGAAAGAGCTTTCAGGCTCAACTTCTGCGACTGCTTTGTCGAGCAGCTTGTCCAGCTCCCTGTTCGGAGAAGCCAAGGATTGCTCGCGTCCAGCGTCTTCTGCCCTCATCAGGTCTCATTGAACAGTTTGGCAGTAACATCGCCCAGATATTCTTCCTCCAGCTCGTAGTACTCCCCATCAGCCTTGTCAATGCCCACCCATTCGAAGGCTGCCACAATCTGCTCGACTCCGAACCCCATTTCGGTGAACTGGTTAATCATGCGTTGGTTGTAACCATGGTAGCTAGCCACTCGTGCAGCTTCCTTTCTCTGCTTTTCCGCCTTGTCCTCGGCCTTCTTTTGCTCTTTCTCGTCCAACGAACTACTTGCTCCACCTTTCCCGGTACCGGGGCGTGGCGGAGGAGCATGGGCGTATAAGATGGCCCACTCCCTCGCGACATGTTTGAACTGCTCGGGACGCGTAAGTAGCATACTGGCAACTTCTGCATCTTGAGGGTCCTTGGGTTCTGGCGAGCTCAGCAGACTTTGCAGTGAGATCAGGGCGCTCTTCAGCGTCAAGACGGGCGACCAAGCAGTACCAAGGGTGTCTAAGCAGATGGCTCCCGTTTGAGAGCTGACATTGGGATGCCAGATCTTGGTCAGGAATCTCATCTCGGGGGGCTTGAAAGGATACTCGCCCGTTATCCGGATGTCGATCTGATATAAGCCACCTTCGTAGGGAGTGTCTGGCGGACCGGTGAAGGAGCCAGTGAAGCGGGTGAAGTCAGATATATCGCTGTTTCCCTGCGGATCAGTGATTCTTATGCCAGAGTGTGAGTCCTTGATGATGTCCGCTATCTCTTTCTGCAGACGCCGAGTCCGGTTGGTGGCCATGGCGAAGGTGGGGTGGTGGTGGTGTTTTCGTCGTCGTCGTTCTTCGGTGGTACGTGGGGGTGTGGAAGAGCACAGAGAGGGCGGAGATCAAGGAGAGAAAGAGAAAGACTGCCTCAGTCGAGGCTCAAGTGCGTCCGGGCGAGCTGAGAAAGAAGGTAAGGGAAGCGAAGCGAAGGGAAGGGAATAGGTAAGGCAAGTCAGCTTGCGCGGTGTCAGTCAACCAATTCCTGACGGATTATTGATGAGAATGTCGTGAATGACGAGTGAGTTGAATGCTGGTGTGGTGAGTGTGGGTGTGAGTGTGAGTGTGTTACTGTAGTGAAGTTGGTCTTAGCAAGTTAGTTCTATGTGTTGTAGTAAGTTGATTCAGTAGCTCGAGCTGTGGGGATCATGTCATCGGCAGGCAGGCACAGGCAGGCGCGTGCTTCGTCACGGCCGAGTACCTGTCACCCATCGACCGTCCCGATCCCATCTCCGTCCATCAAACAACACAACACCACATCATCCGACACCACCTTACCTCCATCCACCGACACCGACACCTACACCGACACCGACACCTCCCTCACGACGCCCTGACACCGCGGGGAGCATCCTCAGAACATGGTGCGCGCCGCCATCACCTTTCCCATTCGCTCATGGTGATGATAAGGTCAAGCTAACAGCGACGATAGGGTCAGAACCAGTCTGGCCTCGGTGGTCCCGGTGGCCCCGGAGGTCCTGGAGGCGATGATAACAAGAAAAAGGACGGAAAGAAGGATAAGCCCAAGTACGAGCCGCCGCCACAGCCCACCACGCGCATCGGCCGCAAGAAGAAGAAGCAGGCTGGTCCCAACGCTGCCGCAAAGCTGCCCACGGTCTACCCGACTGCGCGATGCAAGCTCCGATATCTGCGCATGCAGCGCGTCCACGATCACCTGCTGCTGGAAGAGGAGTTTGTGGAGAACCAGGAGCGATTACGGAAAGCCAAGACGGCAAACGAGAAGGCTGCGCCTGTGGGAGCAGAGGCTGATGACAGGAATGCCGACGAACGGAGTCGTGTCGATGATATGCGAGGTTCCCCCATGGGCGTGGGCAACCTGGAGGAGCTCATCGACGATGACCACGCCATTGTCTCATCGGCAACCGGACCGGAGTATTACGTCTCCATCATGTCTTTCGTCGACAAGGACCTGCTCGAACCTGGCGCGTCCATCTTGCTACATCACAAGAGTGTGTCGGTTGTTGGTGTCCTGACCGATGATGCCGATCCCGCGGTGAGTGTGATGAAGCTCGACAAGGCTCCCACAGAGTCGTACGCAGATATCGGAGGTCTGGAACAGCAGATTCAAGAGGTTCGCGAAGCCGTCGAGCTACCACTCCTTCATCCCGAGCTATACGAAGAGATGGGTATCAAGCCTCCAAAGGGTGTCATCTTGTATGGTGCTCCCGGTACAGGAAAGACGCTTCTCGCCAAAGCTGTCGCCAACCAAACATCCGCCACCTTTTTGCGAATCGTCGGCTCCGAGCTGATCCAAAAATACCTTGGTGACGGTCCACGACTGGTCCGCCAGCTCTTCCAAGTCGCAGCGGAGAATGCCCCTTCGATAGTCTTCATTGACGAGATTGATGCCATCGGCACGAAGCGATACGACAGCACGAGCGGAGGAGAGCGCGAGATCCAGAGAACCATGTTGGAGCTGCTCAATCAGTTAGACGGTTTCGATGATAGAGGAGATGTCAAGGTGATTATGGCTACGAACAAGATTGAGACGCTCGACCCAGCCTTGATTCGTCCTGGGCGTATTGATCGCAAGATCTTGTTCGAGAATCCCGATCAGAACACCAAGAAGAAGATCTTCACACTACACACGGGCAAGATGAACTTGGCGGAAGATGTGGATCTGGATGAGTTCATCAGCCAAAAGGACGATTTGAGTGGTGCGGATATCCGCGCAATTTGCTCTGAAGCTGGTCTGCTGGCGCTGAGAGAGCGGAGAATGAGAGTCAACATGACGGACTTTAGAGCTGCGAGGGAGAGTGTGTTGAAGACGAAGACCGAGGGCGAGCCCGAGGGTTTGTACTTGTAAAGAAGAAGAGATACACAGAGTGGGTTGCTCGCTGGACGTCTATTCAGTGAGTGTTGTATTATCATGGTAGCTCGCTGAACTGATGAAGTTTGCACTCTTTGGTGACAGCAGCAACAGCGAGATCAATAGAGACTTTGTTCAGCGGTGGCATCGTGACTCGTATCATCCTCCTTGGGATACTTAGTCCCCTCGTTTCCTACACGTGCTAATGTCCCGAGTGAAGGCCAAACTCGTACTTGTTTCTTCCTCGCCGAATACGAGCGATTTGGATTACTTTGCACTGCTCATCAAGAACTATGCACGGATAAGAGAAACGTCGATACTACTACTAATACTACTATCTCAGTACTCAATGAGTCCAAGATCATCTGCTCGGAGGGAAATGGCAGAAATGGATGGAGTAAGTATCACTATCACAGGCGAAAAAGACGGGCGATAGCTTTCTGACTGCCGACGTGCTGGGGTAGGTATATACATATACAGTTATACACCGAGATTTCTATACTTGTATCCTTGTCTCAGTTCATCAATCAAGCCTTGCAACTGTGATCGGATACATCCCCACGGGTGCTTTGCCGCCCGTCATCATCCCCCAGTTTCCCAACAACCACATCTTCCCTTCTCTCCCCACCCAACGACGCCATCTCTTCCTCGTCCTTCTTCTTCTTCTTCCTCTCATCCCTCACCTGCAACGCATAACACACGCCCGTCATCACGGCCGTAAACGCCCCCATGGCAATCATGGCGCAACTCCCCTCAAACCACCGCGGAGCCTGCGTCGTATTATAAAACAACAAACTCCACCAGAGATAAAATGCAATACTGAACATATTCATACTCGCCAGCACAACCGAACGCATCGCATCATCGTGGCGCGTGAGATCATTTGCCCAAGCGAAAAATACCGTTTGACCGGCAGATTGACAACCATTGAGAATCAGAGCGGCGAATTTCGAAGCTCGATGAGATGAAGATGAGGGGGAGAGCATCAGACCTCCAGAGATGATGGCTGTAATGGCCAAAAAGACTCCTGCGTGCAACCGGTTGCGTCGCGGGTTGGAATCGCTGTACCATCCCAGGGCCAACGTGGCGATGATTCCGAGGGCAGAGACAGAGGAAGGGATGTAGTTGATTTGAGGCGTGGAGAAATCTCCTGCAGAACCGGATTTGAGCCACAGTTGGAAAATGGCATTGCTCGTGAACATTTCCGTGTTGGAGCCGGCGATCCAGAGCCATACAAACGCCCACCATTGCCAGGAGAGGAGCACGCGTTTGAAAAGTGATGGACCGAGGACTCCGCGCGCAGTGGTCACGGGGGGTAAACGCTCAATGGCGAGAGTCTTTTCTCGTGCACTGAGATATTTTGCCGTGGTGCTGTGCGGTGTATCTGGGAACGCGAAGAAGCCATAGATACTAATGGGGAAAGTAATGAGAAAATCAATCACAAACAACCATCTCCAACCCGCCAGTCCAGCTTTTCCATTTAGATTTTTGAAAATCGAACCTTGCAGAATGCCGGAAAAGAGAGTCCCCGCGAGTCCCGAACTGGTGAAAATGGCGGTTCGTTTCCCAATTTCTTCGGGTTTATACCAACTTCCCAAAATCCACTGCACACCCACAAAGCACGAAGACTCGAAACATCCTTGCCAAAACCTAATCACCATAATCTGCCACGGATGCCGCGTGAAGCCCGTTCCCAACGTCAAGAGGCCCCAACACGCACACGTGACAGGTAACCAGATGCGAGGGGGAATTTTTTGCAAAATCAAATTGTTGGGGATTTGGCCGAGGAGGTAGCCGGAGTAGAAAATGGTGTTGATTTGATTGAGTTGTGTGCCGGAAAAGTGCAAATCTTCGCGTGCGCCGGATACGTAGGCGTTGGCGAGGTTGGCGCGGTCGAGGTAGTTTACCCAGTACATGAGACAGACGTAGGAGAGAATGAACCAGTCGAGTTTGAAGAGGAGGTGGCTTTCTTCGTGCGTGGAAGGGGGTTCGCCCCAGATGGCGACGCGGAGGGAGTGGAGGATTTTTCCCATTTTTTCTTTCTTCTTCTTTCTGCTACCTCCTAGGAGTGCTGGCTTGCTGGTTTCTGGCTGGTTGGCTGCTATTTGTCGACGACCTAGTAGCCTGTAATCCTCTCCCTCTCTCTCTTTATTTCAAAAAAGATATACAGTACCTTCCACCCAAAAGTCAGTTCAAAACTACCAGTCTCCAAAACCATAACAAAAATCAGTTTTCCAGCAATGGTATAATATAGTATCGTACCTACGGTAGCACAACAGAAAGTAACAGACTACCTATCATCTAGGAGAGATAATCAAATGCATGCATGCATGGCCTATCTTTTGGGCTCTAAAAACACCCAAAAAAGTTGCCTATCACGGCCGAGTCGACATCTCAAAGAATTCGAAAGTGGAAATCCCCACCAAGAAAAAACCATGTGTTTCTTTCTTTTCTTTTTCTGCCCTGAGAGGGGTCGTTTAACGGATAGATGGGGAATTGGAATGTATGAGATGAACTGTTATATGCTTTAGACGGTTCGAAAAAAAATGCAAGTTTTCTTTTCGTCGATCTTTTACGAGATGGTTTACGAGATGCGAGAGACGCACAGAAAGAAAAAGTGGGCGGCGGGACAGAATTTTTATGGGGAAGAAAAGCTTGGCGGGTGGGACTTGTGGGTCCGGGAACTTCACACTTTCTCCTACCTCCTAGGTACAAGGTATGCACGATAGAGAGAGAGGGATTTTATTTTTATTTTTGCTTTTGCTTTTATTTATTTTTGTTTTTTCTTTTCAAAAGGCTTCAATCAGATACTGATGTACTGTCCCAAAAAAAGAAAGAAGAAGAAGAAAAATAAAAATAAAAATAAAAAGAACCAGCAGTAGAACATCGGATGATAGGTAGTAATAGATCCGTCTTTGACTTCTAAATATCTACAAGAAACACAAAATTTCCTCGATCTATATCAAAAAAAACAAAACTCCTCTTCACTCCTCTTCACTCCTCCTCTAGCACCTCCCAATCATTCAGTCATTCATAATGACCTTACACAAATATGTACAATATGATCCTCCATCATCCCATCTAAGCATTAAGCTGGTGGTTCCACAGGTCATGCGTAGGGCGAGCGGAGAAAGTGCTAACGCCCAAGAGACCAGCCATCTGTGCACTAGAGAGATAGATAACATCCTTGGAAACGAACCATCTCAAACCCTCGGTGCAAGGAGGCGTGGTGAGAGAACCCTTATAAGTCCAAAAGTTTTTATAGTTGTTCGATTCCTTCAGGGCCAAGTTCAAGTTGAGAGTAATGTCGGACATGGTGCGGTTTTCGAAAATGGTGGGGAGATCCATCTTCTCGAACTGTTGGTAGAAAGCGGATCCGGTGGGAGTCTCGTAGTCATCCTCGTCCAAGGCGAGATCGAGGAGGAATCCGACGACGGCACGAGGGTTGCCTTCGGCGTCGTAGTGGACGTAGTGGAGTTCGCCCTTGGGACGACGACCGTCGACTGAGTGTTCGGCGGGTGCGTGCGTGTGCCAGCTGCGGAAGTAAGCCGTCTCTTTCTGGCCATCTTGCTCAAAGACGATGTGCGCGGCGGTGGTGTTGTCGTCGGCGGTGGGGATGGCGAATTGTGGGCCAAAGTCCCAGTTGTTCATCGTTCCCACGAGAGCGTCTGGGTAGCTGAAGGTGGGTGGCTTGCTGCGGGCGAGTCCGTCCCTGGTCTTGAATGCAATGGGCGATTGTTGGGTGCCGGAGAAGCAAGCTCCCCAAGCTGATGACACACGTCATGGTTAGCGATGAGTGGTGTTGGTGGTGGTGGTGGTGGACTACTCGAGGGGGTCGGGACTCACCTGGGTTCTGTGTGTTCCACTCTTCCGACTGGTCAAAGGTCCAGCCTCTGGTGTCTTCGACAACGTTGGGAATGTGTTGACGCTTGACAATGTGGGCGGGGTGGACGCCATCACGCTTGTACAGTTCTGGTGCACAGGCAGATGCAAGGGCGGAGATGGCCATCAGGCCGAGCGCTTGCTGGGTGAACATGTTTTCGTTTTTGTTTCTTTCTTCTCGTTAGGAAAAAGAGGAGTGATGATTAGAGTAGTCTGAAGGTCGTAGCTGTAGCTGTAGCTGTGTAGCTGTAGTGTAGGGAACTGGTGGTGGTGCTGAGCTGCTCAATGCATCATGTATAGCGCAGGTCGTCTAGTCTTTTATACATCACCAGGTTGGGTACGTGGACGCCCGTACACATCGCAGTCCGACATTGATGCCGCTGTGTGTCTCGCGTTTCTGTATGAACCGGCTTGCCCAGAGACCCGGTCTGCGGCCAAGTGATACTACCCAGTGCGGTTGACGTTTGCAGAGCGGCGAGCGCACGAACACCACCCTCCTGTGCCCCGGAGTACACCGCAAGGGGGCTATCCGCTAAGGATGGATCACCCCAGGTCTATATGGAAGAGCACGAGTATTCATCTTGTATGGCTTGGCGAGTGTGAGTGTTGCACTCTGCATCGTGTGATTTCTTTTTTTTTTTTTTTTTTTTCCTTCTTCTTTCTGCATTTTGCCTAGCAGCTTGCTTGAGACGCGAATTTCCTCATCCTGTGCATTTTGCGCCCATTATGACGGTTGATCGTCACCAGGTGTACAGTAGCCTGAACTTGTTGACTTCGTGTATGTTCCACGTGGTAGTCTAATAGCCGCCGTCTAGGCGTCTCGTGGCTCTGGAGGCGGAAGCGAGGTTCAGCCGGGGACGCCATGCGCAGTTTTGTGCACCGAAGAGTTTGTGAGCATCCCTGCTATATTTCTTCGCAGAGACTGGGAGTACCTAGGTACTGACCGTGTACTGACCGTACTGTAGGAGGTACCTCGTTTTAGTCTACGAGACCCTTGTCCATGAGTCCTGGTCGAAGAGTTCTGTAGGAGGCAGGTAGGTACCTGACTGAGTCTACTTCTCTAATCCATTAGCTCTCGTCGATTCGTTAGCTCTAGCCCCATGAGCCCTTAGTCAATATTGGTTCTAGCTTCGTCAATATTAGTTCTAGCTGCGTCAATATTAGTTCTAGCTTCGGCTCTGGGCCAACACTAGCGTCACATGCAGCCTGGCCGCACCAGAGATCCGAGACAAGATGGCGACTAGATGTTTCCCGTTTCTGGCTCTCTGCGTCGTCTGCGACGTGCTAGTCAAGTCTCCCAATTTGCCCTGGTTCCAGGAGTCCAGGCACATGACGCCCGTGACTGGGCGGCCGGCGCCCTCATATTCGCGCGGGAGCGGACTTCGGTCGTTGGGCGTCTAAGTGGTGGTACAACCTCCTATGGACATTTCGAGGGCATTGCACTCCACTGGGACAGTAAGAATCAAACAGGTACCTCCTACCGTACTGGCCTGGTAGCGTAGTAGTGTACTGAGAAGTGGCCTAATAACGGGTCGACCAATTCGCAAAATGCCGCCTCCACCGCCGCCGCCGCAGCCGCCGCCCAAGAGAAGTGGTGCAGTCAATATACGACGTACCTATTACACACGAGTGATGGAAAATCCATAACGCACGTCGACGGTCGCTCTTGGACTGTTAGCGATCTGCAGTGCCGACAGAACGTGCTGCCGGCGACGTCTTCGGCCTCACATTGACGATGGCCGAAAAGGCGCTTCTCACAGGCGAAAACCTTGGCGGCTATCGGGGCTCGCTAGGCATGTTTTAGGTGGTAGCACTCTTCGGCAACTCTTACTCTCTCTCTCTCTCTCTCACACACACACACACGCACACACACACTCAGTCCTCTCTTCCCTCTACTCCACTCCTCCTCTTCCTCCTCCTCCCTCTGCCCTCTCCGGCCCTCCGGCTCCCACCACTACCACATCTAGTAATGCACTACTGTACACTACCATATCTCGCCCGAATCGCCTCCTCTCGGCTGTCTTGCCTGTTCGGGGCCCACATTTTCGCTTAACTGCGGGGATTTCAAAGCTGCATCCCCAAGGAATCAACCGAGCGATAGCAGGAGATGCAGTCCTGGGGCTTGAGCGAAATCCCGAAGTCCAGGACGAGTCGACCGCTTAGAAGCCTGCCGCACATCAATATAGATGAATTGTGTGGAGACGAGCCGCGTGCGTGATCGTGGTCGACCAAATGACAGGACTGCACACTATCGTAGTATGTTTCGGTCCTATCAATCCTGAGACTTCATACACTATCGTGCATCATCACAGACTCATGCAGTCATAATATGATAATCAGGTCTCTTCTCGGGAAAATGTCAGTAGGCTACGCCAAGGACATCCCAATCATCCCCAATCACTGGAAGGCGCAGCAGCCAGATGGAACACGTGTTGAGCACGGATCCCGGAAGGCGATCGTTGGCGCTGCTGTTCGGACTGTGAGCGTACGACTGCCTACCTTAGTGAGTACATTGTATCCTCCTACCAAGACTCCAGGACTGGCGCGATCGTGTCTGGTATAGCACAGCCAGGACGGATACACCATCCGACTGTGTCTAAGAAGGACTGATGTCGTGACGTACTGGACTCTGCCATGGGAAGACCACATTGTGCCCAGAGTCTTGGTTCCTTCTCTGTAGAGTTGATGCAATAATAATTCCCTCAAATTCGTTGCTGCTATGCCCTACCTTAGAGGGAGCTGAGAACGAGAGGCTGCGCCACGCTGCCTGTCTGCAATGTCTCATCTTCCACACGCATTGGCTCTTCACGGGGATCACGGGAAGACCACGATCTACTCATGCCGCCTCCTTGTAGACACGAAGAAGCCCTGTATGGCAGCCATCATGAAGCTCGCGGAAGTCGGTATCGGCAACTGGAGAGATACGGTCAAGGGAGGGATAGCCATAGTCGCAGGCCTTGGTAAGCCCGATAGTCTTCGATTCATGCCTATGGATAGGTCGGACAGGGAAGGGCGTAGCAGGGAGTAGTCGATGCGATGACATCCTCGCAGAATGCCTCCTAGTGCCAGAGTGTTTGATTGCTTAGATTTGTAATCAGCCAAATCATTCATCATCAGTTTGATAGTATCACTGTGGTTTTTGGCCTCTCGCAAACACTTCAATCCGAACTCATTGAACCTCGTTGAAGATCAGTGGGTCCTCTTGGCGCGTAGGCCGGCTTCGGATAGCTTCGTATAGAGCGAGCGACTCGAGACACCTCCTAGGAGGGTAGGTGAGTGGGCAGAGTGGAGCGGCGTCCACCAATGGTGATAGGGGTACCTGATATAATGGTATAAAGTCTTGACTCTTCGGCAATCAACCTGAAATCAACCACCATCAGTCTTGTTCCGGTTCGTAACTACTCTTGAATATCAATCACAGTCAGTCGGCAATCAAGGCGTAGGCCTGGTGTTTCTTGCTATGCACGACAAGTTGGTGCCTATGATGTTGCGTAATCCGAGCGATCTGGCTCTTCCTCAACAATGGATCCAGGTCGGCGTCGACAAAGCTCGCCTTATGGCCTCGTGAATGAAGCCCGGTTCGCACGGAGCATGAATGTGCCGGTGATGTACGAGATCTGTGGCTTTGCTCACGAGCCGAAGCACGTGTGTGTAGGCAGTGGAGGGTAGAGGTAGGAGGTAGACTTTCGGCAGGTGATCGACGAGCCCACGCGCAACGCGTATCCGAAGGAGGCAAACCAGGTAGGAGGTAGACTTCTCGGGAAGCTTTGGAGGCGGTTGGCGGGACGTAGTGCAACCCCACGACAGAGTCGGCACCGTTTAGGCGGGAAGCAGCGGACTGCTAACACAGATATAGATGGGAGTCGCCACCATGATCTCGCAATACTTCTTGGCATAGAAACAGTCATGAGTGAGTGAACTGGAGTTGCTGGTTTGCTGGGTACCGTATAGGGGATGGGATATGAGCAGGCGGTCAGGATGTTGAACTTGCTGATGTCTGTGATGGCGTACCTTGTGCACGGAAGCACTGGAATGACTGCTCGACTTCAATAATGGATGGCATCTTTATGCACACCTTAGGTATTCAAGAACGAAGATGGGTGACGAAAGTGCATATTGGTGAGGATACGAGTTATGAGTTGGGAGTTGGGAGTACATCCATACCTAGTACCTCCTGTGTTGTTTGTCGCTGCCACTTAGAATTACGCGTTTGCCTTACGTCATCATACTAGTAGTCAGTCAGTCTACCTACAGTGGGAAATTGAGACTACCAGGTAAAATAGAAAACAAAATCACTTGTACAAGGTATTCAATCATTATTTCGTTATTCGTTATTCGTTGTTCGTTATTCGTTTTCGACGTTTCAAAAGAGAACAAAAAGAACGCTCAGTATCCTCCCTCTCATCGTCACATAAATCTGCGCTAATCTCCCAACCCGACCTTTCCCATCCGCGTAATGGTGGCAAGTAAATTTGCGACCGAGTAAGAGAGAGAGAGCGAGATATGAGGAGCAAGTAGACCAAGAAGCAAAGCTAGGTGGGAAGGACAAGAATAACAAAAATGCAGGTTCAAGAAGTTAGAAAAACAAAAGAAAAGAAAACAAAACAAAAACACAAAAAAAAACAAAAAACAAAGATTCGCGGGACCAGATTCCAGAAGTATATGCACACACAACACAGCCTTGAAACCAGATCTCTCTGAAAAGCAAGCATATGTCGTTTGTATGCAGCGACTTCGCCGAGTGGCCAAGTCCTTGGATATCGTCTCGAGTTGGAAATCACCAGCCAACTAGCCATCTCCTCAATTCTCAAAAAGCTCTGGAAAAAAGGGCGTGTCGCAGGGAAAGCCATCGTGGGACTGATAGTAGTCGACAGGAACACTCTCGTCCGCTACTTCGCCCACAGAACGCTCAGGTGGTGGTGGTGGTGGTGGTGGTGGTGGTACTGTGTGGGGTTGAAGACCCAAGACGGCATCTGCATCTGCATCGCTCTTGACCCGGCCCGAAGATGCAATATCTTCACTTGCACTAGAGCCGATTTCTATGACATTGGCTTTGCCATTGCCATCGTACTGAGAGGAGGATTCGATAGGAAGCTCGCGGGAGGAGTTCTCGTGGTAAGGGTCCTGCTGCACCACCTGCGGACGGTATGCGAGGGGGTAGGAAGGCTTATAGAGGAAGGAGGAGAGATTGGAGTCGGGGAGGAGTCGATCATATGAGAATGAAGGGGTCGAGGCGAGTTGGTTCATAGGATATGGTGGTGGAGTGGGAGCTGGAGTAGGAGCTGGGAGAATGCCCCCATTGTACCCGACGCCGAAGGCACCCATAAAGTTGGTTTCGCCAAACGTCTTGTAACCTGGATTCGGGATACCGAAATTGCCCAGCGACGGACCGCGCATCTGGTTGGACTCCATATGCGGCATACGCAACAACTCGGGGTTATTGTGGGAGAGGCCGACCTGGGGATTCTGGGCCCAGCCGTTTTGGAAGGTCGTGTTCTGGTAGGTCGTGTTCTGGTGAGCGGGATACTGGCATCCGCTGTTCTCGTGGCGCGTGTATGCATTGCTCGTGTTGGCCACGGAGGGAATTGGCATCTCCCACGGGTGAGAGTAGGATGGCTCAGTGAACAAAGTGGTCGGTCCCGGCGTGACAGGCGGTTCGAGGTCGAAGATGAAGTCCAGGCCATTGGCGCCGGCACTCTCTTCCTGCATCTGCGTCGTCGTCGCTGTCTTCTTGCGACTATTTCTCAACTTGCGTGCAGCCTCGCGGGCATCGCGGGCAACCTTCGCATTCTTGATGTTCTCCTCCAATGCTTTGGCGCCCTTGGTCTTCTTCTTGTTGGCCCCAGTCTCTGGTTTCGTTGTGGAAAGATCATTATTCGTGTCTGTGGAAAGTCCATAATGTATTTTGGGCTTCTTAAGTGGCGCCTCCTTCTGCTCTCCCTCATGGTTGCTGATATCAACCTCGTCATCGTTCTTGTCTTCGGGCTCGCGCTTGGTGCCGTCGGCGCGTGTCGGTGTTGGCTGTGGAGAAGGGAGCCCTTGCTTGGGCTTGCGTGGCCGCTTCTTGAACCACTGTGGCGGGTTGTCCAGGTGCGCTTTCTCGCGGTCTTTGCGAACCTTGACGAGATGCTGCTTGATCGCCTCTCCGGTGGGCTTTCCTTCGATATGAGTGCCGACAGCGTCCCAATCGAATTGGAGACCCTGCTTGAGCAGCTCATACTCGACGATAAGCGGTAACGCTTGGTCATGGTCCGCTAGAGGATAGAAATGTCAGCTTCGTGTCGTCAGTGGACGAACGTCAGGCCACACGTGGACGTACGGTTCCAGCGTACGAGCGTGCGACCCAAGGTCTTGCGGTTCAGTGGGCGACGACCAGTTGGAGGTGTGGAAGACATGTCAGCCATGTCAGCCATGTATGCCTCGCTGAGTGATGAACCAGGTGTAGGGTGGACTGGTGTATGGCTGATTGTCGTAGGTATCAAGCGATAACAGCGAGGAACTATGACTGGAGGATGAAGAGATGTTGGAAGCTGTGCATGTAGTGCAGGTGGAAGACGAAGGTATGTTGCTCTTGGTACAAGAGGTATATATATTGATATTATAAGCATCTAGGGTCATTGCCCGGAACAAGCCGTCTCGACCTATACACTTCGAGTGAATGGGCAATAGCGGAAAGGCGGTGTAGTGTTCATAGTAATAAGAATGGAAGGAGCATACAGGTAGGTAGTGTGGACTTAGGCTGGTAGCCGAGTGAATCTCTCGCACATAGCTTAGCAATTCGACACTGGTATTGCTATTACAAGTTTCTAAGGCCTTTGCCCGGAACAAGCCGTCTCAACCTATACACTTCGAATGAATGAGCAATAGCACAAAGGCGGTGTAGTATTCATAGTAAACAAGAATGGAAGGAGTAAGCACGTAGGTGGTGTAGACTTAGACTGGTGGCCGAGTGAACTTCTCGGATATGACTTAGCGATCGACAACTGTATTGCCATTACGTGTATCCAGGGTCCTTGTCCAGAACAATCCGTCTCGAGCTATAGACTTCCAATAAGTAGGCAATAGCGGAAAGGCGGTATGGTGTTCATAGTGAACAAGAATGGAAGGAGGACACCACGTGGGTGGTGTAGACTTAGACTGGTGGCCGAGTGAACTTCTCGGATACAGCTTGGCGATCCTACAACGGTTTGCTAAAGCATATACTATGTGCAATATAGTAAGCGTAGTAGGGCGGCGTTATCAATTCAGCTTACGGTATGGAATACAGCCTGTGCACTGATATGCCAAGACCTAATATAGACACTAGAGGTGCTGCCTGTGTACTGATGTGCCAAGGCCTGGTATAGACGCCAGGGGTGCCAGGGGTGCCAGGGGTGCTGCCAAAGATTGCACGGTCAGGCACATCGCGCAGTTGCAGTAAGAGCAGATGAGATCGGAGCCTTTGCCGAGGTCGGTGTTCTCACTGGAGATAGGGTCAGCAGGCACGGCCGCCTAATGAGGCAGCAGCAGAGCATGCCTCTCATCCACTCAGAGGAGGGACGCGCGGTGCAGCTCCGCCACGTGCATACCGTGAGAGTGAGTGAGGGCCTAGCAAATAGCCAGTAGGGGGAGTGGCCAGACCCGAGTTCAGCTGTATGCGGTCAAGATGGTCCGTACCGCTGTGATGATTGAAAGCTTGATGTACGAGGAGGCACGAAAAGAGCACAGCGGTGCTGAGCGAGGGATTGGAAAGCTTGTTGCAAGTAACGAAGTCTTTCGTATTGTCTCGCCCGACTTAGTTTGTAATCATTCGAGGCTGCCCCCGGCAGGTTGCGCCCGGTCACGACAGATGAGCGAGATTGGGTGTGCGTCCGTCCCCTATTCCCGCGTCGTCCCTCTACTTGGGCTCAAATGGCGGGTAGCGCTGCCTCGCGATCTTCTTCATTCTGCCATTGGCCTCCTGAAGGGCAATGGCTCTGAGAACCTTCTCCCAGAACTCCTTTTCCGTCAAGCGCTTTCCGCTTCTCTCCATCGTATCTTGGTGCGTGACTGTGTGGCACACTCTATTAGAAGCGGAAGGAGCAAGGCCTGGTAGACAGCTGAAGAGCGTACCTGTCAGTGGTGCTGCGCACCTTGGATTTGGACAGCGCGGGCTGCTTGGGAATGCCTTGGTCTGGGTCTCGTGCTTTTGCACAATGTGGTTTGTGGCGTGATAGCAGCGCTGCGTATGCGGATGCAGTGATGTTTTGTTGAAGAATTTGGTGGAGGGCTGAGTGTTGTCGAAGTTGTGCTGATGAAGTTCCAACGGCTCGGACCTCCGCGTGATTCCAGTCACAGATCAAACAAGCAAATGGAGACACTGACTTCAGGTTGAATACAACAGCATTCCATACATCACTGGAAGCATCCCAATATCTCGAGATTGAATAGGAAGCCGCCCGAGCGAGATCTCCTTATGCTCCTACCAATCCCATCGTCGCTGGGAATATTGGCAGGACATCCAAAACTTGAGATCCAGTTGGACACGAGTCCGACGCAGCGCCATTGGCTCTCAACAGCCATGTTTGCATTGCAGTCTGGAAAGAAGCACGGACGCTGTTCGCGAAATGGGCGTCGTTGAATGAGCCTGATAGATGAAGTTCGAGGGGTGGGGTCCATTGTGGAGATTGTCCCACGCTGAACCTGGGGAGGATGGCTCTGAGGAGGATGGCCTTGCCGGCCAACTCACCAACGCCTAGGCGATTGCGCTTGTGGCCTCCCCTTAGTTGCGGAACCATGGCCTATTTCCTGCACCCAATTGTTGAGATTGTCTTTCTGCCGAGCGTGAAGAACGAAGCGGAACACAACACGATGCTGCTCAGTTGCCTGTACTCATGGCGCGAACCAAGTCTATGCTTCAGGCGTGGCGAGTCGGCTCTACGTTCTTCATCCCGCTCCAGTCTCAGCTCCAGCAGTTCACAAGCCTCAGCCAACGCGGGCGAATGTCCCAAACATGCCGTGAATATCTCCTTGTGCGACTGCTCAAACCACCTCTTCGCTCTTTCTCATCCACCACTGCTGCTTACAGCTTACCGCCAACACCGAACGGGGCAGTAGCAGTACGGGAGGTAAGGATTTTCCATGCTCAGTCTTTTCGTTCGACGCTCAAATACCGAGGGCGCTTGTCGATGTCGGAAGAATTCGAGTAGAGATCGAGGTAATTAACGACGTTATCGAAGAGCTAGGAGGTAAGGTGTGTAGGTACATGTAAGGTAGCGGGTAGTGTGTAAGCAACACGGAGACCTAAATAGTCCTGCATGCCAAGCCTCGGTCAGAAGCTTCATTGTCATCTCACTTCAACCTCACCTCACCCTTCTCGCCCGTGTCCTCTTCCTGCTCTCATTCCAGGTTACATTTGTCCATTGGTATATGTCTCTAGCACTAGGAATACTAGCGTACAATCGGCGCTTCCCTCAACATCCACTCAACGAGTCTCCCTGAACGGTCTGCGCAGCAGTATGCCCTCAAGCAGCATGGGCGCACCCGAGGAGCGGATGCAATCAAGAGCGGACTCGATAAACGCGGTGTCAACGTCTTCGAACCATCGGTCAAGTTGCTATAGGCCTGTTGGGAGCATTTGAGCCAGAGCCTCTGGTGATGGAGAGAAGAAAGCAGGACATGGTGCCGAGTTCTCGGCTTTTTCAATCCAGCTCCAACGTAACGACTTGAATGACAGTTACTACAGACAACTTCCATCATGCCGACCAGAGGTTACTTAGCAGATGCTCAGCTCACCGTCCAGGAGTCTGAGATAAGGGCCTAGTACCGTATTCGTCTGCAATCACGTGTGTCCGGGTGCAGCCATCTTAAAAAATATAAGTGAAAGAGATGACGCATCCCATCGACGCTACTGGACAGTCTTCCAGGTGTATAGTCATGCAATCCATCACCGGGCGTAGAGCAGGCACCGAGGCCGAAGACGATCACGCCACACTCATTTCGTTCATTCCACTGATATTGGTAGCGCCTGACGCGTGCTTGCCGAAAATATACTGCCCATCATCACATTCAAGACTCTTTCTGCTACCTCCTTCACCTGCTCAAGTACCAATTCCAACTATCTGACCCAGTCCTGACGAATGAAGGCCAAAGAGGTTTTCCCCTGGAACGACTGCCTTTTTTGTATTATCTCTTGACCAATCTAGAAACACTCGCTCCAAACTGCGCAGGCATTCTAGCTCTTTATTGCTGAGACCCTAATAACGAGTATTGTGGCAGTTTGCTCTTGGTCGAGAGCCTCGCAACTTGGCGAGTTCATCAAGCTTTGTAATGATCCAGTCCCCAAGGCGTTTAGGATGGATCCTGCAAGCAGACAGGATATTACCAATCCCAAGACAGACGCCAAACGCAGAAGCTACACCATGAGGCAAGCAACCAAATTCAAAGACCAGCCAGACACCCCACGGCTGTTCCTCTGTGCAGGTCAATTTCGGACAATCGTCAATGCACCAGACGACTGTCACCGAGGTGAGGTTACTCCTCCTTCACCTCCACCTTCGCCTCCTTCGCCTCCACCTTCTCCCCGGCATCTTCGACAGCCTCGGCGACATCTTTGACAGCCTCAGCGACTATAGCCCGCAGTCAGTGGCATGGTCGGCGGATCGAAGGAAATACTTACCAGCGACCTTCTTCTTGCTTGGGCGGCCCCGCTTGGCCTTGGCGGCCTCTCCGCTCCCATTGCAGCTTGGCTTCCGCTTGCTGCCCGTGGCTGCTAGCTTGATCTTGAGAGAGCCCGAAGGGCTCTTATCTCCCATAATCTCGCGCTTGGCGCCGGCTTTCGCCAGTTTTCTGTGGATTTTCCAGATCGAGACTTTCATGGAGTCGACCGACGTGGAGCCATAGTGGGTGGTGGCAGTCTCCCAATCGATGACGGAGGACTATATGTGGGTCAGTACCGCTTGTGGTGAAGCTGGAGGAAAGGAACAAGTTACGGCGTCCGCGGTGGTGTTCAGGTAGACGGCGAGAATGCGATCTTTCTCCCCTTCGGACAACGCGGTTTTGGCGACGCGGTAGTCGTAGAGCGGCATCTTGAGTGTGGTGCTGGTGGTGATGATGGTCTGGGTATGTGTGGGGGGGAAGGGGGTGGCGAGGCGTAGAAGTCGTTTTTGTTTGTGGAAGAAAAGGAGAGGGAAAGGAAAGGCAGCAAGTGCTGAAATAAATGCACTAGTGCGCCACGTGAGACCTTTCGGAGTGACTGTTCAGCGACCAGGCAAGCAGTGACGATTTCCTTGGAAATTCAATTTCTGGCGCGTTGCAAACGGCACATGGAAGCAGCACCGGCCTCCTACTCTCCCAGGTCATCTGGACTTACTTGCGCTACAGCATGTGCAACTCTGGCAAAGGACGCATCTTGAAGCCAACCAGAGAACTCCTCGCCACAAGCGCCACTACCCCCGATCTGCGTTCGATCGTTCGACCTACACTCTTCACTACTCGACAGATGCGAACATGGTGCATGTCAGCAGAGTTAGCATGCGGCGGCTCGTAGTCGTAGGCATTGCCCAGTGTGCAGCGCAGACGGACTACCCACTTGCACCCTCTTCAGACCTTTTGTCTCAGTTCCGAGCTCTCGTTCGAGCCACAGCGTACAAGGACGAGACATTCTGCTTATGTTGGTATGCCCCCGAAGAGCTTCTACTCTGCGTTACTTGTTTCCTGCGCTCCAGCAGAACTACACTCAATGGCGCGCCTACCATCAGAAAAAGGAAAGCGCGCTACACTACTTATTTGTCTAGCACGAGCGCGCTGTGTGCCAGCTCAATCCCTCTCATAGTCAAGCGCAACTTGCGTTTTCTGGATTCCACTCCGCTCGGGAACCCGCCCACAACAGCCGCGGCATATCGTAGCGATATCTTCGCGGAAACGTGGTGACGATAGCGTACAAGAGTGATGTAGCAGTAGACAAGCAACAGGGAAAAACAGGGAGTCGATGCCCCCAGTAAGAAAAGGTAGATCTATCGTGGACAACGCAGTGGCTATACAGTGGGGATAATAGCGGAGGAATGCGTGTTGCTTGACTATAGTACACAGTCTCCTTCCCTTTCCAACACTACTACCTCTTAGTAAGCCTACGTTTCTCCCTCGGCTAGAGACATGGAGCATAAAGAAGAAGAAGAAGAAGAAGAAGAAGAAGAAGAAGAAGAAGAAGAAGAAGATCGATCGATCGATCGATCGATTCCACGATCTTGATATGTATGCATAACAAGCACAGATATTTGCGACGAACCTCTCTCTCTGCCTTCATCAAGTTAAAAAGAAAGAGAAACATACCAACCGAGCAAGAAATCGAGCGAGCAAGCAGTGATTTCGAATTGCTGTCTGCTTGCTTGCTTTTCGAGAAAGATTTTGATGGAACACATCGTCTGGTACCACCACACGGCAAAGAAAAAGGAAAAGAAAAACAGAAAGAAAAGCCGAATATGGACGGGTAGGTAGTATGTTATGATCATCATCAAAGGAGAGGGGAAAACAACACTACCTACGATAAGAATGGCAGAAAAGAGAGAAAAATAGAAAAACAACTCCCCAAAATCGGTGAGAAAATGGGGGTAGAAGTAGAAGCAGAAGTGGAAGAAGTGGAGGTAGGTAAGGTAGCTGAATTCGAATAGAAGAAGAAGAGCAGACACACCTTCGGTTTGCCTTGATGAAAGGCCTGCCGACAAGACTTGATGCTACTATACAGGTAAGGTACCCTTCATGCCCCACAGCGGCAGCAGCAGCAGCAGCAGCATCCACCACCCACCTATCCACACACTACTTACTTACTCACTACAGTATCTTATTCTGAAAACAATGCCCCAAAATCGCCCATGATGCAATTTCCTCTTCTTCCCATTTCAGTCCAGTCGAACAGGAGAAGAATAACACCTCTCCTTGTCCGTGTTCTTCTTGCTTCTTCTCCTTTTCACTCATATGTACAAATACGACATTTTCTCGAAAAGAAAAAAAGTTCTCCTTGCATCAATTCAGCCCTTTCGAATTCCACACACACACTCAGAAGGTTGCGCAGCCTCTCTCGCTGGCGATCTATAAAGAAAAGCATACTGTGCTTCCTGTTTTGCCATCTTTCATGTCCATGTCACATGATGCCACTCCCAACACTCCGAACACAACTCATCACCCCCAACGTCGTTTGGTCCTGTCAGGAGGATCGAAAGAAACTTCGGACGGACTCCTCTTCATCTCCAGAACCACGACGACTCCCTTCTCTCGGCCATTCCCAGGGCGTGGGCCTCTCCTTCCTTGCCTGTTTCCAAAATGGCTGGGAAGTCCCACAGCCTTCATGTCACCTGGCAAAAACCTTGACAACGCCATCCCCTCCCGCGCTAATCACAAGTCTTCCATCTTGACTCCAACACACATCACAGACGCCTTCACCGCGCATAGCCCGATGATTCGTGATATCTTGCGTGCAAATTCGTTTTTCGAGGGACCAGAATCTGATAGATGCATCGTGACCCGCGGATACAGCTTCGCGGCCATCTTTACTGAGTGAGAGGGCCGAAATGGCGGAGGGATGCGCGAGCATGGTGTAGGTGCATTGCCCTGGAAACATAACATGTTAGTAAAACCACGGGGATGGGCAGGCAAAGGGGCTGTGTTGGAGCGTGACGTACCGCTATTGGCGTCGAAGAACCGTACAAATCGGTCTTCATGTCCGGTGATTACTACTCCCTCTAATCCTTCTCTTCCACCAGTGGCACCACCACCTACTTCTTCCGAGTCAAGACCACGAGTAGCAGCATCTAGTGCTCCGCCACTGTGCTGTTCAAGACTTGAGCTGGTGGCAACTACGGCATTGATGCTCGTGTTGGGCGTGCCATCGTATGTCTCGCCGGATGCCATGCCAATGATCTCTTCTCCCGTCCGAGTATCAAAGATAAGGACCGAAGAATCAGTGTAGCTGACCACGAACGTTTCTCCCGAGGGAGAGAGCGGGCAAATACTCGTGGGGCTAGCCTCGTGATCGCCGGGCCGGTTGATTGAGTGCACAAGAGTATAGCTGAAAGGCGTGGTGCTCGCCACACTGGGCTGAGGACTCGTTGGATAGTTGCTGCCACTCGTCACGCTGTGCCTTCGTGACCCACCAACACCTCTTCGGCTTCCAGTAGCAGGCGAGGCCGATTGAGGAGGAGCGCTCACGGCCCACACTTTTACAGTGCCGTCTGCTGAGCCAGAAACGAGTAGTAACCTGTCGGGACCCCCAAAGTTGCCTGATTGTGGCCCAAAGACAACGCCAACGGAAGCAGGGAGCACACAAACAGCCCAGACCGCATCAGTGTGTCCTTCGAGGGTAGCTTTAGGATCGACTCGCCCTCTTTCCCACACACGAACTGTGGCATCTTGGCCACCAGAGAAGATCCAGCCTTCACCAGGAGCTCGTCCACCGGTACTGAAGCCGGTACTTGCTGGCGGAGCAGCAAGAGAGGTCACCACTCCTTCGTGACCTCTATGTGTGAAGATTGCCTGAATATCCAGACTAGAATCCTTGTTTCCAGGGTTGTAGTTCTGATATGTTGCGGGTACGATCCAGCGTTTTATGGTGCCATCGTCGCCCGCAGTACAGACTTCGGGCTCGCTAGGACTTCCACCGCCGCTGAAGATGACGCTTCTTACCACATCAAGATGCCCGCGAAGCTCAAATTTGACTTTGAACTGTGTCGGATCGCTTTCGAGCGCATGGGCCAGCTCATCGATCTGGTTCTTGCCTTGCGAGCTCCGCCTCCTGCCCACACTTTGAGAGCCCGAGCTCTTCCGTCTGCTATGTAAGCCTGTACGGGGAGGAGATTTGGCTGACAGCTGTGAGTGACTCGCAGCGCTGGGAAACAAGTCTGTGTCCGGTCTTCGCGGTGGCAGTACATCCGCAGACGGTGCGTCAGTCTGTGATGCGGGCTCTTCATCGAATGTCCAGCCGTCGGCTTCGGCTTGTTGCCGCGCGGGCCTCTGCTGTAATTGCTGAGATTCGTTTGCCCGCACTTCTCGCCCTTCTCGATCAAACGTGTGTGTAATGTTTTCGACTTGCTCTTCATACTGTACAGAAGCTTGGGGGGTCTGCTGCTGCTGCTGTTGCTGCAATAGCTCAACGGGCTGCTGAGCATGATTCGTGTACTCGGTATATGCCATACCGCGCGAGTCCGCTCTTTGTACTGCGGGTTGTACTATACTACTCGGTACTTGTGAAGGCTGATGGTTCGGGAGCTGTTGTTGTTGAGGCAGTATTTGTCCTTGAGCTCGGCCGTTGCGATATCCTTGCCGTGCCTGGTCACCATACTGGAGATCGTATATGTCTTGTAACGAATGGGGCGCATCGGGCAGCCCGCTAATGTTGCCGTTTGGTAGCATTTGCGGTGGTGGAGGGTGTTGCGGCGGCGTAAGCAGATATTGAATCTCCTTCATGCAATTTTTGAGATACTTTGTCGTCTGATCGAGGTATTCTTCGCGAGCCTTTTCGCTCGAGTCGTGCTGCTCGCTCGTCTCCAGGAAAGAGTTGTGAGGCGCAAAGTCCGCTACGTCGCTGGTTAGCACATACTTCTTCTGCTCACCCATCCACGTCTCGGCAGTATTACACGCACGCTTTTCCTGCTTCTGCCCATTCTTTCCGCCACCTTCCTCTTTCTTGCCCTTGGGCACGTCGTCTGTCGCAGCTGTGGGTTCTGGCATCACTGCCGCTGAGATGCCGTTCGGAGCCAGCTTCTGCGCGCGCTCGTGCTTCAGGGCCATTTCCAACATGCGCACTTGCCGCTCCAGCTGCTCGTTGATACGTTTTGCCTGGCGGGACTCTCCCTCCTGTTTCGCAATCTTGGCCTTCATCTCGGCGCGCTCGATGTCCCAGGCATTGCGCGCTCGCTCGTGGTTATGCCATTCGATCTGCAGGAAGCGCATGACACCTGTCATGTATCTCGTGTTAGCAGGCGACTCCCCAGCGCGTGCTCGCTCTCTCGTGCTCCCATGGTGAATGGTATGACATGGTATAGTATGGCTGGCGGTGACTGACCCTGCAACGTGTATTCGGTGCCTTGCGGCCCATGGTGTTCGGCTCCTCCGCCGCCGTGATTCCCAAGCCCGCCTTGCTGCTGGTATGCCATGGTGACAGCAGCAGCTGGCGGCCTGTATTACGGGCGGCCGTCTCTAGCGAAGTGACGTCCGTGGAGTAGTAGTATGCGGCGGGAACATTGAAACCGCGGCGTCGGCGTCGGGAGAGGAGCGAGGCGGAGCGGAACCACCTTACAGCTCGGTCTGCTTCTCTTCCCTTGTGGTCACTGTTTCTTCTGCTGGCGCTTCCTTTCCCCCGGCTGCCTTCTTCACGATCGGATCGAGCGAGGCGTGTTGGAGTCTGTTTGTATCATAGCAGTCTACCACTGAGCGGCAACGACATAGCACAAGACATGATCATGGTAGCAGGACAACAGCCCCGTGAACCAGCGCGTGCTTGCAAGTGCTGTTGACCTTTTTGGGACTAGCTCTGTGCCAAGCCTTCTTGGATCCGCTGCAGCGACAACTTGCTGGACGGTGGACGGTGGACGGTGGACCTGCGTATCAACGCACACCTCCCGCTCCCTTCTTCCCACCTCACCCAACATCAACAGAAACGGTCCAGCCACACATTCGCGTGACAGGCGTTGTCTATACAAATGTTGAACAGGACCTGCTTCCGGGTCATGAAACTCAAGAATGAACAATATGGCCATCGACGCAATTGAGAACGGGGCATCCAATCAATGATGGGAAGCTCGAGGAGACGAGGAGGTTACTCGTGCTCGTCAACTTCGGCAGCAGTAGACTGCGCCAGTGTCTAGTTTACTCCAGCGCTGAATAATCGCCTGATTGGCGAATCAATACTTCCCAACGAAGCTCAAGTCCGTTCAGTACATTTCTCTCGAGACTTCGGTCTGTGCGAAAGATGAATCTTCAACTGAGCCGGTCGTACGCGGATCAATGCCGCCAGGGCGAAGACAACACGTAAGCAATAGCCTGCCTATAGTTCTTGGGCGCCGATACACTCTCCGAGTCGCGATAGTAACAACTCTGGATAGTAACAACTTGCCATGCCAATAGTAGCCCGACTCGCTTGGCAGGCTCCTTGTAGAAACGACCAGAGAACCCAGTGGAAGCATGGAGCGCTACAACTCCCATCCAAAAGACCGAAAAGCTCAACGATGAATATCTCATCGAAGGTCTCCCCACCAGCCAGGATCTTTGGGTTCATTCATCTCCATAACATGCTTGAAGCTTTCACGTTCATGCTTCCGCCCGCTTCTTGCTATCCGGCTGTTTCGCCGTCTTGAAACGCTCTGACCCACCCGTGACGAACGCAGGCACAAAGGATGTGCCTGTATCAAGAGAAGCGAACCAAGTTGAAGGTTGTACAGTGGTTCCTCGAAGCGGGCATGAGCATGTCTATTGATCTGGTTGTTTGGTGGCGTCTTTGAAGTCGGAACTTCTGAGCTTGTTAGTGGTTTCGATCTTTCACGCCAGCAAGATTGAGTGACGGGAATTGATGATCATTAAGTGCAAGCACAATCGGCTTTCATTGTAGTTAGTTTGCAGAACAAGAATTAGGTGGTTGGTTTATCAGCGTGGTATTGTCCGGGACATAGCCTGTGAGGTGAGCGTTGCATCCGAACGGAGATTCGAGATTCCACATGTTGACGACGAGAACGGACGTGGGATGAGCTAGAGTCAGCCTGTGGACGTATGGGCTGACTGGTCGCCGAAAAGAGACTTTGCTGATTGCGATGGCAGTGTAGTATCCGTGTCTGTCAAGGCAGCGTGACACCTGCACACATGTCCACAACAAGCACTTTGGAGATGCTCGGTTTGCCGCGCCGTCCGACTTCCACGGCAATATCCCAGTTGATCTTCAAACTCTGATGGATATGCTGCCGGGCTCAGCTCTACTCCAGTTTGCGCGAATGACCGGTTGGTACTTCACAGGCCAAATCAAGGTGTTGCTCCTTTGGATGTGGATCGTAGATGGCGCATTGGTTTCGTGGGCCACGTTTTCGATTGGATCGCGCTCCATCCGAGCTGGGTTCCTTGCACTATGCTCTATGGCCAACTTCGAGTCGTGATTCCTGGGTTGAAGCGTCTTACTATGCACGCGTCATGGCCATTAGGTGTAGGTGTCTCGTGAGGGTGTAGTAATGCCAGATTTCCGTCGGGTGCAATGCGGTTATGCGACAAGTGAGCTCTCATTTCATCAAAAAGTCAGGTATATCAGCTGTTCCCATGTGATTTGTCCATCATGCTTATGTTAGGCTCATTCTGGCAACCGTGTTTCAGAAGCACTGGACTGGTTCGTAGGTAGGTACCTGACCATGCTCAGGCACGACCGCGCTGTGATGCACGGGTTTATTGCTCTTTCGAGCGACCGTGCACTAGGTGGCCTGGGTCTTGGGAATCTCAGCAGTTGTGCATGGCTGTTCAAGCAACTAGATACTCCGCTGGGAATCTCGCAATAACAGTAATTGATATCGATTTGTGGGGATGTGCCATCGCTGATGGAGTGAAGGTGTTTTCTTCATTAATCGAGGTCGAATCATCGACGCTACACACCACTATACTATAAGTGCCGCGCAAACGGCCAGAGAAAGGCACTTTCGGATAGCCATACACTCGGGTCGTGGCGTTATTAAGGTATGCTCGGAGATATCGTGTCGCTGCTAAGCACCCATGGACTTTTACTCTGCCCGTTGAATGGGTAAGGCAGGTCTGTCAGTCTACATGTGCTTGCACGATCGTGAAAACTTCGGCAAGACATCGTATCATGCCCGATCATCACATCCAGAGTAATATGGCATACGCGGGTCTCATACAGTAGTTGATCTAGTATTTTAGACCGTACAACCACACCAATTCGTGCGAGCTGTTTGCAGAGTATCCTCCGAATGCGTGATAACAGGCGCCAGAAACTGAATCATGGCTGTACTATACCCATCGTCGTGGCAACAAATATTCTTCCTCTTTCGAATCAACATGCATTCGTCGAACTTCCCAAGACCTAGGAGGTAGGACGGGACTATTAAGCACGCCAGATCTTGTTCGGCGCTCTCTCCAGCAGCCATAGTTCATGGCACCAAGTGAGCACAAATTCCATAAGCGTGAACACTGAATCGCTTGGACCGCTGCAGGCCATCAGCCCGTCGAGCTTGCAATTAGTGATGAATCGGCCTTCTAGGAGGTAAGAGCAAAAGAACCCGGAGGCGCTCGATCTTGGTAAATATCGGATATGCATGTGTTTGCCAGAATGGCGTAGACTGTTACTGCGACTCAGATGCCTGGGCTAGCATTGCAGCCACCCGCAGGCCACCGCTGAGCCGTATGCAAGAGAGGCCTTTGCGATTAAATCGAGCACTACTCTAGATCGAAGCATCGAGTCGAACACGGTGGGAGGTCTTATCACAGCCTGTAGGGAGGGTACATGTAGTATAGATGGGGGGTAAAGGTGTGTGTTCACTACTGTTCACACTGGTTCTCACGCTGTTTGGAGGGAATGGTGAAACACGCGCTTCATGGGTCCGTCGATCATACAGGCACATCTGCAAGGGCGCCTCGGGCCTAGCTATCATGCAGAGAAGTCACCCACGAGCGTTGAGAGCGATTTCACATTCACACCAGTGAAGTTTTTGCAGTAGAACTGCTGGCTGCTGTTGGCCCTGATGAGCCACAACCAGCTAACCGTTCTATGGAGCGACCGCTGACGGTGGGCAACTCATTTCACCGTCGGCGCGCTGGGACCGGGCAGCGGTCGCTTGTGGTGGACTTGGTGGTACAGAATCCCAGTTGTCAGCGCCACGCGATCTGTGCGATTCTGCCGGCTGGTGCAACGACTCGTGGGCCATCGGAGCAGGGAGTGAATGGGCGGATCTGGTGCCAGCAGGTCTCGACTGAGCGGACTAGTCTCCAAGTCCCAATCATAACAGCGTGCAAACAAATGCACAAGGTACAGCAACTATCCCTGCTTCACACGACCTGCTTTCCGGATGCGCCCCGGGCAGCCTCCGCAAGGACACTGGACTGGGACAGCAGGCTGGCATCGTTGTGACGGGATGTGACCGTGCCGGAGGCACTCTGCACGGCGGCTAGCCACTTGGCGATGCACTTGCGAGGCAAGTGGTGCCGGGTGGAAGCGGTGCGCGGTGCGGTGCGGTGCGGTGCGATGCGGTGCATGGCATGGCATGTATGCTATATGGAGTGCTCCCGCCTATAGAGAGGGATATCGCCGATGGCAGATGGGGGTTGGCAGATGGCGGATGAGCGATGGCAGATGGCAGAGCGGACGGAAGTATGGGAGCACGTACATGCGTGATGATGGTAGGTACAGTAGGTACCTACGGTAAGGTACATACCTACCTTAATGCATAACATTCAGGTAGGTCAGGACGGTCAGGTATAAAAAGGTAATAATCATAATAATAATACCTCCTCCAGCACCGAGCACCCAGCCCCAGCAGCACCCAGCGCCGCAGACTCGTGTGGACTGGTCTGGCCGCTGGCACTATAATAACCCAGCATCATATACGCGCGCATCGTCATCGACCTCTCGTTGGCTGACAAGCACCGCCTGGGTGCGAACAAGGCTGCGTGCAGGCGGCTAGACATGCACCGAGTCAAGCAAGACGAGGACCTTGTCGTCGCCAGTTTTTGAGCCTGCGCCTCGCGCCCCACCCCAAGCCGACAATCTCCTGAAACAGAGTCTGTGCGCTGCCAAACACCTGCGGCCGCCGGCAGCGCAGTTTCATTACTACCTCGTCCGTCTCACACGACGGGCTCTGCTGTATAGCACCATTGCACACTTCACTTCACCTCAGTTTAACCACCCCCCGTTTGCGCACGCAGAGGCCGGTCCTCGCGTCTCATCCTCCTCCCCATCGACTAGAGCAGTCGCTCGTCCCTCACATTCGCTTCCATTCCACTGCCCGACAGCAGCACTCCCCCCGCCGCGTGTTGCCTCATCGCTCAAACACCGCTCGCCTCCAGCGACCGACCCCATACCCGCAACAACCTGGACCGCGCACGAACTGGTGTCGTTGCTGGCCTCGTCTCGCCTCCATACAGCAGATCAAACACCTCGCAGTCCGCACGACGTTTGAGATAGAGCTCGACACGCCGCCTCTTCTCTTCGCCGTGCGCGCGCGCCTGCCCCTCCGCCTTACGCTGCAGTCTCGCACTGCTGCGTCACCGCCATGTATCCTAGCCATCAGCATCCCTCCATGCCACCGCCTCAGGCGCGCTCAGTGGCTCCAGAGACATTCTTGCTCGACCAAGAAGCCCAGTCCAGCCTGCCTCAGGACTCGGTCGTTGCGCTGCAGCAGGTGGACAACCGTATGTCCTGATGAGCCTCTTTCCGCCTTACAGTGTCGCATTGGCTGACCGCAGTCTAGTAAAATACTTCCTCATCTCTGCACCCGTAGATTGGAGTCCGGATCAATACATCCGGCGCTTCCTGCTGCCCACGGGCGAATATGTGTCCTGCGTGTTATGGTGCGTCTGCAATGCTGCGAGCCACGTATAGCTGCATATTGACCCGCCAAACAGGAACAACCTCTTTCACATTTCGGGGACGGATATCGTGCGCTGCCTGTCGTTTCGCTTCCAGGCCTTTGGACGACCTGTGAAGAACACCAAGAAATTTGAAGAGGGCATCTTTTCCGACCTGCGTAACCTCAAATCCGGCACCGATGCATCACTCGAAGAGCCCAAAAGCCCTTTCCTCGATTTCCTGTACAAGAACAACTGCATTCGGACGCAGAAGAAACAGAAGGTGTTCTACTGGTACAGCGTACCCCACGATCGCCTCTTCCTCGATGCCTTGGAGCGCGATCTCAAGCGGGAGAAGATGGGCCAGGAAGCCACCACAGTAGCTGTCAGCGAACCTGCGCTCTCCTTCGAGTTTGACGCATCTGTTTCACTCTTTGAGCAACTCACCAAGGCTCAACAGAACAACCAGTCAACGTTCAATGCACAACCACCCTCAATGCCGCCATCGCATTCGACGTCGCCAGTCTTGAGAGCTTCGGATTCCATGCCACCTCCGCAGATGATTCCGCAACAACAGCTTCCGGCGACATCGATGCCACAGCACATGCAGCAAGATATGCCTTCAGATCAGATGTCTCATGTGCCACAGTACAATCAGATGGCTATGCCACCAATGCCATCACAAATACAGAGAACGCGAGAACAGTCAATGGGTCCAGTGTTTGACCGCAACGGCTTACCGATATCACAAGCTGGACACAGACATAGCTCAATGCCAGCGTATATGGAATACTCGCCTGCCCCATCTTTCGTATCCTCGCACTTCGAAGATTACAGTCAGCGCGGTCTGTCTTTCGAGCCACTCACGCCACCACAGCATTCCGTCGGCATGACCTCGGAATCTACCTATATTTCGAATGAGGACACAGGATCGTACCCCGCCATCCCAGACGTTGGATTACAACAGCCATTCAACCCGATCATGTCGGTGCAGCCGAATGCCCATGGCGCTCATTACCCATCCATGAACCGACAATACCAACCCCAGCAGGTATACTCTGTCCTAGAGGGCTCACCAACCTACAAACAGCGTCGTCGGCGATCATCTCTTACCAACAATGCAGTCATGACAGCCGTGACATCAGCAGGCGGCCCCACGACTCATGCCCATGCGCATGCGCATGCGGTACATCGGCCTAGCGACTTGCGCCGATCAATGTCTTCATCGGTACAGCCACAGGCCATTCCAGAGGGACAAGAGATGTCTTACAATGACTCGCCGGCGAGCATGCACACATCGCACCAGGCCGGCCCAATGATGGGCGAACACAGAGAGCTGATGGATCTCTCACGTCACAGCACGCCGTCCCAGGCTGTTGAAGGGGCTCACGATGAGCAGCGTGTACATCGTCAAATGAGCAACCTGCAACATGAAGATTACTCGAACTACAGCCACAGCCACAGCCACAGCCCAAACCACGACTTTCGACATCCTTCTGCCCTGCAGCACCATGCTGTGCAGCGCACGGCTGGTGTCTTCCGCCGAGCGCGATCTGCCACAGCCAGCGACATGAGTCCGTATGCCACTAAGAGTCATTCCTGTCCTATTCCCATGTGCGGCCGTCTGTTCAAGCGTCTAGAGCACCTGAAGCGTCATGTCCGCACGCACACCCAGGAGCGGCCATATATCTGCACGTTGTGTAACAAGAAATTCTCGAGATCAGACAACCTCGCACAGCATAGACGCACTCACGAGACCAGTGCTGACGGATCCGCGCCTTCTGAAGAAGAGATGGAAGAAGAGCGCGATGCGATGCACGATGCGACTGACGAGTCGGATCCCATCGACGACGCCTCTTATCAGGCGATTGCCATGACGACGGGCAGTGAGCTTCCCGGCATGCCTACGCATGTTGATATGGGCATGATCTCTCACAATGACATGGCTGCTCCGCAAATGGTCACGACTGGAAACGACTACCACCACTAGGCACTCGGCTGGTACGAATGAAAAAGCTTTACACCCCGCTGTTCCCCTTCCAACAGCTTTATGAACTTGGCATTGCAAGACTTTTATTCTGGCCTCTCTTCGACTCACAGCTTTCAGAGCTGCAGAAAGACGATGCTTCGAGGCGCCGCAGATTGAGCGCCGGTATGATGTATAATGAAGAACTTCCACGTTTGGCATACGAGATTGAGAGGTATTGTGTGCGCCTTTGCACTGGACAAATGGCGATGAGATAAGTCTCGGTGGTGGCATCTTGATGATCTTCGGGCATTTTGAGAGTCTACTGTTACAGGCACATGGACACGTTTGACAATGGATGTTGCACACATGGTCGTAGGACGAGATGGAATCTGCTGTTGACGGCATTGTTCACTCTGGTGTGACTTAGGTAGCGCTTCTTCTTCTTCAAGTTCTTTGTCCCACAATACATTGCACAACGCACTCAGTTACTATAGCCGTTGGTACCTGCGCACAGAGTACATGCAACAGCAGCTTCAATGCTGCCCACACGTGACGGGTCCAACTGGACAGATTCATCCCCATTCCCCACGAGAGCTTTGGGAAGTACAGACTTTGTACATGAAACACAACCAGCAGCTCCTGCGTCAGCCTGCTAAGCCTCTCCGCTTCCTAGCCTATTATTTCATGCAATATTATTCATGCTGTCCAATATAAAGAACTTGTCACCGGCAGCTACATGTACATGTACCCTACATGTTCCTTGGTTACTATTACCTCCGAAGCCTGTCACTATCATAGGCACCTGTATAGAACAAGGGAAGGATTCGACGCTGTACTTCCCTGTAGGCTATTATTCTTTTTTTGTCTTTCTTCTTTTCTTTTTCTTTTTCCCAGCCTTTCCAACACGAGCCTTTTCTGGGACAAGCCAAACCTAAGAATACATACCTTACCTTAGAAGGTTAATCTCGCCACTGTTGGGCTTACGCTCTAGCTGCTGGGAGGTTGTAGGAGGTCGCAAAAATCGCTTTTCGCATTACGTGAACAACATGAACCTTACCTACCTAGGTGAGCAATGCGATGATCTAGAATTCTAGAGGGATGTCGTTGTGCTAGTACCAGGCTACCTAGGTTGATAAGGTAGTATACCTCCCTAGTACAGAGACGGGCAGGCTTCCACAGACTGTCGCTTAGGTAGCGCCCGCTGCGCCTTGCTATCTCTCTCCCCCATCATCACCAGAAAGAAAAATCGACTACCGCTGCAGTGATGTATGCAGTCGGGTAATATACAGTATGCAACAGTTGCCGGCTAAAGTTGTCTCCCGGCTCTTTTTAATATATGCGACCCCAGTATCTGCCGGTCACAGATATATTGCTATACAGGTAAAAATTTTGTCCGGCGCGGGTTCCCCATACGACTTTTGCTTGCCTCTTTCTCTCGCTTCGCTCGTGCTTCCGAATGGTACTACTGCTTGTGTGGCGGGGCTGTCCACATCCAGTACCTCGTGCCTATTCCTTTTTTTCTCTGAACCAAAGGGAAGGTAGGCGTGGGATGCGTACCGAACATATGGGAACCTGCTACCTACGTGTACCTATAACCTATTGATTATACATACGGGAGATGTGGTCCGAGATTTACTTAAATTATGCAAACCGTGAGTTTGGGAACAGAGATTGTGTTTCTGGTGTGGGGTTGCATATGGGCTTCAATATCGAAGTGCTGGCGTGTAACGACAGTGATGGGGACTTGAGAACACGTTGAAGACTTGCCGAGCCGAGTAGACTTTATCGAGAGAGATAGTAAGCCAAATATCATTCTTTTCTCCACCACTCGACTATAAGCTTCCTCTGGTGGAGAGGCGTTACGCAGCCTCTCATATGCATTTTGCGGGGCATGAATACATGAAGTGCATTTATTACTTTCTGGCTGCCGAGAGAATATGGAGCCCGCCAAGTTCAGAGCCAGAGAAGTCGATAGAAGTCCAAGAAAGCAAAGACTCCGTGCCTAGGTAGGTTTATGCTCGTGCTCTATTGCCTTTCACGTTGCATCCGTTCGAGCCTTTTGCCAATGCTATCGCTTGGTGCAACCCTCCAGTTCCCATCTTTTGCTCCGGGAACCGACGTAAGGAGTAGACGGATGGTTGCAACAGTGCGAGAGTAGTCCTCACAAAACCTTCTATACTTTATCCAAGAGCATTGCAGGATATGGCCATTATGCTATCTTGTATCTGACTAGCACTCCCGGCACGAACGATGAATTCTGCCTCTCGCCATGTATGTGTAAATCACAACCAACGTGGCTCTCACCTTAGATCGTAATTCGTGTATTATCAGTCAGCTAGTCGGACGTGCTGGCGAAAGTCCTAGTGAATATAACCCAATTGCCTCGCCTCATCTGATTTGAGAGGACGTTGGGGCAATCATGACTACCAAGGCGACCCTGAATTGTGATGAACCTGACAAAGTAGCGGAAATAATATGAAGCTGTCATCCATTTCCTTGACACATCGCAGATCATTGGACTGATACTCAGCATACCAGGTTCATTTCAGCAATTCGTTTCTTCATCCTGCTAACGAGGTTCACGCTTTGCTCGCCAGGACCTTTCCCTCAGTGGCCCCCAATGGTGCTACTGTCGTCACATAGTCCCAGGCGCATCCCATAAGTGATAGACAGACCAATATCTGCAATAGGCTCTCTTTCAATGTTGGTTTCTGCGCTTCTGCGCGCGAGGCCGGAGAGCTTTCTGAAAATAGTTCCTGAAGTTGTTGAATAGCTCGCAAGTTCCAATGTTCGGCATGGTTCGAGGGATCTCTGTGCGGGTATGTGAAGTATACAACAACTAGGAGAGCAGTCCTGCGACGCCTTAAATAGTCGTCGGTCGAGCCAAGTATTTTGGCTGCGTCGTTGACAGCCTACGCAGGTTTGCCTTCATGTGTGAGAAGTGTTCCCCTTCGTCTTCAGGTTGTTTGTAGTGCAAGTAAAAGTGGGGCGCAAAAGCGAAAGCGGAGAACAAGCGTCGGAGCGAACCGTTCCTGCCAAGAGATCCGAAATTCGTCCCAATATCACACCCAACACAAGACCTCGTTTTTGCTGTCTCCAGTTGCACGACGCATATCCGCCCAACGACACCAATCGATACAATGGCACCAAAGGCAGCAGCAAAGGGCAGTAAGTGGACTTCAGGAGACTCTGCGCACGCTTGCGACAGACTGCGCCGCACAGTCTCAGATGGCTTGACTTCCAAGGGCGGAGAGAAGAGAAGACTGACAATATTTTCACAGAGGGCAGCAAGCCATCTGCAAAGGCTTCGGCCGCCGCAAAGGCAACCCTGCGCGGAGTAAGCATCTCCATACCATGAACTTGAGGCGTGTCAGAGCTCCCATCGTCTGACGGCTTGTTTTTCACAAAACAGGTCAACTCGCACAAGGTCACCAAAGTTCGCAAGAGCACCACCTTCCACCAGCCGAAGACCCTCACGCTCTCGCGTGCGCCCAAATACCCTCGCCGATCGATCCCACGCCAGCCTCGCCTCGATGCCGGCAAGGTCATCATTCACCCTCTCAACACCGAGAGTGCGATGAAGAAGATTGAGGAGAACAACACCCTCGTCTTCATTGTGGATGTCAAGGCGAACAAGAGGCAGATCAAGGAGGCTCTTAAGAAGCTCTACGACGTTGACACCATCAAGATCAACACCCTGATCCGGTAAGTTTCGTTGTACTGATATTTTTCGTATCATCTACATCGGTCCAGATACTTACAATTTGGGCAGACCGGATGGCTCCAAGAAGGCCTTCGCCCGCCTCACCGCGGACGTCGATGCCTTGGACATCGCCGCAACTAAGCTTGCCATTGTCTAAACCAGCCCAGTTGGTAGTAAGAAGGCATTTGCCCGTCGGTGTCCCGATGATGTGGCGCTCGACATTGCGTCCGAGAAGCTCAACCTCGACTGAAGCTGGCGAGCGTTGCCCCAAAAGCGAGTCTTGCATTAGCATTGGCGTTTGACCAGAGCTGAGGTGGGCGAATGAAGGAACCAAGAACCAGCGAGATGACCTGGTACGAGGAAGGCTTTTCACATTGCTCATCCGAGAGAGCGTAGTATACAGCTACTGTACAAGCGCCATGCTTATCAGGCCTTTGCGCCATATATGACTTCATGATACCCCATTTGCTGTTGATGTACAACTTCCTCCATCTTACATCGTCTATTGACCCGCGTATCTGGAATCAGCAGTCTCATGTAGTCTTGGGCTGTTGTACCACTCCTCCCGTGTTCATACGACACTCCATACTTCATGCCGCCCCACGGCCCTCGGAAGCGCTCCCATGCATTGCGTCTGATGATGGTCCGCAGTCCTCTTTCTCCCCGTATAGTTTCCCTCCACACCACCGCTCTTCTATTGTCTCATCCTCTCCAAGTTCTCGATAACAAGCCTGTTCGCATCCATAAACCGATCCACGCAGTTGCGCATACAAGGCTCCTCGTATCGATCCAGCGTCCCCTGCGCTATTTTCGAAGTCACGCACTTCTTGAAGCATGTATCTGTACATAATAAGAATCGTATTCAACTCTCGGCTGTGTAAACTCAAGAGGCTGATGGCATTGCGACTCACCTGTCAAGCCATGAACGGTCTGCTGGATTTGCGCCTTCTGACTCTCGCCTTGGATGAATTGGTTGAGGTCTTGTTTGTCTTTGGCAGAGAGACCCTGGATAAGTTCGTTGGAGATTTGGGGTTGGTCCATGATGGCAATGTGAAGGTTGTTGGTGGGTTTCTTTTAATCGGTGTACATGAGATAGGTAGGTGTAGTATGCTCCAGATTCTGCTGGTCGGAGTAGTCTCAGGCGCTCAGGCCGACACAGAGAAGTGGTCTGTGCTTCCTGAACTCACTCTTATCGACAAACAAACATGTGCCTAGTTTCTGCCTGACCAGACCTCCTCATAGGTAGACGTGCATTCGTATCAGCCGCATTATGTTGGAATATGCTACCAACAAGCTTTATCGCAGGCAATAAAGCAGACGATAGTGGCGCGAAAGTTTGCTCAGAGAATTGCTAGATTCGACAGCGACGAGAGTGTCCAGCCTAATGGAGTCATTCATAGTGAGACCACACACAAAATGTACTGCATTCTCGAGAGTAGCTGGTACACTATGGATCGACCTATATCTGATGATCCGAATGTACTCATATGTGCCTGCAATGGCACCACAAAGTCGACGCACGCTCTTTGGGGATGATGTGCTCAGGGGCCTTGACCAGACTGCCCATGGGGAAGCGGACGTAGGAGGTATGTTGATCAAGCCTTCTCAGCCGAATAGAGCATACCCGATTGCCTTGCGCCATCCTTTTGCGTCTGACCTGTAGTCCGCTTTTTTGCGAGTACACTCGCCATGGGAGAATAACCTTGAAGTACTGGTCTATCGCTCGTGTCCCGAAGAACACTCCATCCTCCAATCAGTGTTTAATTCGGCGACCTGTCCCACTCCTAGACCGCCGCGCTGATTCCTCAATCCTATAGCCACCGAGATCGCACTTCTCGTGGCGTCCCGTCATACAACATAGCTACGTGAAAGCACCCGTGATACACTACAGCTGTGTGCCAGTACCTCCTAGAGACGGCTTGCGCAACGCATCGTCGTCATCGCCAGGCAAGCTTTCGTATCGTTGGAGCTTCCAAGTCCCTCCTATGGCCTGTTATATTATAATGTCGATGGGGACGAAGTAATAGCCACCTTTGCGACAGCACGCTTGCGTTGGCGGCGGAACTTGCTATCATTTTCTGGAACATAAGAGCTTTAGTCGCAGGGTGGCTTTTCGAAAGGTTCATTCGATTGGCCGCGGGGGGCTGTTGTTACAGGTGCTCGTGCTGGTGGAGTAATAAGTAGGCGAATACCAGGCCACGGAAAGTGTCGTCGGCGAGTATGGTTTTGATTTTCATGGGCATGCGCAATTCTGGGGTTAGCTTTATTGTGGTTGGGGATGCGGCGAGTGGTGGTATCTGATAGAGTGTTGTGCAACGTAGCAATCTGCTTCTCTCTCGGCTTTGGTGGCGTTGGCAACGGAGAGAGTGAGGCCTGAGCCGCCGACGTGGACCCTGCTCTCCGCTCGATTTTCACTTGAAGACTCAACAACGCCTCCGCCCAACCCTTCCAAGGCACATTCAACGACCTGCAGCCCACTACACTTGCAGTTCACCACCCACTGCACCACCGTCAACCCCGAAACATGTCGAGAGATATCGGCGGCTCCGGCAGGAACCAGCCTCCTGTGGCTCCGTGAGTCCTCACCAGCAAGAAGACGAAGCTTCTCGCACCGCGCCGACACATCCTCGAGAAATACCTTTTCTGCGACACACGTCCTCCATACACACAGACACTGACACAATGGTCTCCAGAACTCCTCAGAACACACCGGCCAATAATGCGCCCATCTCATCGCGCGCGCAGGCCCCAGACCTGTCGACGCTGAATGAAGGTGAGTTACTCGCGGAGTCCGTGGACACGGGGTTGGAGTCGAGAGGAATTCGAAGAATACAAGCTAATGCGCCCGCCCTACTCAGAGGATCTCGACCGCGCCGCCGCAGCCTCCATCTTCGCTCAGAACCCTCGCCTGGTGTCGATGATGCAGAACAAGCTTTCTGGCTTGATTGGCAAGTCCAGCGGCTACGTTGAGTCACTCCCCGCTCCCATCCGGAGACGCGTTGCTGGACTCAAGGGCGTGCAGAAGGAGCACTCCAAGCTCGAGGCACAGTTCCAGGAAGAGGTCCTTGAGTTGGAGAAGAAGTTCTTTGCCAAATTTACCCCGCTCTACGAGAAGCGTGCGAAGATCATCAATGGAGCCGCTGAGCCAACCGACTCCGAGGTCGAGGCCGGCGAGGAAGATGATGAAACAGACGAGGAGGCGGAAGAGGCCAAAGCAGCTGCAGACAAAGAGGCCGAGAATGCAGAGCCCGCCAAGGGTATCCCAGAGTTCTGGTTGAGCTCGATGAAGAACTCTTCGCTCGCCGAGACCATTACAGAGCGTGACGAGGAAGCTCTCAAGTTTCTCACTGACATTCGCATGGAGTACCTCGATCGCCCGGGCTTCCGCCTGCTCTTCGAGTTCGCCGAGAACCCATTCTTCACCAACAAGGTCCTCTCCAAAACCTACTACTACCAAGAAGAGAATGGGTATGGAGGTGACTTCATCTACGATCGCGCCGAGGGTGACAAGATCGACTGGAAGCAGGGCCAGGATCTGACTGTGAAGGTGGAGAGCAAGAAGCAGCGCAACAAGAGTACGCACATATCACTTTTGCAGCATTTCGTACCCGCAGCAAGCTAACTGTGCCGCAGATACCAAACAGACTCGCATCGTCAAGAAGACAATCCCTACTCCGTCATTCTTCGACTTCTTCAACCCAGCAACCCCACCTGAGGATGATGACGATGAAATCGACGACGATATTGAGGCTAAGCTGGAACTTGACTATCAGCTGGGTGAAGACATCAAGGAGAAGCTCATCCCTCGCGCCATCGACTGGTTCACTGGAGAGGCTCTGCAGTTCGAGCAAGGCATGGATGACTTCGACGAGGACGACTTCGAAGATGAAGATGACGAGGACGAGGACGATGAGGACCGTGATGAGGATGACGAGGATGAGGACGAAGACGAGGTATGAAGCTTCTCTTGTTCGTGCATACTTGCGTGTGCCTCTACTAACCAGTAAAGCAGGAGGACGGTGGCAAGCCCAAGCAAGAGACGGCCGAGTGCAAACAGAGCTAGATTGGTTCATTGCTCTGCACTTGTCTCGCCATCGTATGCATGGTCATACACCCCGACGGCGCCACGACACCCTCCCTTCCTCTATCCCTCGCAACCATTACTCGCATCGCACCGACTATGGAAAGCCTGCATCATCGCACTCGTGTAGCGCGGCAAGCAGGCAGCGATAGATGAGATCGGCCACTGTACATTTGACAGACGCACCGAACATCAACTCAGATCCGCACGAATCCCTTCACGTTCCTTATGAGCCCCGAAATCCGAAACTTGCATTGACAGGCGTTCTACTGTGCTTTCATTTGGCGTCATCCCTTAAAGTGAAACCGCAAAGTCCTTTCCATCCTGGCGGGACAAAGGACTGGTTCAACGTCTACTACTGACTGGGCGGAGAGAGAATGGGCGTGCTGGAGCATCGGCGAAGCGACGGAGGCAAATGCGTGTTTCGTTGTTCTCAACTGTCCCGGTTCGTGTCTCAATCAACGGGCGCATGGAGAGGTAGATAAAGTTATTGAAACGTACCTTAATGCTGCGACAGATCAAATGCAACTAACTCTACATGTTCCATACTGCTTTTCACTCCTGCGCTATGCTGGGTATCTCGCTTGCCTGCTGGTAAAACTCAAAAAGGAAAAAAACACACGCCGAACGATGCCACCAAACATATCGGACAATGATGAGGACTGAGACCCGTACATAGCAGGTTGGCGCCCATGCGTCCTGGCGCATGAAATACTGACCACCTTCATGATATTCTACTCATCCGGCTTCAGCTCCACCCAGAAGTTGTTCATCCCGCCACCCTCTCGAACCTTGATCTTGGCAAACTTCTGCTCCTCCATAGGTGCAGGCTCATCTCTCCACTGCCAGAGATAGTAGACCAACTTTCTCGTTTCTTTACGTTGCAAGAGACAGTAGCCCAGCGAATCCATGATGAGTGTCAGGCGTTCGTCGTTGAAGTAGCGGCTGTTGAGCACACAGGAAGCTGGCAGGACGAGAAAGAGCGTCGCTCTATAGTCTGTGAGGTAGGCGTCAGATGTCCGGGATCGTCTCGCTGTCGTTCTGATGGGCGAGGAAGGGTCGGTGACGGACAGTGATGATGCAGAACAAGAAGGCGACGATGACTCTTGAGCGTCGGTGGCGATTTCTTCATCAATTTGACGTTGTCTCAGAAACTTTGTAGTCCTCCTGAGCATTTCACCTCTTCCAGCAGACGAAGGCACAAAGTTCAATACCAGGCTCAGGGAAATCATGTCGAACTTGTCATCATCAGCTTCCAGTGCAGGTAGTGCCCTTTCCATGAAATCCTGTTTCAATATCCCCTTCGCCTGAGAGTTCAAATCGATATGAGTGACATCGAAAAGCCCGGATTTGGAACATGCGTTCTTCGTGCTCAGAGCCCCGACTTCGAGCATCTTGAATTTCTGGTCGAGAGCGCTGAGCTCGAGCTTGAGTGGTGCGAGCCACTTCATCAGAACGAGGGAGGAATCGCCGCCTCGGTCTGCAGATTGTCCTTGGATGGATGCTGCCTGGTAGGCTTTCAGCCCACCTAAAGCTTTCATTTTGTTTTCGATGGAGGCAATAGTTGCCGAATCGCTATTGGATCTGGCAGTTGCGAGGTCTTTGTTGAGTTGGTGGAAGGCAACGATGATCTTTTGAGTGGCCTTGGAGGACTTTTTCTTCGTGAGCTTGGCCGTTGGTGGGCGGCCAGCTTGCAGGCGAGCCTTGGACTTCTTGGAGTGGTTGTGGACGCCCATTCTGTGTTGTTGATGCTTGAGAGGCACTAACTTTGGACGCAAGTGGAAGTGCGGTGATATTGGAAGCCTGTGGCCGCGATTTTATGGGTGGTAGTCCTGGAGTGAAAAAGGGCCGCCTGGCATACCTACCTACACACATACACAGCCAGAAACAACACTCAGGAGCTTCCCACAAAGCTCGTCTTGGTAAGTGCAACATCGTTCTTTCACATGCCAGAGACACGGAATTATATCTTGGCAAGCGCCATCGGTATCAATTCTGCGCGCAAGGGGAATACATCATCACTCTGGTAAGGTAGTTCTTGATATTGACATTTCCTTCCTTTCTTCACTCTCACTCCTCCTACTTACGCTCTCCAACGCTAGCTAAGCCACATGTACCCAAAGAGGTACCTTCTACTGTTCTGCCGTGCAACCCCAGTCACACACTCTCCTTGGCATCCGCTTATTGTGCCTGCAAGACGGCTACCCCATATGTAGACGACTCTTGGCCCTGCGCCGAGACATCGTAGCTGGAGCTTCGTGTCCAACAAAAACATCAACAAGATTCAGTAGTCGGTACAGTGGCATATCGCGCAAGCACGGAGGCTAGGAGGTATGACGCGACTGCAACATGCTTCGGCCAAAGCTCATGATATAAGTCAAGACGTGAGAGTCTGATGTACTGACTGTGATCACGCACTCTCTCCTGTACCTCAACAACAATGAAGGTCTCTTCATTGCTGACATTCCTGTGTACGACTGCAGCTCACGCACAATACTCTGGTGACATTGTTGCGTACTGGTGAGGAACAATCGAGTGTGCTTATTGAAGTCGAAGAACTGTGAGCTGAACTTTTCACAGGGTGGACCAATCATCCGCTCTTACCAACAACAGTCTCATCGGCGGTCTTCAGTCTCCGCCTTCTGGTTGGCTCAACGCGATCGTCCAGGGCGCAGTCTATGTCGCAGCTCTAGAAAGCCAGAGCGAGGATTTGGCGTTCCAGCAGTTGGCTGTCAGTCATGCTGCTCATAATAGCTTGAACTGGATATTCCACGGGACACGAAACTTCGCAAACGTCTACGATTCCATGGCCTTCATCGTTTCTCGAATCGGCATCAACGATACATGCGAGGAGTACGGGCGAGCCGCAGCGATAGGACAGGCGGCTGCCCTGCGGGTCACGAATGCTAGACAGGGTGATAGGTTGGACAACTTTTTGTTGTATGTGTTTGGACCTATGGAACCAGGCGTATATCAGCGGACGCCAGGTGGACTCAGTGCTCCTGATACCCCTCAAGCCCGCTACCTTCGCACATTCGGCGGCATCGGTAATGTTACTCAATTCAGGGCACCGCCACCACCTGCAGTCGACTCGCCAGAGTATCAAGGTTTTGTCGAATATGTCAAGGCCCAAGGAGACCAGAACTCGACAGTACGCACTCCATACGATACGGAGACTGCGCTCTTTTGGCGGGAGTCCTCGCCAATTCAATGGAACAGGTTCGCGTACAATGTCATTGGTGATCGCTATGCTGCGAATGTACTGTTGGCGGCTAAATTTGCTGTGCAGCTGAATTATGCACTTGCGAATGCAGCCATTGCTGGCTGGGACGCAAAGTCCTTCTATAATGGATGGAGACCCGTCACCGCCATTCGCCGCAACGACACATGGTTGCCAAGCGGCGACACGATTTCGAAGCCAGACTGGACGCCACTCTTGAGTCCTACGCCAAACCATCAAGAGTATACATCAACCCATGCATGCTTCGGTGGTGCTGCAGCGGCTGTGATCAAGGCGTGGAACAACGGATCAGATACTATCAACATTCACCAGACCACGAACATCACGGGCCGCGGCGTGGTCGCCAGACCTTATACGAGCATCCAGCAGGCTGTGAAAGACAACGGAGATAGTAGAGTGTTCGGTGGCGTAGGTTTACATCACTCTGAGATGACCTGGTCACAAAGTGCTAATTTTCTCGTAGATACACTTCCAATTCTCTTCGGATGTTGGTTCCATCGTTGGCAACAAAGTTGGCGAGGCTACTATGGAAGCTTTCGAGAACGGCTGGGACGAGTTCTGATCTGTAGACGCTCATCCATTGTCCACACGTTGACATGTCGTCCTAAACCCTTGTCCTCAAAGTGTAACTTGCGCTCTATCCACCCAGCTCGAGATCGCCTATTACTCGGACTGAATGTAGCTTTGTCTAAACCAGCAGCAAAAGAAAAAATAGCTAAAGTGCTATATCTAGGCTGAATACCCAGCAGAAATCACAAAAAGTATATTGAACCATGGATGGATCGAACATCCTTAATCGTTAAGATCACTTGGCGATACCGTGAATCGAACACGGGCTAACGCGGCTTTGTGGACCACAACACGTCGTCATACCACTAGACCATATCACCGCACTGAGTGCGTGGTTGCCCTTCTTGATTGATGCGGAAGAAGATTTATCTATTGTATATATATGCTAACCTCAGATGCAGTCAAGGTTTGGCAGATTCTACCCCACACTACAACAAGTTAGGTCAGGAATGAGAGTTATTCTCTATAATTCTAGGTACTAACTACCAGATGCGTGGTCAGAGTATAGAGATCAGAGAATAGTATAATAATTAATGATCAGGCCTGTCGAGGAGCGCGTCCTCTCGCGCCTAAGCAGAGCGTCGCAACGCCCCCTCCCCCCTCTTCTCTGTAAACGCTACACTACTACGCTAACCCGGCTACGGACAAGGCACAAGGCACAAGCAAGGCCGGTCTAAGAAATTTCGCGTGCTAACGCGACCTACAAATCGAGGACGGAAAGTAGGTCCTCGTTTCCTGAGAGGCGTGTTCCCCCAAGCTTCATGTCGTCTGGCTCCATGTCGTCTGGCTTCGTATCGAATCCGCCCTGCGCCGTGATCACGACGTATGTAATTGAACTGAAGTTGGGTTACGATATTCTGACGCAGAGTATAGGGATCAGAAAATAGTATAATGATCAGGCCTAAGCAGAGCGTCGCGACGCCTACCTCCCCCCCTCTCTCTGTAAACGCTACACTACTACGCTAACCCGGCTACGGACAAGGCACAAGCAAGGCCGGTCTGAGAACTAGGAGAAGGAGAGGAGGGGCGATATCCTCCCCCTAGTAGGTATGCTATTTGTTAGGTATAGCAGGCTTGAAGCGTATCTCGAGAAAGAGGTAGGATGACAAAGACAGTCTATTTGATGTCTTGATGGCACACACTACACAATTCGACCTGGAGTGTAGGAGATAGGCCCACACTTGTCTGGATACCGTACAGCGTCTTATTGGGTGCAGTGGAGCGGAGCTTCAAGCTCCAAGTACCGAATATCCTACCGATAGACCGTGTTCCAGACTTGTAGAGGTATATAGGTAGGTGTCTTTGAAGAGCATCATCATCATCATCATCATCATCATCACCATCACCATCATTGAACACCACAAACATCAAGTCGCCATCCTCTGGACTATTGACCAGCACAACAAGCAAGTCTCGTCACTCAATCCAAGCGTATATACCAGCCATGTCCACCACTCCAACCCCACAAGGCCGTCTCGGCAACCCCAGTCTTGACCTCTCGCACGACCCTCGAACTCATCCTGATCTGAAGAAAGCTCTCGATGCAGTCGGCCTCGGCGCCAACGCCTCGCAGGGGATTCCTCCCGAGGCGGTTAACGTGGAGGCCATGAATGGTATTCTGGAGCAAGTTAATGAGAAACATATAGAGATGTATAAATTCATGGACCTTTCGAACGCGGGAGATGAACTTGAGGCTGAGGTGGAGGAGAGCGAGATGGAAATTGAGGGAGTGGATGGGAATAAGATCAAGTTGTATGTGACGAGGCCAAAAGGTGTGAGTGGGAAGTTGCCCGGGGTGGTGTATATTCATGGTATGTGTGTGTTTTTCCTTTTCTCTTTTCTTTTTTTGTTTTTCCTTTGCTTTCTTTTCTTCTTTTCGACTTATGTAAAGAAAAGAGAAGGGAGAGGGAGAGGGAGAGGGAGAGAGAAGGAAAAAAGAGCTGACCAACTCGTTCCCCAACAAACAGGCGGAGCAATGACCGTTATCCCTACCAAAAACCGCGCCCACGACCGATGGTGCAAATCTCTCGCTCTCCAAGGCCTCGTCGTAATCATGATCGACTTCCGCAATGCGTGGACGAAAGCCCAACACAATCCCTTCCCCACGGGTCTCAACGACTGTGTCGCCGGAGTCAAATGGATAGCCTCCCAAAAATCCTCTCTCGGCATCCACAAATTCATCCTGCAAGGTGAATCCGGAGGCGCGAATCTCAGTCTCGCTGTAGCCCTTCGAGCCAACCGCGAACGCTGGGTTCACGAGATCGCGGGTGTGTACGGATATGTACCATATATCAGTGGAGGATATGGTTGGAGCCGAGAACGGAAGTTGAAAGAAACTCCTTCGCAACTGGAAAATGAAGATTATATGTTGAATGCGAGTGCGATGGCTGCGATGGCGTGGTACTATTCTCCGGAGGGAGACAAAGAAGATCCGTTGGCGTGGCCTTATCATGCTTCGGAGCAGGACTTGAAGGGTTTGCCACCACATGCGATCAGTGTGGATGAGTTGGATCCGCTCAGGGATGAGGGGATCGCGTATTATCATAAATTGACGCACGCGGGCGTGCAGGCGACGTGTGAGATCAACCTGGGGGTGATACACGCGTCGGCTGTGGTTTTCAGGCATGCGTTGCCCGCAGTGGCGAGAAAGCAGGTTGCATTGATTGCGGCGTTTGCGAAGAGTTTGTAGTAGGTGTATCTTGTTACTTAGGGGCTGTTTAGTAGCCTCCAACCGCAGTTGCAGCGGTTCGAACTCGTAGGAATTCTAGTCTATTAAACATACTAATTGGCACGGAACGACCTCCAAGCCTTCCAAATTGGGATTAGAGTCTTCTAGTCACAGAACAAGGAGATGGAGGACATGGAGGAGGAGAAGCTGAGGAAGAGGAAGAGGAAGAAGCCTTTGAGGAAGGAAGGGAAGAAGCCTCTGAGGAAGAAGATGAAGATGTAGAGACCTAGGTACTTCTTAGAGATAGAGTGCACGCATAGGTACACACGCATAGATACATTGCGTGTGTGTATGCGAAGGTGTATGTGTCTATCTGAGAGAATAGCACCTCGGACGAACAGCTCCGCGATACGGGTTGAGTCGAAGTCGGAAATTCTTGTCAATACTCCAGCCGGTTCTAGAAAGTATCCCAATTGGAGCGGAGTAATAGCAGTTATCCTGTCCTGTACCGTTCTAGTAGGAGGTAGCCTACAGGCACGATTCCGTCTAGTCTGGCTCTCGGCGCGAAAGCTTGGTCGCTTTTGGCTTGTACATACCTCCTACTAGGATGTATAGATCAACGTAGACAGACGAACCTCGGTCTCTCTCTCTCGTATCTGTATACGTGTAGGTTACGCTATCAGAGTGGTAGTGAACGTCAACCATCAACGGCGTGGCACTAGGGTACTGATACCACTACAAACAAAAAGATTGCTGTCGCACACCAACCAAAACATTGGACTCATTTTGGAGAACGAGATCGTAGTACCTAGTAGGAGGTTACGGAGGTAGTTGTGTATGGCACCGCTCGTAAAAGGCAAGGGTGTAGAGGTCGCATCCTACCTACGACTTCAAGCTTAAACGTTTCAAGCTTATTTAAACCGCTTCCACCATTCGTAGTGCAGCTAACTAGCGGCTGATCTGTTGCTTTCCTCTTTGGCGACGGATCAGATTGGTAGGTATTGTCAATTTACCGAGGAGGAGGTGCAGATTGTAACGTCGCTGAGAGACTTGACTACCTCCTACCTGCTGCTTTGATGTCTTGCAGGAGTGAAGGAACTGAGAAGGGGTGTGACGATCGTCTGGCAGGTCTACCGTCTCTTGTCGGAACGAACCTGGGTGTTCGCTGGGTTCAATATGGAATTAACCACGTCCTCGAGCCTCGAGCCTGTAAACGTCTCGGATGGCAGACCTTCCAGACGACATCTGCGAAGTACACAGGTGGAGTCACTGGGGTGATGCTTAACTCTATCGTTCCCGCGGCCAATAGTGTCTTCCCACTTTCGACCTTCAAAAGTACCTCCTAGGACAAAGCCAACGTGAGGTATCCCGAATGAACCAGAGCAGGCAAGGCAGGTCTTTTGATCGTGTCATCACCGTCGAATATCGTGCTGATCGGCGAGGGCGGGAACTGGTTCACACTTGTCCGGTGCCACTGAGAGAGCTTGTCAACAGAGAGAAGCTGAACGTTCTCATTGGCGCGAATAACCCTTGTGAACCGTATTTCGTTATTGCCCTTGCTTCGTTGAAGGTGATTCACGGGATTACCAGTCTACCACTACTCCTCCACTTGTATATAGATTAGGTAGCCTCGACCCAGAAATCGTATATCTTCGAATTGACAAACATTCAAGCAAAGACGACAACATGGCGGAAATCTCTATGGCAGATCTCGAGTTGGCCAATCGCCTCAAAGAGGCACATGGCATCCTGGCCTCTATCGCGTGGGCGACAGTCATGCCTCTCGGTGCCGTCCTGATACGTGTGATTCCTTCAAGCAAAGCATGGCTCATCCATGGCGCCGTGATGGGCTTTGGTCTGGCACTGTTCACATCTGCATTTGGCCTGGGCATACGGGATATCTTGATCTACCATTCGACAGTGAGTAGAGCGTGACGCCTGCTACTGCTGCCGAACCATCGCTGATGCTGCTTTTCCAGGTCAGCTTCTCCGCACATACCGTCATCGGCACCGTCCTGTTCGCATTCGCATGGCTGCAACCATTCCTTGGAGTGGCACACCACTACATCCTCCTCAGCACCAACAAGCGCACCTTGATGTCAGCGATGCACATCCTCTTTGGCAGGATCTTGATCATTTTGGGGATGATTAATGGAGGACTCGGTCTTGCACTGGCGGAGCAAAGCACCCGAGCCGAGAACATCATCTATGGCACGCTGGTTGGTATCATATGGGTGGCATACACCCTCGTCACTCTAGGGTATGAGGTCAAGCGAGACAATCAAGCGCAATGGGCTCTTAAAAGGGCCGGGAGTACAGATGACAGCGAGCGTTCAACCAGTATCAAGCAGGTCTCTGGCGAGGTTGTGAAGTCGGAGATGTTGTAGCTGCAAACGGGAGACGAAGTCCATGTATACCTGGGAAACGATCAACATTCATCTTCAGTAGGCGTGCAGTCTCTACCATACCTGATGTTCACAACGTTTTCGCACCAGGCCAGCTCACATGTGTGTCACCATTATCGATCCGGCAGCCACGCACTGAAGGAAGCATTGCGAGGAAGGTCGACAGGTTCACTGTGATTGATATTCTTGCCGAACCTGCACAGACTAGCGCAATCATCTGTGCGACGCGACGTCCCGATTGATGGATAAAGCCGTACAGGATGACTGGTGCGCTACATGCACTTGCGTACTCTGGACTCTGGCTTCATGTTGCGCGTGTTGATGTCTCTGTGCAGGTATTCATGATCTGGAAGTGAAAAACGAAGCGTAAACAACTTACCTTAATAATAATTCCATCCCACACCTTCTTTTCACCCATCTCTCACGCCGGTAATAAAGGTACCCGGTCTCCACGTCCGTCCATCTGCCTGCCTCCAGCTAACTGCCCGGACCCGTGAACGGCGGCGCACGGCGAGCTCCACCACCACAATCATCCACAAAAAAAAAACGCCCAGACACACCAAGGAGCCCAGGCAGAGCAGAGCAGAGCAGCACCAACCCACCTCACCTCACCTCAGCTCACTCGTCAAATGGAAATTCTGCACCACGTCGCCGGACTCTATCATTCCATCAGTCACATTCAACATACACTCAGCACAGCACACGACGAAATCATGACATCGGCATTCGAACGAGCGACGGAAACGGCCGAATTTCTGCGCTCCAAATTACCCGGGCATCTCGCTCGACCACGCGTGGCAGTGGTGTGTGGGAGCGGATTGGGAGGATTGGCAAAGACGGTGAATCCGGGGACGGAGGTGTGGGAATATAAGGATGTGCCGAATTTTCCCTTGAGTACAGGTGAGAGAGTACCTTCGTGTTTGTTATTATGATGATTATGGGAAAGACAAGGGAGGACAGAAATTGTATATTGACGCAAGTTGATTTATAGTGCCCGGTCACGAAGGGAAGATTGTTTTCGGCACTATGGGAGCTCGAGGCAATGAGGTGCCTGTTGTACTTCTTGTTGGAAGAGCCCAGTCAGTAGCTACCCTCTATATAGGCCCTTCAAGACTTCAGCTCACTCATGTCTTTCTTAGTTTCTACGAAGGCCACTCGATGGAGGATGCTGGCTTCGCCACACGTGTCTGCAAGCTTCTTGGTGTGGAAACCATCATCCTGACTAATGCAGCTGGAGGTCTCAATCAGGATTACACGGTTGGCGACCTCGTGTTGTTGAACGATCACCTCAACTTGGCTGGGCTGGTGGGATTTCATCCGCTTCGTGGTGCCAATGAGGAAGCTTTCGGTGTGCGATTTCCTCCGCTTAGTGATGCCTACGACATTCATCTGAGACAACTTGCACACCGAAGTTGGAACGAGCTGCGTCGGGGCAGTCCAAGCACCCGCAGAATGCACGAAGGTGTATATGCCTTTGTTGCCGGACCCACTTACGAGACACGGGCAGAGTGCAGGATGTTGCGAAACCTAGGAGCCGATGTTGTGGGAATGTCGACAGTACCCGAAATTGTGACTGCGAGACATTCGGGCATGAGGGTGCTTGCTTTCAGCTTGGTGACCAACAAATCTGTGCTGGAGCCCACGGTCCGCGCTGACCATCCGGAGTTGCAAGGGCTGAGCAGAGACGAGCTCGATCGCCAGCTCGGCAAAGGTGCTGCGAATCACGAGGAAGTTCTCGAAGCTGGTCGCGAGGCTGCGTTAGATATGCAGAGTCTTGTGCTGCGCATCGTCACGCAACTGTGAACGGACACGCTAGGAAGGCACAATATAGCGCTTCACAGCCCACCGTATCGTATCGCAGAAGAAGGCACACGGTAGACAGGCTTGCTTCAGCCAGAACCTTTCTTGATGCCGCCCTTCCGTTTGTCCTGTTGCGCCTTGTAGTATGCTTTCTTCCCGCTCGTCTTCTTGTTCTGAATCTGACCATACTTGTTTTTGAATCGGCCAGTCTCCTGCTCTCCAGCGAGGACTTCCTCTGCAAATGTTCTCTTGCGCTTTTTGTTCTCGATGCGACCAGTAAAGAATTCTGTTGGCCCCTCTTGAATGGTGCCCACCTGACTGTACTCTGGAGCTTTCATTGGCCCGTTGTCCTTTTTGTAGTGGCGATGCGGATCGAGCACATTTCGCATCTTGATGAGCTGAATATCGCGTTTGAATTCGGGAGTCATCTCAGTCTTGGGCAGACCGTACCAGGCGTCGCCAGCAGTGGCCTTTTTCTTCTGTTCGACTGTTAGTGACTGAGCGCAAACAGAGTTCGTTCGCAAAGTGCATATGAGGTGGAGTGGCTCAGAGTAACTATGATAAAAAGCTCTCAGTGGTGCAGAAGGACAACCAAGACGGCGTCCGGACTCTGCTCAAGAAAGAAATTTGGGATTATTTTCCTCATAGCCAGGGGTGTTGTACGCGAGTGTGTAGATGCATACCTCTTCTGCAGCCTTTTTGGCCACGACTGGATCCTCGACCGTCCTGACCTGCAGCTTCCGATATCTTTCGTCCACCAGCCGCGATGCATCGACTGTTGCGATGTGCCCGTCCATGGAAACGTAGGGGCGAGGAAGGTCGCCGGTGTTGAGCTTTGGGATCGTTATGCCTTTCGACTCGTTCTGCTTGGCTACCTGTAGCTGCGTGTCTTTTGACTTGGCTTGCAGGCGCGCAGTCGCGGCGAGGAGCTCCTGCTCAATCTGCTCGTCGGTCATATCCTCAGCTGGACTCAGCGTGGCCTGTGTAGGCAGCTGCAGTGCGGCGGCCATGGGGACAGCAACTGCAACGGCTCGAGTCTACATTGGTGATGTGCAAGAAGAAACTGGATTGAAGTGAGCTTTTTTCTCTGTCGAATAAGGGTTACGGCTTTTTTGTGCCAAGGCCGGAAGCACGGATGCTGCCGAGCTCACCACCCGTTGCGCCGGGGCCGGTTGCGTTTCCTTTACCTCCCTAGCTTCCTTGGAGGTTCCTCCGTGCCTGAACATCCACTACCTGGTACTTTCCACCTCCCAGTTGTCACAAAATCCACAGCTTGATGACTACATCCATAGATGTATTGCTGGCTGAAAGAATATCGAATTCTACTGCACCGGCTCTCTGACCAACTACTTCCTTCCCCCCACCCCAATGGTCCTCTCTCAAGCCGACTCTGGTCTCTGTAGTACCTCCTCGTGGATGGTGCAGCCCTGCCGAACCTTCTCAATTCTTTCTTCATATCGTCCTCTACGCCGACAACAAGACTTGTTCGCGACTGGACTCGACCGGTACAACTCGATCTTGCTGCGGAGTCTTTTCACGCTTCTCGCGATATTCCTTGATCTTGCAGGACACCCAGCGCTGTGTATACCGATATACTGGAGTGATAATCCATCGCAAGACTGTGAAATCACTACTTCAAATCAGCGAACACGTACGGCGACTGGCACGTGGCTTACATACATCCAAATACCTAATGGCCAAGTCAGGTACCGAGGTGCGTAGCCGACAGCTGCCGTGACGATCACTGTAGTCGAGAGAAGCCATATAAAGGCAGCGATGGTCTTTCTTCCCATTATACAATGTGTGCGGGACTCGAACGTCTGGTATAGCTCTACTCAAGGTGGTTTTGTAGAGGAAAGAAGTGACGATGTGATTGATACCTAATCCTTTAGGAGCTCTTTTCCCTGGAACCGAAAAGTTCGTTTTCTCTGCAGTCTGCACAGTGTATAACATGCATTTACAACTACATCCCTTCTGCGGATGTGCTCCTGGTGCCAGGATACTCTGGAGAAGTAAAAATGGATCTTGCGAGAATCGTAATTTAAAGACCAAGCTTGCTTTTCTTGGCTGGGGAGTGTCCGCGTAACGAAGCTCCCTACTTCTATTCCATCAGCCAAGTCGTGCGCTGCATCAATTGGATGGGATGCGAAGCGATCCGAAGGGATTCTCAAACAGCTTGTTGTTGGTTGCTCTTGTCCTTCAATATTATTGCGCAGGCACAACCACATCGACACCCCTCGATGAGAGTTCGTGCGGATACAGGGTTGGGCAAAGTATAAGTTTTCAAGCTCACCTGTTCCCTGCACAGGACGCACACCTTGATAGGAACAGCACCAGGAAGTTCAGGAGCCGCATACATCCAATATCCATACTTATACGAAAGGGGGATGTCATCTCCGAGGTCAATGAGCATTGAACATTCGCATTGCCTCATTCCGCCTCACGAGGATCGAAACATAACACTGTGTGGTACTGCTCGCAGCCCGGCAATGCATCGGAAGGCGGAAGACCCAGCGCCAGCGGATATCAGCTTGGCAGGAGGAGCATGATCGCGGCTCAGCCTCATCATCACACTCTCGGCGACGACAATCACTATTCACTCAACTGTTCCTTATGATAGCACTCTTTCACAGGTGAGATGAATGTAGGTTTGCGGCGCAAAGTCAAACTTCGCACATGCCAAACCTGCGACCCCGATGCTACAGTCTTGAACTGGCGGCAACCTACTCATGATCAACCGAGCAAGACGGTCTTGGGCTCTTCACAGTTTTGCGCACCAAATGCAACGATCTTACAACCTGAGAGGGCGTTAAGAACAATATGGCGATGTTGTAGTTGAGGCCTGCAACCCCGATTTGCTGAGATTTGGGTTTGGTTCGGGAGGAATCTCCTGGGGTATCCCTCATTCCCTGCGCCTAATCCCAATGTTGCCAATGTTGATTCGAATCTTCATCTAGGGTTCTGCACGCTACGCTTCGTGCCTGTCTAGCCCTGTCAGGACTACACTGTAGTCTGCACCCGCAATGCGTCGTCGCGAGTCGACAGTGGTGTATCCCTACAGGTACCCTTCCCGTCAAGTATAAGCACCATCATCCGCAGCATCCTCCTTGCCGTTGGTCACTCTGTTTCACTCTCATTTTTTGGGCATTTGCCTACCAGTCACTCGTTTGTTGTTTATCGCCTGCAGCAATCATGCGCATCCACGGGCTTTTCGATCTCGCTCTCTTGGTATCGGCGTTGGCAGTTCCAGCACAACAGCATGAGTTCGGCCACAAACATGAGCACCTTCACCAGCCCAAACAAAAGCGACAAGCCATTACCGATCCTAATCAGCAAGGCATATACGACTACATCGTTGGTAAGTGGACAGTCGTAAAGAATACTATCGATCGATTCGAGTGGGAAAAGCTCACGTATGATTAGTCGGCTCTGGACCAGGAGGTGGACCGCTTGCATGTCGCCTTGCACGTGCTGGGTTCAATACATTACTGATCGAGGCTGGCACCGATACCAAAGGATACTTGGACACCCAGATTGCTTCGTTCCACCCCCGAGCGTCTGAGTTGCCGAGACAAGTATGGGTAAGCATGATCAACACTAAAGCAGACGTCCATATGGGGTAGCACAAATGGACTGATACACATTTTCCGACAGCAATACTTCGTGAACCGTTATGCCGATCCAGCTGAACAACTGCGCGATCCCAAGATGGTCTACAAAATTCCTGATCTTCCAGAGTACGGCGGAGCAGAGTTCACAGGCAACCCACCACCACAGGCTGGCGGATGGACGTACCTTCTGCCAAACGGCAGATACTACGTCGGTCAGACGCCACCTGCTGATGCCGAGCGCTTGGGTCTTCTCTACGCTCGAGGTTCTGCATTGGGTGGTAGCACGCAAATGTCTGCAATGGCAATGGTCACGCCACATGATGAGGATTGGGAGCACATTGGCGCTGTCACAGGGAATGTCTCAGGCTGGGATCCGGAACTGATGCGGAGCTACTTTGTCAAGTTGGAGAGGAATCGATACATCCTCAACAGCGGAGTTGGCCACGGTTTCAATGGGTGGTTGGACATTTCCGTTACGCGTAAGCTAATAGGAACACACCTTTGAACTGAATGTTGATCTGAGCTGACACATACTCTCCAGCGCTGACGCTTGTGGCTCAAGATCTCAAGTTGGCCAGTCTTGCGATTGCTTGTGCCACGGCCATGGGAAAGGTGAGGACTCCGCATGCTGGTATCACGATGTATTAGGGGCGACGCTGACAGACGGGTTCGTTAGACTGCTGGCATCGTAGGAGAATTGCTCTCCACAGTGACTGGCCTTGCGCACGTTTTTGCCACAGATCTCAATGCTCCAGGTAAAACAAGAGACGAGGACACTGATGTCTGGCAAGTCCCCAACGCCGTGAATCCGGATCCAGGCACGCGAAGTGGTGAGTGAAAGAGCAAAGGCACCTTCAAGCCATTTCTAATGAGGTCTCGATAGGCGTGGTCGACTTCATCCACGAGACCGTGCAGCGCGGATACCCACTTACCGTGCAACTTAACACGGTCGCAACCAAGATTCTGTTCGACAACGACGGCTATGCGCCACGAGCGTACGGAGTCGCATACGAGTACGGCGAAAACCTGCACTACACCTCGCCATTGTCGACCGGGACACGCGGTACTCCTGGCTATGTGTTCGCTCGAAAAGAAGTCATCGTGGCATGTGGCGCATTCGAGACTCCGAGTAAGTCTGAGCTGTTATCGCAATATGCTTTGCCACTCTTGCTGACGATGCCAATTTCACAGAATTGCTCAAACTTAGTGGTATTGGACCTGCAGCAGAGTTGTCTCAATGGGGCATTCCAGTAGTTCGAGATCTGCCGGGCGTTGGTGTGAACATGCAAGACCGATATGAGGTCGGCTCTGTTGGACGTGCGACGACGCCATTTGCGGCCTTCAAACCTTGCACGTACACGTACAGTCTGCCAGATCCGTGCTTGGAGAAGTTCGAGTCGAATACTCTACAAGTAAGCGCTACATGCTGAGATGGGCCCGGAAGGCTGTGTTAGGTACTGACATGCTGTAGATTGACCGCGGTCCATACACGAGTAACGGATTGGTGAGTGAATCTAGAAAAAGAGTGGTTGACTTCCTCTCGACAATGCTGATGATCCCGATGTAGGCACTCGGAATCACCATGAGCACATCTGTGAACGACGGTCCTACGCCAGATCTCTTCATCGTGGCAGTGCCTGCGTACTTTGCCGGCTACTACCCAGGCTATGCTCGAGCTTCCGTCCTCGACGCCGAGCATTGGACATTTGTAGTATTGAAGATGAAGAGTCGAAACAACGCCGGCACGGTGACCTTGCGATCTCTCGACCCATTCGATCAACCCGAGATCAACTTCAACAACTTCGCCATTGGTGGTGACTTGGACGCACAAGCCGTTGCGGAAGGTATCCAGCGAGCAAGGGACATCTACAAGGCAGTCATTCCTCTCGATGGAAGCCTCGACGAAGTATTCCCTGGCCCACAATATCCTGCTGGGTACGGTTCCACTCTTCTCCCTCAAAAAAACGGCACCGTTTGACTGACGTATTTTTGTGTGCAGACCAGCTCTCAATCAACTCGTCAAAGACTACGCGTGGGGACACCACGTATGCTGTACCGCAAAGATTGGCAGCTACGACGACCCCTACGCAGTCATTGACGATGCCTTCCGCGTTATGGGCGTCGATGGCCTGCGAGTAGTGGATGCTTCGGCCTTCCCCAAGATTCCTGGCTACTATCCCACGATTCCACTCTACATGCTCAGTGAAAAGGCTGCGGATGTGGTTCTCGGCCAACCACCTCAGAACATCGGTTTGGATGAATTCAACAACTTCGACGCAGGTGGACTGCTTGGCACTCTGGGAGGATCCATCCTGGGCTCTGCAGCTGGTTTGGGAAATCCAGATGTCGGCCCGCAAGGAATTGTGGGAACTTTGGGCGGACTCTTGGGACCTTTGGCGGTAAGTGTTGCACGCTCGTCATGAGCGAGTGCGTGAAATGATAAAGCGAGTGAGCTGAGACTGACGATGGTTTTTTAGCCTGGTAACACTCCCGCAAAGCTCAAGCGTTGAATCGGTGAAGGAAGAGGTCACATAATATCACATAATCTCGTAGGGGATATCATAAGTGAGTAGTCAGCGCAGAGGCAGGCTTGAAAGGGCGGATACTTATTGTTTCTTTGCTGGTCCCCAGAGAGGCTAGCCGGTATATTTACACGTATACGCACAATTATACCCTTTTCCTAGCGAGCAATATATAAAATGGTGCACATGAGGTTGAACGGAGGAGGAGATTCCCTAGTCGCTCTGCCTCGTCGATCGCTTCTTCGAGCAGGGCGGCGCGCCGTTTGGTATATAGCTTTCGTTTGCCTACGAGCGAGGCGGCCTGAGGTATTTATCGGGAGGGCGGCGGGAGTTTGCGGGCTGCAATGGTAGCGGATGCTCGTCTCTTCTTCTTCTTCTTCTTCAGCGGCTCGTCGTCCTTCTGCGCTCCGCCGTCACCGCCGCCTGCAAACCTCCACCGATCCTATCCTGTCCGCCGCGGCGCCGCACGAAAGCTGGACATTGGTGGTGGTGGTGGTGGTGGACGAAGACGTCGTATCGGTGTCACATGCCTGGACAGATTTTCACAGCTTGTGACACGGTACGGTACCTCCTTCGGTGGAGATCATACTGCACGTGGAGTCATGGACCCTGCATTCGATCTTTGCCCCGCCATATTTTCGACCGAGATCGCTGACACTTGGAAATTCTTCTCGCGAAAGTCCATGATGGTGATGAATGCCTCCCCATATGTCCCCATTTGCTCCGATTTTGCCTCATCTGGCGCGATTAATGGTGCGATGGAAACGTACCTCACTCTGTAATAGACGTGCACGCCCTACGCCCACCCCGGCTATTCTCCCCGCTTTGTACGGAATCTCTCGCTTAAACACTAGGTAGGGAAGGAAAGACTCACTTCCAAGGAAAGACTCACAGTGTCGCGATATAGACTTTTCTAGTGCTGCCGCAACTCGCTTTCGCTGTCACTTTCCAGACCATTTGCCATTGAACAGTCATAGGTCACGCTTTGTACTACTGTACTAATAAAGAGACACCACATGGCCTCCACTAACGCCCTTCCTTCTTTTTCACCATTTCGCTCTCAAAAGACTTCCACCCCTCCCACCCCTTCCACCATCACCACCACCACCAGCAGTCGCTCATCCACACCCACAATGGCTATCAACGACACCCCCACCAACGGCAACACACACCCCATCACCGCCGCCTCCAAGACCAACACCACCAACATCACCTCTCAGTCCAATGCCGCCGACCCTCAGTCTTCCTTTGCCGTCAAGGTCGGCCTCGCCCAGATGCTCAAAGGCGGCGTCATCATGGATGTCGTCGACGCCGAACAAGCACGCATAGCCGAAGAGGCCGGCGCCGTAGCCGTCATGGCCCTCGAGCGTGTCCCCGCTGACATTCGAAAGGACGGCGGAGTCGCACGAATGTCCGACCCCGCGATGATCAAAGACATAATGAAAGCCGTCACCATTCCCGTCATGGCCAAGGCGAGAATAGGACACTTTGTCGAATGTCAGATCCTGCAGGCTATTGGAGTGGATTACATCGATGAGTCGGAGGTTCTCACACCGGCAGATCCTGTGAATCATGTGGATAAGAGTGTGTACACTGCGCCTTTTGTATGCGGGTGCAGGAATCTGGGAGAGGCACTGAGAAGGATTTCCGAGGGTGCGGCTATGATCCGTACCAAAGGTGAAGCGGGGACGGGAGATGTTATCGAGGCTGTGAGACACATGTCGACTGTCAATGCGGAGATTGCAAAGGCGAGCTCCATGTCGGATGCAGATCTGAGGATGATGGCGAGAGAGTTGGAATGTGACTATGCTCTGCTGAAGCAGACTGCTCAGCTCAAGAGGTTGCCTGTTGTCAATTTCGCTGCGGGAGGAATTGCCACGCCGGCTGATGCTGCACTCATGATGCAAATGGGCTGCGATGGTGTCTTCGTCGGGTCAGGAATCTTCAAGTCTGGTGATGCGGCAAAGAGGGCAAAGGCCATTGTTCAGGCCACGACACACTTCAACGATCCCAAGGTGCTCGCTGAGGTCAGCTCTGGTCTGGGAGAGGCCATGGTTGGTATCAACTGCGACAAGCTGCCGGAGCAACAGAAGCTGGCCAAGCGTGGATGGTAAACTTCTGACGATGGAGGAACAAAAAAAAACATGTTGCGATGGAGTTGTAAGCATAGCAATGGGCGCCCGTGGGATAGAATTTTGATGGAGCCAAAAGACAATGTACACATGGGAAAAGCAAGAGAGGTCATTTTGGTCCTCATTTCTTGTTTTGTAATCTTGTGATGCGGCTTTCCGCGCTCTCTAGAGTAGTATCTCAAACCAAAGCCTTCCAACGCTGTGTAAATCACTCGCCTGATGCCCAAGCCTATAATCACACCCATACCATGTCCATCAGTTCGAGACGATGAGCTGCTGATGATCCGGCTCTGCAAGCAAGCCTTGACAAGACAAGATACATGTACTTGTACCTAGTGATTGTCATGACGTATGCCTCAGCGGAAATAGATGATCAAATTCACAGATTGGCTAAGATGGAATCGGGATTGGGATTGGGATTGAGATGGGTATAGGCCCGAGAGTGTGAGAACAAAAAAAAGTGTTGTTGTTTGTTCAACAGCGCGGAGATTTCGGAGGGGGGCCGGTAAATGTTCATTTATTTATATGCAAATACCTAGGTCTAGGTAAGGTAGACAACATTCTCTTTTTGGTGTAAATGGCAGGAAGAAAACCATCGATTCCAAGGTTACTTGCTATATATCGCATTTGATATTGGGTTGGGTATTGAACAGTGATGACATGTGTGCGCGCAAGAAGATCCGGAAGAAGATCCGGAAGAAGAGGAAGAAGCGCAGCGCCTCTCTATAGTTTTTTTTCCTCAAAAAGAATAAGAATAAGAATAAATAAAAATAGATGGAGCTTTATTTATTGCTCAATCCATCGACAAACTCCAACACCCCATCATACCCTCTCTGCAAATCGACTAATTGCATCTTGAGATCGGCATTCTCATTTCGGAGCTTCTCCACTGTCGCCCACGCTACACCTTCGTTTCTCGAAAAGGCCGTCGATTGTTGCGAAAGCACACTGCCTCTCGACGGCACATATCTCGGGTCGATGCGATGCTCCAAACTCGATCCTATTCTCGGATGATGATGATGGTTCGATTGGGGGGTTTGCATTCCGCTGCTGAGGATAGAGTTGGTATCGGCGTCGGATTCGAAGCCGGAATCAGAGGCGCTGCCTCGGGAACTGCGCTTGTGTATTCGTGGAGGATCCAGATGATCGTCAGATTCGCAAGTTTCGTCCTCGCGAGGTACCAGTCGGACTGTCTGTGCGCGTTCTTCTTGTAGCTGAATCAGCTTCATCTTCTCCTCAGTGAACTTGACCATGAGCTCCTCATTGACGGTGCGCTGTTCCTGTGCGATTCGTGCCGTGTCCTCGAGCTGCATTTTCAAGTGTTCTGATCTCGTCTTGGCTTCCTCGACTTCCTCTTTCTGTGCATCAATTTCGGGTTGTATGCTTGCCAAGTAGTCAACCTTTTCCTTGTATGCAGCCTGCAATCGTTCGATGAGACTGGTCGCGTTGAGGAGCAAGTCGTTGAAGGTCTGCGGCGAGATGGGGTCATCGACACCATGTGGAAACAGCGCTGTCTTGATGTTGACGTTGAGCATGTCGTCCTCAACCTTGATCGTCGGAGTCGTTGATTTGCGTGTGAACCATGATGTCTTTCTCCCCGTGCTTGACGTAGCAGTATTCACGGTTGTGGTGGTTGGCTGCTGTCGCAACCGTGGTCGTACAGGCCGTTCCGTGAAGCCAGGTCGATACTCCATCACGAATTCCGTCTCTGGCAGCTCTTTGATTGGCGACGTGGGCACGCCCAACCGCACTCGGCCCGACTCTCCCGAGAACAGGTTATCAATGAACTTGTTCTTCGTCGGCGACGGCGATCGTTCGGGCACTGCGTTGTTGTATGCTGCAGCCCACGACTTCGCCCGAGAGTGTAGAACGCTGCCAGAACGCGACAAAGCTGCAGCTGCAGGCTGGGCGTTCGACAGAGTGGTCAGGAGTCGGGATCCGAGGCCTTCTCGTACAGGTGCAGACGGGCTCGTGCGAGTGTCGGTCAGTTGTGCGTCTTGGAAGCGATTGTGTTCCACGCGAAGGGCAGACGCCGAGTCGTCCAGTCCTCCGGCTCCGTGGTACTCAGTAGTAGAGATCTCGCAGCTCGAAGCGCGCTGCTCAAAGGGGTCGACTTGGTAACGTGCAGAATCCATGGCAGTGGGGCCGGGTGATGTAGTCCTGGGTGAACAGACGGCCGGGATGGCAGTCGAGGCAGCGGGTGTAGCCTGCTGAGGCTGTTGTATTATCCCGAAGATGGGCAAGGCAGTGAGCCAGGGAAGAGGCAGGCAGCGACGCAGTTAGTGTAAGCAGCGCGTCGGAGTCCCACTTCCCACCCTTGAAACAACTTGTTGTTGTTGTGGAGCTGCGGTTATTATTGATGGGACGATACGACCGCCAAGATCTGACTGAGCTGGTCGCTGACTCCTTCCGCTATGTTGCGGTGACGGCCGCGTGAAGCCGGACGGGCTGGTGGATGTTATTTGCAGCGTTCCTGAGTCCTCATGAACAAGCAGAGGAAGGGTGTGAGTGAGTAAGTGTTTGTTCTCCCCCTCTCGGACTCCGTCGTCGATCGCAACTTGAACTTCGTGAAGCAGGACAGGACGGGACAGGACAGCGCCACCAATCAAAGCGGGAGAAGACCGCAGGCGGTGGGCTCGGGCCGCCAGAGAGTTCGTGCCTGACAGGATCACAGGAACAGGAGTGCCAGTCCAGTGCCAGTGAGTGCCTCGTAGCGAGTGATGGGCGCCTCTCTGTGATGTAGTTTGCGATTAATATAATAATGTAGCGGATTAGCAGTGTGAGAAACAGCAGAAGAGAGCTGGAGCACAAAGGCGTTGTGTTCTACTACTACTGTACCTGAGAACTAGTCTTGACATTCCAGCCCTGCCACACGCGTTTCATGATGGAGGCTGGGCGCAGACAGCGTTGCCAGCCCGCCACCAGCCACCAACAACGCAGAGAGAGATTGTGTGTGTGTGTGTGTATCCGAAGACGGTGCACATCAGGGGCCGCAACCAGGACATACCATCCATGGTCTGCTGTGGAACCCTGTTTGCAGGCCTGCTGTGCCCGTATATGCGAACCGCTGCGATCAGCCATCATCATTGCGTACGTAAGGTACCTGTATCTCCCGACATGTGAGTGATGCACACAGGCTTTGTTGGAGCGGTACCGTTGTTGCAAAGAAAACATGGTTCTTCTTATCACGATGCTCTTCCACAGACGGCCCACCTCTCCCGAGTCCACTGTCGCCTGATCTTTGCCCACGAGGTCCCCCGAATGCAGTTGCAGCGATGGCTGAACGGAGCGGAGAAAGAGGTTGCGCGACCAAGAAGATCCAACCGACAGAAGCAAGGCACGATGGCTGTTCGCGAGCTCGATGCTGCGGTAATCCAGGCGCGAAGGCGGGCAGGAGGGCGCATGTGAGCGTAGGCATCATCTGGACATGTGTGATGTCGCGAGCGATGGAGGTTGGAGCGCGAAGCCGTTTGGTACAAGGCATCGCCGCATCATCATCCTCATCATCATCATCATCATCATCATGCTGGTGATCGCAACGGTATGCTGCATGTTCCCGTGCTTCTGCTGTCCAGGGAGCCGCTGGGAAGCATGGTAAGATAAAAGAGAGGTATCATCTCCTGGCATGAGATTCATTACTGGTCCTCCTACTGGTGTTGAAAATGGCTCAAAGTCGGTGTCAGACGTTCCAATCGCGGGGACCGAGACCTGTCTCACTACCTATACAGGTACAGGTACATATATATGGTGAATATCTGGAATCTGGACAGGCTATGTAGGAGGCACGAGGAGGCAGGTACTCCTGCAAAGCAGCTACAAGATTCGATCTTGCGAAACATCATTCGATACCTTCAGATAAGGGAGGTATCGATGTATTGCTGTCATGTGCTGGAATCTCGCTCTACTGTAGACCTGCCACCGCGACTTAGTCCAGACATGCTTACCACAACTCTCATGCCTCGCCGCACGAACAATAGCCAATCAGTGACGGGGTACATATATCTATCTGTTGATCACCTGGAGTAATAGTACCAAGTAGCATCTTACCAAGCGTCCACGAAGACCCTTTCTTCATTATACAGCCCCGCCACGATGTCTTACGACCACCGCCCAAGATATTCCCCAACTTGTCCATCCCAATCCTTTACCTTTCGCCGTTGAAAAAGGATTCAGATGGAGGGAGTACTGGGGTTTTCTCTCTTTGATGATGGAAAGTGGAGGGTAAGCAAACAGGAAAGAAAGAGTGGAAGGGAGGGTCACACCTTTTAGATGAAGGTAAGTTTGTCGTAGTGATATCGTAACTGAGGTATACACATGTTTCCTATTCATTTCGTGATTATACACGCCTGTTTCCTTGATACAAATAGTCCCATCGTGCTGGTGGCAGGTCCTGTCTGCAGCCATGGTATAGTAGGTAAGGTCAGGTAGTCAAGTCATCCTTGCCAGATATCATCCTAGGTAGGTAGGTAGGTACCTACCTAAGGTAATGAACCTAATATATTAGCCCATCCCTTTCTCGAGCAGCCACGAAAGACTCGCTTTCATAAAATTCCTTCATCGCTTTATGCGTGGTAGCAAACATGCCCTTCGCCCAAGGGACCGTGTCCGGGTCGATCCACAACTTTTCATGCACCACTTTGAGCTTCCCTTCGTCCTGTGGTCCGGGGAAGAAGCCATTATACTCTCTCGACATCGCCGTGACGGGAAATGCGCCGGAAGCCTTGAATACCTCGCTCAAGAAGCCTTGGTCGGCCATGGCCGTGTCCCATTTCTCTGTCTGAGGCATCTCGCGCATAAGATGGGCGTGCATGGCGGTGTGAGGCTGCAGGAGCATCACACCTGTATTTAATTCCAGAACTCCCGTTTCTGGACTTGGGAGAAGGTTTTGCTGTGCAGCCATAAACGTATACGTGCAATTGTCTTCTTCGCTCGTCTGGTACTCGGCTGGCAATAACTCTTTCTTGCAGGACGCCTGCGGCGTATCGAATACATCGTCGATATTGGAAACCGGAAACGCATCAGAATCGAGAAAGAAGATTCTCGAGAAGTCTGTTTGTTTCCACATGTTCAGCTTGGCGAACTGATACTTCCAGCGCGCGAATGTTCCTTGCACTGGATGCCAGGTGACCGGCTCGAGCTCGCGCACAATGGCACCTGCTGCGGCAAGAAGATTTCGTTGCTCCTCTGTGATATGCGGGGCCACAAAAGCGGTGAAAGGATATATCCCACCAGATTGAGGATCCCAAAGAGTACGGTAGATCAGCTGCTGAGCGGCTACAAAGTATGGCTCATTGAGCGAGCCTCCCGGTGTGGCGACATATGTTGCGTATGTAGGATGGCCCTGACCTTTGTAATTATGAGGCTTGTATCGACGTAGCTTCATAGTGTCCATTTTGGGCGGCGAGAGATCGAGGTTCTGTTGGAACGCCCATTCGGAAAAACCGCCTTGAAAATTGGCATCATCAGACCCTGAGCCTGTTGCGGCGGGAGGAGGTCCCGATCCCAATGTCGAGCTCAGGCTTGGTACAACGGCTGGAGGCTGAGGTGTGCTTCCTAGGCCTGGAGTTGCAGGCAGAGAAAGGCCGCTCGTCGCGTCTTCCAGAGTAGCAGGATTCTTGATACCTGGAGCATCAGCAAAAGGCGTGTTCCCCAGTCCCGGAAGTTCATTCTTGACTTGTCCACCACCTGGCAGCACTGGCACAGGATTTGCGGCGGGCGCATTCGCAACATCGTGTGCATCCAGTTCAGGTGTAACTGGTGGGGTGGCAATTCCTTCGGGCAGAGGTGCAAACCCCTTGAATTCTGGTGCCTTTGGCCTCCATGATGTCGGTGCCCTCGTCCCACCAGAAGAGGTATGCCAGAAGACGATCAAAAATATCACTGTCACCAGTGCAAATGCGAGATTCCTGACGCCAACAACCGCCATTGTGACAGGTACATAGGCAGCCTGTTGCAGAAGGACGACGACGACGATGATAATGATGATGAAAAGGACATGTCGTCGGATTGTCGTTGATACATTGGATCAAACAGAAGTTGAAAAGCCAGCCAGCAGCGCCAACCGAGGCCTGCCAATCAGTCTACTTTGAATAATTCCCTCTTCTTGGTTGTGGCGTCACTAGGGCCCGCTCTATCCCCACCTGCAATCATGAATATCATTTGCGGGCTCGGCCCACTGTTCTTGCTGTGCACATCACTCCCCTGCGGAAGTGCTCCTCCGCGATAAAGTTACATGACCAATGCAGCAATGGCTGCATGAACCTCTCCCATGATGGCACCCTACCGATGCTCATATCAATAATTTTCAGTACGCACAGAGAGAGTATTATGCTCGACGAATTCCATGCCCGTCTGACTGCGTTTCTGTCATGTCAGTCACTTCTCCCTTAAAGGCCATGAAGCACGTCGCCTCACAGCTTCCATCGCAACACTCTACGCGCCAACATCCGCAGCGGGTCCAGGAGGAGGCTTCATCTTCTTCGCATCAGGCGGCGCAGCTCCAGTAGGCGTCTCTTCCGCCTTCCGCTTATCACCTTCTCGAGCAGCACGTCTGGCATCGCGCTCGTGCCTTTCCTTTTCTTTCCTCAAAGCTTTACTCTCAAACTCATGCCAATCGCCTTCAAGGTTTGCAAGTTCAACCACTTGTGCTGGCTTCGGTTCTTCGATCGTGAAGTATGGATGTTCGAGTACGTCGGCAGCAGTAGGTCGGTTTGCAGGGTCGTACAGGAACATTGCCTGCAAAAGTTCAAAAGCTTCCGGTGATACTCGCTCTCGATACTTTTCTGCAAAGGTCGATTGCAATCGGTGCGTTGGACGCAGGAGCTCGTACCATTGTAATTCGTGTATGCCAGGCCATTCGCTGCGTGACGGCGTTCCAAGCACATTGTATATCTTGTCCAGTTGGTTGATCTCACTGCCGTCGCCAGGAAAGATTGCATGACGAGTAAAGATCTCTACCAGGACACAAGCGGCACTCCAAATGTCAACCGCAGGGCCATACTGAGTCTCACCGAGCAGCAATTCGGGGCTCCGATACCAGATCGTAATGACACGATTCGTATAGTCTTGCTTCTGCCGTTTTTGGTAGAATCGCGCCAGACCAAAGTCAGCTAGTTTGAGCTCGCCAGTCTTGGAAATGAGTATATTAGCGGCCTTGATGTCTCGATGCAGGACTCCTCTTCTGTGCAGGTAATCGAGACCCTCGAACAGCTGCTTTGCAAGATGCTTTTTGTGGGCAGGTGTAAGAGCAAAGGATGGATGATTTAACAAGCCCGTCAAGTCGTGAGAGAGATACTCAAAAACCATGAAGCAGTCGTTGCGTTCGACCATGACCTCCAGTAGGGGCACGACATTAAGATGGTTGAGCGACTGCAGAAGCTTGATCTCGCGTATGGCAGTGACAGGGAACTGAATGAGGTCAGTACGTTGTCCTAAGCAGGAAGAGGCAGGGGACTTACTCCGTCACGTTCACCCTCCATGCGGATCTTTTTGAGAGCCACCATGCCTCCCGTGTAGACATGTATAGCTTTGTATACCTTGCCGTATGTGCCGCTGCCCACAACTGACTCATTACCAGTCTTCCTGTAGTAGACGCTCTCGGACTGCTTGTATTCATCACTGAGTTCTGGCTTGACCTTCAGCCGCTTTTTACGGACTTTCTCTTTCCTAGTCGATGGTGCGTCGGATCTGCGAGCTCGTGCAAATTCTGAACCTCGGGCGTTCATGTCATGACCGGAGCTCTTCGTGGACGCAATGCCTTGGACCAGCGGAGATACAATAGCAGGCGCCTTCTTTGCGACTAGTGGAGAGGTCTCTGCTTTGGGCACCACTGGCACTTTCTCCTCTGCAGCCATACGGCTAGCGCGACCTTTGATCGAGAAGCTGATCTTGTTCTTCTCTCGCTCTGCTTCGTGTGTTTTTTGCTCAGCTGGCTTCTGCTGGGTGGAGGATCCTGTGGGAGTCGATGAATCGAGTCTGCGCTTCTTTGACGAAAGTTCATCCTCGGCGCGTAGGTCCGCTGGAGGTCTGAAAGGGTTGTCCTCTTCATCAGCGTCAGGTGCGAGAACGACAGACTTGGGCTCGGAAGAAGGCTTCGCGGGCTCCACAAGATGACCACCCTTCACACCGTCGTTAGGCGTCCACGATAAATTTGCGAAGTGAGCTCTGCCATTTCCTCGTACCGCTGTCGCCGCTGCAGAGCCACCTCGTGGCGACGGACGTGCAAAGCTATCGCGAGATGCCTTACTGTATTGCTTCCCGGGCTGTGGCTGATAAAAGCCGGCGCCAGAAGCTGGTGGGCCTTGCGAAACGCCATATGACTGCGGCACCTGGTGTGGCGAATTGGCGTTTGACTGATAGCCAGGTTTGTTATACGCTTGCTGCCCGTTCGGATAACCGCCATATCGTGCCCCATAGGCGCCACGACCGTACATCTCGTCGTCTTCTCTGCGATCGATACCCTCCGAGTGATAGCTGTCACGACTGTGCGAACGCTGTTTGGACTCTGCACCACTCAGGTCACTAGCAAGCCCTCTGCCACTACCAGTATCTTGCTTGGATCTATGTCCGCGGTGGCGACGTGGTGAGCGCGATGTACTGTGACCGAGATCCTGGCGATGGCTGCGACGCTCGTCCCGGTGCCTTCCACGTCGTCCGTCTGGAGTATCCGCTCGTTCGCTAGGGCCGGCGTCTTCGTGATAGGTCGATGCTACAGATGGCGATCGACGACGTCGGTAGCTTGACTCGTCCTTCACTGCACCAGGGCGCCTGTCCACGATCCTATCACCTTCTTTCAAAGATCTGGGCGAACGAGCCCTCCTATCATCCCAAGTGGATTCGGAATGGTGGAATCGTTCGGATGCGGATATGGTCTCAGCAGCTGCACCGCTGCGATAGTGGCGACTGCGGTGGTATGATCGGTCGGCGGAGGAGTCGTGGTTGTGCGACGCGGACAGGTGTGATCGTGAGGTTCGGTCGTCTTGGCGTGAAGCAGGACTCCTGCGTCTCCAGCTCTCGTCGGCGCCCTTGCGCGTGCCCTGAGAGCGTGATCGCCTTCGACTTCGACTCCTGCTCCGCTCGCGATAGCGATGGTGATGATGGCGTGCGGGTGATCGGTCGTAGCGTGACGATTCGGGCGGCGGTAGCGGGTGGGAGATGGTGAGGACCTCGTCTGGCACCGGCGATGGCAGCTTCACAAAAGACGAGATTTCCTCCCTCCGACGTGCAGCACCGGTCTTTGACTGTTTGCTATCTTTCTCTGGGACAGCCCCCAACGAAGTCCCTAAATCCATAGGTGTGGATCGATTGCAGGTGTCAGAGAAGCCCTAGGAATTTAGGATGCGGCAGACGACATCCAAAAGTTCGCCACGGCCCGACAAGGCAAAAGCCGGAGATAATAGCACGATGAATATGGACAGCTTGCTGCACCTTCCTGCCTCCCGTCGCGTCCGCTTCCTCAAGTCACCCGCGCAATGTTGAGTCTATGGAAGAGACCGTCGAGTGCAGGCGCCCGGCTTGATGCCCCTCTAGAATAAATCCAACGCTTGGCACTCGGCAAAGCGATAGAAGAGCATCTGTAAGCCAGCTTTGCCAGCCAGCTCAGCCCAGCCCAGCGCGCGCAACACAGGCTACAAGCAAAGAATACAATTTTCGGTGCACGCCGCTCTGTCACTGTCAGCACAACGATCGCAACACACTTTCCGGTACCGAGCGGAGTGCTGCGATTCTTGCGACATTCACAGCACCTTCGGACCACGTCTGTTGGGATGTGGCCGTAGGTAGGTAAGGTACTGTGGAGTACTCGGAGACCAGGTCGCTAGGTTGATGTCTGCGCGTTGCTGTGTTACTCAACCTGACCGCACTGCATGTCACGCCTCATGGCTCATGCGATCGCAGACCAGATTGCTTCTTGCCGTCGTCTCAAGAACTAGGCCAGCTGGTGTGCGCGTGTGTCAATAGGTAGGTAGGTAGGTAGCGATCATCAGCCGTGCCACCTTGTCACGAGACCCTTGACCTGTGCATGTACATGTGCCAGATGCCAGGTAGGTAGGTAGTCTCCTGGAGCGCTACTGTACGCTCAACTGCTGTTGTGGTTTTAAGTCCATCTCTGCTTGTGCCGTAGCCCACCGAGCACGCCGCTTCGGGGCGGATAGCCCATTCTGAAGAGAAGCATAGGGCACTCCGCAGGTGACCATCAAATTCCTCCGCCCTCACTTGCGCGCGGAGAGCAGTTCATCACGTGGAAAGCATACTATCTAATGTCATGATTGGGGAGATGGAACATCTCCGAGAGCCCACTTTGGCGGCAGTCGCTGGGGACTTGACAGAGTGGTACCGTAGCGATGCTTGCGTCCCAGATCAAAGCATCCGTATTCGGGACAAGGGTCCACGGATGGTGGAATGGTCGAGGAACGTCCGTTCGAAGACGTGCGAGCTGTGCGCGAGGAAGTCGCGTAGGTACGGTAAGGTACAATTCTGTCTGCTTTGGAGGGAGATGCCTGACCCACGAGGGCTGTGGAAAGAACGGCGGCCGAAAGGGCTCAGTGACTGCTCCGGCGCTCGGGCAGTCGCCGAACAAAGACCAAAAAACGAACAATGCGATGTTAGCGGCACGAAATCTGATGATGCCGGGATAGAAAGTGCGTCGTGTTGATGGAAGCAGGTGTGGTCGTGGGGTACAGGTAGCCAGAATGAATGAGGTCGAGTTTTGCGACGAGACTTGTTTCTGTTCGGCTTCCATCGGCGGCCGATGACCGCATGGATGTCACATATAACTCTAAGTTTTCTCTTTCTTACACTAACTGACCTTCCCGTAGGTATTCTCTCTCTTCTTCCAGTCATGCAGCACCACGGGCGTTCGGTACTGATTTGTGGGATAGCTCAATCGTACTATGGATAAACTGTTCTACCACATCCAGGCTTCATTCTCCAATCACTTTCTATAACACGATCGTGCGCCGCATTCCAGCACCCCCCTCGAAATTGCGCACCTTGACGCAAAAGGACATTCGGAAATGTCAGACTCGGAGCGCGAAAACGTGCTAGCAGCAATTCAGGGCAGTGGCCTGGGCCCACGCAGACAACCTATATCAATGGCGGAGCTAGAACAGCCTCTCCAGTCTGCTGGCGCACAAGGTCGATCCGCACGACAATACGAGGAGGTGAGCGATGCTCAGTTACAAGGTCTCGAGTCTCGCGTGCAGACAATAGACGTGGCTGCCCTGACACCGCCAGCAACGAGTCGTTCGCAATCGCCTACGACTGCATCCGGTCCGACGATTGACTTTGACGGCCTGTCATTTCCGAGTGTGGGTGCACTTGGCCGTCTGCAAGATCGCGAGGATCCAGAACAAGCAAAAGCGAGGCTTCAAAAGCTGTCGGGCGCAGTGCGCACAATACTAGAATGCATCGGCGAGGACCCAGACCGCGAAGGCTTACACGGCACGCCGGAGCGTTATGCAAAGGCCATGATGTTTTTCACGAAAGGCTACGAAGAGAACTTGAGGGACATTGTCAATGGCGCTATCTTTCATGAGAATCACGATGAGCTGGTGATCGTGAAAGACATTGAGATCTACTCGTTGTGCGAGCATCATTTAGTGCCCTTTACTGGAAAGGTAGGCTCCCCTTCGCGGGTAGTGTTGGAAACATGCTGACCAGCCATTCAGGTCCACATCGGATACATACCTTCGAATCGGGTCATCGGTCTATCGAAATTGGCCCGCATCGCCGAGATGTTCAGTCGCCGGCTGCAGGTCCAGGAGCGCTTAACAAAGCAGATTGCCATAGCATTGCGAGACGTCCTCAGTCCTCAAGGCGTGGGGGTGGTCATGGAATGTACGCACATGTGCATGTGCTCGCGAGGCGTTCAAAAGTCTGGGGCATTGACAATCACCAGCTGCATGCTTGGAGCCATGAGAAAGCGCGCCAAGACGAGGGAAGAATTCCTCAGCCTGATCAAAGGGTAGACAGGCCCGCACCGATATTGTTTTCTGGCTGGGAGACGGGGGGAGGTAGTTTGATTGCTCTGTCGCGGGTTTGAACACGCAGGGTTTTTGATGGGCATTATGGCATGGCAACGGCGTTCGACGAGAGATGGGCATGGCCAGGTCTCACTCTAGTGGAGAGGTTGCTTCAACAGGCCTTCCAGTGATACCAGCGCTCAACGCAGCGTAAGTTTTGTGTTTTTGATATCTAGAAAGACCAATATGGGAGAGTTTCGCGACAGCGTTCACGACTGCTTTGGCTGCCTCGGAGCCTTCCACTACTGACGTGCCTGCCTAATTCAGGTGAGCAGCTCGCGTCCTATCTTGCGCTTCACCTTGCCTACAAAGCACCTGTATAGGTACCTGTATCTGTTGCACGCCTTGGTCCGCTTCTCGATTCACTCCAGCTCGAACTTTCTTCTCCTTCCTACCTACTCCTGAGCTTCGCACCACTACACCCTCAACAGACTGCCCCTGACCATCTCACACCACGAGCTTCGCCACGTTCCTACAGACGACGTCGATTTCGCGCCATCTCAGCCCTTTCGCCCCGGTGGTACGCCTGGCATCGCACTGCAGATCACGCGTGGCTTCACGGTCGCCTTCACTTCAGTCTCACAAGCTTCTGTGTCACGGAAATCGCGGTAGTTCTTGCGTCAAGCTCCGTCGCCAGCAAACAACCGACTCCAGCTCGGCCGAACGTTTGCGATTCACCAGCTGTTGCTGCGCCAACTTCAACCACCCTGACAACGACACTTTGACTCTCATTCAACACACCCAGAACAGCCGCGATTCAGAATGGGAATTGGCCACACGTACTGGCTTGCTGCGCTCTTCGTCTTTACAAACTTGTGCTGTGAGTACTCCTGGGTCAGCGAATGGCCAATGTCGCGCTGTGGAATCTTCTAGCGCGGCCGCTGCCGTCTTATTGTCCTTATTGACGTCCTCCTGCCACGAGCTCGACTATGAATTGCGTCTAATCAAGGACTATAGGCTTCTCTCACTACCAGGACTTCGATGGTGCATTTCACCGACCAGGCAACACTGCAACAAAAGCAAAACGCAAGGCTCAAGCAAAGGCAGACGACCTCGCCAGAGACCTCCAGCGCGGAAGAGACAATGCGAGACGCAACCGCCACACCGAACAACGACATGAACGACGAGGTTATTCACGATCACCATCGCCCTCACCCACAGCCCCACCTCGTAGACGCCGCGATGAGTACAAGCAGTCTCGGCCCTCCAGGTCCACTCACGGCTACGCCACCAGTCACCGAAGCAGACGTGCCAGCAGCAGAGACGGCGACCATGCCTCACGCCGATCGCACAGCCCAACTACACCGCCCCTTGAGTCTTACTGGGTCCCCGAGTCATACATCATCAAGCCCACCATGTCGAGCGACGGCAGAGACTATGCCGATGACTCACACGGAAAGTCCAGCAGAGTCATACCCACCCCATATTCCGACTGGGTCCCGGACTCATACACCATCAATCGCAGCAACCGGGGCAGCTCCTACTGAGCGAGGCGCTCTTGCCGGCCCAGGGCTACCTAGGTCGAACACTCTGTCATCGAGTGAGCTGAAGGGGCCCCCAGAGCCAGCTGGAGTCCTACAGCAGAAACGATCGGGGTCTGATGTGGAGGGAGGCCACAACGAAGACGGACCTCACAGGGAAGTGATGGCTCAGACTCGCTCGAGGAAGAAACTCAAAGTCGAAATGATGTATGACTGCCATGGCATGCCACAATTGCGGCATGCTTCGACGGCCGCAGCAGCTATGAAATCCACCGACAAGGAAACTACTTCTGAGATCCCCTCTGGGCCGACTGTGGTCGCCTATCAGGCTCAGCAGGACAATGAGGCAGCATTGACTGATCGAGCTGGCAATTCTCTGCCGGGCACCCCAATATCTGCTATGCAGCTGTCATACCAGCCGGCTAGGAAGACATTCAGCCTTCTGGGTGCGTTCGTCGAAGACAGCTCGCTGATCATTGAGTTGGTCAGCTACCTAACCATACCGGCGTTACTATCTTGGTACGCGATTGACAGGAAATTTCACTGGTATTACAACAAGAACTGTACTGCCTTCATGCTCGCCAGTGTGAGAACCTGGGCTCCTGGAGCGGAAAGCATCTACCCCTGGCGCTTTTATCAGCACCTTTGTCTCAAGGACCCTACCAAGCGGCAGAAGGAGAAGTCTGACCATCTTGGTCCAGAAATCTTCAAGCTGAACTTGTTCTCTCGGGATTGTCCAAGCATGCGCTGGCTACAGATGGTGGTTTGGCGCGAAGGTGTGGTGACGGATATGGTGATTCAGCTCATGATCAAGGGCCTCCGCGTGCCGCCAGGTACCATTGATGCAGTCAAGGTAAGGCAAGCCGATATGGAAATAGACAGATTCTTGGCTAACTAACCATGACTGTAGCGCATGTGGTTCTTCATGGATCTCCCGATCAACTCTTTTCGCCTCAGTTGCATCCGCAGTAGGATTATCGCCCCTGACAAAACCCTCGAGCTCGCTACCGCCTTTTTCCTCAAAGTCGATATGCTCTTCACTAATCCCACTCGTAAGCCCTACCCTGTCAACCACCCCAATCAGGCTCAGTATCCCAACCGCTGGGCAAACGGGATGGCTGTCGGTTGCTCCTTGCGTGAGATACTACTTGCCGAAGATACTCTCACGCCGCTCTGGCGCGTAATGCGAGGCTGGACACCAGATGGTACGGGCAAAGGCAGGCTCATCGCGCCTGTCGACATCTTGAAGCTGTGGATGAGACACAGATATCGATTCGATGAGAACACACCACAGTACGTCGATCCGACGGTGCCGATCTTGGGCATGCGAATGGAGGAGTTTGAACAGGTGGGAATGGAAAGGTTGGCGAGGGTCGAGAATGGGCTTCCGGTGAGACGACAACGCATTTTGAGACCAGATCTGCTAGTGATGGGCGAAGCGATACGACGACGAATCGACCTGTCACGCAAGTGGTACGACATGATGGTCTATGGGTTCTTGGATCCTTTCGAGTTGAGAGTACCAGTTCCCAAGGAAGACGAGATCCTGCAGAGTCGTCGGTCTTACTGGACCAAAAAGGAGAAGAAGATGATCGCAGAAAATGAGGCTAAAGAGAGAAAGCTGTTGGAGCGTAGTCGCTGCCGCATTGGCGATGGCTGCTGAGACAAGTGAAGGAGTCCAGGCGCTGATAAGACCGCTAGCAAGGACGAACATGCGGCTACGGAAGAAGAAGCTGCTGTGGCGAAGCTGAAGATAACATAGGCTTGCATTGCTCTGACCAAGGTACCAAAAGCTCCTCCATCTCACATTGAGAAATAGAAATTTTTTGACCATACATGTACTTTCAACGCGGTGCTCTCTAGCCTACACAAAACCCGTGACTAAGAAGTTCGGGCTAGCTCACCAGCCAATCGCCCCGAGCGCGCTCCTGCATGCGAATAGTTCTGCCAGCTCTGGCTCCGGTAGGGTTACCTTCTGCTACAGCAAATTTACCATTCACAAGCACCGCTCGAATGCCTTTAGCAGCTTGTCTCGGTTCAGCATACGTTGCCACGTCCCGTATAGTTTCATGATCGAATAGTACCAAATCCGCTCGGAACCCTTGCTTGACGAGCCCGCGATCCGCCATACCAATCACTCCAGCCGGCCGAGACGTCAAATGAGCAATCGCTTCCTCGAGACCCCCCTGGAAAATTGTCTCAGCCTCCGCGGTATCGTACACTTCACTGCTCGTGGCATGATAGATATTCCTCGATTTCCCCTGCGGGAGATCTCGTGCATAATGGCCGAGATATCGGGCAAACGTGCCCCAGCCACGAGGGTGTGGTTTGGTGGAAGTGAGAATACCATCGGAACCCCCCGTGTGGCGAGGGTGACGCATGATTTCACGGACGTTGCCTTCGTGGCCGCAGTGGGAGAGGATGGTGCTGTTGAAGTTGTCTTGTTTTAAGATTTCAATGTATTTGTCGAAAGGGTCTTGGGATTGTTCTGCTGCGATTTGGGCAATCGTTTTGCCCACGTAGGCGGGGATTAAATCGGGATTTTGTACGCCGCCGATTTCGAGAAGGTCCCAATCTAATGTCTGGAAGAGTTGATGGGGCAGAAGATTAATTAGCACACACGGTTCTCTTCGTTTTCTTGCGTGTCTGCTTTCCCAAGCTGACTGTACTTACGCAACCGTGACAGCCGTCTGTGCCTTCGAATAATGCGAGATGTTTGATCTCGGCCAGCTTCTCGGGGTCATTGAGGACAGCAATCTTGTCATCTGCAGATGCTACCCAAGTGGGAAGAGTGGACGCCAGAGTGGTTGAACCTGGTAAGTATGGGTAGGTGTCGAGAGTGATATCCACCCCTTCGGCAATAGCGTGATCAATCATGGCAATGAGCTCGTGTGCCCTGCCGGCATTCTCTTCATAGTTCATCGTGGCATGTGTCAGATGCAGTCGTACACCAGTCTGTCTCGCTAGCTCAATCATCTCGGCATATGCTTTCAAAGCTCCTTTGCCATACGATCGAGTATGAGGGCAGTAGTATCCGCCAAACTGCTTCACGATCTTGCAGAGCTGAGCCAACTCGGCGTCGGGAGCGAACGAGCCAGGTACATAAGTGAGGCCGGAGCTCATACCCACCGCACCTTCTGCCATGGACTTGGCCAGGATTTCTTGCATCTGCTTAATCTCCTCCGGGGTCGCTGGGCTGGAGCTCCATCCCTTGACTAAGATACGCAGATTGCCTTGTGGGACCAGATAGGCTGCGTTGGTTGCAATTTGCTCGCGATCCAGCACGTCGAGGTACTCGCCTACAGTACGCCATCGATCAAAGAAGTCTGGAGGATCGGTAGGGTTTCCGTTCCACCCAGCAATCTGTTCTCGGATGCGTTGCATGCCGGCATCGTCGACGGGACTGTAGGAGATGCCATCTTGCCCAATTACCTCGGTGGTCACGCCTTGAGTCACTTTTGCCTCGTGAGATGGAGTATGCAGGAGAGACAGATCAGAATGGGCGTGCATGTCAATGAAGCCCGGACAAAGACTCCATTTGCCTTGTTCGCAGTCAATGATCTCCGTGCCAGTTTGCTTCGCCTGCTTGAGCTCGTCGGATGATACGGACGAATGCCCTTTTCGTACATCAGTGATGTAGCCGTCTTTTACGAGAACGCTCGCGATATATCTTGGAGCGATTCCCGAACCATCGAAGATAGTGGCATTGAGAAACAGGACATCGTCCTGGTGGGAGATCGTAGTCGAAACGGACATTGTCAGGACGTGTATGACACCGCGGTGTACATATTCATGACCCCACCAAAGGCGGGCGACGACTTATACGTGGGCATGGCCAGTTTGCCAGAACGGGGCATGGGTAGGGCTTCGGCCAACGTTGGCCTACGTTTACCTTATGCATGATGAAACATTTGGCCTAAGGCCTCCGTGATTAGTGACGGAACAACAGACAGTTCAGGTGAGGACGGGGCAAAGAAAATCATCCAACATGGTTCCCATTGCATTAGTACTTAAGCAGGCGATGTGTCTCCCGCGATGAGCAGCCGTTTCTTCTTGATCCATCACACACACTGAAACAAACATAAGCAGAGCATTGCAGCAAAGCTTTTGTTAATACACCCGATCATGAAGCGAAGTAACCCCAACCAAACAAACACAGCAACAGCAACAGAAATAGACAACAAACAGGGCAAATGCAGCATTTCCAAGACTGTCGAATACGAGTCTGTGGGGGAAACCCATTCCACTGCAAACACTTCCAACCGAGAAGTCGGAGTGAGCAATGTACTGCCATATTCCAAGTCTCCCGTTGCGCCCCATGTCCCATAGAAAATGCCAATTTTTTTTGCATTGAACAAAACACCAGTCGCGTCAAATCAGATCAACAGCCGTTCAGTATTACCCAGTAAGCATTCCGCGTCCTCCATCTTTCCAGTAATGCAAAGTACATGAAAGAGTTAATGCAGTAAGGAGGTCGTCACACAGTCGTGGGCACTTCTCCACGTCGTGGTGGTGGGCAGCGAGCTCCTTGATATCTTTCTTCTCTACTTTTTGTCTTCATTCTCATTTCGATCGTCCGATCATAAGTGGTTTGTCGTCATCGTTTGTCAAAGCGGTCGTCGACAGACGGTAAGTGCTGTCGACTCGCTGAGGATGCTAGTCATGCTTTCGTTAAGTCATGCTTTCGTTGTCAGCGTGGTTAAGGGTAGGTACTCGCGTTCATCACTGAGCATATGGGGTAAGGACAGTGATCACGTCGAACCAAGATGGTCAGTCTAGTGCTCAACAGTGATTTCGGCGGCACTGCTCTGCTGTGAGAGTTCGTCACTGTTGCGCTGCATGTGTCCGTTCTGTCTGCGCGAGAAGCCAGCTCCACGCTCTGGTAGCGGGCCGCGTGGCTGTCGCTCGGGACCACCTTGTAGAGCGCTGCGAGTCTGCGAGCGGTCGTCAAAGTTGCTGAATGAGCGGTTGCTTCCAATAGGGCCTGGGTTGCCACTTTCCCAAGATGGGAATCCGCGGAGGCCTCGTGGACTTCCTGCAAATCCTGATCCTATAGTCATGTTGCCAAGACCATTGATGAGGCCGGAGGCGTCGCCGCGCTCGGCAAGACCAGACGTGGGTGTCATCAGGGTTGGCGTGCCAGACTGGCCAGTCTCTCGACCGAAATCTTGCTGGAGGCGCTGCACATTATTGCTGAGGGCAGCAGGAAAGCTAGCAGTGGACGGCACTGGAGATGGCGTGTACGAGCGAAGATCTGCGAAAGACTTCGCCGAGCGGAGATTGCCCCCCGGGTTTAACCCATTCGGGGTGTCATGATAGCCCAGGTAACCAGATGCCTGGTGACGGAGGTTGTTGGGGGCGTAGTAGCCCTCGTTTGCGCGGACATCACTGAAGTCAGTGGTAGCAGCTCTGTTGAGCTGTCGGCGTTGGTCGGTCTGGAGGTTTGCGAGAGCTGGAATTGGTGGGCTCAGGCGTTGACGACCTTCCTTGAAGACGTGGACAGCGCGTTGGTTGGCATCGCCCTTCGACGCGTGACCCAGGCCCATGTGATGTGCCAAGGTATGAACGATACGGCGCTCGGGAGGTGAGAGAGTGGGAGCAAAGACCAGGAGATCTTTGCTTGCATCCTCCTTGAACAGCATGAGCTTGGTGTAGTAGTTCAGCTGCGTAGCATCGTTCAGGTTCACCTCTGGTCCTCCTGTGGCCGAGTCGGTGTAGCTCAACTCAGAAAAGGCAGGACCGATCTTCTGGCGTGCTGACACTGGTGAAGGAGAGCTAGCATTGATCATTCGAGACGACAAAGAAGATGCCGAAGCTTGCGTCTGCAGCGTGGCGCCGGCCATTGGTCGATGCTGTTCCTCCAGTTGCCCTCTGCGTTCTCGTTTTTCGCGTTCTATGCGTTCACGTTCAGCAGCTGGCAACATCTTCTTGTATTCGACTCGCAACTTCCGCCCATTAAGCTCAAAGTGGTTCATCGCCTCAATCACTGTCGCAGTCTCGTCAGGATTCGTGAAGTTCGCAAAAGCAAGACCTCTGAACACGCCGTTGTCAAAGTGGTAGTTAAACGCATAAGGCAAGGGCAGGCCCATCTCGGTCATAATGCCAACCAGCTGCTCTTTCTTGACAGCGAATGGAATGTTTTTGATCACGATGGCAGTGGGAATCAGCTCTTCATCGGGCTCCGAGTGGATGTCGTGTCGTCCCATTTGCCCTCCATAGCCTCCTACACCGTACTGGTTCATGGGCATGTGCTGCTGCTGTTGATCCATCCAGGCCTATTCGATGATGTGTTAGTGGTTGACCAGCTCGAGGTTCTTTTTTTTTTCTTGATTGCGCAACATACAGAAGGCAGACCAGAGCGACCACCCCGCGATGGAGGCTTGCGCAGATTCGGACCACCGAGTCCATTCAGCGTATTATTCTGTCCAAACGCACCGGCGTTCCACGACTGTCCGCCCATGTTGTCGTAGCCGCCATTTCCGTAACCGCCTACAGTTGCGTTGCGCATGTCGTTTGCGTTGAATCGTGGATTGCCGTTGAAACTCTGAGCGTGGTCTTCGGCCGTGTAGAGACCAGACGGGAGGTGGCCGTAGGCTGGCTCAAACTGTTGGCGTGAGTTCTGGCGGTGCAGCGAGCTCTGCCGCACCGACGTGGGCGAGCGGCCGGCGGGATGGTCGTAGTACATGTCCGCGTACTGCTGATGCTGCATGGCGGTGGCTGCGAGGGTGTGACGCTGGCGGTGCGATACAAAGAGTATTTCTCTACTGCAGTTCCGGCCCGCCCAGCTTCGCGTCTCTCGAGGCTACAGGTTCAGGCTGCTGCAGCGCGGCAGAGGAGGGAATGTTGCAGAGTGCAGCGGGTGCGGATGGTAGGGGAGGTGGGTTGGAATAACAGCTGCAGACCAGACGAGACCGACTCCGTGTCTCCGTGTCTCTCTCCCGTGATGTGTGATGTGATGCGCTGCTCCACACACCAGCAGCAGTTCTTCCTACGGCAGAACTGACGTGCGAGAGTCAGTTGGGGCGGCGGGCAGAGCCTTTGTGAGGCAGCAATTAGCGGAGAAAACAAAGAATGACAGTGACACGCTGGGACGTGATGGGGGGGAATATTGGGAGGGTGACAGGGCGGTCGGTGGTGTTGACACGGCGCAGAAAAAAGAACGCAGCCCAGTTTCGTGAATGTCGACGACACGCTGCTTTCGCTCGCACGGACCCGCTTGCTCTGGCTCTCCTTAGTCGGTCGTCTCCTTTCACTTTCAAGGCACCAACAGGGATCTTATTCGCACCCGCCAAACCGCACTGGAGGACGATAAATTTGCTGGTGATCATTAACTGCCCTATGGTGCTCCCCAGGCAAATAACATCCCTTTTGCTCGCGCCTCCCGCTGCACACCACGCCTGCTGGGTGGTCTGCCCGCCCTCGTATCAGGGAGACGGCGGTTCTCTGGGCATGACGACCGGAAACCGGGCAGGACGGGGTCGATGAGGTGTGCAATATCTCCTATCTACTAGAGCGCACACCGGCCTCCTACCTACACTCCATGACCGACTAGCTGCCTTAACGCACCCCGTCTCGGCTGACGTCCCACCTGCCGTGCGAGGAATTGGGACGCTAACATGTGCCTGTGTGATGCACATGCCAGGATAGCTAATTGACTAAAAACACGCTGGTGCATGGTTGTGGGAACTGGGAAGCCCGTTTTCCTGCTGCGCTGGATGGACGTGTAATAATGGTAATCATGACCTGTGTCTTTCGACAGCGACCAGACCGACGTGACCGCTCGCCGCCACCGCACCCCCTTCCCCCCCTCCCCCTCCCCTCCCCCTTTCCCCTCCCCTCCTCATCCCCCGCATGCATCGGCGCCGTGTCTCGCCGCCGCCCAGAAAGCGGTCCTGGGAGCATCTCTGGCCATCCGATCCTCGTGATGATGTTCATCTGCTGATCTCGAGGCCTTGCGGCCCGCTCCAAACTTAATTTCGCTGGCAGCTCCTACCCTGTTTCGGGTGTGTTCAGCTCCCTGCTGCTGCTCCGCTCTCAGCATCGTCAGAGCAGTAAGTACATAATGTAGTTCCTCATACATACATGTACCTACTCCGTAGTCATACGAGACGAGAATGTTGGCGGTGGCTCCGATGCAATGGAACGGCTGCTGCTGCTGCTCCTGTGAGAATATACATCACATGTATGCTGCGTGTGTTTGCTGCATGCACCTGGCTCTGCATGCACGGTGGCTCGTATATTAATGAGGGCCTGATTTGACTACCTTAACCTATGAGAGATAGGTAATGAGAGAGCACAGAAGCCGTCGCCATGGTTCCAACCAAGGGCCCAAAGCACCCCCCCAAGCAGGGCCAGCACGTTGCACCGCATCCACGACAAGCTGCAACCAACCTTGAACGCCGATTACAGTGTGCTACACAAAGGCTCGGATTGCCCGACCATCGCTGTTCTGTTATGGGGACAAGGTGCAGCTTCGGTCGGTTCCCAAGCTCGAGCGCAAGTCGACAGAAATGGTCGCTATTGCTTTCCATGCTCGGTGATTCGCTCCCAACACAGCTTATGTGACCAAACTGACAGGTACCCAATGCCGTATCCCTGGCTTGATCGCGCAGCTCTTTCACGTCACCTGATGTGCTGAGCTGGGCCAATGTAGTCGGTTATTCGACTCGTTCCCTCGTCGCCAGATGCACTTCATGCAGTTGGTCCTGCTCGATGATGATGGTGATTATGCCAAGGCAATACGATGATGTGACCGGGTGAGCTTGGGTCTCTTGAGTCCCTGGGAAGGGGGGTCAATATTTTTTTTGATATTAAGTATTAAGCAATGCAATCTCGTTTCCTTTTTAGTTCCAGGATCGATGCAATACCGACAACCACGAGCTCCACACGGGCGACTGCATGGTTCCTGAAACTAACTTGAAACCGACGTGAAGCAGAGAACCGATCTTGAAGCGTGCCAGAAGATTATTCCACCGAAAGAGCCATGGCCCGTCACTGATCACCCGTCCCCCCCGTTGTCACTCATCACGCGGTCCGAATGGAAGTACCTGATTGTGGGGCAATCTATGAGAACCCAGGCACTCACGTGCCGTACCTTACACTTCGGTTGTTTTTAATAGGGAGCGGAGGAAATCCGGAACATAGTGCCTCCGGAGTCACGGAGACGGTGCCTCTATGGACTATGAGAATGTACATGTACATCACAGGTAAGGTACCTAGGAGGTAGAGCACCTACCGTACAGCAGGTCCAAGAAAGGAAAGAAACTACTAGGCACAAGTACCTAGGTACTTATTACATATTGCAGACAGAATAGACAGAAAACATGGAAGCTATAGAATTCAAGCTATTTGCAATATACCCTATATTACTCGATAGAGTAGAGCACAAGACTCCAACCAACCGAAACAGGCAGCGGTCTAGGTCGTAGGCAAGGCAAGAAAGAAGAAGACTCGTATCTACTGGAACTCCTCCTCGATATTCTTTTTGAATTCTGTTCTAGCTAAGCCCTAAAGCGATACGTCTCCTAGATAAGACTCTTCTGTTGTAGCTATACCGCGATACCCGAAGTTCCGCGAAGAAGTAAGCTACCTATACGTGATAGTAAATATTTTCTCTTCTATATCCGCCTCATCAATCAATCATAAGGTAGGCGGGACATTTGGTACCTATATAAAGGAGAGAGAGGGAGAGAGAGAGAGAGAGAGAGAGAGAGAATCCTATGTAAGGTAGGTAGCTATCTATCGTACACTTGCATTTCCATACTTCTGCAACCTGCTGCTGCTAATGCTGCTGCTACTACTCCTCTGGTGAAGAGAGAAGTACAATCTCGAGAAAGCCGAGAGATCTGCTGTCTGCATCGTAGGTAGCTAAGGAGGTGAGGTAACTTCATCCTTTGACTGATACGCTGCATCGGGGGTTACGGAGAGGAAACGTAAGCTGAGAGTCTGCAGCAGTATTGGGTAGATTTCTGTTTGTTCTCTCGTTATTTCAATGCAAGGACTTGAGGGATGGAATGGCCCTGCTTTGCCGCTCTGAGCCTTTGGCCGTGGTTTTGCAAACCGGGCGCGAGAGTGGTCGTGTCGATCGCGGTGCCACAACACTTCAGAGGGTACATATAGAAATGCCATAGAGTGTTGATTCGGACGGGACAGCGTGAGAGGGCACTCACTACCTAGCGCTGACCACTTCTTAGTTGTGTAAGGTACCTGGCATAGCTCCCAGGCCACTTTGCTTTGCGGATGCTGCAGCTGCTTGCTTTGAACTTTGGGCGTTGTTCAAAGACTAGACAGCCTCAAAGTGGACACTGAGAAAGGAAGAAGGTGACAGGACTACAGTCCCAGGTCCGAACCTAACTGAGATCAAGGCTCCGTCGCCACTCTGCTGCTGCTGAAGAAGAAGAAACTTTCCGAAACTCCACATCTTCACCAAAGTACCCGGCTTGATGCCATGCCTTCATGGTGGGCCCGTCGTATGGGCCATGGGAGTCTCCGCCATCACGCGCGTCGCTCCACCGGTATTCCCACGTATCTGAGGAGGGTGACCCACCATCGTGGCTGTTGGTAGCGCCAGTTTCAGAATCTGCGGGCGAACGCTTCCAATCTTCACCAGTTTCCCTTCGATATTGTCGCATCAGGAGCTCACGCTCTTCCTGGTATATATCGTGCTGGCCACGTGAGTACAGTGCATCGGCTGCAGCAGTGATAGCGTCCACTGCCTTCTTTCGAGCTTCCTCCTTGGGATCTGTTTGGCTGTTTCCGTTAGCAGCTGGCTCGTCAAGTTCCATGCCGTCGCTCTTCTTCTGCATCTTCTTTTGCTTCCACTTGGGAACTTTCTTCTCTGTAGTTTTGCCCTTGTTCAGTCGTGCTAATGCTTCCAGCGGTGTCTCGCCCGTATCAAGCTGACTTATGAGCTTGGAGAGCACATCGCTTGTCAGAATAGCATCATCCTCCATAGCTCTCTTACGGCGCTCATCCGCACGCTTCTCCTCTGCTTCCCTCGCCCTCTTCATATCCTTCTTGCTTAACCCTTCTAACCAATTATCGTTCACGGCGTCTGGGTCTTGTGCTTTTCGCACAAAGTTCCCCGACTCGTCGAACCTCCCTTCTTCTTCCTCGTTCTTCAGATTATATGCGTCTAAGCGAGGAGCATGCTTCTTCTTGCTGCCAGCACCAAGCTCAGCTGCATCTTCATCGTCCATCTCGTCCGGCAACTGATCGCGCTCTTCCTCATCACCAGAAGAATCCGAATCCTCATCGGCGATTCTATTCTTCCCTTTCCCACCCAGCAATATATCCGCAGAAACCTTCCCACCCGCCTCGCTATTCATGACCTGCCCTTCAATTTCATCTTGCTCGAGAAATCTCACATCTTTACCCTTTTTCTTTCCCTCCCTCGACAGGTCCTCATCCTCATCCCCGTCCGCTTGCATATCCTCCTCGAGATCTGCAAACATATCGTCATCTTCTTCATCCTTGCTCTTGGCCTCACTGTCCTTCTTCCGCGCCTTCTCTCGAGCTCGCGTATCGAAATTGTCGTTGTCGGAATCTGACTCATAGCCATCTATGTTGACCGCGTTCCGTTTGGTATTCGTGCCTGATTTCCCAATCACATCGGCGTCGAGTATGAGGTCCTCTTCGGGCGCATCTGCTGCTAATGTGCTAGGGTTGCGGTAATCGAAGCGTGGTTTCTTGGAGTTGCCTGCCTGGCTGCGCGCATATTCTTCTGCTTCGCGCTTGGGCCGAGAAGCGCTTGACATGGTGAAGGTCAAATGCTAAGCACTAGAAGTTGTCTTAGGGTGTGGTTATGAAATCATCAATGTTGAAGGAAACATGGAGCTGTCATAAATTACATGGGTCAGGTACGTGTAGGTACAGAGCTAGGTACCTTACCGGGCAGGTACTGTTACATCATAAAACTTTAATGTATCCTACACATATAATCATGCATAAAACGTGCTTCATAAGTCGTATCTTTTTTTCAGCACTTCCTTGTGCATCCTCTGCTGAGCCTGTGACCTCTTCTGTTCTCTGGCCATGCTATACCGTATACTTCGCACTAAATCACAATTCCTCCACGACTATCGGCCGTGACCCATGTACTCCTCACCTCAGGCTTCAGGATAGCAGCGCGTCAATTGGGCTTTCTCCTGCTGTTGGGGCAATGCTTAGCCCACCTATCTCTCTCTTTCTGAGCCAGGCTGCACATAACGCCATCTCTGACATGATCCATAAGTGATGGAATTTCGGGTAAATCCTGCTTAACATTCACACTCCTGTCTCTTCAGACTAGCCACCACCGCCACTTAATCTCGATCCTGAAGGCTCGCTCAAGTCGTCCATGTTCAATGCCGTGATGAAGTCTAGTTCCTCGCTCTGCTCTGGTTTACCACTATCGTGTCGATCTTCCATATGCAGCGCCGCCTCCAGATCGAGGCATTCACTATTCCGAGGTTTTCCGTAATCGCGAATGGCAGAATCCCTTGGTCGATTTTGTTGTTGCTCAAGCTTCTTTCTCCGTGCTTGTTCGACGTCCGAGAAGTCCCCTCGAATGCCATCGCTCAGAACGCTACCCATGCGTTCCATCTTAACCGTACTTAGTCGATCCAACGCAGTCTTGAAGTCGTCCAGGATGATCATGTCTGTGAGACATCGAAATACATAAGCCAGTTTCCAGAATGGGTTGATGCCATCGGGAAGGCCAGATGAAGGCAAAGCATGGGTCACAGCAAGGACATCGACGATGAGGAAACATATGCTGACCAACATGGAAGCGAGCAGCACCCCAAAGCGTGGTGACACGCGAATGAGTTCCAAGAAGCCGAACTCATATCGTGATTTGATGTTGTAAAAAAGACTGCATGCCGTGAAGATCCACCATGGATCTCGAAATAAAGCCTCGTAAGGCCGAGTCTTGGTAAACAACCTGCTTGTGTCGCTGAAATAGAGGAAGTTGGCGACGATTTCGAGGATCCAGTAGGGCTGAACGAGGACAACGGTGCCGATATAGAGCCAACTGCCTCTCTTGCTGAGAAAGGGCTTGTTCTTCATCCAGGCTATCACATTATGCAGAGACCAGCTGCAGTTGAGGAAGATGGCCGTGACGGAGAGATACCAGTTGTAGACTGGTGGATCTAGCATATGTCAGAGCGAGTTCAAGCAGTCTGGTGTGGATGACTGGACTTGCTGGTGAAGATGAAGGTTCCGTGGCTAGCAGAGGGTAAGCACGTGTCTCACCAGCAGCACTTCATGAGGCAATACATCTCTGCTTACAATGTACCAAGGATTAATTCCACCACAATGAGCTTGTGCAGCAGGATTCGAGGCCTCATGTTGGAAAAGGCGACACATGCCATAATGATCAATGAGCCACACATGTAGCCTTCTGCCCATGCTTCAATGGTGAGCCCAGCTGGATCCTGAGGCTTCTGCACATTCAGAGTCATGGCTGAGCCTGATGCTGCATCCATGCCCGACACTGTGTTGGATGTCGTCGCTTCGATTGAATAATGCGCGCATGGAGTGTGATGCAGCTTGGAGGAAGGCCCATGTCCCACACTGTGATCACTTCATTGGCTGCGGGCAGTATTGGAGGAAGGGTCCCTCAGAAGATGGCTAGCAATATTGAGTGCGGTAATTGGGAGTGGCGTTGTCGTTGCACGAGGAGGAGAAAAGCGGAGTGAAGGGAGAGGGAGAGGGAGAGGGGAGAGAGATGGGTGTATATATACAAGAGAGCCCCGGAGAGAATGTGTGAGTGTGTGTTTGGTTGTGGGTGTAGGTGTGGGTGTATGTGGGTGTATGTGAGAGAGTGACAGAGAAGAGAATCTGCGTCTGCGATCCTTCCACTCTCCGCCTGCACTACCACACTGCGCACTGCTCTGGACCACGATTCGTTCTGCAGAGCCACGCGCCCTTCGTTCTTGCCCGCTCAGCCCAGCCCAGCGTACCACCTAGCCTTCACGGGGACTCCACCCCACCGGTTCGCTGTGGAGACGGGCCGATGTTGCTCTTCTTTTTGTTTCGTACTGTACTGTACCGTACATGGAGTGACTGTACCGTGCTTGTGCCTCCCACGAGACGCCAAAGGCCGGACGAGAGACGTCACAACATTGCTTAGTCCTATTTCAGCTGCTTCATGTACCTTAGGTACCTTACCTGAGTCTTCGAAGACATTGCCATCAATTCACTGCTGCTTCATCAGCCGAGCTAAGGTACCTCTTGTCCTCTTCAAGTCTAGGTGCAGAGCTATAGCCTTCACTCCACCAGGGCTCTCGGCGCAAAGTGGCAGCTCGCTAAGATACGCTACGGAAGAACTGGAGGACCGAAGCCTTCTCTGCTCGCCTGTCTTGGATCTGGGGACTTGATTCATGTATATGGAGGTACTTGCTGTATTGCTGCGCAGTATGATGATCGCGTTGATGATGGGCACCAATTCAAGAATACCCTACTGTACTGTACAAATGAAGTCAGTGAGATGGACAACGACATGCTAGAATGCGCACCAAGACCAAGGATTCCGACCTCCCCCTCGCTCCCCCCGCCTTCGGTTGTTCCGAGACAGCGGTTCCACAGTACGGAAGGTACGGTAATGCCTGTCGGTCGGCCTGCTTCGGAAAGAACATCATCATCCTCATTACCATCATCATCATCATCATCATCACTCGGAATTTAGCGTCTGGCTCCTCCGCATAAAACACTAGGAGGGCCCTTTTATACAGTATTGATATTGTGGTGAGTGCGCGAGGAATCATCTGTATAGTGCTAGAGAGCTCCTGGGCGGACGAGCTTCATATGGTAGCTAAGGAGGGACACATAATGTGCCGCTGCTAACTATCAGACCGCCCCCGAGTGATGGTTCATCGATCCCAGTGATCGAAATTTCGAAGAATGACTCCCTCGTCGGTGCGTGCTACAAGTCGTCCGATCTTGTGCACCGACTCGCCTGCATTGGTCAACGTATCTATCGCAGCAGCCACGTTTGCCTCCTTCACAACAATGACCATACCCAGTCCAGTATTCCACGTGCGTGCGAATTCCCTGCTGCTGACATTGCCAGCTTTCTTGAGCCATTGTAGCACGTCTGGCACTGGCCACGCACTTGCGTCAACCTCTGCGGCAAGGTGCTTGGGTAGCATTCGTGGTATATTGTCCTCGAGACCACCGCCTGTAATGTGTGCCATACCCAATAGTAGGTCTTTCTGGACGGCTGCCAGCAGGGGCTTCACGTAGATTCTGGTGGGCTTCAGAAGGCTAGCGCCGACGGTGATATTCTGTGCCCAAGGTGCTTGATCATGGAAACCAAGTCCCTTCTTTTCCAGGATTTTTCGCACCAAGGAATAGCCGTTGGAGTGGACGCCATTGCTGGATAATCCAATGAGAATATTGCCTTCGCTCATGCCCTCGAAGTCCGGCAGGATCTTCTGACCCTGTCGGATGATTCCAGTAGCAGCTCCGCCAGCATCGAAATCCTTGCCTGAGTACATGCCGGGCATTTCAGCGGTCTCGCCACCAACGAGGGCACAGCCAGATTGCTTGCAGCCTTCTGCTACGCCCTTGATGAAATTCGCTGCGTCTTCGGGTATGAGTTTCGAGCAAGCGTAGTAGTCCAGGAATGTGATGGGCTCCGCTCCTTGCACCACGAGATCATTGACGTTCATGGCCACGAGATCAATTCCCACTTCTTGGAACTGCTCCATTTCGAAGGCAATCTTCAATTTCGTTCCAACCCCGTCAATGGCCTGCACAATAATCGGCGCATTCTCGCCAAAGCCTCCTGCTTGCAGATCAAAAACTCCACCAAAGCCACCAATCACAGCATCAGTGCCTGGTCGACTTGTAGACTTCACGGCTGGCTTGATCAGTTGGACAAAGTCGTTACCAGCATCGATGGATACGCCGGCATCTGCGTATGTCATGCCAGTATTCTGACCATCTAAGCTAGTAGACTCCTGTTTTACCGTGAGACCATCAAATGATGGTTCGAGGAGCTTCCACGTGCACGTGATGTTCTCTTTCTTGAATTGCTCGAGCAAATGCTGTGCAATATGATCGAAGTTCTCGGTGGCCAAGGCCAGGATAGTGGGTCCGGCTCCAGATAGACAAATTCCAAGCAGGCCAGGATGTGAAGCTGGTGTGACAGAGTGGAGGATTTCGGTCAAACCAGGAATGAGACCTTGGCGATAAGGCTGGTGCAGTCGGTCCTGCATACCATCGTAGATCAGCTCTGCATCAGGGGGACTTTGGCCAAGCGCTGTGGTCAGTAAGGCCACTCGTTGCAGGTTGAAGATGGCATCCTCTTTCGAATATGTGCTCGGCACTGCCTGGCGAGCCTTTGCAGTTGCAACCTCGAAGTCCGGTATAACAGCAATGCACTTGATCTCTTTGGCCCAAGGGAATTGGATGTGCTTGGCAATGTTGTACGGAGGCACTGGCGGCTTGAGACCTGTGTTCTCGCCACCTTGAGGCATCGGCAGGACTTCCGACATTGGGACTTCTGCTCGCTTCACATCCGCCGGATCCAGCTTCTTCGTGTAGCTGCCAACAAAGCCTCCGTACATGGACGCAGCAACATTGTCGGGATGCTTCTCAATCATCAGACAAAAGTCAAGCAGGCGATCTTTATCAAGACCAAGATTGCCGACAACATTGCCCAAAGCTACTCCAGCGACAATCGCGGCTCCGGAAGAACCAAGACCTCGTCCGAACGGAATAGCATTATTGATATGGACGTGAGTGGGGACCGGGAATGATCGTTGATCGTGACATCGCAGTACGTAGAGTGCAATGCGTGTGATGAAGTGACGGCTTGCGTCGAGGTCGACTTGCTCTGCACCAAGGCCTTCTTGCGTAATTCTGCAGTTTTGAGGTGCTTCCTTCGATTGTTCGTCGTTGATCTTGACTCGAAGCTCGAGATATTCTGAAAGCGCAAGCCCAATCACGTCGTATCCAGGACCTTTTCGCAGAGTCAGACAGACGAACTGCACTCAGTCCTCTGCAACATACCGATATTGGCAGACGAGCACGGAACCCCTAGGATGATCAGCGTGGAGTCGATGGAGTGCTGCTGGAGGAATGCCTACTAATGACTGTGGTCGCCATCTTGGCAAAAAATTTGGGTTGAGGACAGAGGAATGCGCAACACGGGTCGCGTTCTGCAACTCAAGCTCGTCTGTCTATCAGATTGACATGAGGATACGCCAAAGGTAGGATGAGTGTCGTTGGGTTAGTCCCACCACAGGGCAGACTCACTTTGACAAGAAAAAGATGAGTGCCCGCCAAAACTGCGCTAGCCGTCCCCAACCTTAAATTCTCTTCTAGAAGCCTTCTCCACATGGCGCACAACCCCCACCCCACGTTGTCTCTTGCGTACACCTGTATGTACTCAAGTACATACAGGTAGGTATTGCATGTATACACAAAGTAGAGGCCGCAGGACAATATGAACAGGGGACATTCCGAATCACAACAGCTTCCACTGCATATTCTACCGATAATCTATGCCTTCCAGAGAGCTTCTGCATTTTTGATCAGAGGAGGACGTGCCAAGCCTATACCATGTAGCGATTCTGCTTCATGAGCCATCTTTACCGTGCGCATAAGCATGCATACTGGATCGTTGACTTCACTCCCTGCATTTTCTTTCCAGAATCATGGACGTATGCGAGGATGCAGGATGCAGTACAAAGAGCGCACTCGTTATAGTCTATTCCAGGCCGTTGCAGAGTTATCTCCTACCAGGCCATCATAATTTCGTGCATCATGCCTACCAGTGCGGCTTCTCATCTTCATCGTCTTCCTCGCGCACTCGTCTCGTGAGCCACGCAGCGACCAGCGCCATGACACCCCCAAACCTCAACACCCATGCCACGCTATCATCCCCCACAGCATTTCTCGGCTTCTGCAGTGCCTTGAAAATCACACTGCTTACCAATGTGGCAATCACCTGCGGCGCAGCGACAGCGACATTGTGTATACCGAGAACCACACCAGCCTGATCGGCAGCATCGTCCTCGCCGCTTGCTAGCAGCTCGCCTTCTCGAGTGTTGGGAGCCGGGATTCGGCCGCGTCGTATGTTCTCGCGCTTAGACACTTCGGAGGCAATGAGAGCAAATGGTGCCCACGATGTCATTGCCCACGGAATGCCGACAAGTCCTGCAAGGATGGTGGCGCTAGTTGTATTCTTGGCGAAGAAAGTCAGCCAAGTCAAAAAGGCGAAGAAGGCATGCGAGATCATCCACGCTCGTCGCATTGTTAGCCACTTGATCTCTACATTCGGTATGCGCCTCTCAATCTTCGATTTCCAACCTTGGCCAACCCCGGATTTGATCGTCGAAACATCGTCGTGGAAGGCAGCGCCGGCGTCGGGAGTGGTGGGCCGAATCGCTGTAGGAGGTCGAGAATCAAAGTAACTGTCGTTGTCCGCTGGATGCCTTAGAGGTGTGCAGGCCATTGTAGGCGAATTTATCAGAGGCGTCCGTTGCTGTGGTTCGCGGGCCTTGTAGGGATTTGCGATAAACCATGGAAGAACCACACTTGCCACGAAGGAGACGAGGGAGAACATCAGGAGAGCAAACGTGCCTAGTCGTGTACCATGCTCCCATGCCTGGTCAATCTCGCTGTCTGTCATACCCGGATGCTCGCGTAAGACTGATTCGACGTATATTTCACCAACGTAGGTGGTGGCGTAGAAGAGGAACGGGAACCACCCTATCCACGCAGCCAGCTGTACCACACACACGGCCTTGATCTGAGGCGGCAGTCGACGCACGGATCGCAAAAGTTCCTTGAAGAAGGCGAGAACGCCACTGTCTTGTTTTGCCGGTTCACCTGCAAGGCGCGGATCTTGCTCGGACACGAAGAAGCAGGAGACCGTGAGCGTCGATGCCAACGCAATCGAGGCGATCACGCAAAGCACCTTGAACTGGGTGTCGCCAAAGAACCACAAGTATTTTGGCAGGTTCGCGTATCCAAACAGATACCCCACGATGTTGCCTACTCCATGTAACCGACTTGCCCATGCATTTGCAGAATCTTGCTGATGAGTTGGCGCATTGTCGACAACGAACGCTCTGAGCCCGGCCTGGATTACATTGATGCTGAAATCGAGGACGTAAATCATGAGCACTGCAAGCCCTATGGCTGCCGTCTTGGCGGTCTGGCTATCTCTCGTCACGCCAAAGATCGATAACGATGCCCCAACAATTTCGAGCGTCCAGGCCAGTGTGAAAAGCGAGACGATGGTAGCGATTGCTCCTCCGACCATGAATGGGCGACGTTTACCGAATCGGGAGCGACATCTGTCTGACTTGATGCCAACGTATGGCTGTACTAGAGTGCCGGAAAGCGGTCCAGCAATCCAGACGAAAGCAAGCAAGCTCTTCGTGATACCTAAGCCGAGTAGATACGGTGATCCATTCGAGAGTTCCACTGCCCATGCCATCTGCAGACTGTTGGCCATCGTCAGTGCTGACCTCGTAGCACAGTGTGCTAACCCAACTCACCCTGCGAATGCGACTGTCAATGCGAGCAGATACCAGCTATTCTTGCTCTCCTGCCGTGTTCCCTCTTCCGCATCCCACGATTCGGCACTGTCGCGATCGGGACTAAATATGCCAGGTATATATGGTAACTTTCCATCGTCCTGACTCGTGCGTGGTGGCAGCAAGGGTGATTGCTCGGAAATCGCATCATCGTCCTTGGAATCTGCAGTATGGTATCTCACCTTGCCGCCATTGTCCAGACGCAACTGCGAAGGGGACGTTCGGCCTGCTTCATCTCGTGTCATGGAAGTTGGCGAGTCTCGTCGGAACTGCACGTGTTTGGCGTCTGATGGTATGCTGGGCGATAACGTGTTGATGTGCGACCCTCGCCGAGGAGGATCGGAACCCGAGGGCGAGGGCGGATGCTCCATGGTCTATATGTCGGTGACTCGATGCGATGGGCGTCGTATGGTACTAGATCAGTATCCTAGGATGGGTTAGGGAGGTAGGAATGCGCTGCGGACGACAAAGACCAACGGGCAGGCGCCGCTGTTCATGGTGTTTTTGGGAGTGAGGTGGTGCAATAAGTGGTCAGGTCAGGCCGGCCCTGGAGGTCAGGAACGGTCATGAAGGCCCAGGTCATGACAACTTGAACCTGGAAGAGCAGCCTCGCACACTGGGCAGAAGAAGCCGTCACGCGGCCTTTGACGTGGCCCGCTGCCGTCAGCTTTTGCTGCTCCGGGTACCAGGTAGTAGGTACGGGACCTACGGTCACCTACCTACCTACAGGTACATTACCTCCTACGGTAGTTCGAGAGGTGCCCACTGCCCACGTCTGTCGGGCGCAGTCGGCAGAAGCAAGTCTAAACGCAGCCTCGTGCCCGTCCTCGCTGACTACTTGTATGCACACCTACGTACCTACGTAAGGTACCTGTACAGTACAATACCTCGTCTGACCCGTGTCGTCTAGGACTCTAGGCCGAGAAATGCACGCTGCAAGGAACCGTGCGTCAAGTGCAGATGGCCGCCGATCTCGTGGGGCCCGGGGAATGCATATCTGTTGCTATTTAGGACGTATTTTCCTGTCGTAAGGCTACGTATTCTAGACCTCTCTCGGGCGCCGTGGAGGGGCGCGCCCGAGGAAGCGAAGGCGGGTGGGTTCCTAGCGGCGCGATCACATGCATCCATTGGTGACGGGAGGCTCCAGCTGACAGCAGTACCTTACTAACTTACCTGACCTAACTGAGCTCTCTACACACACACAACTACACGATTTCTCACAGTCAGGCAATCCACCGTTGCCATCAACAACACCACATTGCGCTTCGGTGTCTTCCCCGAGATTCCACGATTCGATCGGGACCACTGCGCAGCCATCCTGGCCGCGCCTCTGACACCTTTCCTCCCAAGGGGCCCGCCGCACGAGTATGCGATAGCACTTCCCCATCGCCAGCATGGGCTTCTCCCATTATGTCGCAAGGAGCGCTGTGCAGTTAGCTGCACGACAGACCTCCGACTCGGACGACGATGATGATGCGGAGGCAGGACAGAAGGAGATATACTCGTCATGGGCCCTCTTGATCCTGATCTTCCTTCTGATCTTGGCCTTCTTCACCAGTTACGTCCTACGGAGCAAAAAGATACAGGCAGTGCATGAGACTGTCATATCAATCTTCGCTGGAATGGTGGTGGGGCTGGTGTTGCGGTTGACAAGCGTCAACAGTGTGCTGGACGTGGTCACCTTCGACTACCAGTTCTTTTTCAACCTCCTGCTTCCGCCCATCATCTTGGCTAGCGGTTACGAGCTGCACCAGGGCAACTTTTTCAGAAACATCGGTAGTATCTTGACCTTTGCATTCGCCGGCACATTCATATCTGCAATCGTGCTGGCATGCATTCTGTGGCTATGGACGAGGATACCACTGGAAGGCTTGGATATCTCCTTCGTGGAAGCAATGTCTGTCGGCGCTACTCTATCGGCCACTGATCCCGTCACGATCCTGGCCATCTTCAACACATACAAAGTAGATCCGAAGCTTTACACGGTCATATTCGGCGAGAGTATCTTGAACGACGCTATCGCAATCGTGCTGTTTGAGACGGCACAAAAGTACAAAGCTGGAGCAGAAGGGGGAATGCTCACCATCTTGAGTCTGTTCGAGAGTATCGGGGTCTTCTTGCTGGTCTTCTTTGGGAGTCTGGCTATGGGTGTGGTGATCGGTCTCGCGACCAGCTTGTTGCTGAAGCTCACTCACATCAGACGAGACCCCAAGATCGAGAGCTGTGTGATCTTTCTCATCGCATACGCTTCGTATTTCTTTGCCAATGCTATCCACATGAGTGGTACGTAAGAAAATGAGGTTCGTGATGCCTGGATGTACTGACAATGTCTAGGAATTGTGGCACTGCTGTTCTGCGGCATCTGCCTCAAGCATTACGCCTATCACAACATGTCCCGTCGAACCCAACTTACCACCAAATTCACATTCGGTCTCATGTCGCAGCTCACCGAAAATTTCATCTTCATCTACCTCGGACTGTCGCTCTTCACCGAACGCGCCCTCGAATATAAGCCGCTCTTCATCCTCATCACGCTGATAGGAATATGTGTCGCAAGATGGTGTGCAGTATTCCCACTGTGCGCCCTCATAAATTGGTTTATTCGATATCGGGCACGAAGGAGAGGGCAAGTAGAAGCTGCAGAAGAAATACCCAACAACTGGAGAATCATGCTCTTTTGGGCAGGGCTACGAGGAGCAGTAGGCGTCGCGCTGGCTGCAGGTCTGACCGGCCAGAATGGATATGCACTCCGAGCGACAGTGCTCGTGACAGTTGTATTGACAGTCATCATCTTCGGCGGCACAACAGCTCGGATGCTTGAAATCTTGAACATTCGAACTGGTGTTGTAGAAGAGATTGACAGCGATGACGAGTTCGATATTGAGCCAGTACCACAGGGTGGCGGTTATGCGAGAAAGAATGGAAATGCATTTGGACACACGCCCAAGTCGAGCATTGTTGGCTACGGAAATGGCGGCATCGGTCTTGGAAATGTTCATCATAGAAGCAGGGGCGACACGTCGAGTTATAGTAATGGCTCGCACGGTACTCCCCCTGATCTCGAACGACGCAACAGCTCACGCGTGAGGAGAAATGAACAGAACCAGGCCGAGCAAGGATTGCTCTTTCAAGAGGATGAAAGCACACAGTTCAGCGACGACGATGATTTGGATCTGCCTCCTGAAGCTCGGAGGTCGACGCCGCATGCTGGGAGGAGCACGAATGATGATGGCTCATATCCAGTTTCTGGCTCGAGACCACGCGGAGCAACTAACCCGGAACGACTGACTGCGCGAGGGGCACTGAATAGTATCTTGAGTGCTACGACGGAAGACGCTGGAACGCTGTTTAACCGGCTCGATGAGAATTTCATTAAGCCGCATCTATTGCTCGATCCCAAGACGAGTAAACACGGAGGAGGAGGAGGAGGAGGAGGTGCTTAGAATTCGCTGTTGCTGAGTCGTAGATCAACGAATGTCATGCTTATGCCTTGCACAGCAGTCTCCTTGGGATGGCTGCTAAGCTACATGTAGCTTCCAAAGATCAATGGAGCTCCAATCCTGCTCCTTGATATGCTTCTTCTCGTTCTCATCAATTTGGAGGCATTGAATACAGTTCATTGTGGAGGACTCGTGAATTGACCTCCGCAGTGCCCATTGCCTGTAGTGGGGTCGGAATCTCTGTTGTAGGTGCATGTAGTTCATGGTAAAGAGGCTTCGCGTTTCCCATCTCCCGGGTCAGGCTCAGCCGTTTGCATCCAACCAGATGAAAGTATAGCGTGTGAATGTACAAACAATAAGGTAGGTAATAATGAAGCACAGGTACATGGACATGGACATACCTGCAGGCTGCAGTATCTGCTGCATGCCTACATCACTGCGTCGCCTTGGCAATGATGTTCACCTGGTCGCCGCTGCCGCTGCCGCATTTGGCCCGATCAGCAACAACCCAACTCAACCCCGCCAAAGCATCAAAACAATATTCAACCTCAAACGGCACCCTTCCTCACCACCTCCATACCGCACCTTACCTCCCTTAGACCATTCTAGGCAGTCAACCCGTGCTGCTGCCTGAAAGGATCCCAGATCCACGTAAGCTACTCGCTCTCGGCGCAAGGCATCCGCCTTTGAACACGACCAGTACAAAAGTTCGCTGACCCTCAACTCAGCGTGCGACCCCTTGAACCTATATTCTACCGCTTCACCTGCAACTTCAGTCATGGTATGTGCGCTCCCTTACACCGCCTCCTTCTGACCTGGATACTAATTTGGCGAATAGGCATCCTCCGGGTAAGATACGAGCGCCAGCGCCAGCGCCTCCAGCTCCACCCCTTCACTTTCGACGACGCAGACTAATCATCACGCGCCGACAGTGTTTCTGTTGCACCCGAGTGCATCCAGGCCTTCAACGAGCTGAAGTTGGGCAAGAGCACAAAGTGGATCATCTTCAAGATCTCCGACGACTGGAAGGAGATCGTGGTTGAGGAGACCAGCACCGATCCAGACTACAGCAAGTTCCGCGAGAAGCTGGTCAATGCACAGAGCAAGAGCAAGCGCGGCGAGAGCGCGCCGCTGGGCGTTGGTGGCCGATATGCTGTCTTCGACGTGGAGTACGACGCAGCAGAAGGCGAGGGCAAGCGCAGCAAGATCACCTTCATCTCATGGGTGCCAGATGATGCGCCACAATACGTAAGTTGGTGTGATCAGTGGAGTTCTATTGCCCCGTGAGCTGACAACAGAATCACAGCCACGCATGATGTACTCTTCCTCCAAGGATGCACTCAAGCGCGCACTGAACGGTCTTGCTGCGGACATCCAAGCCAATGATGCAGACGACATCGAGCACGACAGCGTTGTATCAAGAGTCTCCAAGGGGCGCTAAGGAATTTTAGAGTCTGACCAAGAACTGGAAGCACGGCGATGAAGAAGGAGAATTTGAGCAGGCACTGGGGCATGATGAGCGTTCTCGGACTAGCAAGTTGTCGCATCTCGATGATGCTTGGGACCCTTCACAGTTTTTCAGGCCGATGCAACGAGTTCCTCAGGGCTACAGCGTAGATGAGCACCACGAAGATCGAGTAGTTCGAAGCCTGACTAAAAGCAACTTTCCGAGTGGTGACTGTATTCTGTCATACCGCGTTGAGCACTGCCAGATGGCACACTTACTGGGAATAGACTTTCCACACACTTGTGCACTGAATTAACGAGGCCAACTAGGAAGATATATACGTAGCTCGCAACTGGCACGAGAGGTGTTCAAGCTGCGTCGAGAGAAGCACTTAAACACATTTCGTACTACGATACGACATTCACTGTCGATCCACAACACCTGCGACATGTACTCCAGCCGCCTCCGCTTCGAGCATGCTGTTCACCAGCTATCTTTCGGCCAGCCGCTCAAACTACGACACCTCAATAGGCGACGAGATGGCAGCTCTCAACACAGCTAGTACCTACCAGATCGACGAGTCCCACTTTAGAAACTCCCGCATGCCAGACTTTATACAAGAATGTAGGGGGCTCGGTGGCCGCGATCAGCATGCGACATACTATGCCGTGGACACTTCGAATCCTTGGCCGCTGCTGGCTTCACGCCAGGTTCCCGCGCAGCCACAGTCATGTTGGCAAAAAATTATGAAGCCGAGAATTCGAGGAAAAGATGAGATTTCACAGAGCAGGAAGCTTTGCAAAAAGTCAAGTGGTATCACGTACAGCAAGAAAGCACCAGCGCTCGAACCAGGATGCGGAACGTTCAGAGATGATCCAAGACGTACGCAGGTGACTTGTTCAGGGCAAACCGCAGCTGCACGTGATGCTCTTCGAATATTGATCAGTACTCCTGACTACGACTATGAGTGCCATGCCAGCAAATGCTTCTCATGGTTACCCTTTCAGCAGAAGGAGAGAAACAAACAGAGCGCTCAGACGGGGTCTCAATGTCAGCTAGAACATGAGGACATACCCTCTTTTCGACCCTCTTCTCCGCTAAGCCCTCTGAAACCCAAGTCTACTCCCGACCGACAGCCAAATACTTCCAGAGAGGCCGACAAATCTACACACCTCGCATGCACTACTCCCAACAACGTCTGGTATCAAGGAACCCAAGCAGAAGACAGCGACGACGACGACGACGACGACGACGACGACGACGACGACGACGACGACGACGACAACAACGACAACGATAACGATGAAATTAGCACCCATCCCACTAACCTCCCTTTCTGGAACATCAACAACAACATCTCCTCTCGTCATCGTGGTGGTCGTAACGCCTTCGACAAACAACGTCCAACAGAAGAAACCCACTCGCTTCTCAACTATTCTCCACACAACTCAAGTGATGGATCTCCCCTTCCAATTCCCATTCCCATTCCCACGTCCGAGCAAAAGCAGAAAAAGAAGAAGAAGAAGAAAACTACTTCAAAATGGAAACCTCGCAGCGGAGGTCGAAAATCTTGCATGCAAATTCATGCGGAAAAGAAATTCCCGTTGAGTCCTGTTGAGGAAGAAGAAGAAGAAGAAGAAGAAGAAGAAGGGGTTGAAAGCTTAGGGTCGGGGTTGAAATTGGGTTTGGAAGGATGGGTCGGTGGATGGGATGGTACCTGTCATAGTCATAGTAGTAGTAGTTGTGGTGTTGATAGTGGTAGTGGTAGTGGTAGTAGAGCCAGCACGCCTGAAATCATGATTGCGACGGAGCAAAGTGTGCAGAGTATCGAATTGTCGGTCGAGGAACGGAGGGAATTGATGGAAAGAGAATGTGGTGCTGGTGGTAGTAATAGTGGTGCTGAGGAGGGTGGGTAGTGTGACGGAGAGGAAGAAGCTGTTGGGAAGACTTCAGAAGGAGCTGTGGAGGGAATCTAGCTTGATGTGAATGAATGGGCCAGTGGATGATGGTCTGGGAATTGTGTCAAAGATTATAGCGGGAAGGTATCTGCAATGGAAGTATGTAACACTGGCCAAGGTACTGATCTGCTTCATGCTTGTCGCCGTTCCAAGAGAGGCGCGGAGGATCTATGCGGCCACACTACTCTTCCAACGCTCCCTGACCTTCGTCGTCGTCTTCTCAGGAGGCTGCGAATTCATCATGAAGCCATACCTACCCGCAGACCTCGCAGTCATTGTCAGAATACTGTGACAAATGTAGCTTTTTTGTTCTTCCACCGCTTCCTAATCCTCGCTGGCGTCAGTGACAGCCCCATTGTTCCCATTCCCATTGGCCAATGCTGAGGCTGCATCTGGCAGCTCCTCATCTTCGTCCTCGTCGTCGAGGACTCGAGCAGGTTTTCTGCGTTGTGTCGATCGAGCAGCAGATGGATCGTCGTCTTCTTCATCGCCTCCGTCGGCCACGTTGTCTTCATCGCCGCCTGCATCCACGCCAGGGGATTCTGGGTCGTCTGATTTGGGCTGAGTTGAGCCAGGAGCTGCGAGGCCAGCATCGTCGTCATCATCCGAATCCTGCACAGTCTCAGCAGACTTGTATTTTGAGTTGCTCTTGACAGCTTGACCCTTGCGCTCGAGTCTTCTCTTTTTCTTCTTACGTGGGCCCTCGCCATCGCTGCCGGTTGCACTAGTTGCCCGTGACCGATGTCGACTCCTGCCTCCCTCATCTCCAGTACCATCGGCGGCGACATCAGCGTCAGTATCAGAGTCTTCGCCCTTCTTCTTGCGCTTTTGTCGCTTCTCTTTCGGCTTTTTCTCGCGCTTCCTGCGGGTCCCATCTTCATCAGTGGTGTACTGTGCTTCCTCGGCGATTCGCTCGTCATTGAGGCGCTTTTCGATGATCTTGCGATCTTCTTCCTGGATGCGTTCACGCTCTTCTCTCAGCTTTCGCTTCTCTTCCTCGGCCTTTTCTTGTGCGGCTCGCTTCTCGTTCTCACGCTTGCGGATTTCCTCCTCACGGCGTCTGCGAGCTTCTTCGAGGCGATTTGCATTCTTCCGCTCGTATTCGGCTTGCCTCTCGGTCGCTGTGGCAAGCTGCCTCTTCATTGTGTTGCGACCCATGTTGGCACGTTGCTCGATATCATGCCTGGGGAATGGGGGACTCGGACCCTTCGCGATCTCGATGAAACTCTCAATGGCTTCATCCAGACCTTTGTTAGCCGCCTCCACGTCCACCAGAGTCTTGTTCGCCTCGGGCTGAGTAATCATCTGCTGTGCAATCTGAATTTGCACGAAGGCCACATTGAACTTGAAGTTGATGTTCTCGGGCGAGTGAGCCAATGCTTGTTGCGAATAGTCCAAGCTCATCTTGTAATGCTCCAGGTTCTTCTCGGTGCGACCGCGCATTAACCAGGCACGCCCGAGGCATGCCATGATCTGAGGATCTTTCTCGCGAGACTTGACCAGGGCCAGTTCGTAATTTTCAATCGAACGACTAAATTGCTTGAGTTCGCAGAAGACGTGACCCAGGTTGATGTGCACTGACGCATCTTTGACGCTTTCCCTCACCTTTGAGAAAATATGGATTGCGGCAGCAGTGTCTTTGCGCTCTTCAACCATGCCAATTCCGACACCTTGTGCAGCGAATGCATTCTTTGGATCCAGTGTCAAGACCTTGTCAAAAAATTCCATGGCTCGGCTGTAGGTTTTACTGCGGCGGTCCTTGTGTTGATCAGTGTCGCGAGGCATTTCTCGAGCGATCACCAAGTTCAGATTGCCCATTCCTGTGAGCGAATAGATATCGTGCTTGTCGTAAGTCATGAGTGTATGCTTGTAGTGCTTTTGCTCCTGGTCCTCATTGAGAGCCAGTGTGCGCTTCTTGGTCCGATTCAGATACCAGCCGTGCAGGGCACGTGCTTCAAGATTGCCTGGGTCAGCATCGACAAGCTGCTTTATGGCCTCGCCGCCCTTGACTGGGTCAGATCGAAGCGCCAGATATGCCATCCGGATATTCGCATCCACGTAGTCGGGATGGCGATCGAGCAAGCTCTTGTAGATCTTTTCCGCCTCGTCCTCGATACCTTCGGCTTCGTACACGCGACCAAGGTTGTAGCTGATGGTCGACACCAACGCATCTGTGTCCACGGACGCATCTTTATTGCTGATCGATACACTCGACCTCAAAGCTGCTTGAAAGTTTTCTCGTGCTTGTGATAACCGCTCTGCCTGAAAGTGAAAACAGCCGATGTTGTTCAACAGCTGCGGACTCAGCATTTCGCGCTTGGCTGCCAAGATGGCAGTTTCGTCCTCCATGCCTTCTGGCAGATCCTCGTCGTCCAACTCGTCCAACTCGAGCTGCTCAACATGTTGAAGACATGCCAGAGCTTTTTCGGGCTGTTCTTGCTCATATAGGCGAGCCAAGTTCAGGAGCACGGCAGAATCGGGCGATATTTTCTTTTTCGAGTCCCTCCATGCGACACGCACGCTTTCTAGAAGCGCGATGGCCTTTTTCCGCGAGTCGGCCGTCTCTTCTTTCAGACCCGTCACCTGCTTCGCAAACACATCCTCCGCATGCAGTATACCGAGCAGTGTCATGGCTTCTACACTCTTGTTCGTTGATACCATCTTCTCCAACCGGAACTTGGCACCATCGTAATCGTTCATCAGCGTTTTGAGCTGGGCAGCGCCGAATTTGGCTGGCAGATATCCTCGTTCATCACCACCCCGAGCCAAGTCTGCCTTGTTGTAGTAATCCTGCGCTTTTTGAAGATCGCCTTCATAATGCTCCTTCCTCGCCAGCAAGTACCAGCCATCGCTTGCACTGGCATTCACATCTGTGTGCTCGATCGCTCGCCGGGCCAGACGATCGACGTTGACCCATGCTCGGCGCAGTAGGAAGTAGCCACCGAATGTTGCACACGTGAGCGCGTGCATGGCATCCAGCTTGAACGCAGTCTGCGTGTACGTGGTCATCGCTTTTCCATAAATCGGCGCAAAAGCAGGGTCGTTCGAGTTGTAGTGGCTGCTTTGATCAAGGTGATACAAGCCGAGGAGGATGTTCGCAATCGTCGAAGACTCGTTGAGCTCCAAGGAGCGCTCCCATGCCTCCCTCGCGTTCTCCTTGTGACCCAGCTGCCATAGGCAAGCGCCGATTCCAATGCGTGGATCAGGATCGACCATGTCTGGCGCTCGCTCTAGAGCCTGTTGGTATAACACGTATGCTTGATCGAACTTGCCCATCGAGAAATTGGCCTTCGCCTTGCCCATGACTGCCAGAACATTCTTGTTGCCTGAAGTGCGATACGCATCGTCGAAGCATTTTGATGCCTGCTTCAGCGTATCTGCGCGATCAGAATGCTCTCCGCCAGGGCCAAACTTTTGCGGCTGTAATGATGCCTTCAGCAAAAGCAATGTCCCCCGAGCCAGGAAGAGCGGTGGATATGAAGGACTAATGCGTGAAGCATCGTTGAGAGTGCTAGTTGCAAGAGCGAGCCAATTCTCCTTGAGCCGCTCATCTGTCTGTCCTTCCTTGGGCTGCGTGGGCTTGACTCTCGGCGCTCTTCGACATTGCCAGAGGTACACCCAGCACATGCACGTCAGCAGACTCAGCTTGTCCTCGTCTCGACCAGCTCGAAGTGCTTCTAACCCTCGCTTCAGAATGTCCACTGCCATGTTCGCCCTCTTTTGTTTGACGTAGGCGAGCGCAATGGTGATCCAATAGTTCTTCGCAACACACTCGGTCTCCAGAAGATCGCATAATTCGCCCACATCGTCCAGAGCCTCGCTGAGGTCCACATTGACAGCTTCATCTCCGTCGTCGCCGCGGACAGGAATGTCGATGACGGTGGGGACGTCGGCGAAGCGCTCGAAGCTCTTTGCGGCGACGGCGGTGTTGGCGGCATGGCCATTCACGCCGTTCGTATATCCATTAGGGACGGCAGCCATGGTGATGTCCGCAGCTCCTGCTCCGTTGCTCCGTTGCTCCTATCGCATGTCGGCTACGACCGATCGTGCAATACAAGAGGAGTCAAGACTGCGCCAGTATGAATGACGCGACAAGTCGATGAGGTCGAGACTCGAGAGGAGTTGATGGAGACGTCGATGTGTGCGCGAGGATGTCAAGTAGAGATGGAAGGTCGAGGTGTGCGCGAGGATGTCAAGTAGAGATGGAAGGTGTGGTGCGGACGCGCTTTCCAGACAAAAGTGCATGCGGCTCTGCGGGATCTCGAACCTTGCTCGTGAGGCCCCGGCGCGTCTGCATACGGTGGAGGTAGGTACACGGAAGTGTCCACCATGAGAACATCCCGGCAAAGCAGCATTTGACAGCATTTGTAGCACTTCTACATATCTCATTGCGCTGTACTCGCGAGCGTGATGCGACCACCATTATGACGGATTAGCACGTCCCCGTGCACATCACGCTCCCCCACCCTCGAGGATAGGACAGCCTCCCGCAATCATCATGGCCTCCTTTCGAAATGGCTACTTGAACGGCAGTGGTGATTCACCTCTGATGCGCTTCAACTTCGACAACGACAGCAGCAGAGACAACAGCGACGCCGAAAGGAGTCGATCGCGCGGCGCGCCCCCGCCCAAAGGCTTCCATACGGGAGCAGCACGCGTCCGGGGAATAGGTCGAGGCGGGCTGGATCGCGGCCACGCACAGCGACGGAGCCGAGACTATGACCAGAGCCAGAGTCGCAGCAGGAGTCGAACAGCTGCACGATATGGCTCTGCGAGTGGCCAAGTGGATGGTAAGTCCGTCCCAGTGGCTCATCACGCCATGAGACGAGCAGGAAGGCAGCACGGCGGGCATGGGTAGGTGTGACTGCGGCAATTCGCCGGTGACGAGCCATATCGCAGGCATAGCTGCAACTCCGCGACGTCGAGCCAACCTCCTTCTCCTCCTCATGCCAGATGTAGACTGCTGGAGTCATGGCGGGTCGTGACAAGGGCGATCAGAGATGGAGTCTGACTAGAACTACAGACATCCTTCGCTTTATCGAGCAGCAATGGTCCTTCATGGCCACCGACAACTGCATACCCGTCAAGGTCGCCCTGCAGCTGATGGACAACTCTTCCCTCGGTCTCGCAGATCAGTCCCAGCAATTTGGCGAGGCGCATACGCAGCTGCAGAATGCGCTCAAAGTTATAGTAAATGAGCACCACCAAGGATTCAATAGCAGTATCGGTACTTTCCACAAGATCCAGGCGGCTATACATAGCTCGCAAGTTCGAGTGCGTAACCTCCGAGCCGGCTTGGTGCAAGCGAAGAGTAGTTTGGCCACTACCAGACCTGAGCTCAGGGCGTTTGCGCACAGCAGTCAAAGCTATGATCAGATGTTGCAAGTTCTCGGGACGATCGAGCAGTTGCAGCAAGTGCCCGAGAAGCTCGAGACCCAGATATCGGAGAAGCGCTTCCTGGGCGCCGCGGACACACTGCAGGATGCGCTCAAGCTGATGCGCAAGCCGGATATGGAGGAGATTGGTGCTTTGAGTGATCTCAAGGTGTACTTGAGCAACCAAGAGCATTCCCTCACAGATATCCTCATCGAAGAGCTGCATAACCATCTATATCTGAAGAGTCCGTACTGCGAGGAGAGGTGGAAAGCGCACACCCGGCAAGACCCCACCAGCACGACCATCGATGATGGCGAGCGCGCCATGTTCGAGTTCCTCGACAGCTTCGACGCGACCAAGCCCATGCTGGAGGACACGACTAGGAATCCTGAAGCAGATACCTTCTACTACATCCAACTTCTCGTAGAGTCCCTCAATCGTATGAACAGATTGGAAAATGCAGTAGATGCAATTGAACACCGCCTACCTGTCGAGCTCTTCACTGTCGTAGAGCGATCTCACATGGAAGTCGAGCAACGGCATCCTGCTGTCATGCGCTCCGCGGCGAAGCTACAAAGAAACGCCATGGGAATCACCTGGGGAGCAGACGGAGAGCGCAAGGAAACTCTGGAAGACTTGCTCACGACGTTGTACGCCAAATACGAGGCCATCGCGGAAGGGCATCGTGTCTTTCACGACGTAATGGCAGCCATTATTGAACGGGACGATCATGACGAATCAGCTGGCTTGAATCGAAGCTTCCGTGAGCTTTGGAAGCTACTGCAGAGCGAGATAAGGTCCCTTCTTCATGATCATCTGGCCACGAATGGCAACCTGGGACAGAGGACGCGGCAGGAAAATGACCCTAACATGAACATATTCCATCAGCAGCCTCGCGACAGAAGCCGAAGATTGTTCAAGCTATCGGAGGCCGACAATAAGTCAACTGAGCTTGCCACAGAAAGGGACGACCTCGAAGCGATTCTCAAGCAATCTGTTCCTGGTCTTGTTGGCAGCAACGCACAGAATGCCAAGCAGGACCGTAACACCGTCACAGACATATCAGCGACCGGACACAAGCTGCTTGTTGAGCCTAGTGTGTTCAATATGGGTATTCTGCTCAAGCCGTCTCTAGACTTTCTCACAAGACTGCGCGGAGTCGTACCACCACAGTCTGGCGTGGTACCCAGTACATTGACTTCCTTCCTCGACGACTTTCTGATCAATGTCTTCTATCCCCAGCTGGACGAGACATTACTCGACTTGTGCGAGAGGAACATGACCGAGATGGACGCGTTCCAAACAGACCCAAAATGGCAATCCCTTGCGCAACGACCGATCTTCAAAGGGACCACTCGCTTTTACGAGCTCATCGAAGCATTTTGCATTATGCTTGACAGTTTACCGCATGATCAAAGTTTCAGCCAGCTTATCGTCACCCAGATGCGGACATACTATGACAAATGCTACCAGTGGTCTAGGGGCCTTCTGCAGCGTGCTCTCGTCGAGAATGGCAACACCAAGATGAGGTTAGCAGCACATCTTGCGACTGATGGGGAGGTCAACAAAGTTGTCATCGAACTTTCGAGAAAGGATGTCAACGACCCGATTGTGCTGGCTGAGAAGGAGACCGCTCTTCTGCTTCGTCAGGTCAAGAACACGCGGCTCGAAGAAGCAGACCTGATCGTTGACCGAAAAGCTATATCTGCGCTATGCACCTTGCACACCAGTATGAAGTGGCTGTCTGCACAGTGCAAGCAATTGCGCTATGTCTCTCCTCGTGCGATCGACACATCGAGCATGCAGGCTCATGAACGCAGGCGATGGACGCAGATCTCCATTGCCGGTTCAGCACCGAACGGACCCTACCTACCACTGGACCAGCAGACTGCAGCGGGGTTCGACGCTGTCATCGCCTCTTTCACGGAAGTGGCATCACTCATACTTCGAACTTTGCACATCGACCTTCGCCTGCATCTCTTGCATGGCATATATACTGCGCTAGACACCACTTACGCTCTAGGCCAGCCCTACAACGACCCCGACCCCGCCATATTGCATCTATCTGCAAGTCTGGGAACTTACGACAGCGCTATATCGGCGAATTTACTGCCTCCCCAGTACAACTTCTTGACAGCCAACCTGCATGTACTGGCGAACAATGCGCTAGTATCACTTGTTGGCTGCGTGCAAGCACTTGATGAGTATGGTCTCGACAGAATGGGTCTGAATATCCTAGTATTGCAGCAGACTCTCAAAGCTTCAATGCAACAGGACGCAAGCTTGAAGTATGCTGCGAGATTCTACGAAATGCGTGAACCTGCGACTATTGCTGCTGCGGGCACGCAGAGTGGATATGCGCCGGAGGACCTCAAGACTTTGGCACGATTAGTATGGGTTGAAAAGCGAGATCGTGGAAGTGGAAATGGAACCCTGGATGAGCTCGTAGCTAACATTGGATAGTCGTTTGTTGCTGCTTGAGAAGTTGTTCTGGCAATAAAGGAAAGTTGTGTTAGCTAACTTTGGCGAATTTCAGACATTGTCCTTCAATAATCTCCATCGCAGTTGCGCACTTGTCTCTCCAGCTTGAAAATGATGCCATTGGGTAGGCTCTTCACAAGGGGGCGGACAGGCTCCCCTTGTGCCGCTTTGCTACCTTAACTTCAATCCCCTCACAGTCAGCAATGTGGAGTAGTCAGCCGACATCATCCGTCCTACAACTTCACACTTTTCACTCTCGTGATACACTTCACTCCTGGGCCACCTCTTTGTGATCAGATGTACTTTATTTGGTGAGTGTCGCCACTGCAACTGCGGGAGGCGCTCAATGTACCAAGTAGCGTCCAGCCACCACGGCTTCTACCTGTGCCGAGGTGGTGAGAGTGCCATTATTTGCGTGGCTTGACACGCAGATCAGCACGAGGGCAAAGAGCTTCGAGACTCTTGTTTGCGTTGCCGCAGCCTTATTATTATTGGTGAGCACGGAGACCAACTCGTCAAGAGGCCGTCCCTAGTCTTCACGGATCCTACTACCCCGTGAAAAGCTTCCTGGTTTCCGGGGGCCGCCCGCACGCCAACGATCACCATATGTCAAGAGATCAAGTAGGTCACAAGTGACTTACGTGCCCCACTCTTCAGTATACCACATCTCGCAATACCCGAAATCGTCCTGGTCGGTGCAGCTATCATCTGGGGATATCCGCCACTCGAGCATGGTGTTTTTGCCGAGTCTGCTTGTAACAAGACCATATCATAAAGCTCTGAGCCATGGCACACCCATTCATCGTCGCACCGATGCTGTCATCTCTGGTACGCACCACACCACCAGCCCGCCGCACAAGTGCTCCGTTGCCACCGTCACAAAGTCACGCCGACCTGGGAGGACTCGACTTTGGATTTCCCAGTTCGGATCGCAGTAACTCCATTTCCCCAACAGATAGAGACATGAATCCGGCAGCGAGAAGGGGCAGCTTATTCGCCTCCCCTCGGAACCAGAGCACCTTTGACGCCAATCACGTCAGGACTCGATCGCTAGGCTACGGCGCAGGTGTCGTTTTCGAGCGTGAGGCTCGCGAACCCACAGATGACGACGTGATAATCGTAACTGTTCGATTGCGGAACACGTTCAGAAAACAGTCTGTCGATGGCGCAGATGATCTCCCCAGTCGGTATGATAATACCTATGCCAATCTTACTTAATCTACCACCACAACAACCGTCGAACTCTCGCTTACTTCAAAGGCATCAATTATCATCACCGACAGACCACAACCACGATCATTTCTGCGTCGACTCTCTACTCGAATAGGCTCGAGTTTCGATCACAGCGCCGAGAAAGAAGAACGCTACAAGGCGGTCAAGATGCCTCGTCGCGACTACAAACGGTACTTTCAACGGGACAAGGATGGCGGATATGCTGGGACGGAACCGGAGAGGGATTGGGACGAGGACGAATTGATGAAGGAGTTTGAAGCTTATCAGGATTTGCCGCTGCGGACGATTGTGTGCTAATTGGAACTTTTTGGTTGATGAGAGAAAGTCCGGTATAGTGCTAATCATCCGACCCACTCACACAATGGATTTGGAATGTCTCGAGACATGGAGGCTACGCAAGCTATGTACATATACCACCGAGGAGAGGAGAGGTACAAGACGCCGAATGAGTGTTTATCTCGCGGGGAGAGAGAGAGAGAGAGAGAGAGAGAGAGAGAGAGGAGTTCTCAGCATCGAATTCGAGGTCAATCATTCCGCCATCCCATCCTGAAAACAAGATCAAAAAAGACAACAAGGTCGATCGATACCTAATTTGACCGCAATGATTGGCAAACTTCGTTTACCCATAATCAAGGAAAGAACGAGATGAAGTGAAATATCAGGTGATTTTTGCTGTTGTTCAGTGCAAAGTATGGGCTGGTATATGTACTGATGAGTTGAGCAATGGAATCGATCGATCAATCACTATTTATCGCTGCTACCTCGTTACTAGCTGCAATGTACGAAGTTGGTGCGATGAGTTGGAATTCGGGCCCCGTCGTTCTCATTGTCGATGAGATGGTATCTGCGATGCTATAAAGTCATAGATGTGATGTGAGCCGGTGATATTTACCAATTCGCCGTTCTCACGGAACAAGCACCATTCGATTTCCCTGGTATTTCAGTTTGAAAGTAAACCAAAATGTGATAATACCATCGTTAGATCGACCTCGCTGCTAACCGCAATAATGTGCAAGCTTCAAGTTTGTTGCAATACTATTGATCAACATCTATCGAAGATCCCGCAGTTAGTCGTTGCCCTCGTACCTCCTAGTCATCTTCGCCCTTCTGACAAGCCCAGCACGCCTCGACAATCCTCCAACTCCGGCCGGGAAAAAGACCTCTCCCCCCGGAAAAGAGAATCCAGGAAATCCAAAAGAAAAATCCCAAAAAGTGAAGAGCTCATCGCTCACATTCACCTCGACGGCGATAATCATGTGCCCACTGCCTGAATCGAACAGACGACCTCGTCATGAGCTTTGATACTAGTGACGCGCTCTACCGCTGAGCTAAGCGGGCCATGGATGCCCGGCTCGATCCATAAATTGTATATGATAGCTCATTTCGAAGGCAAGGCCATCAAAAGCTGTAGGTGTGATCTGTCAAGCCTTGCGGGACGGCGATCAAGCCTGTGTGTCTGAAGACGGAATAAATTTGGCTCTGTGGAGTACGAGTCAAGGCCGGCGAGAAACGACGGTCGTGCCAAGGCCGGCAGAAGCTGGCGTTAGAGTTCGTGATTTAGTACAAGCTGTGTTGATAGGTACCAGGTATATTATCAGTTCCTTCCCTCTTTCTGATCAAGTTTATTTTCGATTATAGCTGTGCCGGAAGATGTCATTTCGAACGAAAAGGCGATACCAATAATAATCTGACCATCTGCATCTTCCCCCTTTCTAAATCATAACCAGCATATCAAAAGTCTCGCAAACGTTATGCAATAAATCGTTGGATGCGGCCTGGTGAACTCCATCCAGTCCTTCGGTACCTCCACTGTACAGCGTGTATGCCACATGTGGCATGAAGGGCTCCGCTATATCCAGTCAGAGCAATGGCCGCAATCAGACGTATCAGGACATCGGCAGCAAGGCCTAGCATGATAGCAGGACTATTGTGCATACCACAGTCACGACCCTTCTGGCCCCTCTGTCGTATTTCAACAACGGTATCCACCTTTAAAGCTCTCAATCGCGCTGGGACAGTTGCGCGAAGTGCTCTAGCACGGTCTCTAGCCATGCTTGGAGTGGTGACACGTCCAGACACTGGTGTGAGTTCGTCTAGCGATATGCTCTCCAAGTCGGAGGCTAGGATAGTCTGGACCGTAGGAGAGGTGAGGCGGCTTGTGTAAAGGCCATTTAGCACGACGAAGGAAATGTATAAACAGGCATAGGGATCGCTATGCAACCGCCGTGTCCTGCTGAATGCAAGAAACAACGTCGATCCGCTGGCAGCCGTGAAATTAGTTGCTGTTGAAGGTGGCCGACATTCGACAGAGCGGCATAATTCGGGAGATGTGGAGTCCGTCCTGGTATTGGCCAGCTGGACGTCGATTAGCATATTTTGCTGACCTGCCACACCACTAATCCTCTTCTCCCCACTACACGCTGCAATGTGGAAAGCACGCCATCGTCGCCAAAGTCCATGTCGTCCAAACCAATGTGGCTTCTATAGTGCCAGAGACGTAAGAAGATTAAGCTGTGGCCCGTGTTCGACGGCCACGTGTAAGCATCCAAGGATGTAGCACTGCTCGGTGCGACCAATAATGTCCTATTCCGCGCATCTTCGCATTGCGCATGCTCTTGCAGCTGTTCCAACATCGGCTCCAATTTCATGCCCATGAGGTCAGTCGTATTGATGCTTTCGCTTTTCCCGTTGAGCAGCCATCGCGGCGGACTGTAGGTTTTCCACCAAAGTGTCTGGCTCACATTGGGCTGTTGTGCGATCCAAGTCTGCGCAGGCACTACGCCGCCTTGGTGGTAGACACCGAATAGCACACCACCAAGAATGTTGAACAGAAACCAGACTGCAAGCCAGTAGCGTTGACCACGTTTGGGTATCTTGACACTGGCGAGGAGAAGAGGGACAGCTGGAAGCAAGAATCGAGGCTCCTGGTGTGGAAAGAACGACAAAGCTACAGTTCCTACGATGGCTGACCAGAAGAGCACGCATCTTCGACTTGACAGCATGAGGAGTGGGAAGGCTGGGCCTATCAGTTGTGGGAGGTTCGCGACGCAGTGTTGCCAAAAAGGATGCAACCCGTGTTTGGCGAGGTTGGCTGAATCGGCGTTGTAAGCTAGATTGTTGAGCGGTGTGAGGACAGCATTATGGAAGAGGTGTCTGAAATGAGGTCGGTAGCCGCTATAGAACTCTGTGTCCATGGTGATGGCTACCGCCATTGTCAGAAGTCCAGCTGCGATCATGACTGGTATACGGAGCGGCTGGAGGTAGAATCCATGTAGAAGTTGAATTAGGGGTATCAAAAGGTATGCTGGAAAGGTAATGCGATTAAAGATGCCCACAACGCAGAGGAAGGCCAGTCCGCAGCACACTTGAAACTGAAGGATCGCGGTATGCTCTGCAAGCCTTTTGATCAGAACGAGCGACCAGAGCACAGCAATGGTCTCGATGCTATTCGAAAAGGTGTGGGTCTGCAACGTCCAAGTCACGTAGGAGGACGCAACTAGGACGATGGCTGATCGGCGCTCCTTGGGAGACGGCAAAAGTTCGTACAGAGCCCAATCGCCCAGAACGAAGCTGAGTAGGAACATGAGACATCGCAGGCAGTAGAAGGCAGTCTGTGGCTGAACAGATCCGTAGCCAAGTCCTTCATGTACCCATTTGAGGACCGTCAGTGGCCAGCCATAGACGAGCCAGAAGGGGAATATGCTGCGAATGGGATGGGCGGATGTGAACTCCCAAGTTTTGTAGGTAGGATAGCCAAACACTTCGCCTGGTGAAGAAGGTCAATCTCGGCCTCCATCTCACGAACGACTCAGTGCTCTCGAATACCTACCAGCGATGATCTCCGGCCCCTGGAAGTGCTCGTCGGGATGAATGTAGCTGGGCGATAGAGCAAAGTACAGCCTCACCAGCACCAGTAGCAAGTGCACCAGCAGCAAGTCGTCTCTGGCCCACATCGCGCGGCCACTTTGCGTTCAAGACACTTTCTCGCTGTATGCTGTGACATGTGGGAGAAGCGACTCACAGATTCCCGGCATGAGGTATGGTGGGTGGTGAGCAGAACGTGGACGGGAGGATTAGACATGTGGCCCGAGACAGAAGATCGCGAGACACGTCGGTCGCGTCTGGAGAATGCGACCGCGTGGGGGAGCGCACAGACGGAGTATTCAGGCACCAACTTCGCAATCACAGACAGGTCCATACCAACGCCGCCATCAGATGGAACCTTGTTGGAGTGAGCGAGTGAGTGAAGTAAACTGAAAGTGAAGTGAAGTGATGTACATGATCTTCCACACGCACGTGCGACTGCAGTGCCTTACTGGAAACGTGTGGCATATGGCATTCTGCATTCTGCCATAATCTGTGCATGCGGCGTGTCTTGCTTACATCAGGTATACTGCAAGCAATGAGGACATGCATGCATCTGTGCCTCACAACAGGCTGCATTATTGATGATTCGTCGCCTACTGCGCCGCATCGTGTACATGTATTCACACGCGCCCAGAGTGACAGAGTGACAGGCTGACCGCATCGGGGTTTGCTATTGCAATCAGGTGAATCAGCCAAAGAAAGTGACAGAGACTCAGAGAGATTATCTGAGACCCTGGTCAACGGCCCGCTCCCGCTTCAGACAGAGGGCCAGAGGCAGACACAGACCTGAGGCAAGCAACACCACTTGCACTTATGACCTACCTTACCAAACGAACTTACTTACCTCCACTGCCTCTTACCTGACGCACACAGCAACATCGACCTTCCAGCAGCACACCACCTCAACAACAACGACAAAAACAGCAACAACAGCGAGCAACGCATCCACCGCTTCATTCGACACCTTTACCCACCGCCCACCCCCCATCCACCACCTCCGTACGGCATCATGTCTACCTCCGAGGGCGAGCAGCCTATCACGCTGGTCTCAAGCGACAACATCTCTATCGTCACCCGTAATTCCGCGCTCTTCCACTGCGACCACTGCTCATCTCAATGCATGTCACATGCTGACTGTTCTCACAGAGCGCAAGGTCGCCGAGCGCTCTATGCTCATCAAGAACATGATCGAGGATCTCGGTTCTCCAGGCGAGGAGCCAATCCCAATCATGAACGTAGGCCACTGACTCCACCATCATCATCGCATCCGTCCCGGCAACACTCTGGATTCTCGCTGACACTGGTCCATACAGGTCTCTGAGGCCGTTCTGCGCAAGGTCCTCGAGTGGTGTGAGCACCACAAGAATGACCCTGTTCCAACTCAGGACGACGACGCCGATTCGCGCAAGAAAACCACCGACATAGAGGATTGGGACCAGAAGTTCATGCAGGTTGACCAAGAGATGCTCTTTGAGATTATCCTCGCCGCCAACTACATGGACATCAAGGCCCTTCTTGACGTTGGGTGCAAGACTGTTGCGAACATGATCAAGGGCAAGTCGCCAGAAGAGATTCGGAAGACTTTCAACATTCAGAATGACTTCACCCCAGAGGAGGAGGATCAGATTCGTCGCGAAAACGAGTGGGCTGAGGACCGTTAAACGGCTCGCCAGGACACACATCTTTACCGCCATACATCACCGCTGGTGATATGCTGCGGCTTGCGAGTACCCGCAACATACCCCTCCAACTATGCCCGGACCAGCGACTTGCGCACTGAGGGGCGGCACATTTCTACAATAAAATGGATATGGCTGCATGGCGTTCGGTGCATAAGAGAGTATGATTGCTGCTGCTTAACGTTATGAAGACTACGAATGGGAGCATGCTACCGCCAGTGTCCGCAGGTCGCCTCTTTTGGTCGACCGCGGCTGGGCAAGCGAGCTGGGGCATGCGTACGCAAAGCGTCGGCGAACGCGGTCAGGCACAAGAGGGCTGTGCTTGTATAGACAGCTTCAATGAGACTTTTTTGACAACTTTACCACTTTACACTGTTCTCCTGTACATGCGCCGAGCTCTCCATACTGACATGAGCTTGCCACAGCTACCTGCATCTCTTCACATCTCGCTGTTTTGAGCAGAGGTGCTGACACTTTGAATCCAGGCTTTCAGACTATTTCACAGCCAGGTCGCAAAGAAGAGCGGTCAGACTAGACGACATCTGTCGAGACCCGGGCAATTCTGCCAAACTGCATGGCCGCAACGACGAGCACGACATCTCGATGGCAGGTCATCAGCAGCGGTCAGGCAGTACGACCAGGAACCGACAATTTCAAAATCAAGCTCAGATATTGCTTCGCTGTTCGCGCTCAGCACGAGTTATCATCTAGGTACGCTATCCTCTCTTGGAAGATCAATACGGGTATACAGCCCTCAAAGCAGTTGTTCAACCTCCCCCCGGACTCCTTCGCTCATGCTATTCAGAGACTATGTTTCCCCTTGAACTTTCCCAATATCGTTGAACGGATCGCTCAGAGCGTTCATCGTTCTCTTCGGAAGCTTCAAAGTTTTACTCTCCACTTCCAAGCTTTAGTGTTGAACCGGCAGCCCACGATCGACAGCATCGCAGAGAACCTTGGTCAGCTCTCACAGCTGAGAAATGATGACAGCTAGTGATAAGATGGCACCTCACTCGTGCTCAGAGCACTTCTCTTCATAGGCGGTGGAGGTGGCTTAGGTTTGCTAGCCCTCGAAGGAGGCGGCGGCGGAGGAGCCTTCTTCGCCATTCCATCTGGACCATAGCTCGTTGTTCTCTGCAATTCATCGTATCGTGAGACTCCACCATTCTCAACCTGATCATCCGCAAACACTCCTTCATGCGACGATGTCGGAGGTTGGCTACCCTCTCGGCTCTTGGTGATTCGTAGGTTGGAGCGTGCGCCTAGAAGTGTACTGGGCTCGGTAGGAGCTCTTGTTATTCGTGGCACGTGTGCAGGACTCTCGGCTCGAGCATTGTAGGACGACGACATTGGGCCCTCGAAGCCGGTACTACTCGCGCTGCGGATGCCGGGTCTTGTGGGGATATCAAATCCAGGGAGTTCTTTCATGGGGGAATTGGCGCCTGATGGTAGACGAGACGAGATTGTAGGGCGTCGAGGTGCAGGAAGAGGATCGTCTTCGTCGATTGTGTTGAAGCGGTCGTTGACGCTGCTAGCACGTGAACGAGTGCTGCGCCGTTCGAGAGGGCCGCTCCCTCTACCATTGACAGGAGAGGCATTGTTGGAGCGGGATAGTTGGGTGGAGCTTTCAAGATTCGTCAGTAGGATATCTGCAAGGCGGACGGAGGAAAACTTACGCTGGCCAATCTCGCTTCAGCTGCAGCAGCACCTCGCGACATCGATCGTAGTACGTCAACTCTGCTTCCAAGAAACTGGAAAGGTCTTGCACCGAGTCCACTTCTGCCTCCTTGATATCCAGCATCCTGCGGTATACGTCCTCGCTGCTCTCTTCGTACTTCATCTTCTGATTACGCAACTCCTCTTCCATTCGAAAATCCTCCTTCTTACTCTTCTGCATTTTCTGGCTCGCGGTGTCGTATGCCAGTCTTCTATTTTCGAGCTGCTTCCTTGCCTTCTCATATTCCTTCATCTGAACCAAGCTTCTTTCCAGCGACTCCAGCCAGCTACTCGTGGCATTGGCACAGTACGTCTCCTGCATACGTGCGATTCGCTCATTCGCTCGCCCCAGCATAGAGAGACACTGGCCAAATTCCGAATCCGGTTCGAAGTCGTCCCCGTGTGCCACCATCGTGCTGCCAAAGTAGGCCACTGGAAGCTGCTGCTCCTTCTCCTGATACTTCTCTCGCTTCGCGGTGTGTTGGACGTAGACATCGGCGGACTTCTTCAGTCGACTCATTCCTGATCTGGTTTTAGCATATCGCATCATCAGTCTTGTGAACTCCTACGGTCATACCATTTTGCCTCAGCGTCATCTCCTGCTCGAGCGATTTGAACTCCTCCGTGGTGTCAGACAGCTTCTCGCCTCCCATGCGCTCCTTTCCCCATTGCTTCATGCGGTCGAACTTTTTATTGATATTCATCTTGCCCGCTTCACGTCCTCGATGCTTGTCGGCGTGACTGTGTGAGAATGATGGCTGTAGCCTCCCGGTGCTTTTCACTCTGTAGGACTGTTGGCGACGTCGTAAGCCGTCCGAGCGGACAAGGGCGGCTCAGCCTGATTGCGTTGACTTCCTGCTCTCACACGAGCTAAAGGGGGGTTTGACCAGGTATAGGGAGTCGGTCTGAGGGGGCAAGCACGGCAGTGGCGGAAAGTGTCAGATCCCAACAACGCGAGTCGTTCTAGAAGCACTCCGGCCCTCGACAAGGAACTACCTGGACAGTAACAACAATAAGGCACAAGTACCTAGGTAAACAAGAATGACCTGAGGGTCGGAATGGACAAGCACAGCGCCGAGCACATGTGTCCACGTCAGCGCTTCGCAAAACGGGTTTCTGGAACGAGTCTGGAGAACGCGAATCTAGGTGCGAACAATGGAAGGGCAAAGGCTGTTTTAGCGTCACGTCTAAAAGAGCGCTGTCTCCCCCTCCTACACATGGACATGGTTAGTCTCTCCATCCGCCCACGCCGTCTACGCTGGGAGTCAGCGCACAGACGGTGGTGGTGGTCAGCGAGTCCATGTTGGTTGTTTGGAAGTGTCTACTAGATGCGTCCCTCCATAGCTAAGTTGTGTCATTTTCCACGAAATGTGGTACAGAGATGGGTGGACCTTGCATTGTGAAACATCAGAGGTACATGTAGCAGAGACATTTGCAGTATGGGTGGGAAGCATATGATGCAGCTCGTCAACTGTCTGTGATCGAGCACACTCTTCCGCAACTGTGCGGCCTTCCTCCCTTCCAACTCCTTCAGGACACTACAGCTGCCCTGTATAGCGTACAGTGCAAGCGGACTGATCATAGCTACCGAGACTGAGTCTGAAAGGGATGTGGTGCGAAGTCTTTTGAACGTGATATCATTTGATCTGCGCATGAACCCTGGTATGCAGCGCCTCGTCTGCGTGACATCGCTTGATTCCGTGACAAAGCTGCTTATGCTGCAGTGCAAATCCATTGAACCCCCAACACCACTACCGTCCGAGAGGCGTCTAGTCCTTGGTCTTTTGAGTACCACGCAGGAGACCAGTTCTTCGGGCAGCAATAAGACCGGCCTTTTGACCTTGTGCGGCGTAACGAGAGATGGTCGAGGCCTTACCAATATGCTGGTGGTTACCACCACCGTGAGGCTAGAGGAATTGTCAGCATGTACCCAATATCCTAGACTCTTCGGCTCCCTTACGTGATCCACGGGGTTCATGGCAACACCACGAGTCTTTGGCCATGAGTTACGCTTGACAGCGAACTTGTGCTTAGCACGCGAAGCCTTCATGAGAGGCTTGTCGGTACGTCCACCTCCAGCAACAATGCCAATCATGCCACGGACAGAGCTCTTTACGACCTTCTTTGCTCCAGATGGCAGCTTGACACGGGTCTTGCCCTCGTCTGGGTTGTGGCCAATGACGGTGACGTAGTTTCCAGATGTCCTGCCGAGTGCGCCTCTGTCGCCAACCTTCTCCTCCACGTTGGACACAACAGTACCTTCTGGGACAGAGCCGAGTGGGAGGACGTTGCCGATGGTGAGAGAAGCGTTCTTGCCGGCGTAGATGAATTGGCCGGTGTACATGCCTTCGTTGGCGATGAAGGTCTCGGTGTGGAGCTTGTGACGGTATGGATCACGGAAGACGACCTTCGCGAGGGGCGCACCACGACCGGCATCGTGGACAATTTCCTTCACAACACCACGAACGTAGCCATGGCGTTCCGCGTAATCGTGCGTTCTGAACTTCGCTGGGGCCTTGTTGAGGCGCGTGTTGGCCGTGAAGATGGAGCCGCGACCCTTTCTCTGGTTGCCTTTGATTCTGTCAGTATGTGTATTTTGCCAATGCTGGAGTCTAGGAAGATGGCAGCAGAATATGAGGCTTTCTGATCGCAGCCAGCGTCCGCAGTGTGCATCTTCCGTCTGTATTGTTTCGCCTGTCCATTTTCTCTTGAAAGGGGTGCCACTTACGAATGACACGACCCATTGTAGCGGTTGTGTTTGTCTTGTCGCTGGGTGTAGCCAGAAGAGGGACGTCGGCGAAGTCTTTGAGAATTCGAAGGTGCGGCTTGTTCTGGGCTTAGTAAGAATGAGCCTTGGCGTTCCGCGCGACTTCCTCCTCCTCCTCCATCTTCGCAATCCAACCTGCACACCCACATACTGGCTGTTCAACATCGTTTTCCATTGCCATAGAAAGTCTCTCGCGCTGAGAATACTTGGTGCGAAACTCTTGATGCTCATATCAACTGGTTTCCCGCCTCGCGTTTCTCGATCCTGCCCCGGAAAGCGACATTTGATGAAGACATGCAGAGACGCACCACAAAGCGTATACAAAATGGTACCTGTATTGCCCGCGAAGTTCTGATGCCGACTCGTGGTTGACTTCATCGTGGTTTAGGCTGCGAGGAGTCTAGAGCGCAAAAGACAGACGCAACCTTCAGGATCGGCTCTCAGGATTTCCAATCGGGAAAAGGCCTCTTTCGGTCTTGAACCGCCAAATTTTGACACAATCCATATCAAGACAACCTGCGACATTAGTATCCCGAAAGCCAAGGTGACTGTGATGTACCCAATCGTCACCTGAATGCCAGAATTGTGCGACATCCGCTACCATAGTCAGGCCTAGCAGGTTTCAACGGGCAATGATACCGCAAGCGCGATTCTGATCGACGCACAAGTCATGACGATGACAACTTTGATCACACTCATTCACGTTGCTCAGCTTCGCATGCTCGCGCACACGAAAAGACTATCCCTGACGCCGCATAAGCTCTGCTCATCAACATGGACTTTATGTAGATGCTTGTTGGAAGACCAGTAGCTCGAACTGTGGAAGACTTGCACAGGGCGAATCTCGAAGGCGGCGAAAGGCATGTACGGACGCGTAGATTCCCTAGCCTTCTACATAAGACACGTCCAATCCTGCGACGTTTTGATGGGGAGAACAGGACGCTTGCAGCAGAGCTACAGCAGAGCTACAAGCACTGAATAAGGGCATACAAAGGCGCGAGAGGCCTCCACAAGTTTAACATCAATACTGGAGCGGCAAATTTGGCTACTTGCTCGCGATCCGCTTGCCAAAAACCTCGGAGATCGAGGCTTGGACTCTACCAGTACGATTTATCCATTGAGCATAATGAGAGCACTCATGCGGGTCCATGAGCTCCGACAATATATCTAGATAGTGACTTAATAACAAACTCGTGTTAATATTGTCTCGCTGCCTCACGCCTCACCGCCCCGCTGTCATTGGCTCGGCACTGTCCTTTTACCCTCCCTTGCTACCTTACCTACCTGTACTTCTCAACTCGACCTCCAACCTTCCACGCGCTAACCAGCATCGCAACATGACAACAACCGCCATGGACTCCGACTCAGACAGCAGCCTATCGGAGGTGCCAGAAGAGACAGTGAAGCAGCTGGCGCCCATATTTCAGAAGGCAAAGAAAGCAACAAAGCAGGCTGCTCCTCCGCCGAAAGCCTCGCCTCCCAGGCCAAAACGAGCACCGTCACCACCTCATGAAGAGGTCCTGGCAGATAATCCGGACATTGCAGTGCGTATATGAGCTTTTGACACGAAATGGCGCGCTTGAATCGCGTCATAGTCAACTTCATCGCGCTGGCTGACATTTCTACATAGTTCCTGGTAATGTTCCGATCGCGCTTCACCGAAATCTTCCCTGGCAAATGTCCTCAATTCGGGCCCCAAGATATTGAGCGAGGCGTTGTCGATACCGTGCCGAGTCCAGAAATCCAACAATTGTTGTGTGCTTTGCTAGGATTAGTGTTGAACAGAAAGAAGCCGGTCGAGTAAGATGATCCTTCCGCGGAGAGAGGAGCAGGGGCGGCCGTCACAGCGATGGTCTTCATAGGATACGTGGGCTAATGCCATCATGGTGAATAGGCGGACTGCGTATGGCCGCGCAATCGAAGAAGCAGTTCTCTCCCACAAGAAGGAATGGCCTTACAAGTGGGCTGGCCAGAATCCGCTTCATGGAGGAAAGGACTTCAACAACATGTCTCCAAGTGAGAGGGTGCGTGACAAGCCTAATGAATCGCTTGTCTGCAATGCTAATAGCCGCACAGCTCAACTTCTTACGCACTCTCGTGATTTGGTCACTAGGCTCTTCCGAACAGGTGGCTGGCACGATCAAGGAAAAGTATAAGCAGCAGAGACATAGCGATGACGAGAATCAGCCATTGTCGGTGCAGCCATGGGGTATGGATGGAGACAATAGAAGATACTTTTTAATCCAGGGGCTTGACGATACAAGCTTCAGGATCTACAGAGAGGGCAGCAGGTACACCAGGAACGCGCATTGGTATAGCCAAGCTGGCACAATTGACGAGGCAAAAGCACTGGCAGAGAAGCTTGAAAAGGAGGACGGATCGCAAAAGGCGCGGAAACTGGCGATAAAGATCACGAACGCCGTGCCAATGTTTGAGGCCACAGAAGAGAAGAGGAATCGCCGCATATATCGACAACAGCGTCGTGCAGCCTTCACGCGACCGGAGCCTGGTTTCGGGATCTACGAAGGTCGCACTCGTGGGAAGCGGACGCGGTATACTTATGACGACGAGGGAGGAGATGATTCGGACAATACTTCTACACGCCGCTCCACGCGCCACCAGTCTGCGAGAAGCACCCCGTTCGAGACTGGTCCGCAATATACTGCTTCCGGTCGACAGATCAAGCAGCCACGACAAGGAGACTATGGCGAATCTTTGCTGAGCACGAACGTCATGAGCACTGACGAGCTAGGGCCGGATAACGATACAGAAGCGCGATCTGGACGGGCGGATTCGCAGGAGTCAGATCCTGTGCAATCTGGTGGCAGGCCTTCGAGAGGAAACAGGAACGTAAATTATGCCGACAAAAACCCACGAAAGCGAAAGCATATCGATGGCTACAACGACATTGATGCCATGAGTGAAGAAGATGACGCTGTCAGTGGCGATGAATGGAACTCAGATCAGAACGACGATGAAATGCCTGATGCGCCAGATGTCGATTCGGAGCCCAGCGAGGATGAGGATGATGGACTTGACGATGTTCCAAAAAGCCTGCTTGTAAAGCTCAAAATCCCGCAATCGGCGTCAGTCCAGTCACGCAATACACCGCCAACCAGTCCTTCTGTCTCGGGTGAAAAGGATACAGCGCTGGGATGCGCTCCTGGGCCGACAGATGAGAAGATTGCCTCTACGACGACGAATGGCGAAGCAAAGTTGGAAGCGACCAAGACGAGCGTTCTTACCGAGGCTCCTCTGGCGCTGACCAGTATTGATAGCCTGACGCCAACCTCGCCTAGGAGATCACCACAAGTTGTGGTTCCAGCGTACTCAGCGCATGCGAAATTCCAAAACAGCTATTCTACGACGAGTATGCTCAACGGAAATGGCGGACATGGTGGCCAGATCCAGTAGTGTGGCCGTACTATGACTAGAACATGAACAACACCTTCGAAATGCGGGGAATATCTACCATGAAAAGCCTCTTCCGAGTAAATGCTTTAGTACAGGTGGAGCTGATGTCTGCCACGATTTCTGATGTTGTGTACGATTCGAGCGAGGTCCCGACAGCGGCCTGAAAAGAGAGAGGCTTTGCTAGCGATTCACATGGCAGCAGGTAGAGGTGTCATAATACTAGCATAATGATGAAGCTTGAAATATCCCTTTTCCGACAGCGTCCAAGTGTCCAAGTCGATGCAAAGGTCCTCGACGAGAAGTGAAAAGCCCAATCCACTCCTTCAGCAACCTCGCTTCGTGGATGCCACTCTTGTTATGACTCGCAGGCTGCGAGATCATCCTGCCTCGCTCGACATGCGCAATAGACGTATATGCCTAGTATTTCTCTCGGAATAGTAGTTGTCTAGCACAAAATTTTGAGGAAAATTTTCCTAGACCAGGAAGAGGAAAAGATAGAGGGAGAGGAGGCATAAGAAAAATTTAGAGTACGACATTGGCGAGTCCAATTTCTTGACCTCTTAGCTTTGCAACATTAACCAAGTTGCTTGATCTGTCCTGATCCAGTGTAGAGTCTATGAGAAAACGAAAGAGTGTCCACAATTCGATACCCCTTCCCAAAAGGAGAAATCCATTCCATGCCATCCCAGGGCTCAAAAGTCCCATCATTCTCATTCCTAGAAACGCCTTGTGCCAATGGCAATAGTGATTCATTATGGGTATCGCAAAAGCAAGCGCAGCCTTCAGGTCCAGCCTATGGCATCTTTCAGGGGAGTAGGTCTCGTGAGCAACTACTGCTTTACGTCGTCCGAATCTTCGAGCTGGCTCGCTGTGCTGGCTGTGCGGGAGAAAAGCGAGCGAGCTGTTGGACCAGTCTTGCTATTTCTGAAGCATATTAATACCTGGAATCGCTGCTGCTCCATGCCGACCGACACTTACTGTTTGTTGATCTGTCTTTGCTTGAAGCCTGCAAGCTTCTGACTGGCGGGGCTGAGAATAGCATCCGAGGGAGAGACGTAGGTCCCATTACTCTTGCTGAGTGGCCGTTAGTACCTAAGTGCGCAATTTTGTATGCATATTATGCTCACCCATTCAGGCCAGAGACTGCCTTGTGCTGCTCGCCTTGCATCTTGGTGTTCTCCTCGCCTGGCGCTGTTTCGACCTGCGCATTGGATGCAATCGATGCGTTGACGTCGCGATCAGCGAGTGCGGAGTTGAGTGACTGAGACATTGCTATCGTAGGTTCTGGTGTGCTTTGGAGATTGTCCACGAAGTGTTGGTGTTATGTGAATTGTACATTGTATGTATTTATTTTGGCAGTAGGTCGTGGGTGGTCGCATGGTTGCAAGGGACAACCAAGTATCGGATGACGGAACGGAGAAACATGGAAGAGCAGACGCCAAGAGCTGCGGCTCTTTCCGCGTGCGAATCTCGAAATCCAAGAACGTCCACGCCCGCTCGAAGTGAAGAGACGACATCACCCAGCGAGATATCAGGCACAACACCGTCGAGATGCCTGTACGTATGCCGATGAGGTCCACGGATTTTATGATGAACTAATAAACTGCTTGCAGTCCCACAAGACCTTCCGCACGAAGCAAAAGCTTGCGAAGGCTCAGAAGCAGAACCGCCCAATTCCTCAGTGGATCCGCCTGAGAACTGGCAACACCATCCGGTACGATCACGCCGACTCATGCGAACATTGAGCAGAGGAAACCATGAGGGAGAGAAATTAGATGGGACTGGAACGAGGACTAACAGCTTCCAGCTACAACGCTAAGCGACGACACTGGCGCAAGACTCGCATCGGTATCTAAGCGACTCGCCCCAACTACGATACTACTCTCAGCGGACGTCAAGCGGCACTACGATATACCACGACTCAATCGAGAGGAGGACGTTTGCAGCCATCGGCGCTGAATACGTGTTGGATGGCTGCGGCGGACTCTGGGACCAAGAAGCATTGCATCGCGTTATGGACATCAGGCGTTAGTATCGCATGGAGCGATGGAATGCTACTTATGCTGGCTATGATCAAGTCTTGCTGAGGAGATAGCGGACATGCAAATGAGAAAGCTTTGAAAATGCCATGACTCTGTTTTTTCTTTCTCTCGTGCCGAGGGCTGTTTGGCTAACTACTTCACGACGGATGGTTGGCCCTGCCGGAGTACCGTTCGCAGAGGCTATAGCGATCACGATATGACTATGGTTCACAGCCTGTCTTCGACATTCAAGCTGAACTACCAGTGCAAAGCAATGGATCCCCATATGCATTTACAGGCTACGGCGTGGGTAAGTAGTATGAGGAAAATCGAGATACCCGCGGGTACTACTCGACCCTGCATGCCTTCATCATACCTGATTCGAGCATGCCGCTGGTCGAGATTGAATCATGATTCTACTTGTATCGAAGCTCTTCATGTTCGCGCAAGTCATATTATTCACGCTGTCTTATCTTGCTCGTTTTCTCATTCTCTACAGTAGTCGAACAGTACTTTTTATTGTCTGTCCGCATAAGTCCAACATGGTGAGACTGCGCTGTCGATAGATCGAGCAGCGTTAGGTATGCGTGGATGGATGTTTTGCGTAGACAGCCAAGGCCAAGTTCAAGATGGCCTGGATTTCTGCCTCAGGACTCCAAACCACATGTACTCTCTTCCCATCTCCTCCGACATACAACAACCATCCATCATGACTACCAACGCGCTCGCCATTCCATCGACCAGTCATCCCTCCTAGTTGGCTAGTCCAATGCAGGCGTTATCAGGCGCGTCGCTACCAAGACTGTCAGCGCGATGCCCCGCCTCGACTTGGGAAGGGGACGAGATACCGATTCGGGCAAAGGTTTGCAAAGCTCACCTGTTGCCGCAGGAGAGGTATCCTGACCCTTCGCACGCGGATGACATGACCCCACTAGACATGCTACGCGATACGCGTATCCTCATTGCGGTCGGTATGCCTCGAACTGAAGTACTGCTGGTTTGTATACCTGTACTTATCTAGGCGTGGAACACCCACTCCCGCGTTTACTGATCTCCCGTCTGGCAATACATCTCTCGGAAGTCAGGTACTTTATACATCCTTGTTTACCGGACTACTACAGTCTGAGATACCTCCATCACCGCCATCTCCCCTCTGTGACGTGTGTTCATCTGCTGTGAACACACATCCACTTCAAACGACCGGCTTATGTTTGGACCGCTATACGATTACCCACTGCAGGCACTCGCAGACATGTCCGCCTCAAGCGGCACTGCTTGGAGGCTACAGACACAGCGCGTGGTGATCATAGGCGCTGGTATTGTTGGCACAAATGTCGCAGATGAGCTAGTCTCTGCAGGCTGGAATGATATCACAGTTGTTGAACAAGGACCATTGGGTATGCCAGGCGGTTCTACCTCACATGCTCCAGGCCTGGTGTTTCAAACGAATTCTTCAAAGACGATGACACACCTTGCGAAATACACCAGGGACAAGCTCTCGTCTCTAGAGAAGGATGGGCAGAGTTGCTTCAATCCAGTAGGTGGATTGGAGGTGGCGACGACCCCGGCACGTGTGGAGGAACTCAAGCGCAAACATGGCCTAGCAGCGTCTTGGGGCATCGATGCACGTCTCATCAGTCCGGCAGAGTGCTTGGAGCGATATCCACTCCTTGACAGAGGCAAAGTGCTGGGTGGGTTGTACATTCCTAGTGATGGATTAGCCTTGGCAGCACGAGCCGTACAACTCTTGATTGAGCGAACGCGAAAGGCGGGAGTTCGCTATCTTGACTTGACACCGGTGACGGGAATCGAACGCGAAGATGGGCGTGTCACAGGTGTCGAGACGACGAGAGGGGTGATTCCAGCCGATATCATCGTGTCCTGTGCCGGCTTCTGGGGAGTTGAGATTGGAGCTATGGTGGATCTTCCAATACCACTGCTCCCTCTCGCTCACCAGTACGCAAAGACAACTCCATTGCCATCGCTGAAAAGACGCAACAACCCGCCGAATTGGGCATCTCTGCCTATATTGCGCCACCAGGATCATGATCTCTACTATCGTGAACATGGGGACCAATATGGAATTGGCTACTACGGACACAAGCCAATGCCAGTTGTGGCGGCATCGCTTGGAATCACGCCCATGCAAGTGAACGAGAAGAACATGCCATCTCGCCTTCAATTCACGCCCGAAGACTTTGCGCCAGCATGGAAAGAGTCTCAAGAGTTACTACCAGCAATGCGAGAAGGTCAGATCGAGGACGGCTTCAACGGAATTTTCTCCTTCACGCCCGACGGAGGCCCTATCTTTGGACAACATCCAACACTCGATGGGTTCTGGGTAGCTGAGGCAGTATGGGTCACACACTCTGCTGGTGTAGCTCGCGCGATCGCGCAAACGCTTACTACAGGACATTCTGAGATTGATATGGCAGAATGCGAGATTTCTCGCTTCGAGGATGTGCAGACAGCACCCGAGTACGTTAAAGAGACGTCGATGCAGAACTTCGTGGAGGTATATGATATTCTGCATCCTGCCGACCCGAAAGAATCGCCACGGAACCTGCGAGTGACGCCTTTCTACTCACGACAGAAAGAGCTTGGTGCATACTTTCTCGAGCAGCGCGGCTGGGAACGTCCTCATTGGTACGAAGCGAATGCGGCGCTTGTCGACCAACTGCCTTCCCAGTGGCGACCGGTCGATCGTGATGTCTGGTCAAATAAGCACTACTCTCCCATTGCGGCTGCTGAAGCGTGGAAAACCAGGACAGCTGTGGCGATGTTTGACATGACACCTCTGCATCGACTGGAGGTCTCTGGACCCGGGGCCGTTGAACTCCTCCAACGGCTGAGCACAGGTGACATGTCCAAGAGGGCTGGTTCTGTCACGTACGCGATGCTTTTGAACGAACAAGGCACGATTCGAAGCGATATCATTGCTTCTCGTATCGAAGACAACCTGTTCCAGGTCGGTGTCACCAGTCATACGCACTTTGATTACCTTAGTCGCGAGGCCCGCTGGCAAAGTCAGCACTCTCCCAGCCTTAGTAGATGGGTGCAGGTGCGTGACGTGACAGGTGGTACCTGCTGCGTTGGTCTATGGGGTCCTCGTGCGCGCGACGTCGTCAGCTCGGTCAGCAAGGACGACTTCAGTGAAAGTGGCTTTGGGTACCACGAAGTGAAGAAAGTGCATATCAACGGCATTCCAGTGACAGCGATCCGCCTGACGCATGTTGGCGAGTTGGGCTGGGAGCTTGTCACCAGCGCTGAGAACGGGCAGCGGCTCTGGGATACTCTTTTCACGGCAGGCCAGCCACATGGTATCGCGGCAGCAGGACGCATCGCGCTCAATGCGTTGCGAATGGAGGCGGGCTATCGAGACTGGGGATCAGACATGACGACTGAGCATGATCCATACGAGGCAGGAGTTGCTACGACCATTGACGCACGAAAGTCCGGCTATGTTGGACATGGGGCGCTCAGAAGCAGATATCGACCGTCTCGAAAGCTGCGATCTCTCGTGATTAACGACGGCCGTTCTGTGGTGCTGGGCAAAGAGCCTGTCTTTGTTGCAGGCCAGGCACGGGGCTATGTCAGCAGTGCTGCCTTTGGCTATAGCATCGGCAAACCCATTGCCTACGCCTGGCTCCCCAGTGGCATCATGGAGGGCGAAGTTGTTGAAATTGAGTACTTCAGCAGGCGTATCCGGGCTACTGTCACAGCAGACCCGCTCCTGAGACTCGCGGCGACGAAGGCTCCGTCCGAGCACGCAAGGAGCGGGAGACAAGATCCTTGGGGAGGGGTGCAAATGACAGCTAGGGCCAAGTTGTGATGGGTAGGTACAGTGGTCGACATCGAAGGCCTATGCACACGAATCTCATGAAATGACGAAGCATGACTGGCGTTGGGGCACTTGGGGGCTACTGGCGGTAGATGCCTAGATGGTAATTCTCGTGAGCGTCATCACCGTAGAAGTACCTTGCTGCGCACTCTGAACTCGGCAACAATGGCAATTCGCTTCATCTTACTCATATATTGCTGCCAAAACATCCACGCGAGTTGCGCCATGATGCATGCCATGCAGTCAGTCAGCCTCCTCCCCATGCGTGGTGGAGCACCGTGGAGGGATATGGTCGAAGCAAACGTCACGCTCTCTCAGCCTACCTAGGGGCTAGGTACAGTCAGTCAGTACATGTTAGTCACTAGACTCACTATCTACCTAGCTGTATAGACATGGGCATAACTAGCGGTGAATTTGAGAGAGACATGATGCATGCGGTGGCCGTTGGAGGAGGGAGATGCTTTTCTTCCCGATTTGGTGCTAGTATCCCCAGAGTCACCCTTATCTGTGGCTCAGCCAGTGTTTGTGGTTCGGCACGAGCCTTCTTTCCCAAGCTTCGGTGCTGCCGACGTCTTCACGAGCGTTGCAGCTGGATGTTTCCTCCAGAAAGGGATACTGCGATCCGTTGTCCATCATACGAACCACTTTGTTTTTATACCTGACCTGACGTGTGTGCGTGTGCGTGTGCGTGGGCGTGTGGCCCGACGCCTTCCGATCAAGGGTGATGGGATGGCTAGGTAAGGTAGGTAGGTATTCTTGTCGCTCATATCGCTCCCGTCTACCAGCATGACCAAACCCCCCCTCCTTTCCCCAATGCAAGCCACTGTTGCCCAGACGAGGAGCGTGTAGCCCATGTGTAGGTAAAGAATCACCTTTATTGTCTATGGGGAGGGGGATGGTCTGGAGCCAACCCAAACCCCCTCTCCCCCCCATTAGCAGGAGGTACAGGCTAAGATCACGATGTGTGTGCTGCCCGTCATTCTACCAAACTCACTGGTACCGTACCACTCAACCGAAAGCGCTATTCTGCCGCATTCGTGGCAGAACTTTCCCGAGGAGGGCTGACTATCAAGCGATGATGAGACCATGAATGATAGCTAGCTAGCCATCGCTGCCCCAAAACAAATCTTGATAGCGGTCTCGCCAGGCTCGCCTTACGATATGAAGGATGGGTGGCGAGAGGTGTGTTATCAAACAAGACAGCGATAGGGACCTGTTCATTTTCACTCGGTGCGGTGCGAGCCCGAGATAGAAGGCCTGGATATTATTGGCTCAAAGGAGTGCTGGATGAGTGCAACCGTATCCGGGAGCCTGCAAGAATGGGTGGTCTCAGCATTCTCTAACTCGAAACGGACGCCACGATCCCGATGGCAATTGGGACATCCATCCCCCATGGGGTTTGGTAGCACTTTGGTCAGGACCAGGGGATGTTGATACTGAACACCATATATGCCTGCGTAGGTTGATATGTGTGTTGGTACGATGTGACTTTCCCTCCCCCTTCAATCATCTCATACCTGACCTTCAAGTTACCTTAGTAGCTGGGAAGAACATTTCCAATTCTTCATCCATCATCATCATCATTACCTACCTTACTTGTACTGTTGTGACACATTAACCTCACAACAATCATGCCCAGAAAAGATTCCGTGGCATCTGGTCTGTTGGGCTACTTTGGCTTTGGAGCCTCCCCTCCACCGGAAGAAGAGCACAAGAACGATGCCACTCGAGCTCTCCCGGCCAGCTGGTATCAATCCAAAGAAATGTACGAGCTCGAACGACGAGCCATTTTCTCCCGTAAATGGCAACTCCTCACGCACCAGAACCGCTTCGTCTCCGCCGGCGATTTCCTCCGTTTCCCCATCGCAGGCTTCAACATTCTTCTCGTCAAAGACCGACAAGGAAAAATCAATGGTTTCCACAACGTCTGTCGACATCGTGCCTTTCCCGTCGTCACCAAAGATTCCGGGACGGCGAGAATTTTCTCGTGCAAATACCACGGATGGTCGTATGGATTGAATGGGAAATTGGCCAAAGCTCCGGGTTATCAAGACTTGGATGGATTTCAAAAGGAGAATAATGGTTTGCTTCCGATTCATGTGCACATTGACCGCACGGGTTTCGTCTGGGTCAATCTCGATGCCAAGGAGACGCCGGAAGTGGCGTGGGAGGATGACTTTGAAGGCGTCGACACGCAGGAGCGATACCAGCAGTTCAATTTTGAAGACTATGTCTTTGATCACTTTTGGGAGATGGAAGGGGATTACAATTGGAAAATTTTGGCCGACAATTATAACGAATGTTATCACTGTCCTACCACTCATCCCGACATCGGCGCTCTGGCAGACTTGTCTTCTTATTCTGTCAACACTACAAAGGGACAAATCATTCATGATGCCGCTACGACTGATGAGCAGCGTCGAGCGGGTTTGATTGTTGCTGCAAGTTATTATTTCCCTAATGTCTCGACTAATATCTCGTAAGTCATCCCTCACTCACCCCTTTCTCTCTCTCTCTCTAAAGCATCATTAACTAACAACAAAAAAAAAACCAGACCCCACTTCTTCATGATCCAACGATTCGTCCCCAGCAGCGCCTCCACCTCCTCCATGCAATACCAAGTCTTCCGCAACAAACACTCTTCCACGGCAGATTTCACGCTCGTCAGCGAAATCTACAAACGCATCATGTCCGAAGACAAAGACCTGTGCGATCTCGCGCAGAAAAACCTCAATGCGGGAGTTTTTATCAATGGTGAAATGCATCCCAAAATGGAAAAAGGGCCGTTGTTTTTTCAACGGAGTGTTAGAGAGGCTGTTGTGGGGCATTGGGCGAAAGAGCAGGAGGGGGGCAAGAGGGAGATTTGGCCGGCGAGACAGGAGTTGCCTGAGGCGGCGAATTCGAGGGTTGCGAGGGAGGATATGGAGTTTTGTGAGGGGTTGAAGTGTAAGCAGGAGAAACAGGAGTTGTTGGCTTGGTGAGATGTGGGGAGGATTTTTGAGAGTGAAGGAAGGATGGGGCTTGATGGGAAGGTTGCTTTTCTTTTTTTGAACGATGTTATGATAGCGTTTTTCGGTTCTGTTTTTGCTTTTTTTTTTCTTTTAATGATGACAGACAGATACTTGGCAGTCGAGTTGTTTCTTCAATCAATTGTAGGGCGTTGCTAGGATGATGGGTGGTTGGTAGGGATAGGGGTAGCTAGATTTGGATCATGACTGCAATGCAGAGAGAGAGATATAATTGTTCTTTAGGTAGTAGTGAATGGAATATATTTACCTGAGATTGATACTACATTAGCTGGGTAAGGTATATACCTGATACTTGTTGTTGTTGTTGTTGTTGAAGTATTTCCTTCCTTCTCTCTTCTTTCTTTCTCCCTTTCCCCCTTTCTCCCTTTCTCCCTTTCTCCCTTTCTCCCTTCCTCCCTTCCTCCCTCCCCTAAGGTACCTAAGGTCATCTCGAATTCTCTCTAGAAATTCCGATATCGCGGGGAGTTGATTTTTACTCACCTATGTATGACCCCACCCGCCTTGCGTAACAGAGACGGGTCAGTGGGGATGTATATTGTTGGAGGGTTGAGATGGAGAAAACGAGAAAGGAGAGACGAGATCTTGCACCATCTATATTTGTGGGCCTATCTAACAAGCTGGAACGTTTTTTTCCCAAGCCCGAGTCCTTTTTTATCATGCTATCGTGATCTTATCTGGCCGGGATAGGCCTTGCCTTTCAATGGGGTCATGGCCATGGCTTACTCCAGGCCCAGATCGAGTGCTGTGGCTTCATTGACAACAGAGCTCTTATGTGACTCAGTCACGAGGTCGTTTGTATCCCAAAGACTCCAGTACTGCGGCGCGCAGGGCTCACAGGACGGAGGAGTCACCAGCATCCTAAGCCAGAGTCTTCTCCGTCAGCTCGATGCCATACTTCTTCTGCAGCTCGAGACGAAGGGGCTCGACCAGCTCTGGAGTGACCGGCGCAAGCACACCCTTTTGCTTAATCGTACCATCCAGCACAAGCAAAACAGCGACTGCGCAAGGAACACCGACCAGCTTGGCCATTGCACTGTAACCTCCACTGCCTTCTGGTTCACCATATTCGGCAAGTGTAGAAGTCCTCAACTCCTTCTTGCCATCTTGCCAGGTGATTTCGAACTTGTGCTGAAGCATGACAAAGTCCCGTTCGCCTTTCTCGTATTGCTGCTTCTTCTCGAGCGTGGCGCAGAGGACGTCAAGCGGAGTACCGCGAGGCTCAATCTTGTCGTCACTGAAGAGGCCATACCATCGAAGACCGGCGAGAATGCGGTCCTTGGCATCGTTGTCGGTGAACTTGGTCTTGGAGGTGACGGCCCATTCGAGATCCTTCACATTGTGACTCGAAGAACCGACAATCTTGGCAAAGGCTTCCTTCCAGGCGATGGGCTGCTTGAGGTAGTCTTGTGGCTCTTCGCTGAGCAGACCGAGGTCACGGAAGGTCTGCACAATCGATGGGTTGCCCTAGAATGATGTCAATAATGGCAAGAGCGAGAAGAAGAGATGCAAATGTGCTCACCTGGTAACGAAGCGTGCCACGAATGAGCGTCTCGGCCTCGGGAATGTTGTATCGCTGTCTGTACGGTGTGCTGTCACGGTTAGGGTAGGCCTCGAAGGCATAACCGGGGTAGATGAAGTATGGCTTGGCAGATCTCATCAGGTCCTTGCCCTCAATCTCGGCTTTCTTGTTGTCCTGGTAGAAGGTGGCAGTGTTGCGAGCAGCGAGAAGCACACCACGTGGCGACCAGGAGAACTTGTAACCGAGCGGGTTGTCCGAGTTCTCGGGAGCGGGCAGACCACCACAGTAGGACCAGAAACCGGTGATCTTGCCGCCGGCCTTGTGCACCTCATCGATAGTCTTGACAGCATACAAGTGGTCCAAACCCGGATCCAGGCCAATCTCGTTGAAGACGGTGATGCCGGCGTCCTTGGCGGCCTGATCCAGCTCCTGCATGGCTGGAGAGACGTATGAAGTGGTGACGACATGCTTCTTGACGGCGATGGCGGCCTTGATGACGAGGGCGTGGAAGGTGTATGGGATGAGAGAAATGACCAAGTCGTTCTTGGCAATCTCCTCCTCCAGGGCCTTGCTGTCGTTGACGTCGAGGGAGATGGCGCTGGCGTGCTTGAGGTCACCAGCGACGAGTTTCTTGGCACTGTCGAGAGTGCGGCAGGCGACAGTGACCTGCACGCCCGCCTTGTCGAGCTCGACCAGCGTGGGTCGGACGACGAAGCCGGCGCCGAGAAGGAGTACTTTTCTAGCCATGATGTTGTGAGTGGGTGGATTGGTAGGCTGGAAGTGAAGGAAGGACTGGAGGGAGCATTGGAGAATGAGTGGATGGATGGTGGGGTTGACTCACTGTGTCATGATGTTGCTTCTCAATGCAGTAATTGTGATGAGGGTGAGGGTGGAAGAGAGATCACTGGGGGAGGTGTGTGGTAGATATGGCTATAGATGTCCGCTTAGTGACGGGATTCGATAACTCTAGCGGTGCTGGAACGAGACACCTTGAAGCAGTGAACTTCCTCTTTCTCTCTCTCTTCTCTCTCTCCGTCTCTCAGTGAATGGGCCAACCAACTCCGAAACAATTTTCCGCACTTGGCATCATGTCATTGCTGACTCTGCGCCGATCTCGCTTTGCCAAGAGTGATGAGGAGCCTAAGGCATCAAGAAACACATACACACAGGATTCAGCCCCAGTGCGTCACCTGACGTGACTTGGCAAGACGCGCAGACGCGTAAACGCGGATCCAGCTGATCGTCGCGGACTTCTAGCAAGTAGGTTAATATTATGGTTCTAGTCGTCGCGCTACTCCTTCTAGTCCAACGACTTGTCCATTGTGCCGAGGACATTCAAGGCGTCGCATCCAGCTGTCCTTACCTGATGTGAACTCTCTCTCTCGTGTAGACCATCTTTATAACCACCCGAGCCCTTGCCCCTCTTTGGTCTGCCTGCCAACAATCAGGTGTTCTCGAGACATTTCATTATCTTACCAGCAACCAGTTTGAACATGGGCGACTTTCCTCTTCAGCAGCGCCAAAAAGTGCTCAAGGTGCTGATCATCTCCTTGATCTTAGATCTGGTAAGGAAGCTTCCTGCTGGTTCCATGTCGGCAGTCGTCCGGAGCGCTCCTTCCTTCAAACGGTGTCCATACCTTAGCCGGCTGACACGTCGCGAGTCGCGCCTTCCTTTTAGATTTCCTTCACCTTCATCCTGCCCTTGTTCCCCAAGCTGCTTGAGTTCTACCGCAATGTCGAGACCCAATCCGATTCCACCGTGCTGTCCCAAGTGCTCTACGGCCTGAACGCCTACAAAAACAGCTTCGAGAGGCCCATCAACGACCGCTATGACATTGTCCTGCTCGGAGGCGCCCTGGGCTCGCTCTTCTCCCTCTGCCAGGCCATTGTCTCTCCCATCATTGGCGCCTTGTCCGACAAATATGGCCGACGTACCGCCCTGCTCTGCTCCATGTGCGGCAACATTGCCTCCGTCGCCCTCTGGTGTGCTGCCACCGACTTTCGCACCTTTCTGGCCAGTCGGATCGTGGGAGGATTGAGTGAAGGTAATGTCCAGCTTGCGCTTGCCATAGCCACCGATATCTCGACCGACCAGGACCGCGGCAAGACCATGGCTCTGGTGGGCGCTTGCTTCTCTGTCGCTTTCACTTTCGGCCCCGCCCTGGGCGCGTGGCTGTCCGGGATCAACAGTGTCGCCGCGAACCCCTTTGCAACCGCTGCCGGCGTCTCGCTTGCCCTCATTGTCACTGAGACCATCTACCTCTACTATGCCCTGCCTGAAACCCATCACGCTCACCAGCCCAAGACGAATGGCAGCAGCACGAAAGCGACCGATAACAATGCCCCGCTCGAGAAGCACACGAGAACCAACTCCCACCTGCTGCTGAACATGACCCACTTTGCCTTCATCCTCTTCTTCTCTGGCATGGAGTTCTCCCTCCCCTTCATGACCTACGACCTTTTCTCCTACGGCTCCAAGCAGTCCGGCAAGCTCCTCGGCTTCATCGGCCTGGTCGCCTCGATCCTGCAGGGAGGCGTGACCCGACGGATGCACCCTCTACGCGTGGTGCAGCTGGGAGTCGTGTCAGCTGCCATCGCCTTCTTCCTCCTTTCCAGGACAACATCCGAGAAAGAGCTCTATACCGCAGCAGCATTACTGGCAGTGACGAGCTCGACGGTGGTCACGGGTCTGAACAGCCTGAGCAGCTTTGAAGCGAGCAAAGATGAGCGAGGAGAAAAGTTGGGAAATCATCGGAGTTTTGGACAAGCAGGAAGAGCATTGGGACCTTTGATCTTCTGCACTCTATACTGGTGGACAGGGAGAGATACCGCATACATGATTGGTGGCTCGGGCATGGTTGCTGTATGCGGACTCGTCTTTGGGGGGCTCAAGGCGCCCAAGGGACTGGAGGTCAAAAAGCCAGTGAAGGCAGCAAAAGCAGCGGTTGCGAATGGCACCGCTCAGGCGAATGGGAGCATGAAGAAGGCATGATGAGAGAGAGAAAGACTGATAGTGTATAGTTGGTTTAAATTCTTTGATCGATCCATGTCGATATGCCGCTTCATATGCAATAATGCAACGCAATGCGATGCAACGCTCAAAATGCAAGACCTGTGTCCCGCCACCCTCTTCCCGAACGCCAAAAGACCAATCCCGACCACAGATTCCAGCCGCTGTCGTCGTATGCGCCAAAGCCCAATATTCGCAAGGGACTGATGATCAAAGGCTCATACAACCATACGCCCCCTCGGGCAAAATCATCCACCAGCAGTGGAGCAGTCCAGTAGAGCCAAATCATGGTCACAGCAAAATTCCCCATTCCTCTTATCCACGACGGAATCTTCTCTCTCCACCCTCTCGCCTTCATGTATCCCGCAATTCCCGTCTGCACTATGATCCCCACAGCCTGCAACATGAAGAAACTCCACGGCCCTCGCACCGGTCTCGTATCTCCCAATTGCGTCCAACTCCCACAAGCATGTAAAAACCCTGATAATCCAAACGCTACCATCACACCCACCATTTTCCCCCTCGCAGTCTTTTTCTTTTTCTCCATGTGTTGTTGCTGACCCCCGCACCAAAATTCCAGTATCCTCTCCGTCGGACACGTAAACGCAAACCGAAACGTCTGATGCCAAAAACCTCCCCACCAACCCGCCAGACCATGACGACAAATTTGCGGGAAAAAATTTCCGAAGAAATCTACAGGGTTGAGAAGGGGTTCGCCGCGCAAACCGAGGATTTGCGGGCGGAGAATTTGACAGAAAAGTAGGGGGCTGAGGCGGAAGATGGTGTTGAGTGCTAAAAGAATTCCGAGGAGGCTGAGGAGTAGGCGGTAGGTTTGGAGGATGATGGGGGTTAGGATTGTGTTGTTGTTTTGGGGAAGGAGATGGTGGAGCCATAAAGGGGGGCCGGAGTCGGTGTAGCCCCAGAAATAGGGGTCGTGGTGCATTAGAGTTTTGATGATGTCGAGAGCGAGGGATTGGAGGATTAGGCGGGGAATGATGTATTGGAGAAGGTGGTGGCGAGAGGTGGTGATGAAGCGAGTGATGCCTGTGTAACTGACGGTTTTGATCAGCTTTGGGTTGTTGTTGTTGCGGGTTGTCGAAGTCGATGAGGGGGAAGTCATGTCTTGTTCGTCCTCCTCGACGACGTCGTAGCCGAGAAGTTGCAGTTCAATGTATTTGGGTGGTTTGGGAATTCCTGACGTTTGGAAATTCCAACCTATACCCCGGAAATTGCAAAAGAGGTCCATGATCCAGTCGAGACGGGAGAGGAAGGGTTGGGTTGGGTAGGATTGCCAGAAGACGGGGCCGGTTCGTTGACAAGGGAGTTGGGTTGCATAGGCCTCTGAGGATTGGAGTGCAGCTTTTCTGGCGAGTTTGTTTGCTTTTGCTGTTGCTGATGCTGATACTGATGATAATGTCGTCTGCAGCTTTCCATCGGATTCCGGTCCGGTAACGGTTGTACCATTTTGATATTGAAGAGCCTTGTGCAATGCAGCTTCATCTGCTCGTTCCAAGCGCTGAAAATCTCTTTGACAATCGTTGAAGAACATTAATGAGGCGATCCAGAGCGTTCCCCAGGCGGATACGAGTCCCACTCCATAGGCAGCTGGTGCACTTCGTGCTTTCACGTTGAAAATGGTCCATGCGGAGAAGGCGACCAAGACGCCAAATATGGGAAAACGTAGCGCTTGGAGGGTCGGACTCTGTCGATGATCGAAGAGGAGATAGACGAAACAGAGCAACGGTCCGAGTGTGGCCCAGGGATAGATGAAGGGGAAATATTCGCCCGAGTCAATGTAGGCATTGTAGCGTTGATCGTAGTAGGCTTGGACTTGTCGTGGCGTTTCCAGACCTGGAGGGAGCATTCTTGTTATTGGGTGTTGAGGGTTGATTTTGGTAGTGATGTTCTGATTGTCATGGTTTTTTTGATACAGGTATCTACAGAATGTAAATCACACTTACGTTGAGAAAAGGAAGCTGAAAAAGATTGCAAAGCGAAAAGTGGAACACGTCGAAAGCGTCGAAGTTGCGTAGAAATCAAGTTACACGACGTCACTCGACTGTGGCTGAGGTTGGGTGGGAGGCGAAAAGGCTTATCTCGCGGCTCAGACCTTCCACTTACCAGTAAAGACTTAGCGTGAAGATGTGGAGAGGGGTCTGAAGTCCGAGACAACGAATAAATCTCCACTTCACTTCCAAGCAGACAGGCAAGACCATCAACAACATCGACACACACACTTCTCTCCTCTCTTTCCCTTGACAAGCAACGCTCGCGGCACCGCGAGCACCTACCGCCATCATGGTGAATATCACGGATAAGATCAAGGAGTAAGAAAGACATTAGCTGCCCGCGAAGGCGAATGAATTCTCCGAAGCTGATTGGCGGCGTTGTTGCATGCATGCAGAATTGAGGAGGAAATGAGCAAAACACAGAGTATGGGAGTGATCCGAACATGATTCCAGCCATGCAACCCGACTGACGGTTTGAAGAGAATAAGGCTACTAGTATGTTGTTGTTGTCGTTGTCGTTGTTGTTGTGACTCGCTACGGCGATGAGCTGGACCAGGACACTTGTGCTGAGTAGTGTCGTCAGATTATCATTTGGGTCTGCTGAAGGGGTATGTGTATCTGCTCGATACGTTTCTAGGGCTGGGAGACGACAGCCACCGCTCCTGGAACCCCTCTATCTAGCACTCGTCGTAACGACTGACATGTACCAGAAAGCTCGCGCGACTACGAGCACAGCTTCTCGAGCCCACCAAAGCCGCAGGATCAGAGGGCACAGGCTTCGATGTCAGCAAGTCCGGCGATGCTCGAATAGCACTGGTCGGCTTCCCTTCGGTCGGAAAGTCCACCTTCTTGTCCAAGATCACAAAGACCAAATCCGAAGTTGCAGCATACTCCTTCACCACACTCACCGCAATTCCTGGCGTGCTCGAATATGGCGGTGCCGAGATCCAAATCCTCGATCTGCCCGGTATCATCGAGGGTGCTGCAGAGGGAAAGGGCAGAGGTCGACAGGTCATCTCCGCTGCCAAAACGAGTGATATGATTGTCATGGTTTTGGATGCGACGAAGCGAAAGGAGCAACGTGCACTGCTGGAAGCGGAACTCGAAGCGGTGGGGATCCGACTGAATCAAGACCCACCGAACATCTACCTGAAGCCGAAAGCAGCGGGGGGTGTCAAAATCACTTTTCAAGCTCAGCCGAAGAATCTGGATCAGAAGATGCTGTACAATATCCTCAAAGGTTACCGCATTTTGAATGCAGAGGTATTGATTCGAGATGAGAATGGTACGTACGAGTTTTCTTTTAGTTTTTTTTTTCCTCCTTCCCTTCCCCAATACTACAACTACTAACCTCTTACAAAACTCCACAGCCACCGTCGACCAATTCATCGACGTCATCATGAAAGACCACCGCACATACATCAAATGCCTGTACGTGTACAACAAAATCGACAGCGTCAATCTCGAATTCCTCGACAGCCTCGCTCGCGAACCGCACACGGCCGTCATGAGCTGCGAACTCGACCTGGGCGTACGCGACGTCGTCGACCGCTGCTGGACCGAATTGAATCTGATACGCATCTACACGAAGCGCAAAGGCGTGGATCCCGATTTCGCCGAAGCGCTGATTGTGCGGCACGGAAGCACGATTGAGGATGTCTGCGACGCGTTGCATCGGAGTATGAAGGATAGTTTCAAGTATGCCCTCGTGTGGGGTGCGAGTGCGAAGCATGTGCCGCAGAGATGTGGATTGGCGCATGTGGTGGCGGATGAGGATGTGGTGAGTATTGTGGGGACGAAGAGTGGGTTGAATGCGGAGACGAAGTAGTGGTTGTCTGAGTGTGAGTTGAGTGAGATGAGATGAGATGAGAAACAAGAAAGAGGGCCTGAAATGAGCTTTTTCTTTCCCGCCTCATGGGCAGATGACCAATTTCTCGAATTGTGCCTATTACATTTGCATACCTTGTGCTGATTGTCATCTTCTATACGGAGAATCATTCATTTTCTCCGATCCCGATATGATATCCATTTTGAACTTTGGAAAGGGTATGTACCTAGTACCGCCTCTTTTCTTTTTCTTCTTTTGGGGGGAAGAAAGGAAAAAGGCATTTTGGATGAGAACTGAAGTCTATTACTATATATCTGTCGATTGGAGCAGTCGCACACACTAACATGCTGTTGCTGTCCTACGGATTTGCTCTTCCTCCACTGCGAGCAACTGTTTAAAATAAAAGAACAAAAGGAATGTGATATGATCCTCCCCAAGAAGACCGTATTTTTTTTTCTCTTGGCTTGTCCGAGTTTGACCAATGTTGTGATGATTCACCTCACCTCACCTCCCCGTTCGTTTCCCGTCCTTCCCCAATGGGACTCCCATCGTTCCTGCTTAAACCAAGTAGATGGTTTACAACATCTTCACCGGCGAACCAATAACACCACCCAAACCCCTCTTAGAAGCCTTCGCAATCGGCGCACCAGAAGCATCACAAGTAGGCTTAAACACCTCCAAATCATACAACCAAGCCCCCGAGTTAAATTCCGAATACACAGTATCAATGACCCAAGCCTCCTGCTCACCACCCTGACAAACCTCCATAACAATAATTCCTTGAACCTGCTCCTGCGGCGTCGGGCCCGTAGCCTGTGGCTGAGGAGATTTCCATCGCATCGCGACAAAATCACATCCGTGCCAAACATTCAAAATCTCAAAGGGAATGTTGGGTTGCGAACCTTGACCTGCTTGGAAAGATTCCAGAGAAGTGAAGGTGGGCGAGCCGAGGGGTTGAGGACCGTTGGGACAGCCCGAGTTGATGAGTGTGTTGACGCCGTCGGAGTAGTCGTGGAAATCTTCGGTGAGGTAGGCGGCGGCTGAGGCGTTGGAGTAGTTGGTGATGAGGGATCGGAAGTTTTCTGCGACTTTTTGCGCCGCGCCGTCGTCTAGGCAGGGTTGGCCTCCTCCTCCTCCTTGCTTTTGTTGGTGAGAGGCGCCGTTTTGGCCTCCGGAGGGCATGGCGGAGCACATGCTGGCGGCGGCGAGGCCGGCGAAGGAGAGGATGGTGGTGGTCAACATCTTGAGTATTATTATGGTATGGTCTTCTTTGGTGGGAATGTGTTGTAGTAAACGAGTGTGGGTTCTGTCTGTCGGGTGGGTGGTGATTAAGCTTGTTAAAGGTGTGTACCTAGAAGCTGATTGACAGAAGGATGCTGAGATGGTCAGCAGTGGAAGGATGCAAGCGTATATATGCAAAATCTCTCTCTCTCTCTCTGTCTCTCCCACAGAGCAGTAAGTTAGTCTCCACAGTGATGATGATACAGTCAGTCCTTCTAATCTGAGAAGGTTCAAGCGTAACTCCGAATTATGTGAAGCCCCGATCGTGTGAGTGTGTGTGTGAGAGAGAGACAGAGATAGACGTGCTCCATCATCATCATCATCATCATCATCATCATCCTCCTCATGCTGTGATACACTAATAAAAATAATATGCTGTACCCACCCTCAAGGTACAACCTTATCCACCATTTCCCTTTCTCCTCTCTCACTCACATATACCCATAGTTTTAATAAAGGGGGTAGGTGGACAAGAGAAACTTGGACATTTGTGTAAAAAGTGAAAAAGGCAGGCCTTTCCATGCGAATGAGCCGCCTTGGGAGCCGCTCAACCGGTCGACTTAACAACAACAACAATACCTCCTAACAAGTTCACAAGTTTAAAAACAACAACAACAGCAACATGAAGTTTTTTTTAAAAATTTCAATATATACCCTGTACGCAGCCTTTCGGATCCGAAGGCGATAGTTCTCCGGTTCGACTTTTTCAAGTTCCACTACCGGGCTGGGCGACTCACTCACTCGGCTTCACCGGCCGGCCGGCTGACAGGTTGAAACTTAAAATATGCAATGTCTATCGTATGGGGATAGATGGTGGATGGATCAGCCTTTCGAATCAGCCAAGAGGCTTCACTCACTCCTTCAGGAGGTTAGGGGAGTAAGCTGACGAACTACAGTACCTCCTAGGTATACTGTATACAACAATAGATAGATACTTTCTCCAATCCAGTAGTTAGACTTCAGTCTTCTGATCGTGAGTAATAAGAGCCGGTTCGCGACACTTTCCAAACGTCCGTCCGTCTATTGTTTCATCACTTTTCACTTTTTTCGGCTTGTAAACTTGACTCCCAATATAAGCTTCTTCTACAAACCAAGTTTTATTGTACCTGTGCTTGTGCTACAGAGAGAGAGATAAAACTTTTCTTACATTTCAACATTTTGTAAGGGCTGCGGTTGAGACATAAGATGTGTGGCTCGCTCGCCATTTTGGTAGGGATTTCGATGTCGATGTCAATGTCGGTGTCGATGCCGGATGGCTACGTACAGTAGATGACAGGTATTGAATGTGTGTGATGTGTGATGTGTGATGTGTGATGTGTGATGATCAAGCCAAACAAAGCCAAAAGCCAATAACTTCTTTGTTTTTTTAGGAAATGGGTTTTTCGGACAAAGCCAGCGGGGAGCCGTTTCTGATGAAAGAGTGGCTGCCCAGTCCAGCCCAGCCCAGCCCATTTTTTTTTTTATATGCGTTTTGTGACAGATGCCACTCCCGGTTCGAACAGGTATATCACCGAAAGAATTAAAAGACATCATATCGAAAGGGCATATGCATAACAGGTCCCGAACTCTCACACATTAATGGTTGGTTCGGTTGGGTTCCACCAAGAAGTTGCATACAGTAGGTACCTACATATCATATTTATTTAGCGAGCGAGCGTGCAGACAATGTTGAATGTTGACCTGGTGATACAACATGATTTTTCTCTTTTTTTCATCACTTACTCATGCAGGTCAGACCCAACATCGCGGTCTCCACCGGCTGTTGCACACTTACACAGCATAAGGTAGCAAGCATTCTAGCATGCCGACCGAGCACGATACCGAATAAGGTACTGCAATGAAAAGCTAGATGGCCGGCTCTATCCGAATAGACGATCGAGGAGCTTTGGGTAGGGCTTGTCCCAAGAACTCCAAAACACTTTTCCCAAACTCCAAACTCCAAACAATCCAAACTCCAACCTCCAGAGTAAAGGAAAGAAAATAAAAATTAATTGTAGTTCAGACATTATGATTTTATCCATGTCACCTACTTGGTTGTGTCAATCGAGCGCAACGCAGCCAGGCGCAAAGAATTTCCAAGGCTGTTGTTGAAATACTTGATGCAACATACCCAGGATTCATGTCGCCCATGGAATGCTACTGCCAGAACTACATTTAATGTACTACTCACATTGCAGCTATTATTATTATTATTTCATTAGCAGTCGTCGCATGTCTAGGTCCCACTCAACTCTTGCGCAACACTCGTGCTCTATCGAATCCTCGAGTTACGCCTATCACCCAATTCAACTAGCCTGGGGTGTTCAAAGCTTATAATCAGAGAATCAGAGAATCAGGCGTTCGTTGCTGCCATATACTACTCCCACTCTTCTCCATATGACGACGGTCGTCTGATAGGTTGACCGACAAGCGTTTCGGACTCGAAGGAGGATGCTACGTCGGGGCTGGCCAGCCAGTCTGGAGGTCCCAAATACAGTAATTATGAATCACTATCAGGGTCCTGTGGATCTGGCACTCATTTGAGACGCCCAAAATTGGATCGGCAATCAAGTGCTCATGCACAGATCAGCGGCTTCTTCTAAGCTCCTGTGATCCTTTTGCGCTGGCATGCAGGCCCGCAGGGTAAGCTGCATCTTCGCCAATCTTCAGCAGTGCCGGCATCACTCGCGCGCGCCTCGGTGCTGCTCTTCTATCCGGCCTGTGGTCCTCAAGTAGCCCTCCACTTGCTCTCGTCCTCCCTCTCCACGCCTGCCTCGGTCGCGGTTCGTGTCCTACCAGCACCTTGACCGAGCGGCTCTTGGACGCCATTCTGTATCGTGCCATCCTTGTCGTCCTCCTCATCCTGCGCCTCCTCCTCTTCGCCGCCAACAAAAGTCACTCCCTCTGGCATTCTGAAGTTTCCATCAGCGTCCACGAACTGGTCCATATTCTCGCTCGTAATCCACCCTGTCGCGCCCGGAGCAGTTTCGTCGAACGCAGCCTCGCCCGCATCGCCATCTTCTTCACCTGGTCCCGGCGGGTCAGGGTTGAGTTCCTGACAGTCCGCAATAGCTTTGAATAACCCTGCAGTGAGCATCTCATTACTCGGTGTGGTGCCATTCGTGCCATTCGCCATGCTCGCCGTCTTCTGCTCCAAGTCGGTGCCGTGCTCGACATTGGTGGGGAAGATTTTGAGTTGAAAATACTCAATGTCGTCGTCTGCAGTGGTGTTCGAATCGGAGAGGTTCAGCTCGAGAAGAACAGCCGCGCCATCCACGGCGGTGATCGTGATGGCAGGATATGGAATGTGACAGCCGCCATTGGTTGTCTTGGAGTACAGAGTCAGGCATTTGTCCGTCACCCACACGTCAATGTCGTCAATTCTCGTGTTGCCTTCCTGAGGCGCCGCAGATTCGACCGGATGCGTCAGGTTCGCGAGGGCGCGGTGTTTCTGTTGCGCGACGAGGGGCAGGGTGATGTACGTTTTGCAGGCGTAGAAATGGAGCACCGGTTTGCCGTCAAAGAATGTGCCGGGCGTCTGCGCCTCGTACTGCGACAGCGGAATGAAGCTATCGAGTTGCGGCTCGTCATGTACCTCTGCAATCGCGGCCATGACTGTCGTGATGGTGGAGGGAGAGGAGGGGGAGGAGGTGGAGGAGGAGGAGGAGGAGGTGGTGGTGGTAGTGGTAGTTGTGCTGTTGTTTTGGTGTCGACAGTTGGAGCTCGAAGACTTGAAGCTCGAAGAAAGATTGACCAGGGTAAACAATGAACCGCGATTCTTAGTAATGGAACTACTCCAGCCTTGCCAAGACATTGTATATTCAACCTCTTGTGCCTCTTACACTACCCTGCCCGCTATCACGAAAGTTATAATACTCTCCTACTGCAATCTTTCTGCATTTCCTGTTGGTCTAACGAATTACAACGCCCTCCTTCTACAAAAGTAAGCTCTAGTCGTCATCGGGTCGTAGTCGTTGAGAAGGAGAGAGCATATATCTCGTTTTCAAAATCACGCTCATTGTCGGCAAAAAAAAAAAAAAAAACAAAGAAACAAAGAAATACGGTCTAGGCTCTGCAGAGCATAGTCGCTACTATTATGTCAGAATGCTGAAGTTCCTTGCTAGATACCTAATAACTTCTTCTCTAATCTCCTTGCAGTTGCTACGAGAGAGAGAGAGAGAGAGAGAGAGAGAGAGAGAGAGAGAGAGAGAGAGAGAGAGAGAGAGAGAGAGAGAGAGAGAGAGAGAGAGGAGAGAGAGAGAGAGAGAGAGAGAGAGAGAGAGAGAGAGAGAGAGAGAGAGAGAGAGAGAGAGAGAGAGAGAGAGAGAGAGAGAGAGAGAGAGAGAGAGAGAGAGAGAGAGAGAGAGAGAGAGAGAGAGAGAGAGAGAGAGAGAGAGAGAGAGAGAGAGAGAGAGAGAGAGAGAGAGAAGAGAAGAGAGAGAAAGAAGAAGGAGAGTAGGAAGAAGAGAGAGACGGATACTTTATACTCGATATAGG